AGCAATACCGTGTCCTTTATTAAATTTCACGCATTTCATTGATTTCCTTGCGAGGAGGTTCTTCCAAAACCTCAATGATCTAATTAATGTATGAAGTAGGTTATGAGAACGTGTTGTCGTTGTCATTTCTATCCAAACCAATTCTTTCATCCAGCTTCAAAAAAATTATCAGTTATCTGGGCTTGTTACCACCATGTTTCCAACGTAGAAGGCTGCTATGAGATAGAGTATTCAAATCTATGGAAAGCCCTTCAGTAATTGTACTCGGGAAGTCTCGGTTTGTTTGATTCCCAGGAGGACTCGTAAACGTGATTGTCTTTGATATTGGACGAAATTATCAATAGCTCATTTCACTCATTTTCACGGGATGATTGACACGTTCAGTACAAGGTGCAATGATTGATATGAACATAAATCGCATATTTGGTTCAACAGAAACGTGTTTTATGTCATTCAAATGATGGTTGCTTACTACAAAACGATGAACAGTTGATTACACATTATACATTACACATACTAAATACTTCTACTCTAACTTCGAAAATCAACAGCTGCGATCTAATGGTAAATCTTTACGAATCCAAGAAGCCTCGAAACATGCTGGAAATGGGAAGCCCCATCCCACATCTGCGGGAGGGATGAACGGGGTTGAGTAGGTAGTTACGAAAGGAGTTTGCTGAAACCTCTGAATCAGCATGAGTGCGACACAAATCTCTTACCTGGACCAGGTTTGCAATTAGGATTTGTGTGTATGTAAAAGAGGTCAAAGTATCTACTAATTCCTTCCATAGCATCAGCTCTTCTTCCAGCTTCTAGTCTATCTGATTCTGAAAAGTCTAGATTGTCCACGTTTTGCATGTCGTTGTCTAAAGGAAGGAAAAGAAATTGAATTTTTGTGAGATCTTTGATTGAATGTGAAACGAAGGCTTAATTTTTCCATCCAGCAAAAAAAGGCGCTGTCAAGCTCCTATCATACTCACAGACATGAATTTCCATACACAGCTGCCTCACAGTAACCCGTTCAAACAGTCTTGAGTTAATTATCTGTGTCAAGACAGGCCATTCAGATCCCTCAATATCTACAAGAGGATAAGCAGACGCGTCGTCAGATTCCTGATGATTGAGTACACAACAAACGCTTTATGTCGACGTCTCCACAATTTACCAATTTTCAGGACATCTATTTGAGAATGGCCCAATCTGCTCATGATGTCTTCCAAGGTCTCCACATGCCAACCAGTAGCATGATCTTTATACCTACAGGAACAATTCCAGTGAGCTGGATATAGATGTCTTCAGTCATTGCCGCTGCTTGGTTATGTTTTGTGTTTGAACTTTCATGCACTATCTTTGTACCACGAAGATTTCGATGCTCCAGAAACAATTCCAGTGAAATTGGATATGCCCGTATTGGAGTAATGCGACAGTTTCGTCCTGTTTTGAGTGTCCATTTTCATGCTCGGATCGAATGCGTAAACATGACAGCCCAATTCATCTACAATTGCAGAGAAAAAGCGAGTAATGGCTTAGTTTTAGACTAGTGATAGATCAGCATATTCAACATAATTGGCGCTTACTTGACATGGAATCATCAAAAGAGAAATCTGAACCAACCCCAAAGTTATAGATGACGCAATTGTCTTTACATATTGCTGAGCTCTTATCCATACAGAGCGTCCAACCTCCTTCTACACCTCCTCGGCCTCCAAACTGTTTTGTTGAGCTGCAATGATGCTCCTGATGTGACAGGTAATACCACAACCTGGTAAGAATAACCGTGTCAGATCACTACTGTATGTTGATGTAACTTATTCCAATTGTGTACCTAGTCATTGCATCCCCAAAGCTTTCTTTTGAATTTGAAGTTGATGGGTGATGAAAAGTCGACGATGAAGCTGCAAAGTTGTGTATACGAGAAGAAGATGGAATCCATTCTGAACGATAGAATGCCAGAGTCAGCACTGACAGAGTAATTCCAATTACTATTAGAAATAGTCGGGACTGCGACACATTCAACATCATTTTGGACGAGTGTGGGCAATGAAAGGATGGAATTGTGTGGATGAAATTGGACTGGAAATCTCGATCAACGGATACTGTTACGCGTATTTAACGTATTCTTCTTGTCAGATTTATTAGAGGAGGGGGAGATCAACAAGAACGTTTACAAACACTCATCCAAGTCAGGTTGCTTTGATGCTCGTTAGATTACATTGACGGTCGCAGCCGAGGTTTCATTCACATGATGGTTCTGATAAGATGATTGTTGATGTCTTGTCTATGGATCCCTCCAACGCTTCGAAACGCCCAAAGTTTGGCACAAATGTCAATACGTTAGCTAACGCAACACAACCCAAGATTGCAGTTCCAGTCTGTTCAAATAAATCTAAATGTATGACTCTTATAGACCATAGAATGAATGAATTCAAGTATAGTCTTGTTCAGTGACGAGCATTGACACGTCAACAGCACATACTACTTCACTTGCTCTGAAATCCAAAGCTTTGACGGGCTTCATCAATGAAATTAGTCTCCTTTTCTGTATGTATGAATGAATGTGAATGAATGAAATCTACAAACTGTCCAATCCAGCCAACACTCACTCCTTCTTTCACACAACAAAAACACAACCAACAATAACTAGAAAATACAAGCAATACAACTGCCAAACTCATGATGACCAAGGGAGGCAGCAACTCGGACAGGCCCACCAACTGCTTGAGAGTACTGGATTTCGAGAACAGAGACTTTGGAGGTAGAGAACTAGCTTGATTTCGTTAAGCTCCATAGAAGTTTGGAATATTCATACTTGCCAATCACGACTGATATCAAGCACAGATTAACACTTATCCGTCATGACACCTACTTTATAGACTTGTATCAAGTAGCTGTAGCCTTGCCTGGTTTCGTACGAGTCACCTTCCACAAGGAAAAAGAATGTCACATCGCCTTCAGGTACATTTGGGATCATGTCGCTTATTATGAAGAGTATATTGATGCACACGTTGGATGGATGGTACATCTGCTACTTGATGCTGCGCTCACTCCGAACGTCATCTTCTAGTACGTTACAACAATCCAAAGCTGGCCTGGACTGGCTATCGAGGAATGCTGGTCAAGTCAATGTCTTTTACGCGTAAGTACGGAAAACATACTTGGAATAGCTAGTGAATCGCTTATGTGATGATGGAGTCTATTTGAACAACTTGAACTTTCGACTCTGCGGTTTACTGACCCGTCATGTCTCACATAGTCCGCCTCAACCACAAGGCTCCATGACTCAAACTGCTGAACCTAGCTCCGTACTCTACGTCAGAGTAAGCTCGTTGATCTATGCCTTGTGGAGTGATGTTGCGCTTATGGAGCTTTTTTTTGGCCACTATCACTTTCTCCAGTTAATGCACGGAATGAATACGCCATCGCTGCAGAAAATAGTGGAAGATTATGAAGGACTTGAGATGATGAAGCCTGCGTATGTGAACGAGCTCTTGCCTTATATTGTTTTATTGGTGGAGGAGACTGATCGTTTGCATATGTCAACTCTCTAGTGAAAATCACGTCAAGCTGTTTTTTGCATCGGTTGAATCTGCTTCTGCTGGCTCTGAACGATTGTTTAGAGAGACTAATATCTGTGAGTTGTTGTGTGTGATTTCACACGTTAGATCGTATTTCCTTGGTTTGTTCTTCTTTCCCTCCCTTATTTTTGACTCTGTCAACTATAGATGCCTTCTTCCATCATGGATGTGGACCAGGAGGATCACCAAACAACTTGCCCGGTGGTCCACGAACACTTCATGTCACTAAACTTGATCGTGATATGGCCGATCTAAGAGCTTACTTGTCGGATCGTCTACCCTGCTTGGAACGGATTGGATTCCATGATGGATATGGTATCATATTAGTCCATGCTATTATTCTTGTTTGTGCTCGTTTCAATAATAGTTCTAACCTTGTTTTATGTACATGACAGTATTCTGCTGTTTCTTGGATCATGAATCGGCTAAAACTGGTCGTAAAATGATCTTGAATGAAACTCGTATGAAGGCCCGACTAGTTGAATTCCAATATGTGCCTCATTTCCAACCAACTCCTCTGGGAACGGTCGGAACCACCGTTCGATTGGATTATAATACAGTGAGTGGCATTTGTTGTAAAGGGGTGTTGTCGATGACCTGAGAGGATCAACAAAGAGTTGGATTGGTACATCGCCATTAGTCAAAATCATATCTTTGCTGTGTTTGCCTATTCAAGTGCTTACGATATCCATTTTAATCAACCATAGATTAAGCCAACTGGTGATGAAATGCTCAAATTCTTTGGACCGTATCCTGGATTTGCTCATATTGGTACGCACCACTCGCTTTTATCTTTTTATCAGAAGATTCAGTCGTCCTGATCATGTACTCAATTTAATGGTGTTTCAATAGAAACCCGAGACAAGTGTTGCTTTGCATCGTTTCGTACTCCTCAACAAGCTAGAGCAGCATTAGAAGATCTTAACAATACCACTAACTTGAAAGCTGTATATCGATCTCGTGAATCAGCTGGAAGTGGAAGCAGTAATGCCAATCGTCGTGGTGTGATGCAAGCTACAGCATCCTCAACCACTATAACTGCTCCGTCTCAACTTGCCCAACGTCGACCACCATCCTCCACATCCATGCAATCGTCATCGTCTGTTAGTACAGCAGTCTCCTCACGACCACGCTCACGATCTGAATCCGAAACTAATTCGGGAGCATCAACGCCAACTCGCAATCTTAAAAAGTCGTTGACGGCCATCAGTGATGCTGCAAATCCAATGAGAAATTTTTGGAGTGTACTTGTCGATGAGTTTGGAGTTGACAGTAATGATGATCTTGATGGATTGACTGGTGACTTACTGGCTAGTGCTGAATATCAAGGACCTATATCTCAGCAATTGGATGATGACGATCATCATTATCATGGTGACGATGATGAAGACTTGTCAAATAATCATTATTCTCAGAATGATGAATATTTCAAGACTGTAAGGATGGCAAATGGTCATAGTAATGGTATCGGTGCTACCAGCAATGGTAAATTAGGCCCCATCTCTCCTTACTCGTCATCATTGCCAGCTCTACCATCACCATTATCATTTGCTGCTACCGCTGCTGCTACTGCATCCAAGGCATCTAGAATCCTTGGTGCCGGTAGTAACAAAGTCGCATCATCAACCTCACAATCAGTCAAACCTCATAACAATAGCTACAATGGCACGAAAGACTCATCTGCAAAAGTTTCCAAACCCATCAACACCAGTAGTAACAGTAGCTTGAACAGCAACATTGCATCATCATTCCACAACAGTGTCACTGCCAGTACTGCATATACATACGACGATGATAACTATGTACCTGGAGCTGCACCACGACCTATTCGCCGTCGCAGTCGTCACAATAGTAATTTGCCATCTATCTAAGGAATCAATGGTTGGGCTTTTTGCTATGGGCAGATGATTATTATTACTGATAAGAGATTGAGAGTGAGGAGGGGGTATTTTGATGTAGGTTTAAACAAGGGATGGGATTTGATCAAAGCTCTTATCTCATCCACACTTAAAAATGCATGAAAAAAAGTTGCACACCCATATTTAAACACAAATGCCCTTTTAGATAGTTTAGTCCCCGTATAAATCCTTTGTACCTCAAACAAACGCATACTAAATATTAAACTTCTGTGACAAAACGAACTTGTATTTCTGTGGTTGAATGTTCAAGTTGGTCGTCTGTCAAAAGTCTTTATTAAAGTGAGCACGGCATGAAAGGAGTCAAGACTTTGGACCGCATAAACTAACACTCACAAAAGACACCATCCAAAACAAGCCAACTGTTCAAGAAAGATGAGACAGCATGTATCTTGATAAATGCACAATAGAGGTCAATTCTACAACTGAGATTCTTTTCACAATTATTTACATTGTTTTCATGCAGGGGAATCTACAAGGAAAAGGCGTTAGTGCTAATACGGACATCATTGATGATTTTTTTGCTCACCATATTTAGGCATAAATATAGTATCAGACAGTTTGATTGCCGCATCAGCAGCAATCTGATGTTGACCATTGCTCGTATCATATGCTAAGAAATTTCGGAGACAGAAAACAGTCAGCATATTCTGCCGCCGTATATTTTCAAACTCCAAACTGTATACTCACGATGGTACTCGACAAGCAGCACGTCGATTACACTTCCTGCACCAACCTAATGTAGGGGCAAATACTGAGAATCCTTGTCCATCATAGAAAAAAAAAACACTTCAAGACAAACTGACGACGTACCTCCAAAAATCTAGGCAGAACATCATATTCAGCCTTTTCAATGTCCATCTTGACCAGCACATAGTCTTGTGGCCCAAACGTCTTTTTCAACCAAACTCCAACATCCATAGCTGTTACATTCACGACCTGTGCCAAAGAGTCTTGTCAGAATCTGAAGCATGCAAAGTCTTATTACTAGCCGATTACCTTTTCATTGCCATTGCCATGCACTGTCGTCCCCTATTGCAAAAAAAAAGTATACGATCAACAATGGATTCTATTGGCCTGAGTCCAACAATGTGCAAATGTCGTACCCAAAAGTCATGCTGCAGAATAGATCGTGATTAGTTCAGGATGCATGATACTATATCATCAACCATCAGGATACTCACATCAACATTGACTTCATCAAGGTATAGTGTGATTTGCCCATCAAAAGCCGAAACAGCCGTTTCTGGGAATGCCTTTACTTTGATGCCACGATCATTGTACACCTTTTCAGCTTCTCTTAACTCGGGTGTGAATAATGGATTGGCCTGCAACGGAAGAGTGTCAGTCACAACTTTTCTGATGGACTGCCAGGTCATTGTATTCATACCTCAAAGAGATAGATCTCACAGTCAGAGTGTTGTTTTACCCAAAATCTGCTAAGAAGAATCAGCCCAATGATCAAATATGACATTTGCTGATTATCTTACGGTAATGGAAAGTCGTACTGGAATTTAGCATTCTCTTCCTTGAGCCAGACCTTCAATGTATCAGCTCTGTTTGCACCGAGATCGATAAAGGCACATCGTCTAGGTGACATTGAATCATTTACTTGTTCTAATAAATGCGAAACATGTCAGTCGATCCATGACCCCTCGTGTTGTTGATCGAACATCTCAACTAGATCCCAGACTTACCATAGAGAGAAGGCAGCAAATTGTCATTGCACTGAGTCTTTTGAGGGACAAAATTGAAGGAGAGCATCAATATGACTGCGATAAAGCAAGCAATGGTAACAATGGCGTCTCGAGATGATGCCAGTGGTGAGATTTTTGAGAGGAGGCCGCCCTTCATAGCTGAATTGTAAGAGTAGTTTCGATAGTTTGCGAGCGATTGACGACTAGTTCAGTCCAGTTCTTGGTTGTTTTAATTGAAGCTTGGGGTTGAAAGTTTCAAATTCTTGGTTTCTTGGTCAAAACAGTCGACACGAGCAAGACGAGAAACCACACAGCGAGGATGATCCAGGTACGCCGCTATCAACTAATCGAGTGGTATTAGTTAGAAACTATTACTCACATACTCTCTCCCAATATAGCTAAAGACGATATGCAAGGTATTCAACTGCTGGAGAAAAAGAACAAAACATCAACATCAACAGCCACATCATACACATCTGCATCGCGTTATACTAACACATCAATTCGCCACTAGGTCATTGACAACTCAGGCGCCCTCCTCGTCGAATGCATCAACGTAATCGGAGGCTCCAAAATCGCATCTCTCGGCGACGAAATAGTCTGTGTCGTGAAAAAGGCAAGACCCGCTACCATAGACTCAAAGGCTGCTGCTACTACCGGCGCAGCCGCTGCAAACATGGTCACAAAGCTGAAACAGGGTGATGTCTCCAGAGCACTAGTAGTCAGAACACGCAAAGAAGTCAGACGGCTAGATGGAAGTTATGTGAAATTTGATGATAATGCTGTTGTTATGATGAATAAACAGCAGCAGCCTATTGGGAATAGAGTGCTCGGGGTGCTGGCTAATGAGTGCAAGCAAAAGAGGTGGGCTAAAGTTACGACTATGGGTGGCAGACTCATTTGAACGTTGGGATTGTTGGGTTGGCTCAACGATAGGTTAGAGTACTATTTTCTTCACTTGTATCATAATCACGACAATATTACACTCATTTAAACAACTTCTGTGGTTGCTGGAATTGAATCGTTACTCGCCTTTACCTCGGTGCCGGCTGAGTTTCGATCATATTCAAACACTGTTTCCAATTTGTTGAACATGCCATGTTTCTGCTAAGACTATAGGTCCAGAGGAGGCTATTGTGACTCAGAGATGCCTGATTTATCGTCTATTGACAGAGGCTTTTTTCGCTTACCAGAGCTCGCATTCGCTATGGTGAATCACACAACCATTTGAAAACTAAGAAGAATCCAGAACAAATGACTTTTATTGATAATAATGGTCGCATCAAAGTCACAACTGTCCCAACATCAACTGCTTCTAGGAACAAGGACTATATTGAGTATAAAAGGCGGATATTAATCACTTATGTATATGAGTTAATTAAATGTGTTGAATTGTGTAGCACAGAAAGGAGTGTAACGAAATCTAATGTGACTCAGCTTCCACCTTTTCATCAGCTATCTTGTCAACAGGTGAGATATCAGTCATGTTTACAGTTGTAGCAGCACTCGTTTCAGGATTCAGTCCAGCGTTAGATAAGAGTTGGTTTCTCAATGCCTCGTATCGTTTGCCAACGTAGTATGATGGGTGGAAGATGTTGAATGTGACTAGTGAAGAGAGTTTGTTGGTGTTTCAGCATAGCAAAAAGGGAGGGCAGGTAACGCAAGCAGTATAGGAAGTTTTTGTCACCTGTGGCAAGCACAATTGGTAGTGCATCGAAAAAGTAAAAGTATATTTCATGGGAGGAGAGGTAGCCTGAATATCCTTGAGAAAATTCCACCGAACGGTAGATGGATCGTAGCTATTGGACATGAAGTGCGATGAGATATGAAAATAATGTACAGTCGATACAATATGTGCAGAATTACATACTCCCTTGTTGTCACGCTGACAAACTTCGAAAAAACATCAAAGTTAAACTCACCAGAATCATTGACGACGAAAAGTAAAGTGCCCATAATAAAGGAGTCCATTGCCGACGAACAGACCTAGAAGTCACAAAAAACGAAGGCTACTCAGTCGAGTAATTGGAAGTTTCCAATCGACTTCATTTCACTGACCACGGCAATTCACGTCTCGTCCTGATATCAAACACGATAATAACAAGCAAAAACAGAGCAAATGACGGCACAGTGATAATCAAACCAGCAAGCAATATTTTCAAACCCAGTGTAGCATTTGGAGTGGCGACATTGTTTGTTGTTAGTGCAGTAAAGTAGAGCACTGCTCCAATGATTTGGACCTAGTGTTGGTGATTCAATGTTATTCTTGTGATGGCATAGTGGTTTTTTTTCGCATCAATTGTTTTCAAGGTTACGATAAACGTCAATGCATCAGATGTGATGAAGATCCAGGAGATGCGTTTAGGAGATATTATAGCAAAATGAGCTCCGACGAATGAAATGCTATCGTTGGCAACAGAGGGTGTCAATATATCACCCAAAAACAAACTCTTAAACGCAGAAATCATACGAAACGTTGAGAACGCTTACAGATTCGAGCAAAGCACATAATTGAAGGCTACGAAAGGACAACATTGTTTTAGCAAAACTTCATATTATTTAAAATGTTGAAGTCATCTTACCAGCATTAAAAATAGGAGCAAGAATCAGAAGAGCTTGGGATGCCTCGAGTGGAGCCAACTGCTTGTTGTGTTGCAAGCTATACCATCTGTAACGAAAATAAGAATTTCTTCAGATTCTCACCGAGATTGTTCGTCCCTGGCTCGATGCCTTTTTTTTACCTCGTACCGAATCCAGCAGCTTCCACTATTAAAAAAACGATCAACCAGACCGTGATGAGACGAACGATTTTCGACAGTACTCACTCATTGTAGTTGTCAGCAAAATAGCCATAATCCAATACCTCCCTCGAACCATCTGCCCACCATGCACCAAAAACAGCAACAACCACAACCCCAATCCAGCATAACACGCTTGCAACGAATTAATTTGTCCAGCCCATACGTTTCCACCGCTTGTTGCAGCAGGAGCCCCAGACGGCACAGCAGATCCCGGAGTTGGTAATGAAGCATACCCGAGCGAATATGCTGACGCACCACACGTTTCAGCACGAGGAGTCAGAGCTGTGAAATTGGGCTGGACGCTGAGTTTGATTGTTGCTGCTGCTGGGCTGACTGTGTTCAAGTATACGCAGAGACCGACGAGGCCTCCATGTGTGATCTAAAATGTGACAGGGCTGGAGGTGAGATTTTGAGTTGAGACTTCAATAGCAACAAAGCACCTCTCCACAATATGATAGAAGCGTTGCAGGGCTATATTCAGTAAAACGCAATTGAGAGCTCTGATTTAATACTTTCGTTTCGAGATGAATGGCTTACTAGTACTGAATATCCCAAGGAGAAGGAATGAATGGAAAACAGATGTGTCAATAAGACGTATTCTCAGTGATTTTATCGGAACCCTCTTTGTACCTCCATGAAATTGAAACACCTATGAAAACTGATGTTAAAAATAACCATTGAAATCGACGGTATGGAATTCAATTCCTACATTTCTTGAGTTGAAGCAGCACCACCTTGAACAGTAACGTTGTCATTTGATGTGTCCCATGAGCAATACTACATCAAAATGAAAGTGTTGGCGAGAAAAAAACCTGCCATTGTGCACAGTGTCGACACTTACGGTTACCAATCTGTCACCAGGCATAATTGTGTTTGAAGGACCAAGGAAATTCGAGTTTTGATAATTGAAATCTAAGCCAAAACAGACAACATAAGTTCAATATATCAACACAAAGGAGTTGTTGAATCTAACTCTTACCAAACCACTGATCACGATTGACCTCAGCTAGTTCAGTTCCATTACGAATTATTCGAGTTAGTCCGGCACTTCCTCGTGTATGCATATGAAATCCAGAAGAAATCAAGGTGATTCCGGTAGCAGGAAGGTTTGAGGAGCATTCAGAGGTGCATTCATTCAATATTGTCGCGACTTGGGTTCGTGGTGGAAGAGTAAAGTACTATGGAAGCCAAGAAAAATGTAGTCAGCAAGAAGGAAAGATAGAGCTGGTTTCCGACGATTGCACGAGTTGTTGCCACTAACACAGATACTCACACTCGGATACGTTCCAAGCGTCAGAACTCCAACGTCAATAGGCCGAATGGTAGACGTATACGTAGCTGATATGCCACTACCAGTATCAACCTGTCCAGTAAGTAGCAGAGGATTCGAATAGTGCATTTCCAACACAACAAACTGAGCAGAGAAATCCCCAAGCCCAAATGGTTTTCCCATATTGCTTGGATACACAGTCCCTTTACGCCCAAGTGCCCAGTCAATGTAGAACGAGTAGCAAGTGTTTGTCCATGATGACAGAGGAGGAGCGTTACATACAACCTGGCCGTCAGTATATCGAGTATCTAATGATGGACAGCTGTAGACTACCAAGTGATGCACTAGCGGTGAGCCAATGATGGGTGTCCATTGTGTTATTTGGTATTTCTGGTCGGTTGGAAGCGAGAAGAAGCGGTCTAACGAGACAAAAAAAGATTATGAGAGAGTTCGACCAATGCTAATATCACAATTGAATCCTCACAGCAATACTATGGGAAAGAAATTCAATCAGCTCTGTCAACACCCAATTCGAGCAAACTCGACTCACAGCAGTTGGAACGACAGGAATAGCAAAGTCCGGTGTTATAGTCCAGTTAAGAACTTTGGCATCTGCGGGAACAGATCCAGCTGTAAATGCAGCTATAGCGTCGGTTGCAGATCCAATGTCGAGTGCAGCCTGTCCTTGCGATCCTGTAACAGCGGAATAATGTGAGCTCAATGTAAAAATATCAAAGAAAACACAAGTATACGTACCTTCAACATGCTGCACGAACGTATTTGAAGCACCGTGAGCGAAAATAAACCAATTCAAACCGTACAGCGTAATGTCGGAGGATTCGACAGTACATTGTGCCACCAAAGGTCTCGAAAACGAGAATGCCGTTACATTATTTTGCTGATACCCTTGAATGAAAGTCAGAAAAGGTGTAGATGACAATGATGGAGTGATGAAGCCAGATGCAAATCGTTGCTCAAAGCTGAGAGCTCCGTTTGACGCTCCTGACTCGCCCGACGAATACACAGCCATATCAGCTCCTTTCATTCCTCCATTTGTGGAAAGCCCAATGCCCAACCATCTTGTGTATGAAAAAACGTGTGAGGTATCAGCACGTGGTTGTTTCGACATAACAACATCAAACGTCCAAAAACAAGTGAATGTACCCAGTGGCTTGTACTCCAAACGCAAACGTGATGGTACCATTAGAAACATTCCAGTAAAGAGCATACTGAGTCAGCGAATCTTTGCCCAAAAGTGTCGTGTGTCGAAAAAACTGAGTCGCGTCAAACGGCATCCAAGAGACCTATGTTTTAAGCAACGATTAAGATCATCGCACATGCTGTGGAGCGAGTCACACACTCTCGTGAACGATCAATGTTCATTAGCCAGTTTTAGAAACGTGTGGTGGAGGACTTTTAACACGCAGAAACAGAAGGAGAAACGATGCGTACCTGTGCCTGGACGAGACTCAGAGCAGTCATAATGACCGCCACAGTATTAGATAGGTGTCTCATTCCAAATAACTTCCGACATGTAAACAGTTGAAAAAGAATCTATGGTGGAATCGACCTGGCTTTGTACTAGGTCACACTTAAAACTGCAAAACATCTATCCGCCTACGCGGAAGCATGCCAAGACGCAAAGTTGGCTGTGCTCTCCAAACATCGTGCACGATATAGCTATTTTTATTGATGGTATATGAGCATAAAACGAAGGATGTTAATTTAACAATGGATTTCAGTTTTCATAAAAGATTTTCTGATACATTCCCACCACTCCCACATCCTATGTTGCCAGGTTGATATGGAACAGGGCGCTAATGACACCTCGTTTCCCATTCACCATCCAATCTTTGTCCTCTTTTTCCAACTCTTCTTCCTGAGCAGTCGTCAACCCACAACAAACATCACTTTTACAGGTTCTATGCACTGCTCCTTTAATGTGAATCATATCGTTTCCAATGGCCTTTGACAGAGGCATTGTAGTTTCCCACACACAATCATAGGTGAGTTTACGGTAGTTGAGATCACCTTTGAAGAAGACAAAGTCTGCACCTGCGAGTTCACGATACAGGAGAGGTGCTGCTGACGGCAAATCATAGAATGCGTATGGAGATGTCCAAAAGGGATGTGCTTTTATTTCCCAGCGGGCAGAGGCAAACCAGTTGCTCCAGGCCGTTGCTAAATGAGGTAGTGGTGCGGGAAGATCGGAGCATTGCTCGAGGGTCCAATGAATGTCTTGTTTCGTAGTGTCTGAAACAAACCATGGGAAGCTTTTGACTATTCAAATTAAGGATTGGTTCGGTAAATGCAATCTCAATCAACAATATAGTTTAGTTGTATTTACCATGAAAGATGACTTTGTTAGCAATCCCCTTGTGCATCAGCCAATGGGCTAGACACAAGTCTGCACACAATTCAAGACCTAAACGGAAACATAGTCCATGAAAAACAAACAACCGAGAGAGTTAAAGCAAAAGTAACAAACCAGAATTGTCCAGTACGAAGTGAACCACCCCTCCTTCCAGAGTGGTGAGATAATGCACGATACGATCTAGATCATCGACTATTATGTTGTGTCGAGTGTCTTCCAGGCCAGTTTTGGTAGATATCTGAGTTTTGTGCATGTCATCGTGTTTGGCATGTACTAGTAACGATAAATCAGCTTGGTTGCCCCAACTATGTTGAAACCAAGGTGAGTCTATAGAGTCGATTTTGCTGTTGCGATAATTTAAATCTTACAGCGTATACTGAAGCAAGTCCGACAAGATTTCCTCATCTGTAAACCCTTTTTGATGATGCTGGAATCCAGCTTTTGGTGGCGGATTGATCCAGTCATTCAAAATCGTTCCCAGTCCTGTAACAGATGGTATGCTGCCCCTGAGAACAGACTTGATGTGAGATTGTTGCACGTTGACCCAAACTTGACAGGATGGCAACATTTACTTGAAAGCAGAGCGTTTCTTGCTCTCGAACAAGTCCAACGACTTGAGTCCTGACAGGTTGACGGCTTCTTGCATCCTGCGATACATGTAGCATTCTGCGAAAAGCCAGCTAGCCGAGTACCTGGTGCAGGAATTGTGAGTCCAAGTCGTAACACTTTACTAGCCATCACACAGATCATTCAATTTACCAAGTAGCATCCTTCCATGCATGCGCCAACACGAAATTCCACACTTCAGTATCTTCAGCATGATCTGTCAATGGGATCAATGGTTTGTCGTGGGTAAGATCGTACTTTATAGCACCGAGAGAAGCGATGATGGCCTTGACTTTTGCAGTCTTGTCGTCATCAGGTTGGCCTTCATGGAATGAACGTGACAATTCGTCGATTGCCTAGGATGGGCTGTGTCAGTTGTTGAATTGTAACACGTTTCTGATGTCTGAAGCTTGGCAATGCACCTGAGTCAAAGTGACCTAAGGAAGGGAAACTTAGATAGATGTCACATTTCAAAATAAGATTCAATGAAAAAGTTAGAATGGAACGTACAGGCATTCTGTCCTTCAAAGTATCATAGGCGAACGTGTTTGGACGACTGCCACTCAAAGCAGTTCGAGGAATAGCAGATGGGACGACCGCTTTCAAATCCGTCATGCTTGGTCTCTAGATCTGAGTTCTGAGACGAGTTTGTTCGCTTCCCAGACGTGGAATTGATGAGGAGGCTTACTCCGTGGCGTAGTCTTTTTGAGGAAGGAGGAGCAACGGGACTAGCTCATACTAGCTCATCAAATATTCAAATCAATGGCAGAAATACGCGCAGCCACGCGTTCTTTTGACTGGTTATAGACCTGGGCAACGTGTAATATATCCAACATCACCATCTCTGATGTTCCCAAAGAATATTTTGGGAGCTCATGGCAGAAGACCAGAGCAAGCAGGACGCAGCGACATCGCCTAGCACTTGATTATTTCATTTTGCTTTGTTTGCCCTTAGAACACAAAGTTCGCACTTCGCAATTACATCTTTGATTGTTCATCTCATTGGACAGCTATTGACATTGAGTAATCAAGGGCGTGCGGGCCAGAGGAGTCTTGCTCAAGGCTGAATACAAGAAAGGATACTCTGTTGGATCTCTACTTGGACTGGACTGGTTGGATTTCATTGCACACGCTGTGGGTCATTGTTGGATTTCAAGTGCTGAGCAGACTCTAGATTATAAAACTGATTGACTATCTAGTCTAGTCCCATCCTGTACAATATTAGCTTCGGTTGTGGAGACGTAAAGCATCGCCGTTGCTCGATTCAAATACAACAAGCAACAATCCAAACACACTCAAGTCGTTGCTTTTCAGCGTTATTTTCTGAACTCGGCTTGGAAAAGGTATGTCCAATCTGCCAATTTATGTACAAGTCAATGTTTTCCAAGATGATATTCGCAGCAAATCGGAGACCGACGCAGCTTGACATGTTGCTCGTTTTCACAAAAATCCCCAAAACTTATGATTTGACAAACCACATCATTTTATTACCTTGCATTAGATTATGGATGGAGACAGAGCTCCTGCTCCTTGGCAACGAGGCAGAGGTCAAGCATTTGGCAACAACTTCTCCGGTCACAGACAAAATAACGGTTGGGGGGATAATAATAATAGAGGCCCACGAGACAACAACCCATATCAGAACCATCGAGGAGGTGGAAGATTCCAAAATAATAGCAGAGGCAATGGATCGCCACATGGTCAATACCATGGAGATCAAAGACAACCTGATTATCAACAACAACAGCAGATGCACCAGCAGCAACAATATAATAATGGGCCATATCCACCACCACCATGGCAGCCGCATCAACAACAACCGCCGTATCCTCAATATAATAATGGATATGGAGATCCAGGAAGGATGCCTATGTCTGCTGAACAAGCTTACTATCAACAGGGCGATCAACAGCAAGCTCCGATGAATGGTTGGGCAGCACCTCCACCTCCATTACCGCCACAACAACATCAGATGCATCAGCAGCAACCGCAGCAGCAAGCAATACCGCCATGGGGTGGAGTGCGTTATGGAGTACCACCACCTCCTCCTATACAACCTCCTCCACCAATGCCGAATTCACAACAACGTATGCTAGGAGAACCAGTTCGCGGACCGCCACCTCCAATGCCTGCATTCGCATCACCAAGCAATCTTAATCATAGTAATAGTAATAATAATAGTAGTGTTAGCAGAAATGCGGGTGATGATATGGAGGTTGACAAGGACACAACACGCTTATCCTTATCCGCACCTCCTTCTGGAGGACAACAAAAGCAACAAGGTGGTGGAATGCCTCAAAAGACTGCTGCGTCTGATTCCAACAAGCCCAAAGCTGCACCAAAGTTTGCTGGGAAAAGGAATAAAATATCCATGTCATTCAGCAAGTCAACAGCAGCTCTACCTAAATCAAAGCTGTCGGATAGTGCAGGTGCATCACCCAGTGATGACTTTGTACAAAAGATACCTAAACCTAAACAGCCTCAATCGAATTGGAAGAAGACTGCACAGGCTGTTTTGAGTGGAGACAAGCCAAAGACTGCAGTTTTACCAGAAATGCCGTTGCCATCTCAAGTGGTGGATGCTGCTGCAGCTGTTGCTTTGGCTGTTGCTGCAGCTGATTCTGCTGTCGGTGATCAGAAAGTAGTAGCGCCATTGGAGGTAGAATCAATATCGTCTCATGGCGCAGCTGATACTACTACCACTATAACTACGAGTGAGGTTATAGTACAGCAGCCATCAACTACTACAAGCCATGATCATCCAATACAACCACCTAGTAATTTACCGACAAGTCAATATCCAACTTTACCAACTCACGCATTCCCACCGAAAACGCAGCCAAAACGACAAGTTAATCCATGGGATGCTACGTCACCATTACCAATGAATAATGCAATGAGTAGTAATAGCGGTCCTCCTATAATACCTCATCGTCCTCCTCCTCCACCTCCGCCTGTATATAATCAACCACCTAGAGCGAATGCATGGGAATCAGGACCAGCACCATTGCCATCTCAACAACAGCAGTTTAAAATGTCGCAACAGCAGCAAAGACTATCACAACAGCAACAACTTCCACCGCCACCTCCACCACAATCTATTCCTCCTTCACAACTACCACCATTTCCACCATCGCCTAGTAATTCTCCTTGGCATCAACAGCATCAGCCTCCACAAACAAAGGAAGAGATGGAAGCTAGTATGGATGAGCCCACAAGGCTGACATACATTCCTGTAACTACCACTCTCGGTCATTATGAGAGACTGAATCAAGTCGGAGAGGGTACATATGGTACAGTCTACAAGGCGAGAGATAAGAGGAATCAGGCTCTTGTAGCTCTGAAGAAGGTTCGAATTGAGCCTGATAAAGATGGGGTATGCCTTGGACGAATATGGATTTTGTCGCTCTCGAAATTTCATTGAATACGAACTTTTCCACTAGTTTCCTATAACTGGTATTCGAGAAATCAAGATCTTGACCACATTGCATCATCCGAATATTGTCAAGTTGAACGAGATTGTCTCATCTAGAGGTAATTGAACCTACTGAGTGATTACGCTTCGATATTCGAGCATCAACCGGTTTTTTCTCATAGATCGGATAGACTTGGTGTTTGAATACATGGATCATGATTTGACTGGTCTATTTGCAAACACAGCCTTCAAACCCTCACCTGCTCATATTAAATGTCTAATGCTCCAAATGTTTGAAGGACTTCGATTCTTGCATAGTAAAAACATCATGCATCGAGATCTTAAAGGTATAATCTGCGGATACAATGGATTTTTTCTTCGCATCAAGTTCTAACCATTTTTATTTCAACTTTTAGGGTCAAACTTGCTTATAAGTAAAGAGGGAGCATTGAAAATTGCAGATTTTGGATTAGCTAGATATCTAGCAAAATCTTTGCCACATAAAGGGCAGTTACGTGAAATGGACTACACGAATCGAGTCATCACTTTGTGGTATCGCCCACCAGAGTTGTTGATGGGTGCCACAAAGTATGGAGCTGAGATTGATATGTGGTCTGCAGGGTATGATAATGTGACTTGTTATTATCACTATCCTCTATGCTCATCAAGAATCCTTCCAACTTTATGTAGTGTCGTATTTTTGGAGTTCTTCATCAGAAAGACTGTTTTTCCTGGTGAATCTGAAATCACTCAGCTCGAGTCCATCACCAAGATATGTGGAAGTCCTGATAGTAGATCGTGGCCTGATATGCATCGATTGCCGTGGTATGATATGATGCTCAAGGGTAAACCACCACATTCTAGCAAGTTGCACATATACAAAGAGTAAGTTGTGGGAAGCCTAGGCAATGTCGTTTGTGTTCCAAACTATAATCATTCTATGTTTTCCTAACACGTTTTTTCTTCCTTAGTACTATGTCGAAATTAGCGTTCGAGTTGATGGAATGGCTGCTGCAAATGGATCCCAAGAAACGGCCAACTGCTGAAGAAGCATTGAATCATCCGTATTTTCGTGAAGAGCCACAAGCATGTGAACTTGACGAGTAGGTGTTCTACCAAAAGGCGTTTCAGTTTTTTTTGGTTGACATCCTTCTGACTTTTATTTGCCATTCTTTGCTTATAGATTACAGGCCATATTACCAATAGAAGATTGGCACGAATGGGAGTCTAAGAAACGCAAGGAAGCATGGAGAGAGGAAAGACGGCATGCTCCTTCACCTATAGATGTTACAGGCTGGGTGCTACCAGCAGCTCCCAAAGTAGACTCAACAGCACCAAGCAGTATTGTGCCGTCTACTGAAATCACGCCTGTAGCTGGTAAACCACCTTCATCAGTCTTGACATCTGCCAAACCAACTCCAAAGTTGAATGCTGCTGCAACTGGTACTAGTGTAACTCCTGTCATGTCAGCAGCACAAGCTAAAGCCGAAGCATTCAAGCAACGAATGAAGGCACTTGTTACTGCTCCTGCTCCGCCACCTTCGCAGATAGTGGAAGCAGTGCCATCAACACCTGTAATAGAAGCTCCGAAAATGGTTGTTGGTGAAGGGAAGAAGGCTGAAGCTAAAGCAAGGAAAGCTGAAGCTGATGGTGGTAAGAAGGGTGAGTGTCACTGCTGTAGGCATGTCTACGTCCGGGGGTTTTTTTTGTGATGCAAAAATTTTAATTTGGATTTTTTGCCTTTTTTTCAGAATTACAACGAACTCCTAAAAAGGCAACTGCAGTTGAGAAGCAAGTCAAGGAGGGTGATAAGGTCAAGGAGGCGCTTGTAGAAAGGAATTTGGACGAGGAGAAGAAGGCTAGTGGAGGTACGCTTTTGATTTCCAGCATTTATCATTTTTTTGTTCTGCGCAATGGTTATCAATAACTACTTTTGACAATTCTCTTTACTACTCATATCTACTAGTTAAATCTAAAAAAGTGGTTGATGCTACTACGGCTCCTGGTAACAAAAAATTCACCATTAAGTTAAAATCCAACTCTCAACCATCCACACCTACTGACTCGCCTCAAGAATCCAAAGGGGCGGGAAGAACGCTTAAATTAAAGGCACCCAAACCTCCAAATGTTATAAGTAATATGGATGTAGATGTGTTTGATGGTGAAGATGGTGTTCCATATGATGGTACGCTAGATGATGCAGGAATAGATATGCATATCTCAGCATCCAAAAAGAAGAGGAGGAGAGGTGTATTAGAAGAAGTAGATGATGGCGGTGGTGCACCTACCTTATCCAAAAAAGCCAAGAAGGATGATGGTGCTAGTACTAAATCACGTCGCCGTAATCCTAATAATAGCAGCAGTACCGTCAATAATACCACGACGAGTCGTCATGCTAGCCATAGTCATCGCACGGCAGCCACAGCACTAGGAGTACCACCAGCTATAGTGAATCCCTTCCCACACTTGGATGCAATTGATGCCACTATGCCGACACCACCGATTTATCAACCGTCACCACCACGAGAGCAACGTCATTCATCAAGCGATTATGAACTACTTGAAAAGTTTTCACTAGTGCCACGAAATGTCATTGCAAATCCTGTGCATCCAACTGTTGCGTCGGCTATTGGGTATGAACATATTAATACTATTTCGCTAGAGTAGGAAGGAGGAGAAACACCACGTCATTGTTTAAAAGAAAATCGAGGAAAATACACACATATATACGTAAATATATTGTTTGTTGGGGGGTCGCTGAGGAGAGTTGGCTTGAGCATTAGTTTGTATAGTCATGTTACGAGAGACAAACACACACACACACATTGAAACGTAGAAAAGTTGTTAAAAATATCTCGACATATGTATTTGTATGAGAACTCCCTTATGGCATATTATATACATTTGCGTTTGATTCTGTCTTGCAAAAAAACTCTATCTTTTCTTGATGGATAATACCCATCACAAGTCCGACTACTCACACTGCACATGCCACACCCTTTTTACACACTAATCCCCCTATCACTGAACATTCTCCGTATCGCCAGCACCGACAACCAGCTCCAAAAAATCAGCGCTGCAGATTTACAAACAGCCCAATACTGTACCCTGTCATTCAACGAGTCGGCAATATATCGATGTCTGTGCAAGCGCAGGCCATAATAGTCGACGAGCTTGGTGACTGTGTATAGTTTGTCGCTGAGTATTATTATTCCTGCTTCGAGTGCCGAGGGAGGGCCTGTTGCGGTGGTGTTGGAGGGGCCGAATGTGTTGAGGGATGGGTGTGGGTTTGAGGATGTGTATAGGTGATCCTCTGGGGGTGTTACACCTGTGGTAGTGGTGCGTGTGGGAGTAGGATGCGTTGAGATAAAACTTGATGCAAGATTGTACTGGTGTTCTTTATACCTGGTGGTATTTTCAGCACAATGTTGAAATTTATGTCGCGGTATGAGGATTCGCCGACCGAGTTGTCTAAAATGTAGAAATGTAGAGCAAGATATTGAATTTTGGGTCGATTTAGATTTGCCGAATAATGACAGCAGCCTGAGTGAGGGAGCGAGGGGACATACCGAAACAGAAAGCGTGTTCACCTGCCTCCTTAACTTCAAAACTGTATGTAGCCTATATACAGGGACGAGAACGTGGTGAGATACCATTTGGTGTAAAAGTGTTGTCAAGGCCGTTTTTGCTAGCTTACGTCTTCTAGCCGACCTTCATCATATATGACTTGATTACTTGGTGGTGGTCCTGTTATTGTAGCCTTGATTAGAAAGTCTTCGCCAGAAGCGACCTCGTATCTAGTTGTGATGAAATGATGATCAAAATTAGATGTGGTTTGGTGATGGGGTTTCAGAAACACAGTAATTGGCACGAGATCCAAGATTCGTAAATGGAGATTGGATCTTGATAATAATCTCGGGCGATGAGGGTGTTTCCCAAAGGTCCAAGTCTCTAATGCTCGATTTCATGATGCTCACAGGAAGGTGACTTGAACTCCAATAGTGATATTCTCGTAAAAGCATTCGCCAGATGCGCCAGGAGCCACTAAATATTTTGCAAGGTTAACATGTATAAAGTGACGTCGCGAAAGTGAAGACTGCAAAATATTCCAAGATACAATTGTCTTACTGGAAATCGAGAATGGGTGCATTAAATCATCGGAGCTGACTATAGATATGAGTATGCACAGTATCAGTCCTGTCAGGTGGTTGGCAGCCATTCTGTTTGTATTAATTGACATTTTTAAAAGTAGGTATTTCAACGCGATGGTAGTTCGAAACACGTCCTGGGAGTCGAGGAACATATTCACATACTCAGTTTAAAAGGATTTGTTGGTTTACGACGCGTCACGCGTCCGTACTGCCCAAAGAACGTGTATCAACCATTTAATCAACAATCACACTTGTTGTAGCAAACCGACTTATCATCCAACTGTAGAGCTTAGAACACCGTTACAAGAGCCTGAGATCAAGTACATTCTGAGACCATCTCTTTGTTGGATAGGAATTCTCTCACTGGTGAAAAAACACTTTGAGGCAAGTTTCGGAGATTGGCAATTTGTGGCGAGAAGAAGGTTGCTGAATTTCATCATTTCGACGGGGCTCAACTCGCTCTCGCTTGAAATTCCAACTTTAAGTGCCAAAGACCCCATCCCTAGTCTCATTAGCTTGTTTCGATCATCATAGAGCGTCTGAAACTAATTCGGGATCTTGCCGTCCATCGTGCTAGCTTGCAAGTGTTGCAGGTGAGGCACTTTTCTGTACTTTTCATATCTTGGCACCCAATTCAATCATTTCTGAATTCATTCTGGTCTAGATCTATCCTGGAACAAAGTCCAATGGTGGATCAACAACTTCCACCACCTCCTCCACCTCCTCAGCCAAAGCCATCCAACCTCAACACAAAACCATTGCCGAATAATCCGAATAAATCTGCTCCTTCTTCTCCTCCCGCACTAAATGCTCCTTTTCTTGTAAAGGGCAACTCGAAAGACGATACCATCTTTGAATTTAAGGACTCGAAACAAGAAACTGGTTCAATTGGTCTGCCATTTGTTGTTGGCAGATACTTGGTGAGCATAGTACTATGCTGTGTCTGTTGAAACTGTCTGCTCTCCGAAACTTACGCATTTTTACACAGGGAAGCCCACAACTACGGTCATTCCCAGCTGAACGACTGTATTTGATACTGGGTCGCTTACGATGCCTGAATTATACCATCAGCAAATACAACCATGGACTGCAGTCTCCATCGTCATCATTTACGCAATATTGGAAACGACGAGCATTAGACCAAATGTCTGGTTTTGGATTTCAAATATCGGATTCGACAAAGCCGATACTCGTTAATGGCCTGGTACAATATCTTGTTGCTTTTCAGATTCGTCACTACGTTTGTTGGTGCTTATATCCAATTTTTCTTTCAGAACGAACTTATTCTGAAAATAGAAGACATATATAGTGATGAGATACATGCTGCTCGTGAACTCATCGATACGGGTTCAATCGCATTTGATGGACTAGCAGAGCTGTACAGACCGGATGTTCCTGTTAAGGGAGTTACAAGTTTGGGAGGAACTATGGCATTGTTTATGGTAACAGAGTCGTATTATGAAGAACGACGTTCATTGATGGGTAAAGAGAAGAGTTTTCACTGGGAAATGGAGTTTGTGATTACGCTTGGTGGGCATTTCTCGCCAGTGAGGTACATTTTTTGGTCGTCCTTAGAGAAACGTATTTCCAAAGTTCCATACTTTTGCTTTTAGGTTTACAGAGGTGCTAAGTGGATGGACTGGTGTCCGTGCTAGACCATTATCTGAATTGACATATACATCCACATCGCAAGACTTGGATACATTCAAACAGAGAGGTCAACGTTATGTGGCAATTGCTGAAGGAGGTCCTCAATTCCTGTCTTATGCTCCACATACATTCTTCATCCATACATCTGGCTTGTCTACGAGTGGATCAATGATGTCTCGATCTGGAAGCAACTTATTACCCAAAGGAGGTCGTATTATGATTGATCCGTCTAGGGGTGCTTCATTAGGACACCATGCTTCTCAAGGTGCAGATGAGCCTACGCTTGCAATGATTCAAGCTGCAGGACGATATAAACGGTTGAAACATAGTCAGGCTGGTGGTAGCAGTACTGCTGGCAATTCTCAAGAATCAATGGTTCTTTGGGACACGGTGCCTGAAGAATTAGTCATGTATTGTTTCCCATCGATTGTGGGATTCAGTTTCTCGGCAAAAGCATGGGGTCATGTATTGGTGTCTGGACTGGAGGATATTAAATTTAGTGATAAGGCATTTGATCAGTTGGTGCTTGCTGAGGAACGTAAACAGCTGATACGAGCGCTGGTAACATTCGGCGGTGATGATGATACGGAGGATATTATTGGAGGCAAACGTGGTGGTATGTGTTTTCAATCTTGCTACTGCGCGTCAAATTCAGATGCATAGAAAAAGCATTAACGTCAATACATTGTAGGCAGTGTATTCCTGCTTCACGGCCCACCTGGGTGAGATCTGGTTATGTCGCGTTATGAGAAAGCAGCAGTCACCAGTGATGCCAAGAAGTCACTGACATCATTATATAATAATAGGGTGGGCAAAACGCTCACTGCTGAGGCTATCTCCGAAGTGCTGCATCGGCCATTATACTATGTCACTATGGGTGAGCTAGGGTTAACGCCTGATGAGATGGAGAAGAGGCTGAGTGACGTGTTGGATTTATGTGCTGGTTGGAATGCGATCGCAATACTCGACGAAGGTGATATATTAGATGTCTATATGTCGATCATTGTAAAGCTTTTTTCAAACGGTTCTTTTTGTTGTAGCCGATGTATTCCTAGAGCAACGAGCTACCGCCGACATTGTACGAAATGCAATGGTGTGTGTCATGTTACGACTATTGGAGTATCATCCAGGAATCCTTTTCTTGACAACAAACAGGGTGCAGAGATTTGATCCTGCTTTTGAGAGTCGAGTTACGGTGGCTCTTAGATATGAGTCTCTGAATTCATCAGGTATACGATTCACGCAAAGAGCTGCGTATGATACGTCGCATTCCACCTGATATCATGGTTTTTTGTACCTTAGCACGAACACAAATATGGAAGAATCTCATGGCAAAAGTCAGCATTCCTGTGTCAACCGAAGTCGTATATGAAGAATTGGGTAAACATGCTCTGAATGGAAGGCAGATAAAGAATGCTGTCAGGCTTGCAGTGGCTCTTTCGAGGGAGAAGAAGAGCGAGGTGACGCAGAGTATTCTCCAGACTACATTGGCTATAACCAATCTAGGTCGTGAAGAGATGCAGGCTGATGACTCTTGGAAGGAGTGAGGTTTGGGGAATCGGTTTCAAAGCATATAAAGGTTTTGTACATCTCTTGATCTGAATGCAATGGCTCATTAAATTTATCTTGTGGATATGCCTCTGCTCTAGTCTCACTAGAGAGAGACTATATTCTCATAACTGAGTTTGCTCTCAAGCTTCTGATCTGGCGTTGCAAGCAGCTGTACAGGTTTTGTAAGTTACTTGCATTATAGTTCTTGGAATTTTAAGCCTCAATCGCCAGCCATTCTTGTATTGGTTGCCTTTGATCTGAACATTATAATGACATTGTTGCCAGTTTAACGCTATGAGATGAAACACACTCAATATAATGAGAACCAAGCTGTAATTCAAAAGACACTTTGATATTGGCATGAAGAATTTATCTACGACTTTACAACGCGTCTGTATCGCAAGAAAAGTTCAACAAGCACAAGAACCACTGGAAAATAGACGATTATATACTAGACAATATTCTAAGAGCAATGACCCGTCTACTGTCTGCCTTCCCGCAGTACGTTGGATGTGATGTACGCGGTTTTATGTGATGCAATATATTTTCAGGGTCCAATTTGTTAGGCAGTGCATGATCTCTCACTCCCTCACCTTTTTCTCTTCACAACAACCTGTTTTCACCTTCATAATCAAAGGAACGATAACAGTGACCTTATAAAATCCTTCACTCAACTACTACTATCTACTATCAATCTATACATCCATCATGAGAGGTATTGTACCGTCGTTTCCCTCTGAAATATTCAAAAAACAAACATGTTGTTTTCGTAAATACATAACAAGCGCGTTTCATATATATCTAACCATGTAATGTACCTACGTAGAGTGTATTTCAATCCACGTTGGTCAAGCCGGTGTCCAAATTGGTAACGCCTGTTGGGAACTCTACTGTCTTGGTATGTAGTCATTAAATGACATTTTGTGTGTTTGCATGAATGAGGGTGTTTTTGGTGAATGGAGACGTGGAACGGTGGAGATTAATGTTTAATCAATATTGGCAATACTGTTACATGGTATTGCCATCCTCTAAAAGTCCCCGAGTGGGTTGGATCAGTCGTCGTTTCATGCAACAACCACATGTTGTTTTTGCATAAATGACACGATGCGCAGTTTTATAAGAAGGAGATGATGCATATACAGTTACAACACATACAATTATATTCGTCATTAAAGTAACACTCCTTCCCCTTCCCACAACCAGAACACGGCATCCAACCTGATGGTCAAATGCCCTCTGACAAGACTATTGGTGGTGGTGACGACTCTTTCAACACCTTCTTCTCGGAGACTGGTGCTGGCAAGCACGTACCACGTACCGTATTCGTCGACTTGGAGCCCACCGTCGTTGACGAAGTCCGTACTGGTACCTACCGTCAATTGTTCCACCCTGAACAATTGATTACTGGAAAGGAAGACGCTGCCAACAACTATGCTCGTGGTCACTACACTATCGGAAAGGAAATCGTCGACTTGGTATTGGACAGAATCCGTAAATTGGCTGACAACTGTACTGGTCTCCAAGGTATGTGGTTGCAATACATGATTTTTTTGTTGGTTGCGCATGTCGAGGATGAAGGTTATCTTGATATGGGATGTTCATCACTACGAGCAATCGCACCATTTCCAGCCTCCTGGTCATTCGCTTTCCCCTACCTCGCTTTTTTGCCCTCTTACTCACACCTTCACAATTCATCGATTAGGTTTCTTGGTCTTCCACTCCTTCGGTGGTGGTACTGGATCTGGATTCGGTGCTCTCTTGTTGGAACGTTTGTCTGTCGACTACGGCAAGAAGTCTAAATTGGAATTCTCGGTATACCCAGCTCCCCAAGTATCCACCGCTGTAGTAGAACCATACAACTCCATCTTGACCACCCACACCACCTTGGAACACTCTGACTGTGCCTTCATGGTTGATAACGAAGCCATCTACGATATCTGCCGTCGTAACTTGGACATTGAACGTCCAACATACACCAACCTCAACCGTCTCATCGCTCAAGTAGTATCTTCCATCACTGCCTCTCTCCGATTCGATGGTTCCTTGAACGTAGATTTGACTGAATTCCAAACCAACTTGGTACCATACCCCCGTATTCACTTCCCATTGGTCACCTATGCTCCAGTAATCTCGGCCGAGAAGGCCTACCACGAGCAATTGACTGTAGCTGAAATCACCTATTCTTGCTTCGAACCAGCAAACCAGATGGTTAAATGTGACCCCCGTCACGGTAAATACATGGCTTGTTGTCTCTTGTACCGTGGTGACGTTGTACCCAAGGATGTCAACGCTGCCATTGCTACCATCAAGACTAAGCGAACCATCCAATTCGTTGACTGGTGTCCAACTGGTTTCAAGGGTAAGCAAAATATGCATATTAATAAAGGCGGATAGACTCTTTCTGACTCCTTTCTTTTTTTCCCGTAGTCGGTATCAACTACCAACCTCCTACCGTTGTACCTGGAGGTGACCTGGCCAAGGTCCAACGTGCTGTCTGCATGTTGAGCAACACCACTGCCATCGCTGAAGCTTGGGCTCGTCTTGACCACAAGTTCGATTTGATGTACGCCAAACGTGCCTTCGTGCACTGGTACGTCGGAGAAGGTATGTATCGAAGCCAAGTTGCTCTTGAGTTTACGTCGAATGGGTGTTGTTATCGATGCTCTAGTCGTTAACTTTTTTGTCTTTGCTTGAATAGGTATGGAAGAAGGTGAATTCTCTGAAGCCCGTGAGGATTTGGCTGCCTTGGAGAAGGATTACGAAGAGGTTGGAACCGATTCTGTAGAAGGCGAGGAAGAAGGCGAAGAAGGTAAATTGGGCTGATGTTCAAATGTTGCCTTTTTCGCATTTTGCTAACACTCTTCCATTCTTGTAATAGAATATTAAGCGATTTAACATATTTCAATTCTACATAAAAACGCATCCTCTTGTTATATTGTGTAGATTTGGTAAATAACACAACTCTTTATATATCGCTGAAATCAACTTGTTTCGGAGCGAGAATGAGCAGCATTCGCAACCTACGTTCGAGAACCGTTGGCAAATTTCGTTAGGCCCTCTATTTATTCAACTAAATAATCTATAAACATCGATTGCACAAACATTATTGATTGCAGAAAAAGTCAAGAAAAAAATGGAAGTTTTTAATGTCGTTCAAACCGAAGCAAAAAAAGACACCAGATCCCGAAGAATGAGCGTAGTCTTCTTCCTCTTCTATCTCTTCTCCAATGACCAAACACCAAACACTTGCCCAAAGGCGCATACGCAACAAGAGCAATCGCCAATTCCCTCGCAGTACGACGATCGTTCATATCCCTCAAAATTGGATTCCCAAGGTCAGTATTCAAGCTGTATAGCAAGAACATTTGGTGCACTTCACGTGCTCGACGGAGTTTGGCTGGAGAGAAACCACTCAGGTCCAGGCATTTCTACTTTTCCTTCAGTGACATGACTGCTTTCATTAATCGGGCTTTGGCGTCTCCAAGACGTTTGGTAATGCTGGCCCCCTGCAGATATGAGATTGTCCTTGAAGCAGGTTTTGTTTTTGATTTAGATGTAGCAATGTAGCTAGACTATATAGCAACAACAAACAACGAAAGAAAAAACTTATATTGGCACACAAGTTGCATTACCAAATCGATAATGGAGCCTCCCAACCGTTTCATTGAGGCTTTACATCTTTGGTGAATCTGAAACCCAACAGCTCACAAGATCGATAGCTCACAAGATCGATAATGCAGATACGATGGCCATAGTGGAGGACCCTGTCGAAAGTCGACAGAGTTTCTGCTTGAAATTAGCCCATTCAGAGAAGAGTTTCTGCCAAATCGGAATTATCACGATCGTGAGGAAAACGATGTGGTGGCGTTCATGACAAAGAAGCTAGCCGCGTATCGATTCTATGGTACGTACCATGACGACGCGCTCGGCGGTTGAATCTGCACTCTTTTCTCTTGTCGTAATTAGTTCAGCTCAATTTCATACTGCGCCGCAATTCGCCCCATACTTCGAACCGAGGCTTCAATCTGCATTTTTTGCGTCCCTGTCTGATACTCAAGATGATATCAATAGCACCATTTCACTAGTTCTCCGTATACGATGCTACCTAAGCAAACAAGTCTTTGTTCAATTTTGGCCAACAAACCTGCCCAAAAAACAACTCTGGTCCATAAAGTAACGCAAGCACATTTGATACGGGATCTTTCATTTTTCTGGGGAATCATTTCGATACTACGAATTTCAACAAGGCCGCTTTTGCTTGCTAGATTTATGGCTCTTTGTGTCCAAAATATTTGTCTCCAAAAAAACTCCCTAAAATGCAGCAAAATTTTAAGATACGTTTTGCTTAAAGTGCTCTCTCTGGCACACATACCCTACATGCACTTGTTTTGCGTTTTGCCTTTAATGCCACCACCGCATTGCTTGCCGTGAGTACATACTTCACACGTATGTGCATCTATTTGGCACCCCAGACATTGGCATTGATTCCAGCTGTGATTCCAGTTGTTGTGACCTGAATTGCCTGCTATACTACCACCGCCACAGGTAAATCCATGTGTACAGATCTTGAATTTGTCCTTTGCGATTTGACATTGACAGCCAGCGGAAGTGCATATTTCGTACGGAGAGCAGGTCACTGTTGTACCATGGTGGAGTTTGCATATGTGTTGTGTTGGGGATGGTTTGGGAGATGCTTTGGGAGATGCTTTTGGAGATGGTCTAAGAAGATAAAGACGTGGTAAGACAATACACTACTTCCAAGTTTTGCACATCGAAAGAACGGCCTGGACCTCGCGGTTCTACACCTACTTGTGTTGATATGATGGTGCTGGAGATGGATGGGGAGATGGCCTATTTTGTATAAAGTGATTAGTATTTGGACCAAGCCCACCATATTGTTGTTATTCAACCAAGAAAAACACCGGCCGTCCTGCTTACTTGTATGATGGTGCTGGAGATGGCTTGGAAGATGGCCTTTTGAAAAGGGTGATAGGTGTTGAAACAAAGGCTCAACTCCAAAACAATATCTCCTGCCGTGATACATACTTATGGATATGTGATGGCTTTGGAGATGGATTAGGAGATGGTCTTTGGAAGATAGCTTTGAGTTAAAATAGACAGAAACTCCACGAAGTGTTTACCAAACCAAAAAAATAAGCAGCTACCGTCTTACTCACTGTGGCGGAACAACACACTGATTATGCAAATGCCCATGAATCCCCACTGGTTCACATATAGTTCCATTCCGACAAATCTCGCACGTAAACATATTAATCTGGCATCCAAGACATACGCAATCGTTCCATCCTTGGCCGTTCGGTGCACAGCTCCAACCCGGTTTACATTCCTTGAATGTGTGAGTTCCAGATTGGCATATACAGTGATGAGCATGACAGATTTCGTGTGCAGGACAGGTAATCCATTTGTGGTGGGCGATTTCACACGTGTTTGCGGGAGTTGGACTAAAAAAAGACGCCAATGAGATCAGAGTAGTCGATAATGGCACTGGCAAGGTCTGAGAAAACTCACGAAGCAGTAGCCTTGTTAAAATGTCTTTGGACGAGGAAATGCTCTGGAGCTTCGTCAGGTATAAGAGGAATGGTCTAAAAGATTGGCAACCTGTTAGCATACTTGCAGCGGAAACTAGACCACTGGCAAAAGCCCGCTATCTACCAAACCTTGGTAGCACGTGCAAAACCCTCGCAAGAGGCTTTCACAAATCCGGAATCAGCAGTCAATTTGATCACAGCTTCACTATGGTCTTCGTCCTGGCACGAGCATTCCAGTATCCACTTATATGTTGGCCAGATAAGCGTGCGTGAGCATGTAGCCTTTGTAGTACAACACCAAGATAGCAAAATTAAAGTAACAATAGCACATAGAGACAAACAGATGTGATTAGAAAAAGAGATAAGAATATTCCGTATCGAAAATTGAATACCAAGAGAGAGCTTACCGAAAAGCTCTTGCCCAGCGATGCGCAGTGCTCTTGACAAGCATTGTCAATTGTCTTGCAGGATGGCGCGGTTTTACTCGTTCTCGTAGCTGCTGGAGAGGTATAGCATTGGGATGCATGTGAGTTTTGGAAACCTAGTACTAGCATGGCAACAATGCCAGCCTTCAATGGCATTCCTCTCAGCATCTCCACTCTGAGGTATGGTTTCTGTTATGATGTGAGAGGGAAAAAAATGGGAAGCTTGAGCGAGCATTGCCACTATTCAGGGTGTCCGGTTTGTCGGAAACGGGTGTGAAATAAACTAGGTGAGGACAAAGTGTTTTAAAAGATAATGGGGTGTCGGTGAGGAGCGTTCACAGGCAAAACTGTCATTCTCAGTAAAATGAGACAAGTAGGTGGAACGTACAGATCACCACGTTTTCAGTATCTCAACACTCTCACACAAAACTGCTTTAGAAGCTTTGGTTGTGATCTTCTTATCTTGTCTTGCAACCACCATAGTGAAAAGCTGCAACATCAAGCAGTGATCAACTTCAATTTGAAGTCATTTTCAGGCCAGATTCGAGTTCCATATATGAAAATAGAGTCAAATGTCATGTTGTGTGTCTTTGGAGTTTGGTAACTTGTAATGATCCAAAATTTGCAAATGAAAAGTAGATCTACCCATTGGTGATTGCAAACGAGCCCGATCGCTTAGTAGAAAAGGCAGCCAGGTGATGAAAGGTATCAGATGATTGTCATGTTCTGGCTCGTGTCCCCCAAACAACCTCTCCGTGTTGCTTAAAAGTGATGGTCAGAACCTCCTGTTATTTCCACGACAGTTTCCCACTGAGAGAGTAAGAGACCCCGTACAAGCGATAGTATTCACTGCTCAAGGTATCAGGTCTTGTCCAGTGGGAAACCTCTAGCTTCTTGACTGACTTCTTGCTTCTTGATGTTTTCGCACCAGCGAGATGTTTCTGACCAGAACAACACCAAGGACACATTATCACCTACGTCATCAGCGAAGACTTGGAACATGGATCGGTAAACGCGTCGCCTACATATATCTGGGCCGAATGAACAAAGAAATGTTTGTAAATGGGCTATTAGAACTAAAGAATGTACTTTGAAATGGACTGTTGCGTACTTTTACCATTGTTGTCAACAGCAACTCCGAATTGCAACGCCTCCACCACATAAAAAGATGGACAAATACAGAAGCACCAGCTTCAACATGATGAACCCACAAAATCCTTCTGGGCAACACAACCGTTTATTTGACTTAAAAAGCGTGATGATGCCTCCTGCTCAAACATTCACCAAACTCATAAGCTCTGGAGTGTATCGATCACCATTTGGAGGAAGCCGTTTCAAAATATCTCGGATTTTAGCATCGTCTTCTTTGGTAAAGTTGATGCTCACGGCAGATAAATTTTCAACCAAACGAGACTCTTTTGTTGTGCCAGGGATTGGAATGACTAGCGGGTCTTGGAAGAGACACCATGCTAGACATAGTTGGGCTGGAGTGACGCTAAAGTATGAGTGGAAATAGGATATTTGAGTCTCTTGCGTGCATGTTGATTGAAATCGACAAAAAGAGCTATAACAAATCGGACAATAAAATTCATTCATAGAGCAATGTCTCTTTCACCAGCAGGTGAAACTTAGATCAGGAAATCAACACATCTCCGTAACGATTTGAGCAAATTTTTCGTACTGCTTGCGCAACAACAAGACGTACCCTTTGACTTTGGCGATTTCCGAAAAGGCATCAACAATCTTCAAATTTTCAATGAAATTGCTGCCTTTGAAGCGTGGCCATGTCAATCGTACAGCGTCCATGTCTTCGGGTTTCTTGATTGCACCAGTCAAGAATCCTCGTCCTATAGAGAAAGATTGATTTTTTGATATAAGTAACGGCGAAAAGCAGATACCGAATGTTTAAGGATGAAATATACTCTTCTTTCCCTTCCAAACACTTTACCCAAAGGTGAATATGCAACAACAGCAATTCCCAATTCACGAGCCGTAGCCAATCGTTCATTCTCTTCAATATTCAATTCCCAAGGAGAGTATTCAACTTGGATGGCAGTTATCGGATGCACTTTGTGTGCACGGCGGAGTGTAGCTGCCGAGCATTCAGAGAGACCCAAGTATTTGACTTTGCCTTCGGCAACGAGTTGTTTCATTGCTCCGACTGTTTCTTCGATAGGGACTTTTGGGTCTACACGGTGTTGATAATACTAGAGCAGAAAGGGTTGGGATATTGAGCTTTTAGTACTAGTGCGTAAGTCAACGTAAAGAAAACTGTATTACCAAATCGATAGAAGAAACTCCCAAACGTTTTAATGACGCTTCACAAGCTTGACGGACATAGGCAGCATCACCTCGAAGGCTGAATACGCCATTGTTGTTTGCGAGTGCGAATTTCGTGCAGAGAAAGACTTCATCTAGGTGATGTGATGAAAGGCTTTAGTTGAGGTCGTTGGTTGCAAAGCCCTGAAGCGTTATTCGAGGAAATCAAGGAAGACACTTGCTTCGACGAGTGGCCAATACTTTCTACAAGATTGTGCAACGTAGTGTGAGTTGACAGCTTTAACCATAAAGGAAGCTCAGGAGAATATTGATTGACAAACAGCCTTGGCATACCGATAGTGTGTTTTCATTGTGGCCAGATCCATAAATATCGGCAGTATCCCAAAACGTACATCCCAGATCGATAGCACGGTTTAAAAGTTTGATGGCGTCTTCTTCACTTGGAATGGCCCCATGACCAGGAGCAAGTCCCATTGCCTAAATATGACAGATAGCGTGAATTTGACTGCAGCACGGTTGCATCTCTCGAAACAGTATAGATGATTTGCTAAACATTTGAAACATGTAGAGAATTGCAGTCTTTGATAGTTAAAGAAGATGCAATTTGGTACATAAATAGGCATTCATTGAAGGCAGCCCAGATGCACATGTACATGAACCAACATCAAATGGCAAAATGATGATCTTCGTGTATGATAACTTACACCAAAACCAATAGCAGAGACCATGGGGCCGTCCTTTCCTAACTGACGCCGAGGGAATGGCTTCGGAATAGACATGTTTCTGGATCTATGCATGGATCAAATGACGAACTTTAGTACAATGTTGGTGAAAGTTGGTAACAGATGATCACGAAGCTTACAAGATATAGATTGATGGATTATAGTTTAGCTTGGCGTTATGCGTTATGTCAAAAGTGGCAGTTGAATCTGTTCAGTCACAGAAGAGGGTCTGCTCCAGTAAATACATCCTGCTTCCCTGATCGATCCGAACGAGTAGGATGTGATGAAGAAAGTCGGACCGTGTATTCCATTCATTATCACATCATGACGCGTATCGACCTATCTTTCGACTTTCGACGATATGTTTGTCGCCTGAGCTGAAATAATGTTGCAGTCCGGATGCTCTATTTTGTGGTTGATGTCATTGCTAGGATCCAATTGATCTTTTATATTATACGTTCTCGTTACCGACTGATCTCGCTCGTCAAATTTTCTTCGGAGTTGAAAGTCGTCATTTCTGGTTGGTCCCCTTTTGTAGCGTAAACTTTGAAAAAATTATAGGTTTTCCACGATCAGCTAGATCTCCCTTATACCATTATACGATCGGTCTCTCGGAAGGATTATCTACTACTATAATCTACTTCTCCATACATAATTTTGCTACTCTGATACCCTCATGTCCTCTTCCGGACTGTCCCTGTCCCCAAACGACAATTCTCATCAACATTCACCACCACGACTTTCAATTGAGAGCCTACGAAATGTCCTACTAGAAACTGGTGCTGTCGCTGCTCTAAACCAAGTGTCCCCATCGCCCGATGCTGAACTGGATCTGAGTGTCGATGACATTGATCTCGGTGATTCAAAGGACGAGCATCACACACCTACTAATTCGTCCACAACCACCATCTTGAACGATGAAAAGAATCTAGCCCTGCATATACATGAACCTAACAGACGAGTAAGTCCTCATTACCGGATGTTGAGAAGGTTGGATCAACGACCAAAGGCTCTAAATTCTAACACATTCCCACAACAATGGTCGCTTAGACATCTGTCATCAGCATGTCCAAAATGTACAAGGAGTCACCATGGATGGGAGGTCGTGAAGGTAGTCACTGTCATCGTGTTGAGCCCTTGTTGGAGCAAGCAACTTTACAGTCACTCTTTTTGCCAAACTTTCCAAATCTAACCATTCCCTTCTCCAAACAATCCAATATACCAGGCCTGATTACCTTTGTCTGTGCTGCTGCCTCATTCATATCACCGCTAACTGCAAACATCTATTTCCCTGCACTGAACGACATTGCTACAGACTTGAACGTATCTGCCGCCACAGTCAATCTAACTGTCTCTGTATTCATGATCTTTCAAGCTACTGCCCCCTCTGTATGGGGGGCATACTCGGATCGTTATGGAAGGAGGACGATATACCTGTCGACGATGGCTGTTTATGTGGTTGCTTGTATTGCCTTGTCGCTCATTGATTCGTTCCCGTGGCTCATGGTGTTGAGGGTTGTGCAGGCTTGTGGATCTGCTTCTACTATTGCTGTTGGAGGTGAGTATATCAGGACGAGACATTCATAGTGTTTCATCTTCATCTTTTGATTGTTCTTTTTGAACGGGTTTGATGATCTTTAATTTAACATGTGGTTTTGATAGCTGGTACGATAGCTGATATATCCACGACGGCGAATCGAGGATCAAGAATGGGCTACTTTGGTGTAAGGGTGTTGCACTTTTGCTTCTTTAAACTTGGAGATTTCTGATATTCATGTCACACTTTGGATTATTTAGATGGGAATGCTGCTCGGTCCGGTCATTGGTCCAACGATTGGTCAGTAATGGCTATATGCAATTGATTGTGTTACGCGTGTTGAGTTTTTTCGCTCCATTTCTAGGTGGTGTAATCAGTCAATTCGCTGGCTGGCATAAAATATTCACCATGCTCGCCGTTCTGACAGTGTAAGAGACTTGTTTGAAGACTTGGCACATGACTCTCGTCTCATCGAGTTACCAAAGGTTTAACTCGGTTTATACCAATCTAGTGTGCTCATGATCTTGATATTCTTTTTTCTTCCTGAAACATTGCGCTCCATTGTCGGGAACGGCAAACAAGGAGTTGGATACTCCTTGATCGATATCCTCTTAAACAAGATTCGCAAAGCACCACCGCTACCCAAGGAACAGCTTTTTAAACCGGAAAACAAGCCGAAAAAGATGGTCAATCCATTGGCTCCTGCTCTTTTAATTTTGGATATTGAAGTGTTTTGTATCTTGTTTCACTCGAGTATGATCTTCTCGGTACGATTGGAGTTTCTTTCTGTTGGGGGTTAAGACGCAAAAAAATGCGTAATCGCTGATTGTTTATTCATGCAAGATTTCCTCCTCACGCTCTTCAAACACATAGGCATTCTATGCTGTAATCACTCCAATGAGTGAGCTGTATACCACCATTTACGGACTCACAACGTTCCAATCTGGATTGTGCTATATTGCAAACGGTATGGCTTCTCAGCAAGTCCCGTTGAGTACAGCGAAAACAGATACTGACGCTTTACGACCATTTAGGTCTTGGAAACGTTCTCGGCAGTGGACTAAATGGCCAGCTACTAGATTACAACCACAAGAGGACAAAAGCAAGCTTGAAAGAAGGAGAACCATTCCCCATTGAAAAATCAAGGCTTCAAACGGCTATATACCCCATGCTGCTTTTTGTGGCTTCCATCACGGCGTATGGCTGGATGCTGGAGTACGCTGCACCGTTGCCTGCTGTTTTGGCTCTTCAGTTTCTGAGTGAGTATGCTGATATTTATCTTTCAAGTCGAAGAAAGTTTCAGTGGTTTGGCTGAAGCTGAAAATCCCCAATCTCGTTCTAATCGTATTCTTTGCCAATAGTTGGATTGAGCACTAGTGGAAGCTTCAACTCTTACAACACGTTATTGGTTGATATACATCCTGGAAGATCTGCATCTGCGATAGCATCTAATAACTTGTTTAGATGTATCTGGTGTGTCCTTGTCTGTCGTTTTTTGAGCATTTGTCCACATTACTTAACTAACACACTCTCCTTTCTTACTACAGCGGTGCTATAGCGACAGCAGTAATATACCCCTGCATACGAGCAATAGGAAACGGATGGACAATGACGATTTTCGCATTGATTGTTTTGTCGTCGTCGGGATTGATTGCGCTAGTGTATGTAAAAGGAGCTGGATGGAGGCAAAAGAGATGGAAGAGGGAGTTGTTGCAGAAGGAAGCAGAGATGCAGAAGGCTGCTTTGGATGACAAGGAGTGAGGTTGAAGGCGGGTTTGTAGTGGGTATATAGAATTCAAAGAGGGAGCAAACACATAGGACATATGTACATAACAGATCTCATGCAAGTACTTTGTGCCTTTGTTGAGATTACTTTCGTATTCTGTGAATGTAGGCAAGCGTTGAAGTCTTTGGGATGGTTCAAGTGCTCGTCGCGTTTTGCTAGACGTGGCTTGCATAGTCCGGTGAATGATTAGAAGTCAATTATATGTCAGAAGTCATATATTTTTATAACAACATACTGCCAAATATTGCTGCGGAGTGCTGTAATTCAAATGTTCTGCTTAATTCACGTGAACTTTAAAAAGCGCAAGAAAACGAGCATCACCATACTGTGATCATATCTAAGTGTAAGTTACTCTAATCGTTGTGCTGAGCAAGAGACGGCTGTCTTGTCTTCCTCTCGCTACAAAGATATTGTCCTCCGATTTGTTGATCTGACTCTGACGTTAACTTTTACACTTCCTGTAGAAGACGCTTGTTTGATAATATCAAGTCGTAGCCCTATGTGCTAAATCACTGGGTGAATTAAGTGTAACGTGATGCCGACGTACGTGTGGAGTGTAAGTAACTAACTTTGCCTGTGTTTTCACTGATCGTCAAAGAGCGAAACTAACCTTTAACTTTGTCTCATAGGAAGAATAAGACTCTTCGCTGAAACACGCTGTATAAATCTACTATGTTGCTGTTGGTGCTGGTCGGTCGCGATCTCATATAATCTATTGTTGTCATGTTTGACTTCAAAGCACATGCCGTATAAACATCATGTACAGTAGAAACTAGAGGATAAGCCCCTTCCATTTTTGAACCCTTGAACTAGTTGATCATCATTGCGTCTTTCCTACATCACGAACTCTTACATTTCAATGTGAACACTACAAAGATGAATTATGGAGCTCAGTTCCAGCTCCCGTCTTTAGCCTACGAGGAGGAGCTACAGCAGCAGGAACAGCAGCCAAAGAAGAGGAAACGCTCCCTGTTCGTACCGACCAGCACGAGCAGCTCTCAAATAAAGAAACAGGAAGAAGATGTCGACGATCAAGTCAAGGAATCAGGAGACTCGAACGATTCATGTCCCATATGTTTGGGTGATTATGAGGACAAGACGTTGCTAGAAAACTGCTTTCGTGAGTCTTGTTGTCTGTCGAGCTTTGTTGATCATCAATGTTATCAAATGTTGGACAGGTGAACTTACAAAACTTCAACGATTATTTATATCATAGACGCATTCTGTTTCGCATGTATCGGACGCTGGGCACTCACGTCACTACGATGTCCGCTCTGCAAGTCAGCTTTCGATGTGGCAGTCCACAAAATCAAATCTATTGATCAATTCACGAGATTTGATTTCCGAAAGGCTAAAGAGAATGGGGATATCAGGATTGTGGAGTCATCTAGAAGGTACTTATAGCTGTGGTTTGGACGCTTGCGTTGGGTTTTTCATAAGTTGTGGAACAAATAATGACTAACACGGAATCCTTGTATGTAGTCAACCATGGAACTCTCAGTACGCCTTTCCCTGAATGTTCCCTTTTGTTCTTACATATGAAACTCATGGACAACCGTCCATTTCTCAAACAACAGTCTCAGACGTGACAGAATGCCAAGACGAGAACAGCGTTGGGGTCAACGCCAGACTCACCAAATAGATATCGCAAATGAAGCAGCAATGGAACGTCGTCGGGAGGTCTATAGATACAAACTTCGAGCTAGACATGTGCGAACTTCGGCACATTCCAAGTACAAAGAGCTTAGTGAGTTATGCAGTTTGTTGCGAAACAACGATGACTTTCACGTACAGGTCCCTTAGCTTCTTTTCTTTTCTCATTTTCGCTTTACTAGGTCCAGAATTATTTGCTGGTAAACCAGACCGCTTACAACGTCTAGTACCATGGATTCGTCGAGAACTTCGTGTGCTTTTACGAGACGATAATGTGGAAATGGTTAAAGATTATGTGCTGGCTGTGATGCAAAAGTAAGAGAAGTCATGTCTCGTTTTTTCCGCCGCTGTACGGTTTTTTTGCAAGCGATGCATTGATCTGTTGCAAAACACCTTCAAAATCTCTAATTACATTTTCCATATCCAGATTCGATCTACAATCAGACATGGCAATAGCCCTCCTAGCCGACTTTGTTTTTGAGGATGCCGAACTCTTTGTCCACGAACTGGTGGCCTTTGCATCTTCGCCATTCGATATTGAGGCATATGATGCTACTGTTCAGTATCCTTCCATAGTAAGCGAAAATCATTACCATCGTTGACTCTTGGTATTCTCAGACTGATTGTCCTCGGGTTTTTCTTGTCTCAGCCCGGCTCGAGAAACGAACATCCCGACAATAGCAGAGACCACACACGCCAAAACTCGATAACACGATCCGAATCTCGTTCCAGGTCTCCATCACGATCACGCTCACGGTCTCCTATCCATCCAAGCCGAAAAAGTGATGATCGTGTTGAACATAAAAGTGGTAATCGTCACGTTTCGAGCAGGCATCATGATAAGAGTCGAGGCAAGAAACGAAGGAGTGAGACCTCTGATAAGAAGAGAAAAAGGCTTGGTGATTATAAAGGTCGTATGCGACGAGATGAAGGACGTAAACATCCTCATGAATATAATGGTCATAGTAATGAGAACGGGAGTGAAAGGCCTGGACGTCATGAGGAAGACGAAGAGCATCGAGATGTGGCAGAGTCGATTTCAAGCCCCAAAGTCGAAGCATTGTTTAATACGAGTGATGTAAACAAGGCAGCATCACCGCCAATGACTACCTCAAACCATACTTTAGTCAACGAGCCAAGTACAGCACAAGCACAACCATCCATAACAGAAATCCTCACCGACAAATCACAATCCATAAACGCCAAACTCTCACAACGGCTACAAGAACTCAAATTCTCGCTCCCAGACCACGAGACAATCACATCACCAATCAACGAGGAGCCCAAACTAAACAGTCTCGAAGAGCTTATTCGTGCCAAACTAGCTCAAGAACGAGAGGTGTATATAGCACAGCTGCAGCCTGCAAAGAGTATTGTTGGGCTGGCTGCTACGAAGGGGCTTAGTATCAAGGGGAAGGGTTTGGTGATGCAGGACGAGGCATTGAGTCGAGGTGGTGTGGCTGATGCTAATGGGGGTGTAAAGACGACAATGTCCAATACGAATGGGTTGAGTATAACGACTCTTCCCAGACAACAAATCGACAACATGGAGCAGACACCGACAAGTAGTGGTGGAATCCAGAATGCTGAAACGCCAGTAGCGTTGACTCCTGCTCAGAAATTGCTAGACAAGCTACAGTCTGAGTTGAGGGCAAATCTCATGCGAGCGAAAAGGTCTTGACAAAACATATTTTTGTATCAAAAACATAAAGGCGTATACAAGTATATCAACCAAGACAAGGTGTTAAAAGTAATGTAATCTCTTTCCTAGTTTATATTGAGACCTTTACCTCCTTGCTACTCGCAAAGAATGTGGTGTTTGTTTGTACCTTTATACAAATTAAACCTCGCCTGTACTACCATACAAGCAGAAGAAAAGAAGAGTACAGAGCTTTTTCAAGACGATTCCTATTCTTTTCGTTTCTTTACTTTTCTGTATATACCATCACCCTCCTCCTCTAATGCTTTTCTTATGCAAGTCTAGCTCCAAGCAACATGGCAGACTCCCCACAGACCCTCCTCCCAGCTTCCTCATCATCAAATCCCAACAATTCAGCAAATGCATCAATAGATCCTTGAGTATCTTTTTCCAGTATCAATGATTTGAGTGCCTTCCCGACTACGGAATACATTATGGCGTCAAGTGAAGGAATCAAGATGATTTCCAAAGACTTGGATATGCTATTGCCACCATTATTATTACTAGTCTTATCGGGATTGACGACTGTTGGGTCTGAATCCGAGTCCTCGTCCATTGGATGGCCGTATAATATACCATTTGGACGGACGGCACATGCCAATGCTTTCAATATACGGCGAGAGTCCGTATATTCTGACCCGTCGTATGGAAGTAATAATGCAAGGAATCGTGTATGATGACTTTCTATTGTGTGAATGGTTTGTGGAGTTGTGGTGTGTAGGATTTTAAGGACGACATTTCCGAGGGCCCCTCGTCCTGACCCTCCGTGCTGTGGTTCTTCATACAAGTCGGAAGGACATCCATAGCTGCGATGCGTATAGGAGATATACCAAGGTGCGGATGCATTTTTGGGTGGCAGTAGTAATGATGCTAGGAAGGTGTTTCCAGTCAAATATATTATTTGAGCATCAAATTCAACTCGATATGAGGCGTGGGCTTCGAGAGATGACAAGTCGAATGACATTTGTTGACGACGAGCATCAATCCGCAAGTATTCTTCGGCGTATACACTTGGTTGTTCACCCACTGGCATGATGGTCCTCTTCCTACTAACGATGCTACCATTTAAAGACCCCTGTTTACGGAATCCTAGCGATGACATCTTCGATGGAAATGGCTGTTGTTGCTTTGGTTGGTGTTGTGCAGGTTGCTGTTGTGGTGATGAGGGATTGGAAGCGCTACTATTATTGAAACTATTATCTGTGTTCCTTAAAAGCTGAGAAGCGGCTTCTGCTGCTTTTATACGAGCTGCAATGGAGGGGTGTAGATCAGTAAAGTCGTCTTCTGATGGCGATTCCGATAACAGAGCTGAATTTGCTTTCACTGATTCAGCGCCTTCAACGTCGTCATTTGCAGCAAGTCCTTCACCACTCAATTTCTAGAAGACAGAAATATGAGAATGAGATTCATGAAGTGTTGTTTGTAGCATGATCATTGTTTTGCCAAGTTCTATTAACGGGATAGAAACGTCTTGAAGACGTACCGGAATATTGCTCCACCAATTCAATGATGGAACTAGAGGAATTTCGTCTGGCAAAGGAGATGGTGTTGGTGTTGCATCGGGAATGACAGGTTGGTCCAATAGGGGACGAAATGTTCGGACGGGTGGTGCTGTTGTCGAATTGTTATTATGTGCAGATGGTTGGTCTGTTATACCACCATTCATATTCTCCTTCGTCGGAAATGATGACATTTGTTGCTGCTGTCGTTGAGGTGGCGATGATGGTCGAGAGTCAAACATTCCGTCAGTATGATGAATCGGTGTATCCAACTATCGACAAGTAGAGTTGATAAACACAAAAAAATTCAGTATTTGTTGCATTCAGATGCTGCACTTGAACAATGATAAAAAGTCATCGTAACTTACAGACTCAACATGTCCCGATATGTAGTAAGGCGGCTGTGGTGATGATTGCATTCCTCCACTCATATATCCATTGGCATAGCCGTTTCCGTAGTCGCCATCATTACTCTCAGTGCTTTGAGTTGAAGGCCTTCTTTGAATAGAAGTGTCGAGCTGGTGGAAGGTTCGGAGACGTTGATTGAGTTAGACAGGTCGCAAAGCAAGAAAGAGAAGAACAGCACAAGCAAACACGAGGTGCTACTGCATATAGTCCCCAATGCGAACTTACTTGAACACCATTCTGGGCTGAAGGTGGTCGTGACGATGTAGCAACATCTGTACTTGACCTCTGTTGACTCGGAGGAATATACCTTCCAGAGTTAAACGTATCACCAAATCCAGGCATAGGTAGCCGAGTTGTATCCCACAACAAGAAGTTTGCTCTAGTCATCAATACCCGTACACGCCTGGTCTCTTCAGCGCCAGGGTCGGTAGAAGTGGTGTTTGTGACAATGATTTTGTGAGGGAGGCTTATGAATACGTATGTAAGGATGAGAGAGTCGAGTTCTGCGCTTGTTGGTGGGCGTGACCTGTCAGCTTTACCGAGTACTCCAAGGTGCGACACGAATTGGTAGAGGTTGATGTTTGAGTATTCGACATAGTAAATTGTAGCATTTTCGTCGTCCATATTATGTATGTATCTGTAGTATTAGTAGGAGGTTTGTGGGTGTTTGGCTCAAGTTGCAGTCTCCAGCAGCTAGCTTTGTGGATTAATGTCTTCTAATGAAGCGTGGTGAGTATATAGAGAAGGGAGGAGTGCACAATGTAGAATATCATGTACTGATATAGATGCATACTTGGAGAATGACTTGGTTAGAGGAATGGTCTCCCTAGAAAGAAAGCTATAAGCAATCGCGTCAGTCTTGAAAGAATTAGATGGCAATGCAAAGAGCGCAAGACAGTGGCTGACCTGATGATTTACGACGCGAGTGTACGCGACACGATGTCTCTCTCCTTTGTTACGAATGCATTCTTCTCCTTCTTTCTCGCTTCCTCACCCCAACTTTGGAAATTCATAGAATCCGACTTAGAAACAAAGTCAACCAAAGTTACATTAGAAAAGGACAAAGTCGTAGTAATATACATTCTTATATAGCATACTAATCATCTCGCCGCAATGGCAGCTGCTCCTGCGCGACAACCGACAAACCAATGGAATGATTTCAAGGATTACTATCTGTCACTGCCGAGGGTCCCAAGGAGTATCATCACTGCTACTGTTGTTGTATCGGTTACAGGCCTCTTTATCTCCCCGATGTGGTTGGTCTTCCACTTGCAGTCAATCACATCAAAATTCCAAGTACGTTCTTCAGATCCACTCTGTATTTCTTCTCGTCTAATCGCTCATACTCTCTCAATCTCGTCCTAGCTATGGCGATTGATCACTCCATTCTTCTTTGGTGGAAGGTCAATGGACACCCTATTCAACATATGTACATGTGTCATTGACTACTCACGTCCAAGAAAGACACTCACACTCTATTCATACACATAGACTTTTTATGGAATTACTCAAGTCAACTCAACTCGACTCTGTTTCTTGCTCGTGAAGCTGACTATGTCTACTTTATACTATTTGTCATGGCCAGTCTCAATGTAAGTGTCAGCACTTCCACCCTCAGTTTGCTCCCCCTTCTGACCCAAAGCGCGTTAAGGTGATGGCCATCTTCATGAAGCCATACATACTCACAGACGGTCTCGTAATGGCAATCGTCTACCTATGGTCTCAGATGAACAGAGAAACAACAGTGACTTTCATGTTTGGCTTCAAGTTCCCTGCCATCTATCTGCCATTCGTCCTAGTTGGCTGGGACTTGTTTACTAAGGGCGGTGGATTCCCGATCGTCAAAGTGATGGGCATTCTCGCGGGCCATTTATATTACTTCTTGGACAAGGTGTGGCCAGATCAGAATGGTGGAAGGAAGATACTAGTGACACCACAGTGGCTGGTTAATTACTTCCCACCGACACAGCCAAGTGTCGCTGGATTTACACCGCAAGGGTTTACTGTGACGACTCCTGTACGCCCAGGCACAGAGCCCTCTATAAGGCAACGTGGTTGGGGTAGAGGGCAGAGATTAGGAGAATAAATCATGCATGGTTTTGTAAGGCACTTGTGAGCTATATATAAATAGGTACAAACATTAGCATACAAAAAAAACTGTTGTTTACGCGGACAAAGTTATTTCGATGATGAACCCAACAAACAGTGTAAGATAAGAAACGATTTATTACAAATACTCGCTTAAATCCACCATTACTTTTTTCCAAAACCAAAAGACTTTGGATAACTGGTTTTGCAAACCAATTCGGCAGAGCACCGAAGGTCAAAGGAATTTACTTTTGCTACCTATGATACATACATTACCGCCGATATCACACTATGTCCAGCTTATCTCTCGCGTGCGAATGTGGTCATCTACCAAGACATCGGTGTCTGTGGTTGACAAAACGAGAGATTGTTAGTAAATTGCAAAAACACGGATAGAGTGAGATTACTATACCTGGAAGCATTGTCAGCTCTCGAGAACGACTTGTGGCAAGTCTCACAGGCAAACTTCTTCTCTCCTATAAGATTAAATGTGTTACCCAAAAAAAAAACTTAATGGGAACATAACACAGGTTCTGGAAACCGTACCTGCGTGAATCCGTTCATGCCTCTTCAAATCCGTATGTCGTTTAAAGCCACGACCGCAAAGATCGCACGTGAAGTCGACCGTTGTAGTGTGTACAATCATATGGCTCCGAAGATTCCATGCCCTAGTTTTGAAATAAATGAGAATAAGCAGGCTATCGTATTAACGACTGTGCCGATCTTCTTTTAGCGAGCATGGCTATGGACAAGAAAAATGAAAACTGCCCATATTTATCCACACTACAATACTCACTTAGAAAACGACTTTTCACAATGCGGACAATCCAAGCTCACAGTGCGACCATCCGAACGCCTTCTCTTACGTTTAGATATCTTGACAGATTTCTTCACGACTACCTCCTCGTCCTCGTCCTCCTCATCTTCTTCGTCTCCTTCGATATCTCCTTCTGCGTCCACCTTGTTAACCTCCTCATCAACAGGGGACGACATTCCACCTTCCAAAACCCTCGGATTCACAATTGTACTAATTGTCAGCTGCTCCCTCATATCACAGGATACAGATCGTGGTGGCGATGGATAACTAGTGTAGTCATACAATGGTTGCTGCTGTTGCGGCTCATCATCCCTTAACGTCGTGAATGATGCAACCGACACGTCACTGGAAGCCGCTTCACTTATAGGAGAGTTGATTCGAGCACCGTACTGCCCATCTGCAACATAATGATAGTTGCTGTATATTGGACGATGATATAACATGGCGATAGACTGCTGATATTGATAATGCGCATGCCACGACGAAAGAGGGTACTGGTATGGCGAGAGTATGTTGATCACTGGTGCGTGGGTATAATCGTGCTCTGCTTGCTGAAGCTGCATATTCAAGTAGTGTTGGTGATGAGAGCTATACGGCTTCTAAACATTGGATAATTTATGTTACTAGCTGTATTGTGCTTCAGCCTTCATTCGGGTCCACGAGAGCACATCGAAAAAAACGAGTCCCTTCACCAAAATCCGAGCATTCATTTCCGTAGATGGTATGGCTGCGCTGAAAAGGAGCAGCGACGACAGAGATGTGGACTTACCGTAGATGCATCCATTGCAGAGTGAGCGCTCACAAGTAGCTTGTTGAAGAAAGCGTAGCAAAGCTTTGTTATAGCTGCCGGTTGAAAACTAGCACTAATAAAACCCTTGTCTAGGCAAAGACCCCACAACCAAAGACCACCTATGCAACCACCCAAGACAGGTCAGACCAGAGCTGGCGACAACCGTGGATCGTCGTCCTTCTTTATCTAAGAGTGACAAAAGTAATTTTCCTAGAATGCTTTGCAGAAAATCTGGCTTTGGGGTTTGGATGTATGGACCCCACTTCAACCTGGATGACGGTAAATCTGTGGAGCAAGTTAGCACGTTAGCAAGAGCTCTTCGAAACGTGGGAAGTCACTTAAATCTATCTTATTATGTACTGCCATTACAAAGTAATTACCACATGCTATACTGATCAAAAAAAATATACGGTTGAGACTCTTTACGGGTTGCACTAATTTGGACGGCATTTATGCCTTGATGCATTATCTAAAACGATAAATAATATTGAGTGATTTGATATGGAGTATACAACTTTGTCTTAGAGTGCGTTTTTCACCTGTCCTTGCGAATCTGCGTCCACATTCTTCGCATCCGAATGGTTTGACTCCTACAGATGCAAAACGGGATGTAAGCACAGGCATGAAATGCATTTTCGGATTTGAAATTTGCGAACCTGTATGAATTCTTTCATGTCTGCGTAAATCGTTGGCTCGTTTAAAGCCTAAGAAAAGATCTCAAGCTTCAACAAAGAAAATCGAGTGATGAGAAACAATCAAAACATCTTTACCTCGACTGCAATGGTCGCATGTGTAATCCAACTCTCCACTATGCATAGCCAGGTGACTCTTTAAGTTCCATGCTCTATTGTAAGTTGGCAAGCACATGTCACTATTTTTTTCGGGAACTCTAATCAAACACACGACACGTACTTTACAAAACTCTTTTCACAAAATCCACAGGTGAACAATGATACACCATACGATGAATCCGGAGACTCTGGTGGTGTTGATGACTGTGATGCAGTACCAGCACTCGTATTCGATATCTTCCGTATGCTAAATGGCGATTCACTTGTCGCTGTTGGAGTTGGTGGTGGTGTCAGATACGAGTGTGCTTCCACACATTGATTGTTTTGGAGCTGTAATCCATTGTTGTATGTTGGCATGGTTTCCATGTAAGTGGTGTTGATTCTTATGTATAGATCCTCATGCTGATTCTGATGATTTTCGTATACTGGTTGTCGTGGAATGTATGGTGAATATTCGTTAGAGAATGCCCACGGAGAAACATATGTCGTGTCGGTAGGCGCTTGGTCAAAATGTTGCTGTGTTTGCTGGTTGTGGTGTTCTTCGGTCGGAAGTGCAGCAACAGTTTCTGGGCCGACATGATAATCGTCTTGAGGTTGATACATAAGCATCTAATACGTTATAAAAAGAATTGACTTAGTACACGATATCGTACCTGTCGTTAGCATCGCGTTATATGTTATCGGTTACTTTTAAGTTGCGTAGCAACGCAAAGCTAGAAAAAGTGCAAAGCTCCAGACACGCCTGTACGGAGCGCCAAACCAAAGGTGCTGAAGACTTACATTATCAGAATTATCACGATGAGCTGGAATAGCTTGCATTGTTTGCATGGTGACAAGTGATCCCGTTGTTGCGTCGCGTGTGTTCACAAATTGAACCACCAAAGCACGTCCCCTGTTGCCTGCGAAAAAACTTTCTCGCCTTCAGCCAGCCCAAAGGTTCAAAGCTAAACAAAGGAAACTAATATGCCGAAGGGTGCCGTTCAGAACGCCACTCTAGATAAAGTGGTACTCCAGGGCTAGCAATTTACTCAAAATGGGGGTGTCCAATTTTCAAACTATTGCCAAGAACAAGTAACATCTTTGTGTAAATATTTCCAGAAGCACATTTCTGGCAAACCCTACAAAATCCTACCTTCGGTACTTATCGGCCGTTCCATTTGTAGAAAGTGTCAAGCGTCGGCTCGCTCAGTATTCGTTACGAGCTTGCAATATTTTCTCAAAGCTTAACACGACTTAGTAAGAAAGAATCTCTTACGTCTGAGAAACCTTCCTGCAATCTCTTAACGACTGGAGTGCATCGACCAGTCTAGGTTCCTAACTATTCCAGTTGCAAGAAATTCCCCCTATCGATCGCAGGCGTCTGTCTATTAGATACGTTAAAATACGTCTCTGTTGGTTATCCTGCAAAGGACACGGCACCCTCCTGTCGTCCACAACGTAAAAACGTGGTAAACACCATCCAGAAACCAATCATCGAAAATGACAAAAATGCTTCTATAAACACCATATGGTGAATTCACAATGGAGTGCTTAAATACAGCATTTGGAATTTGTCGCGTGAAGTTCCTCAACATCCTATTTCGTTAATGTTTTTGGTTGAAACATTTCCCTGCAAAACCTCTACAACGAACGACGACCACCACTCCTAGATGTCGTTCCAGCCATAGTACCGCTTTCTGGCTTCTCAGCAAGCACTTCCTCACCACCACCACCTTTCGGCTTTCGTGCACTTCGCAGACTTCAGGTCATCACAACAGCAGTACTTCCCACACTAGTATTCGTAGACATAGCACTGATGGATCCAGCACTTGATACTTCATCCTTCATCTCACTTTTCGGATCTTCAATCATTGCTTCACTACTCGTAGCAACAACAAGAGGAGCTTCATCAAACTGTTCTTCTGTTTCTTCAACAACACCACCAGATACCATAACACCAATAGCAATCCCAGGACTATCAATATAATATCTCCAATTCTTTTGTGCCACTGGTATAGGCTTGGTGCCTGTTCGTGTAGATGTATATGGTCGTGGTTTTTGTTGTTCGTGTTGTGAGTATCGGGGGTTGGTTTGCTTCTTTGCATCGTTCATAGTGTTGGGATATATGAGCTGATATGGTTGTGTGTGGTGTGTTTCCTCTGTGTGTTGTTGGGAGATCAATGAGTCTCTTTATGGTAGAGTTGATTGTGAACATACTGGAGAGGTTCCAACTTGTTGCTTTAGATGAAATCAGCCAGTTCTAACGGTTTGCATCGGTATCAGTATAAATAACAATACAATGACGAAACCGTCATATCTTTTCAGCCATACCGTTGGCAGTCGAAGGTATGTTACCATTCATGATCAAACTCTTGATCACAATAAGAAAAACCTTGTAACCAGCATCTTCAGCATCTCCAACATTCACAGAACCAGAATAATTAACGATACAAAAGCGCGACAAGAATGTGTCTTTTCAGATACACATTTCGAGATCGACCTTTTCGCAGTTGATGGCGTCCGGGGATGCAGACCGTCCAGGAGCTTGGAAATTTTGCACGTGAGAATTAGATCCCAAAGGTGACGACAGTAAAGCTGATCTGAAACGGTTTAAACAAGCTCCAGTCAGTAAAGCACGACTTCAAAATATGACAAAAGCTTGATGCATACACTCCATTGGAGGGCCTAGAAATAAGCTGCGCGACTTGCCTTATTTTCATCTTTACTCGGAGGAGTCAGACACGTAAAACACCAGTTTCTTCAAGACCCGCGAGTGTAATAATAAATCTATACATTTATGTCTAAATAGTCATGCAACTATCCCACAAGTCAAGTCAGTCTTGACGCTTCTTGACAGTTCTACGAACAGGCCGAGCACTTTTACTACTTTTTCGATGGGTGACAGACACACAAACAGGCAATCCAAAATAAAATTTCAAGTCCACGTCCGTTCTTCCAAGAATCAGTGCTCTCATGTGTTGATAAACACAGATTCCAGAATAGATGGAGACAGCTGTCAGCAGATGCCAGCTTTGTTGTTGACAAATAAATGACTTTAAGTAAGAAACTTCCTTTTCGACAAGAATCCCTAGTGTCTTACTATGCGTGGAATTCACTAAAGACTCGGAGCGGATATCCAACTTCAGCCCTCCAGTCTCGTAAGACGGAACATTGAGTATTATCCACAATCCACAACGCGAATCTGTTCAAAGAATTAGTCGACTTGAACCCTTACGCACTCGGGACCCCAAAATATATACACTCACGCAAAAGCAAAAGCCCCAATACTAGTTGCAAACAACCAGCCCAGCCTTGTTGCCTCTTTCAGATGTGTATTGGCTAGTCTCCGTATATAAAATATAGGAGCGATAGCAGCAATCATGAGTTCGGCAAAGAAGGCCACAGCAAAGACTAAGAAATTCCGGGTAGTTAAATACCAAACTGTAATTACGGCACAGAATAATGTGATTGAGATGGCTAGGATTGCTGAATGTCGTTCTGGAGGCCACATTTGTAAGGTGCAGTATACGAAAGCTGCCATTCCGTAGACCTGATAAAAATCAATAAGTGATACATGAGTGGGAGACTCGTTACAAATGCAACTATTTACTACCATTGGAAGTTCATCAGCCAATTGGAATTCGTACAGCAGTGTTCCGTGAAATAGCGTAGAGCCAGCTCCAACGATCCCCTAGTATTTTCAGCAGAATCGTATGAATACTGAGAGTTGTTTCACGCATTTTTTTATTCGCTGCAGCATCTATTGAATCTTGGGGAAATCCTCACCAGAGATAAATAAGCCGTCACAAACCTCCACTCGCTTTTACACGCTCTACACGAATACAGTCCAATGGCAACGAATACAAAAAAGACCATATTGGATATGGCATTCCCTGAGAAGAGAAGAAATTTCATATCAGCCGACGAATCAATTATCATGTAATGGACGTGGCAAACGACCAGGAAAGTCAGCACTGACAGTATTCAGCAACGTAAAACGAAACAATGTAATTCTCTTCACACCAGTCCACAGTGCTCGTCACGACGCCATGATATCCAATTATCGGCGAAACTTCAGCTGGAGTCAGGCCCATTCTAATGAATTGTAGGAGGGTGATTTAGTTTGTAAGAGAGGCTATTCTGAGTTTTGATGTCGGCGAGCAGACCCCCCGAAAACGTCCAAAAAGAGGCAGACAAAATTATTCAGATCTTCAAAACCTCGTTTAGCGAAAATCCCATACATTTCTGCAGCAAGCTTGTAATGCATCACTCTCGTTTACCATCGCGATTCTCACAATCTACACACCTTGCTCAACGACACAAGCAAGGGAGCTACAAATCCGTGTATCAGATTAAGACGCTCAGATTAAGCGTCAATGCTAGAACTGCCTTATTTCGTCAAAGCTCAAAATGTAGAGAATGTTTGGATATATGGACAGTGTATGGTGAAACTGTAGAAGAAGATGTCGTTCAGCTCTGTTTATCCGCTGTTTATCACTGTTCCAAGTCTGACCAAACCAATTCAATCTGGGAATATAGAATGTCGGAATGTCGGAAGGAATCTCGAATTGAAGCACATTTCGCATACGTCGAAACCGTATGTGAGAAACAAATTTGTTTATATAGCTATAGCACACACCGATACCTTCTAAAAGAGGAGACGAACAACAAAACCACATAAAAAGACACCATAACACTTTTTTCTGTTTCCCTTACAAACCCACACCCAATCATGCGTCATATCCATTCTCTCCTCCCGTTTCTTCTTTTATCACATCGTCCTCATGATGTCGACCATTAAGTTCTTCAACCTTGTTGGGTGACGATTCTACTTGAGTGATAACTGATGCCATTACACGGTGCAGACGTCGAGCAGCTCTGAATTGACCAGAACGTTCAAGGACACTCATATGTAGGTTTATAGCTTGTCGAGCAGTTGCTACGTGGCTCGGATTCGTGGATGATTTGGCTACCAAGAGATGTACAAGTCCAGTCTAATTGTTCAGTGAAGAGGTTTGGTTAGGAATGGACTAATGGACAACCTCGACCTCTTCTTTTTAACTGCAGATCATAGGAGGCGAAAAAAAAAGATAGTGAACAGATTGGTACTCACTTGAATCACACAAACAAACTGATACGGAGATCCATTAATAAATTTTCCATCTTGCATAGAGGTAATCCACTCAATAGCCCTGGTAGCGTCAACAGCGGCTACCCTACACGCCTCAAAAGACACACTGCTAACCGTGTTCGTTTTCAAATCCTTCACGGCATGCGGTCGATGCAATGTACAGACACAAGTAGCATAATACAACCACAAGAAGGCAACATCCCACTGTAAATCTTGTGGGAGCGGAGCATGTGGCGATGGTGGTAGCAAATGAGGAGGGACTCGTGATCTCCATCTAAATAGTTGGGCATCCAAGTCTGCTAAATCTCTTGAGTTTATATCGTCGGCTGTGTCCGCATCACCGCCCAACATGAAGAAGGGTGCTGATGCTGATGACGAGGCCGATAATGATTTACCATTCGTCAAGGGCTCATTACTGTTACTGTTGTTTTCAGACGCGATGGTGGCCGCTGTTTGAGCTTGCTGTTTCCCAACATGACCTAGAATACGACCCATCACTCGAGACAGGCTTATGATTTGAGTTATGGTATGTTTGGTATTAGGTGGCGCGATTCCTTCCGTGATTAGTCCACCATGTTCGGAAAAGCCAGCAGGTGGATTTGGATCATTAGGTTGTGTTGCTTCCCATGCTGCTTCTACACTAGGCAATGGTACTTGGGCGACTTCGTATTCTTTTAGTAGACTAGGTCGGTCGGCGAATGCAGATGTCAGTCGATCAATTATAAAATCTGCCCATGCAATGCGTCGGCATCGTTCACGAATCCACCACGGGAGATGCACGGGATATCTGGCCGTGAAGAGACCCAGTCCTTGTGACATGCGTATGGCCATTCCTGAGTACATCCATGCCAATGATGCTAATCGTGGATAATGTGGATTTAGTGTCTGGCAGGCCAAAAAAAATGATGTCGATGGTAGACGTTCCCGGATTCACTCTTCAGTAATAACTCACATTCACCCATATGTCCAGTATACTCTACCAACAGATGAAAAGCGTTCACAGTATCTAATGAAGGCCGTTCCAAGAACCGAGGCATCAGTGATCGAGCTCGAGCATAGAATGCTTCGGATCCATTCCATCCTATTGGCAGCGCTGGTGGCTCATGACCTGTGAATGGCCGTTCAAGATACGCTATAGCACATATACAATTCAATAGGAATGGCGAGAATCGAGTCAAGTCTGTGGGAATCATGTTTTTGTTGACTCCACAGACGGTGAGCTTAATTTCGTAGAGATGCTAAAGCGAGAATGAGTTGAGCCCTGAATGATGCAGAATGAGATGCATATTTAGAAGTGACTAGTGAATATACCTCGAAAAAGTAATCCAAAACATTTTGATAGACCTCCAATGGCAAGTCCAACTCGATAGGTCCATCATCAAGACCTCTTGGAATAGGTATACTCCTTTCGCCCATGATTCCAGCTTCATCGACATCTCCTCCTCGTCTCTTTTTACGTTTACGACTCGGTGCCTCAGCGTCAAGTAATTGTGGCCCTTCCTGATCTGTTTCGAGAAACCATATGATTTCTAACATCTCAGATACGACCTGATTATGTCTCGGCGACATCAAGTCGGCAACGTTGGCATTCATGGGTGGAAGAAGCGATGGATTATTGTCTTTGGACGGAAAGTACAATACGGTCGGATGAGATATAACCGGTGGTCTTAACGTGAAGGTTTGTTCTGACATAGCGGCCGCACGTACTAGTTGATTAAGCGGTGATGCGTCAGCTCCTGAAGATTTTCGTCTGCTATTGCTATTATTGTTGGTGGCTGTTGATGCTACACCGCCACTGGCTTGTATAGTATTTGACAGTAGCTCGAGACCTCCTTCATCTCGTAGCATATTGAGTGCTTCAGGACCTTGCTCCAATATCGTTTTCAGCTGTAGGATGAGCTCCTGTACTCTTAGTTTCAAGGCAGCAGCTGGTGATGATTTCGGGCCTCGACGTCTTTGGACTCTGCCATATGTACACTGATCTCCTACCCCACGTTCCGAGCATGTTGCGCATGTAGGTTTGGCTCCATCACATCTGACTTTACGTCTGGAGCAATAGTCGCAAGCCTTTTTGTGGTTTTGGTGGAAGAGTTAGAAACGTTTATGGATCACACCGGCACGGTTAAGTAGCGAGACCAGCTGTATGATTACCTGAGTGGCGTGCTTCCTTTTCCTGCCATTTGCAGTAAGGGCTGAAGCAGGTTGGGTTGTTTGTCTCCTACTACCGCTACCTGTATTGTTATTGGAGCTTTTCCCGTTGCCATTAAACATCATGGCCGGGTATCCTTGTTGAGCATATTCAAAGTCGTCGTTTCCGGTCTGGTAATTATATAGATAAGGATCAGGAGAATCTTCGAGCTGCTGTTGATGATTCACTTGATGATGATGATTCAGATATGGGCCCCCATCGTCGGGCGAGTCCTCGGTTGATGTTGGAGGCGAGTATTCCATCTATATTGCATTGGCAGTAAGCTCCCAAGACTTCTGTAACGCTTGGTTTTCGTTGTCACGTTCAGATGACAAACTTTTCACGTAAACGACTTTTACTCGGGTAAAATGGCAGTGAGGAAGATATCAACAATGGTATGAGACCTACCCTTCTTTGGCCACTCCTCCTTGAACCCAAAGCGATACGCTACCTCTGTTTTTGTTTGTTTTAAACACCTCTGCTTTTTGTAATACAGCACTTCCAGGAAAGGTTAAAGATCAGGATGAACATTTGCAAAAGACCCATATCGCAACGAGTGTCTTGAAATGTTGACACTTTTGGCCAAAAAATCGCCAATAAATCGAACTATCAACCTTGGTCCGGACCATCCAACGACGTTGAGCCCATTTTCCGGTTTTGGGCTATGTAAACAATGTATCTATGTACAAACGATCGCAAATCATAGAATCTCACAATTCTACGTAATGTAACCTCCCTGTTAGATCCAATGCCTCAAAATCGCAGTAAAAGACAATGGCGTCTATCCGTTCAACACTATTTTTCAGTCTTCCAGCCTTAGGGATTCGTCCTACTTCCTCAAATCCATACGATCTCCAAAGCCTTACAGAGGCGGTATTGTTCTCAAAGACCAGATTGAAGACAGAAGACAGATATCCAAGCTTCGGGGCTAGTATCAGAAAGGCTTCACATAGCACCTTGCCTATACCCAGATTTCGGAACTCTGGCATGACCAGGAAACCCGCATTACAAATGTGGCTGCATCGTCCTGGATACTATGTGACAAAGGAGTACAGCGTTATTGAAGCATCATACGAGGCTTCGACAGAGAGACTGCGATTTGGGGCAGCGCAACCACTTGAACATATAAAGCAAGAATCTTACATTGGGTTTGACGTAAAAAGTTCCAAGAACCGCCTGGTCAGAGTCTCGTATTAACACGAAAGCGTCATACGACAAGAAGTAGGCCTGTGATGCAACGATATCGATGAGATCCATCTTCTTGGTGTTCATTGCGCCCAAATCCATAATAAGGTCACCTCGAACTGAGCTCTATCTATGAACAAACACGTCGTTGTCAGCTTAAATGTTGGAAAGTATAATAGCTTTGGTCAGTAGCTACAACACGTTTACCTAGACCGTTTTCCTGAGGATAAGTCGATCCGTTAAGGATTTCTAGATTCAGTAAGCCTCTCAAGGTTTCCACTAGATCGTTGTTCGATTTGTCAACTGAAACAAGCTTCGTTGTCGCATTGGTTGTCGGTAATTTAGCAACAAGAGGCAGAGGAAGTGGATCCAAAGTGCTGGCTGCTGGACGACTGATAGCTCCGTAAGCAGAGCTCATATCGATATACAAGCGACCGGTATTCTGAAAACTGTGAAAGTTTGGAAATTTCAAGATGGAGCGCACTGGTGAGGAAAGGAGACTAGATGCTTCAGAAAAACGTCAAGGTATGTGTTGATTAGACTTTGAAATTTATGTTGCCTTGTTTCTTTTTGCTTGACACTGGTGTAAAGCACGTCATCACATCCCGATCGACATTGGTGCTAACAACTTTTACCTTCTTCTTGCCTCTAATAGAGCATTGGCGACGCTTTGGACCGTATCTAAGCGAGCGACAGTGGGCTACTGTCAGGTATCATTGCACCGGCCAAATCACGTCAACTCTAGTATTTGACACCACAAACCCACTAACAGAGAGGACTACAGCTACAATGGCGATGTTTGGAGGAGCTTCCCGTTCGAGATCTCACACTTGAGAGCTTATCGATGGGTATGGTTGCTAAATTGTTACCTGGACTTTCAACGGGTGTCAAAACGCTTCTGCACTGTAGGGAGAAGATGGCATAGCAGGCATATCAGACAATCACCAAAGGATATGCATGTCTTTGGCGTTATGGAATGGCAAAGATTCGATTTTGAAGGAGAGATTGTTTGGTCTTACTGGTCCGCAAGGCAATCACGGTGAAGATGTAAAAGAATCGTACTTTTACGTGGACAATACGCCGACGCATAGCTGTAAGCCTTGCGGTAACACAATTGCAGTTTCATCCTGCTTGCACTCCTTTCACACTGCTTGGACTGTTTTCATCACAATCCATTGCTAAACTATGACAAATAATATTCACATAGACCAGAAATATCTTTATAAATATCCACAGAAACGATTCCCGTATGAACAACTCGTGTCGGAAAATGCAAAACGTTCTCGTAATGAACGTGAATATGAACTTCACCACACCGGTGTATTTGACGCAGGAGACTATTTTGACGCTTTTGTCGAATACGCCAAAGCATCAACGGACGATATATTGATGAAGATCACCATACATAATCGTGGTGACGAAGATGCAGACATCCACGTCTTGCCTCACGTGTGGTATCGGAATGTATGGTCTTGGAAGGATCCAAGTATGAAAGATTTCATACGGCCTCGAATGGAGGAACGTCCAGCAGTAAATGGTAACAAGTCTGTACACTTACAGTACCCTCATTTCGATCAACATGTACATTTTGCACCGTTGGATAACGGAGTGCAACCTGAGTTGCTGTTTTGTGAGAACGAAACGAACTATGAGAAACTGTATGGTGGAAACAACCAGTCTCCGTATTGTAAAGATGCCATAAACGAACGTGTAGTACATGATAATGGCAATGCCGTCAATCCAAACAAGTTTGGGACCAAATGTGCAGCATGGTATAAAGCTACTGTCCCAAAAGGTCAGGCAATCACCATCCGCGTACTGCTGACACCATCTCGTGACGACGCTGGAATGCTACGTCCCAAAGCCTTTGAAGATATGTTTACAAAGAGGATCAAAGAAGCCGATGAATTCTACGAACGTATTGCGCCACAACACTTGTCGAACGAAATGAGAAGTGTGCAACGACAAGCCTTTGCAGGATTGCTATGGAGCAAGCAATTCTATCATTATAATGTGGAGGAATGGCTCAACGGTGATCCTGGACAACCAATGCCACCGAAAGAACGAAAATATGGTCGAAACAAGGACTGGCGACACGTTGTTATTGATGATATCTTACTCATGCCTGATAAATGGGAATACCCGTTCTTTGCTAACTGGGATTCTGGGTTTCATGCTGTCATTATGGCCATGGTTGATCCATGGTTTGCAAAGAAGCAGTTGGAGTTGATGACGAGAGAGTGGTATTTGCATCCAAGTGAGTTGCTCGTTATGTTTGTTATGTGTGCGTCGTGTCGAGCAGTTACTTATCCCGAACCTTTCGAATACAGATGGCCAGATGCCAGCTTACGAGTAAGAGTCACTGCTTGACATTCGTAATAGCTGCACATTTTCTTTGACATTTTTTCTCCTCAGATGGAACTTCAATGACCTCAATCCGCCAGTTTATGGATGGGCAGCGTTCCGAGTCTTCAAGATTGAGAGTGAGTATTTAGTCAAAGAGGTTTATCGACCAAAAAGTCGATTTGCAGAAGCTACTATACTCTATCTGAACTTCATTCACCATCCCATATCTTTGTTTTAGGAAAAATGTATGGAAAAGAGGATCGAGTCTTCTTGGAACGAGTCTTCCACAAGTTGCTGCTGAATTTCACCTATTGGATCAACAAGAAAGATCCCGCGGGACTCAATGTCTTTGAAGGTTGGAAAAAAATTGAGTTTCATTCGCTGAAGCAGTCAGAGATAACGTCTTTTGTTTTGTTTAGGTGGTTTTCTTGGACTCGACAACATTGCCGTCTTCAATCGCTCAGAAGCCTTGCCAGTCAATGCCTCGCTACGACAATCAGATGGAACGAGTTGGATGGCCATGTACTGTCTCAACATGCTTGAGATTTCACTCAAGTAGGACGAAAAACCTTTAGTGTTGTAACTTGGAGCAACTTTTGACTCATCGATCTAACTAGGTTGGCTGAAGAGAATCCAGTTTATGAGGATATGGCTTCCAAGTTCTTTGAGCACTTCTTGTACATCAGGTATATCCAGCAGAATTTGAAGCTCTTTTTTTGTTGCCTTCTCACCTCCTTCTGATTTTTGTAGTAAAGCGATGAACTTTGAAACGTTTCCAGACTCTGATAATCCAGAGAGCAATTCGTTGTGGGACGAAGAAGATGGGTAAGTCCCAATTTCTGAAGAGTTTCTCATCTGCAGACGTCTAATTAACCTTTTCCGCAAACTCATAGTTTCTATTATGATGCTCTCGTATCTACAGATCAGAAAATCACTCCGTTGAAAGTTCGTTCTTTGGTCGGATTAATACCTTTGTACCCATGTCTAGTACTTGAACCAGAAGTGTTGACTAGATTTACTGGGTTTTCCACTCGTATGAAATGGTATAACAAGCTTGCAATGCATGAAATTCGGTATCAGGTTATTTGACGACATTGTCGTTTAGGTTTTTGGAACACTGGGACTTTTCGAAACGAAATGGTATTAACATCTGCTATTTTCCGGGATTTTGTTGGTTCATGTTAACACTTTCATTTGCCTGTAGTTGTGATCACAACTGAAAACGGACAGGCAAATCGTGTATTACTTGCTCTTGTGGATCGTGAAAAGCTCGTACGAATCTGCAACAAGATGTTTGATGAGCAAGAGTTCTTGAGTAAACATGGTATTCGAAGGTAAGGAATTCAACTTAATTCATGCTTCGTTTGATTTTAACTTTCTTTGGTCGTCTGTCGATGTACCAACACAAATCGTTTCAAAGCTTGTCTTTGTACCATGACAAGAATCCGTATACATTCTGGGTGGATTCAACCCCTCATACGGTGAAATATGTGCCTGGTGAATCTGATAGTGCTCTCTTTGGTAAGGTTCATTCATTATATGAAATCCTTCGTGCCGTTGTTAATGAGGTTTTTCTCGCGCATCTCATCGTTAGGTGGAAACTCAAACTGGCGAGGTCCTCTATGGCTCCCTACTACCTTTTTGCTGATAGAGAGTTTGCAGAGGTGAAGCAAACACACAAGCAAACTTTTCAAAAAGTACAGATTTCTCAACTCTCAATGTGCAGATTTCATCATTTCTATGGCGAATCAGTCCAAGTGGAAGTCCCATCAGGCTCTGGATTTAAATTCGATCTTTGGCAAGCATCGCAAGACATTCAGCATCGAATCATACGTCTGTTCCTTCACAACAAGGAAGGACGAAGGCCAGTTAATGCTGATTGTGACGTGATGAATTTCGATCCGCACTTTTCGGAATATGTGCAGTTTTGGGAGTACTTTCATGGTGAAACTGGTGAAGGGCTTGGAGCGTCTGTGAGTACATTATGCTTGTCCACAATCCGGTATTTTTTGTCTGACTTTCATTGTATCTTTCCGCAGCATCAAACAGGTTTTTACAATCTACTGAGGATGGTCATCGAATAGCACCATGCTAATTCTGTCTTTTTTATATCAACTTTTATAGGATGGTCAAGTCTTGTGGCGAAATGTATCCAGCAAGTTGGCATAACTTGTGATACGACTGGCTATTGTATGCCAGAACAGTCTCCTCATTGGGACGAATACATCAAGAAGAAACGTGAAGCTGCAATTGCACTTCACGAAAAAGAGCACTTGCAATATACGAAATGAAACGGTTTGTTTATAAATTAGAACAGTCGCGATATGAAACAAGAGAGTTTGCATCATCATTGTCGTGGTCTTAATTTCCGTAGTATTTGTGTTTCGAAATGGTTTGTGTGGAGGCCTTTATTGTTGCCAAGGGTAGGTCTGAACTTACCATATCAAGCACCAGAAGGATTTCCTCTTCGTCTCCAATCACTATAACCATCAAAACGTAGTTGCTGAGTACGCCCATGTCCACTATGCACCTATAGATGATGGAGTGCAGCCTCGAGCTACTTTAGTGTCAGAATGACACGAATTACGAGAATCAGCATAGTGGAATCAGCCCAGTTTCTTACTGTACAAGTGGTAGCACGAACGCGTTTTGTATTCCAATGCTGACAGTCATGTTGGTTCCTGTTGGATCAACACGAAAGATACCGCCGAGCTCATGACTATGGAGGTATGAAACTCGCATCTTTATTTCGCGGTATCAACTCCACTTCTGACTTTTGGGTTGGTTTAGGAGCTTTCCTTCGACTCGACAGCATCGTATCATACACCTGTTCCGCCACAACAAGGCATGACGAATGCCTGTTAATGCTGATTGCATCGTGACGAACTTTGATTCGTATTCTGCGGTCATATGTGCTTTGGGAGTACCTTAATAAGCTGATCCGGGACTTTTAGCTTTTGTGGTTACGGTTTCCTTTCACTTATCTGACGATTCATTTTGTGGTTTGACGTCTTAAAGGCATAAGATTGGTTTTTATAGGCGAGCTACTGTGTCCGCATAAGGGAACTCCAGTTTCCTGATACATCTTTGTCGTACGGACCTTCACACCAGGCCTTCTCGCCAAATCCAGCATGTCGTGGTAACTTGTAAAAAGATTGGCTACGGTATGTCAGAACAATTGTCTCATTGGGATGACTGTTATATGTCAATGTCAATTGCACTTCGCCAGCAAGAGCACGTCATTTGAACATCGGCCAGTTTGGGCTACTTTGGACTATTGCTTGCATCAGCACTTGAACGGTGAAAGATGGAAGCTGTTAATTGTAACGGCTGTTGATGTGTAGTGGTTTGCGTTCCGATAAGGTAATCAGTACCTGGTCTTTCCGGGGAGCTCGAGCCTTACGCTAGATAAAAGCCAAAGCCGCATTAGGACAAGGCGTCCGTTGACCACTATAAAAACCAACGGGTATATTCCTTGGAGGGCTCTCGAGCCGGCATATGTTAGCTTCTTGGGGTTCAACTAGTTGGCAGGCGTTCCAGCCCAATTTTTTTGTGGTTTAACAAACTGAAATTGTGTTTAGATAAAGGAGGGAAGAAACGGAATCACGCTCTTGGAAACCATAAGTTTTTGAAGTCTTTATGAGTGCCTCGGTGTCAGAGATGAAGCCAGCACAAACGGAATCTTATTGTCAAAGAAGCACTCAAGTAACTCCCTTTTTGATATACAGTTTCCATCACCTAAATGCCTAGTCAGTTCAAGTGGAGCTCTTTTCGGGTTCTGGATCTAAATTTCATCTTTGGCACGCATCTGAGGACATCCAGCATCGCATCATTCACTCGTACCTCTACGAGAAGGGAGTTGAATGCCGTTTATAGCTGATTAGAGCGAGATCATTCATGATATTTACTTTCCGCAATTTTTACCCTTTTGGGAGTGCTTTTGTCGTGGAGGGAGTAAACGACTTGGCTCGTCAGTGAGGAGAATCAGCACACGCAAGATAAGCAGGTTGAGCATCGCTTTGCACCAGCACGTGGAAAATGGAAATATCAACAGTGTAAGTATCAATCATGTGTTATAACTTTACCTTCAAACAATGAGTGGTTTACTTCTCGTAACTCAACATCGTCACCTTGAGTTTTTTTGCACCGCTACGTTTTTGTAGGGAGCTGTGAAATGTATCATGATCATCCGAATCCTTGCTCTTTGTCTGACTTGCGTCTTTGATCCCGCTGAACTGTTCTGGAGTTTTGCCTTCAACCTCTCGGATGTTGTTCTTGTGAGAGCTTATGTAATCACCGTGATTTGCTTTCTAACAGCGACACTTCGGAAGCAACTTACCAAGGATAACTAGGCTTGAGAAGTGTGCTCAGGCGTGATCTAATGTCGATATAAGTGGCAGCTGCCTTGTCGCAACCGACACAATTCTTGAGTCGTTGAATGTTCGGCGCAGTAAGTTTTCAGACATTCAAGCAACCAGAGTTTATGACCAGCTAACCAATTGATCTTCCATTGTACCATTGATTTATTTACAAGATGTCTCGAATACTGCCGCTACTATCGCTAGTCTTCTTAATCGTGCTGATCTTACTATCATCACATGTTAACGCACAAAGTGCTCTACCAGCCCGAGCATCTCCCAACGCTTCTCCAACAGCAACAGTCAACCTGACATGCTCTTCTGATGCTGATTGTGCCGGAATAAGTGCTGCTACATGGGTGTGTCGAGCATCTGTATGTACTTTTAGTAGTGCTGCATCTTCTGGGATGAGTAGTGGAGGAATCACTATTGGAAGTCTAACGCTGCCGATATGGGTACGTAGGAATATCGTTTGTATCTTATGCGGTGTGGTTTCTTTCGAACAACTTGTCTAAAATCGATCTCCTAGTAGGCTGTTGCTGTTGCAGCTACAACAATTGGACTCATAGTAATTGGAGTGCCTGTACTACTCTGCTTCCGTCGAGGCTTGCTTTGTTTTGCTGAGGCTCCTGGGGACGATGATAAAGAGGAAGACGACGATGACGATGTGAAGGACAACAACAACGATGATGAAGACGAGGAATCACAGAGCCCTCGAAGTAGGAGACGAAGGCATGACAGAGACAATGACTCGAAATATCAAGATATGCGTAAAGTGAGAAGACCTGATATGATGATGGACGATAATGGGTTTCCTCTTCCCCCACCGTTTTCCGCCAATAATATGATGAATTCGTATGGTGGTCAAACGAGTGGAATGATGCCACCGTATGAAAGTCCACCGAATTACAGTAGTCCTCCTCGTGGAATGCAGCAACAAATGGGATTGTATAAAGTCGATCCATATAGGATGCCCGAACCACCTCTAGCTGCACGTAAACGAGGTGATAGGAGAAATAACGACCCTTATATCAACACTACTTATAAAGACCCATCAGTATTCGAGGACAATCTATATGATGATCCATTCGCTGTCGAGAACAGCTACAATGACAACCCATACGCAAATACAGGATACCAGCAACCACAACCACCACAACCACAGGCTCCTTATTATAATATCCCGCCCCCATTCTTCAAGCCACCTAGTAATCAACGGTCTAAACCCCGGTACGAAACTCAGCAAACCGTTACCGCATATGGCGCAGACTCTGATTCAGAGCACAGCTGGAAACGACCTCCTCCTAGGGAAAGGTCTTTTGATCGTGGTGGCGCGGGTCAAACTATGGTTCAAGGTCCACGTGGATTTGAGCGTCCGAGGAACTATACTAGTGGTCGAAATGATGGTACAGATCGTAGTGTTGGTGGCAGCGGCGGAAGAAGAGGAGGCAGGCCTCCTACAGAATATGAGGATCCACGTGATTATGGTGGACCACCGATGCGTGGAGCTCCACGACAGCGATTTTGATTAGTTTTAGTCTTATTTTAATTCTTTCTAATTTCGGTAGTATCGATTGTATCCATGATCTCATGTTCGCGTGTAAAAGTGTAGAATAAATTTATTGGGAGGTTTGAAAGAGCGTGATTAGGTCTGGTTGTTTTTGTTAAGTGAGCTTTGTCAAAACTACAAAACATCAACTTTACGACTTTACGTTTGACGACTCTGGTGCATCCTATTAACTAGACAGGGAAGAAGAGCTATTAAGCCATAAACGCATGTCGTATTATGTGTCCCCACAAGCTGCTAGATACAAAGTTCGTACCCGCATCTCATATACACTTCGAGACCAAGAAGCTTCCCCACTTCACACATCGGGTATCAATGGACTAGCCCTCGACCTGACATCTGTCGACTCTACCAGTAGTAATAATAATCAGGGAATCCTATACACGGCATCTCGAGACGCTACAATCAATTCATGGGATTTACATCTGGACTTGTCCTCAACTTCGCCCACTGGGAGCGCTGGCAGCACGGGAAGAAGAGCTTCCGTGCCCCACGAGTTTAGATTCAGATCTAGAAGGCGTTCTGGGTCTGATCCTCGTGGCCTAGACGATGGCAATGGAAATAGCTCACATAACAGTGATGATGATGCTGATTCGAGACACCCCGAAGATGCCCGTACATTTGATTATAGGAATGCCGAAACTACTCAATCGCCATTGGTTGATGCTTCTTCTGCTACTGCGTCTACGGACGATGATGAACGGATGCGGAAAACAAGAAGTGTCACTTTTTCCGGTGTACAAGATGCTGCTGGTAAACCTAGACGCAAGAGCTTCTCATCTGCTGAACACTTGGGAAGGTTTCCGAGAAAGGTACTTGATCGGACGTGATTCTTGTGAAAAGTTTGTGTGGCCAAAAAACGATAATATGACTAAGGTGATGAATGTCTTTCACCGTTGTCATAGACTGCACCACCAGCTACATTCAGAAGGACATTCCAGTATCATAGTGACTGGGTGAATGATATCGTGCTGTGCAACAACAACCAACATTGTTAGTATAACACACAATCGAGGCTTTGTGTCGTATTTTGCTGACAAACCGAACTAACATCAATCCACTTCTAGTGCTTTCGGCTTCAGCTGACAGAACCGTCCAATTATGGTCTACAAAAACAAACACCCCTCCAACAAAAATCGGCCATCATAGTGATTTCGTGCGAGCTTTAGCATATTCACCTGCTGGTGGGTGGGTAGCCTCAGCTGGTTTAGATAAACGGATTTTATTATGGGATTTGGGTGAAGGGCGCGGTGAAGCTGGTGGATTTGCGTTACGTGAAACTCCTGATGGTATTCCTTGTGAAATACATGTGCTTTTTTTGGCTTCAAGGCTTTCTAACACCTCTTCTCAAATAGTGATTATGAACGAAGCAGCACCTACGTCCTCCGTATACTGTCTCGCCACAAACCCAGCAGGATCCATCCTAGTCTCAGGATCTCCCGAAAAACTGGTTCGAATATGGGACCCAAGATCAAATAAACGAGTCTTGAAACTTACAGGACATCGAGACAATATTCGAAGTGTCCTAGTTAGTGAAGATGGTCGATGGGTATTATCTGCTTCGTCAGATACCACCATCAAATTGTGGTCGCTTGCTTCGCCAAGAGCTGCTTGTGTTACATATACACATTCGCAGGATTCGGTATGGTCTTTAGCTTCAAATCATCCCTATCTAGAAACGTTCTGGGCTGGTGGAAGAGATGGTTGGGTTACTAAAATGTCTAGAAGGCGGTTGGATGACGGATCGGAAGGGTTTGCGTATGAGGAAGTGGTGGATTGTGTAGCTATATGTAGAGAGAAGGATGCTGTCGTGAAGGTATGGATGTGTGCTTGCATTGTTTGCGAATGTCTCTTCTGTCTCGTGTTTTTTGTATGTCATTCTTCCTAAGAACCACAAGACCAAAACCTCTATTGTTCACGCATTCTCATGCAATAGATTGTGGCAGTCGAAGACATGTATATATGGACTGCAACAACCAAGTCTCATGTCAACAGATGGAGAGATTTGCCGTTCAGATCTACCACAGTCATGCTGCCTGGTCCAGATGCTACTGCTGCAGCCACAGCAGATCCAGATTTGGTTATCATATCACCAGCTTCTATCGTCCGTCAACCACCTCATATACTAGATGAAGCATCGTCACTAAAATCATATCGATTCTCATTGACATCGTCTGACGCACTATCGAATCAGCCCCTACCGCCAGGTCGAGCGAGTGATCTGACGAGTATAGCAGATAATGTCCTATTGTCGGACGAACCAGTCGTAGAAGCCGTCTTCAAAACGCCGGAAGATACCATTAAGGGTGGCACTGGCATCCATAGATTCACGACATTGAATGATCGTAGACGAGTCGTTACTGAAGACACACTAGGAATAGTGCAAATATGGGATTTAGTAAAATGTACCAAGTTGGAAGATTTGGGTAAATGTGATTACACCAAGACTATAGAAGAACGTAATACGAATGAATGGGTTGCTCCCTGGTGTCTTATTGATACCAAGATGGGATTCTTGACAGTCCACTTGGAAGAATCGAGATGCTATGAAGCTGAAGCATATCATGAAGAATGTGATTTGCAAGTCAAACCAAATAATGAAGATCAACGAGTAAATTTAGGGAGATGGGTGCTTACGTACTTGTTTATTGCATTTACGAACGCATTACATGCTCGAGCGCATCCTAATGATGTGACGAGTGGGCCTGGTACTCCTTCTCACAATGTTATTGGGTCGCCTACTACTATGGATGCTCCTGCTACACCTATATCTGCCAGTAGTAATAATGAGAGTCTGATGATACCCGCTACAGGTGATGGCCACATAAGTAGTGATGAGGCCAGTAATGGCAAGGCTGAAGAAAGTAGTAGCAGTAGTAATAATACTGATGTTGGTGTTGACCCATCAACAGGAAGTGATAATCATGATGGCACTAGTCCCATTGCCTCATCATCATTACCAGCTGCTCCTGTCACAGAATTGGGTACATCTAGTAGCCAAGAGTCTCTAAACTCAACCAAGAAACAACCACCCATTCCACCATCTACTCCGCCACATCTCCCATTACCAGATAATAGGTCCGTGACAAGCACACCTGTAGCATTAACATTATCCACAGCCGCCACATCACCATCCCAGTCTTCACCGTCGTCAACTGTAGTAGTGCCACCATTATCACCACCACCTGTACCGGCTCAGGGATCCTCATTCATGGACAAGTTTTTGAAACAGAGGTCCCGAAGGAAGAGCGAGTCTACCTCCTCGTCGACTACTTCTATGAGTAGTACTGGTACCAGTAATAATAATACGCCTGATGTTACACCACCTAGTTCTCCAATGGCGAGACCTAGTAGTAGGGCAGGGAATAGGACGCCTGTTACGATGCCTTCTATACTTGTTAGTGGGAATACTACTCCTGGCAGTCCACAACCACCGCCAAAGACACCTCCAAAGCTTTTGGCAGGTAAGATTGAAGCTTGGGCTTGTATATATGGTGTTTCAAATCCTTGCAGATGGAATCGATTCATGTTGTCTCTGTATTTTTTTTGCCTCGCGCTCCACTCATATTTTTCGTCTCCTAGTACCAGGAATACCAGCACATGGCACCAAGTTGGAAGAAGATGCAGTGACGTCGGTGTCATGGATTAGGAGTCAGAACCAACGAGTCAATCAAGTACCAGTACACACTAGTCCAATAGAGGCCAAAGCCAACATTAACAACATTAATAGTAATCTGCCATCCTACATCAACCCTGAAGAGACACCATATATAGAAATACCGCCTCATATACCTGTCTTTCTATCAGTAGAAGAAACAGCCGAAGTGTCTACCTTTCTCGACATTTATCGAGGAACAGTAGGACGCATGGCAGAGCCTGAAGAAATGGCACATTTAGAAGACATGCTCCCTGGCTGGATGTATGATTGGATTGTAGAACAAAAACCGCCATCACGAGATCCAGCCAAAATGTCGTTTGTCTTGGCACCCTTTGAATCATCCAACTTGCCTGAATTACCCAATAATACGTCAAGGTTGTCTGCGAATAGGATGCTTCGAGTACGTAAATTGTTGGCCTATGTGGTCGACAAGTTGGATTTGCATCCACCTGGAGTCGTTAAACCAGATACCAAACATATGAGGTCTTTGTCTGGGCAGTCTACTGGTGCAACGCTATTTGCAGCTCAGATGGCTGCTGCTGCTGACTTGGGGTGGACGAGAGAGAAGCCTGAGATGTGGTTGGAGATGTTGTGTCATGATAAGGTATGTTTTGGCTGTTTAATGACAAGGTTTGTATTCGCAAGTACTAACTATTGCATGTTTTGCGCTTTTCAACTAGCCGGTTCCACCTAAAATGACGTTGGCTACCATAAGAGCGTATCTTTGGAAGTCTGGTGGCGATCTTGTATTGTCTTATCGATATTCACCCAAACCTCAAACAATTCCAAAAGTGTAAATGTAACAAAGAACAGCCGTGAAGGACATGTTAGTACTAAAAATACACAATCTATTTGGTGTAGTAGAGTCTCGTTTTATCTGCGACTGTGTTTTATAAAAGACAAACGAAAGACAACCAGCCCTGCAGGTCACTCCGAACAATCCAAACCCATCACCACCAAAAAAACAGTTATAGCTTTTTGGGGTTGAAACACATCACAGAACTAGATCGGGAGAGGCTCATCATCGAATTAAGGCAAGTAACTACAAAATCTACAGCTTACTTTTCTTGTTGTTGCTATAAAACGACTTTGCGAAGCTTGTTTGAAAAGTGTGGAACTTGGGTGCACCCACCAATCACAGGAAGAAACTAATACAATCAGTTGTATAGATATGGCTGACGTACAGGCAGCACCTGTAGATCCAGACCGTATAGATTTGGCCGTCCCGAAAGCAACCACGGTCGAAGCTATTGTTGATGGTATGTAACATCATCTAGCATCATTTGAGAAGAACTCATGGCTGCGGTGCCTTATGCATGAACAGGCATCATCGCATGCAATGCACCGTTTCGATGACTAACAATCCTTCTTTGTCATCATTAAGATGTCCCATTAGACGAATTCAATCGAGACTTGCCACCGTCTCCCACAGGTGTAGCAAACAAGCCTTCCTATGTCGCCGGCAACGTTATAAGATACAGGGAGCCTGAACGTCAGGATCCCAATCCAGTCGACTACTATGGCGAAGATGAAGATGGCCGTGGACGATCACGTCAGGATTCCGGTGTATTTTTCCGACGCAAGTCTAAAGAAACTGGACGTAGATCTACGTCTCGCACGTTTGGAAGAAGGTCAAACGATTATAATGATGATGGAACAGCTGCTGATACGGAGGGCAGGAGTGGAGGGTTTGGAAGTTTCTTCTCGAAACGGCCTGATCCTAACCGGAGAAAGGCATCTAAGTCTCGGGATCCTACGAATAGGACTGCTACGAGTAGTGCGCTGCCTAGTGGGGCTGTGACCCCTATACTTGTTGACTCTCGCCCGCCACCACCACCCAAAGAAGCAGATGATAGTCCTACTGCTATGATGACTCCACCAGACAGTATGGGACGTAAATCAATGAATGTTACTCGCAACAACACCAATAACGAAGAGTATTATAACGAAGATGATGGTACATACGACGAAGCACCACAACGTGGATTTGCCGGATTCTTTGGTGGACGTAGTAGTGGACGATCTAGATCTCGGGGCCGACAACAGGACCGTCGTGCACAAGCTGATAGGGCTGTATATGTCGCTCCACCTGCCCCTGTAGGACTCAGAAACGAAGAACCGCTAGTACAGTCTGCAACACCCGGCACGATTCCACAAGAAGTATACTACTCTGATGAAGCACGAGATGATGCCATCTACCATGACAGCGAACAGCCATCGGTACGCCGATACGATGATGCACCGGCACCAGTAGTTGAACGTCGTGGTATACTCGGGTTTTTTGATAAACGGCCTGATCCAGGGCGATCAAAGAGTCGTACTCGTGCAGGACGTGGTGAGCAACGACCGGAAGATGCGTATCTTACGCCAGACGAAACAGTATATGGTAGCCAGCGTAATGAATCTAGCATTGGATCTCCTGTTATGGGTAGACAGGATGATTTCTCTCCTGTGACTCCTGTTATGGGTGCTAGTGGCGGTGGACGGACTATTCCTCAGCTTGTAGAACAGCCAGTTGTTACTGAACAGCGTAGGGATGCTGGCCCGTCTGTGCCACTCGTAGTGCCAACTCCTCAACCGGCAGAGTATAAGGCTCCTTCGCCACGTCCTGGTCGTATTATTGTAGATGAACAGCCGGATGAGGTTGTTTATCAGCCTACTGCATATAATAATGCTGCTCCTCAGGCCGTATATGGTAATACTCCTCAGCCTCAGTACCAGAATCAGGCATATTATGGTAATCAACAACCTGTAGCTGGTCCTGAAGGTTATTATTACTCTGCTGATGGACAAGAGATGCCTATAGTTGAAGAACAGCAAAAAGAATTCGGGCTAATGGACGCTCTCTTCTTCTTCTTTGAACGACGTCCTGATCCGACTAGAACCGTACAGGATGAATCCTTGACTGTCCGTCGTGGTCGCAGTCGTGCGCGCTCATGGTCTCGTGATCGGGTCCGTGCTGCAAGAGCTGCTACTGCTGATCGTGTAAGAGCTGAAAAGGCAGCCGAGAAGGCTTCTGCTGCTGGCTTGGATCCTAATCTAGCTATCCCAGCTGCTGCTGTCGGTGCTGCTGCTGTTGGTGGTGGCGTACTTGCTGCTGAAGACGTAGATTATACTCGTGGTAGACCAAGTGTAGAGCGCTTCCGTCCTTCAACTGATACCGCTGGATCTCCTCCATATGATATGGTAGATGGACCTGAACGTAAATACTTTTATTCAGAGGTCGTATACAATCGTCTACCTTGGTGGGAAGAGATCCCCGTAGTAGGATTCTTTATCTCCATGTTTGCCAAACATGTAGATCCTCATCGTCACCTACGAGACCCGGCAACTATAGAATGGCCTCTACCTACTGAACCCGAACAACGTACTTGGCCAGTCCCACCATCTGAAACTGCCCTGTATGCTCTCCGACCAATGTTGCGTGAATTTGAACGTCGTCCAGATCCAGCTCGCCCCTATCGTAAAGACTTGCCTGCTCCACCTGCATACACAGGTGCCGAACCACACTGGGGTGAAGAAACCGATTCGCAACGCGACATGACTAATCAGACTTGGCCTGGCATGAGGGTAGAAATCGCTCGTCAAAAACTTGATCGTCTTGGATGGAGAGCTTGGTGGGCATGGGTAAACCCCCTCACTTGGGGATACTCTGCTCCTGGTCCCGACTCTGGTCTCCCGCTCGAATCTCGTACTCCTCCCATGGCCGGTTTCTTCTTTGGTCGTCGTCTAGATCCATACCGTATTGTAAAACGTGAAGTTGTCGATAATTGGGAGACTTACCCATTAGGACCTACATGGTGGCCCGACCGTGAATACTACCAGGAAACTGCTGAAGAGCATTGGCCCATCCTATCTAAACACAATCCCATAACTTTACGACAAAAACGTGATCAATTCCTCGCCCGCTTCCTATCTAAACGCCCTGACCCATCCCGTATGATTCGATATGAATATGAAGGTGATCAATGGCGTCCACAGTCTGCTGAATGGAATGTTGATGACAATAACCGATATGATGCTGGTGCTACTGGATATAACAACGAATACCAAACAGCTACAGGTGCCACTACCTACAACAATACTCCACGCATGAGACAAGATACTGATCATACTATGGTATCGAATAATGGCCAATTGAGTGTAGCCCCAGTAGCTGCTGCTGCTGCTGCACCTGTTGCCTTAGGAAACGTCGCACCTACTCCTGTTACTCAGCCACAGATTGCACAGAGGTCATTCTCCATCCCACAGGAAGTTGATAGTGGTGCTACTGGTATGATTGTTGCTGCGCCAATGATGGTCAAATCTGATCGGGAGGGTAGTATTAAGAGTAACAAGTCTGCTGGGTTGCGTAAGATTGAAAAGAATTATGAAAAGAGGTGAGCTTATTTGCTATTGTGATGGCTTTTGTTGAGTTTGTGTTTGGTAATACGCAAAAAAGCAGAGTATAGTAATTTCACATATCTAACACTTTACCCATTTATGTTCTTCTAGATTATCACAACAAGCTGCGCTAGACGCCAAAATTGCAGCCAGAGAAGACGCAGTTAACAAACAAAACACTGCATACCGTCGTGCTTCGCACGCCAGTGAAAAGGGTCTTGGACTCAACTCTGTAACTCCAGTTGTCCTAGCTGCTCCCATAATATCTGAAAAGAAATCGGCCGTGTCTCTCAAGAATGCTCCACAACCACAGTCATACACGACCACTACCACCACTGTAGTAGAAGAAATTGAAGTCATTGATGATGATAAACCAGTGTTGACAAACATTCCACCGAGAACTCTGTCGAATAACGTAGTTACTGGCGCTGCTCTTGCTGCTCCCGCCGCTGTGATGGCAGAGAAGGATATTGAAAAGCCAGTTGAGAAGCCAGCTGAACAGAGTGCATTACGGGCTTTTGCTAGTGCTGCTTGGGCTGCAGTTGGTAAGTTAAAAAAAGTAGTGAAGACAAAAAAAAAGCAAAAACATCCCGACTAATTATTCCTTTTTCTCGTCTTGAGCCGCTCAACCTGGAACATATGTAAATCCTGAAACAACTGCTGCTGTAACTCCTGCTGTTGAATCCGCGCCGGTTGTGGAAGCTCCAGTAGTAGCAGCCCCTGCCGTAGTAACTAGCACTATGGCCTACCCAGTCGCCAATACTGTTACCAGGACTGAGGAGGAGAAGAAGATTGTTGATGAGGTTGTTGAACTATAGATAGATTGGAGCATTTTATAGCACGTCTCATCTTGTCTGGCTTGGATCCTTCTAATTTTTGTGCTTTTTTAATCATATTTGTGTCGTTGTTGCCTCTTGATTTATTCTGAATTTCTCTTTTGCTTGCTTTTTTGGCTGTTTCACAATGTTGTCTATATATCACGTATAAAAGAGGAGTTTTTATGGGAAGAATGGGTTTGGAAGAATGAATTTGCTTGTTTGCATCACGGGTGGTGTGTCGCAGTCTTTAGGAAAAACCATAAACAATAGTTGTCGCCTCTCACTCTTCCCATATAAAATGTTCAACCTCAAACTTATATTTCACTTTTTGTTGTTTTGACTTTACGAAAACAGGTTACTCAGGTGTTTCAGAGCTTGCTGGTCTTTGAGAGCGACTTTGACAACGGACCAAAGAAGGCCCTCATGTCTTGCAATAAGGTATCAGGTTCTTCAAGTGCCGCGAAATGACCTATTTTTGGAGGAGGACGACAAAAAAAGCTTAGCGCAATTGCGAAATTGGATAACACCTTCAACTCTCGTTTGCTCACCTCCAGAATTGAAGACAGACCAGTGCCTAAAAACACATCACATGTGATTAAACGACCGAGTTTCGTAAAAGACCTTCAAGCGACACTGGTTGCTTACTTGACATTGTAACTAGCTTGGGCCCAAGACTTTGGAGCCTTGAACAACTCTTTGGGGAAGACTGCGACACCTGTGGGAACGGTGACGTATGCCTGGAAGCTATCAGAGTACTTGTTGGCGGCGGCTTGTCCGATTGATTCATAGTACTAATGCAGAAATGCCAGTAAGCAAAAAGATCATGAAAGCCGATCGAACACTGCTTGTACCAAACGAGTAGACGAAGTGATTGCACCGTTGACCCAGTAAATCATAATGTTTGTAATAATCTCGTCCTTGGAGAACTTGTTTTCGACGTTTCCCTTACAGTCTGACCAGGTACGGAATTTTTCGACAATCCATGCGAGGAGGCCGACAGCTGTTTGGTTGTCAAACGTTTCAATATGATAGAATGTCGCAAAAAAAAAAACAGAAATGGAAATGAAAGAATGCAAGGAAATACTGACGAGAATCATTCAATCCATAACCCAATGTTTGAGGTTTGGTTCCTTGAATTGCCTGTTAATAACCAAGAAAGAGGTTGAAACCCCGGGAAAACAGGGAGAGATGAAATCTTCAGTACCTGATATGCAGTTTCATTCTATAGTGAGAGTAAAGTTAGACGGATACTTCTTCATCCAAAGCCACAAACACATGGCTGCTGCTTTACCTTTTGGAAAAATTGAGTATCAGCAATGAACCCAGCTTCTTGTTTAGTCAAGAAGAATGTTGGACCAACAGTCGCGAGTTCGACTAGTTGTAGCACGTGGATTGGGTTGTATAACGATGGCATGGCTACACACATGTTGATGTGGATTGCTAATATAGTTTATAACATACGTGAGTGTCATTTGAAGGCCAAAAAGGGCAAACCTGTCAAGCGAATTGTACAAAACACATACCAGCACAGTTCTTTGCATGATTCAATCCGAGACTGCGTTTCACAAAGTGATGTGGATGAAAACTTTATCCTATGGATGTTCTCAAATGGACAGCCGCATACCTTCGGACAATAATAGCTCCCCAGTCTCCACCTTGAGCGAAATAACGAGTATATCCGAGATAAACCATCAATTGGTTGAATGTATCACCAATCTTGCGGGTGTTGAAGCCCTTGGTTTTCGGAGCAGATGAGAATCCATATCCTGTTTTGAGAATCTTTGTTTAGCATAAGTGTGGCGGTTGACATCAAAGAAGCATTCGTGCCTGGTAAAGAAGGAATAACGAGATGGAATGCAGGTGCTTTGGGGTCTTCGGGATTTGACAGGCGTTGAGCGATCTTGTGAAATTCGTAGAATGAGCCCGGCCAGCCTGCGTTGGATGATAAGAACGGACATGTTAGCATGAAGGTTTGGAAGGCCAGCTTATTTTAGCATGAAGGTGTGGAAGGCCGGTTTGCGAGTGTGTTTACCATGAGCCAGTAAGAGAGGTTTGGCATCTATGTATTACACAATTTGGAAGTCAGTTAGTGAGACATGTCGGAAAGCAGAGACGTGTGGAGAGCCTAGCTCTGATGGCAGTGGCACCAATGCGTGCGGATCACGCACTAGGCTAATTTGCAATAGGTGCAAGAAAAGTCCGATATATTGTGTAATCTCAAGGTCTTACCTGCTCGAGGTGACTTTGCGTGAATGAAGTGGACATTGATATCCGTTTGAGGAATGTACATCTTGAAATGACTGAATTCGTTCACTACAACGTAACGCGGTGAGAGTTTGTTCACAAAACGTGCGTGTGTTCCCAAACGTACAAGCTGCTTCCTGTTTCCTCCAATCGTACGAGTTCTTCCAATATTCCACAAGGGATTTCAAGTATGTGAGTTCAGTTCCATAACTCCAATCCTCTGCTCCTTCCAATTCTATTGTGGTTTGAACCCATTAGCCCGTCATCACAACAGCTCGAGATCACACAAGAAGTTTATGTCGACGTACGGTTTGGGAATCTAGCTCGATTCAATCTTGCGGCTAGTTCAAAGTGAAACTTTTCAGTACACGCACTCTTCTTCGTTGGGAAGAACAATGTTCAAGCAAGCTCAAAAGACGCTTACACAAGTCTTCCAAAATCTCTTCTGGCACTGAAACCTTGAATTCAACTGCCACTCCAGCCGGAGCTTTTGGGGGCTCGCTAGCGCATCCTTCAAACTGGAAGTTGGTCATTATTGCTTGGTTGTGAAAGAAGAAGTGGAGAATTGCGAAATGAGAGTCAGAGCACACAAACGAACTGCTCGCTCGTTCTGGCAAAACACACACCGTCACCGTCGAAAATCAAAACACGTGATTCAGAGGCTCTATTGCGTCCAGCTCAACTCTGAAACGCGTGTCGAATCTCCAAGCCGATGTGAATTAGTTCAAAACTAACCAGGGAAGCACATTTTTTGGAACGAGTGACGACAAATAGGGGCGTTCCACGCGATCTTTGTTGATAGATACAATGAAAATATACCTTTTGAGTCACAAGACTTGAGGCTTGACTTGACCGATCGCAATCTTGGATTTGATGCGATCGTCGTTTGCGTTTTTTGTGAAACTGTCTCAAACTCACCATTCATCACCAGCATGGCGGAGATGCAATATGGAGTCCGATCGTCCGTCATCAGTCATGTTACGACGGTCTGTCGGTCTCTAGCTGCCTGTTCGTGCCTAGACTTGCTACACTCAATCTCTCACACAGCTCTGAGAATCAACCCGCAGAAAGAAATCATGTCGAGCACGAGCGATATGTGATGCTTTTCTAAGAGCGCGGATGAGCTTCCTGCGCCCATGACTGGGACTAGTAGAACATGAGCTTGAACGCAGGCCTAGAATCTCCCGAGGACGCATCCAACCCTATTTTTCCAAGTGAATCCTAGAGTGCTATGCATTACTTCCTCCAACCAAATACGGGACATTCGCGGAAGCAAAGGCCTCGTCTCGGGTGCTCCTCAATCGTTTCAGGGTAGTTTCGTGACGATTCATAGTTTGAAGAGAATTTTGCACCTGAGGGGCGTCTTTGGATTCTTTTTTCAATCATTAAGGCTTAATTTTTTTGGTGGAAGTCGTGTATTCCTCTCCTACAAATGAAAGGAATCCTATCGTTTCTGAATCCATGTGGAGTGACGACTCGTGGATCGGATTTGAATACGGAAGCTACATACCACAAGCTGTTTACCGATGATGATTTCACTGCACGATTCAAAAAGTTGGCTGTAAGGCTCGTATTTATCCGTCAACAAAACCGAGGCTGTCTATTATATACGCAGAAACAACATTTATACCACGCACTCTACATTTCTGAATAGGCCAAACGAATGTGCTCAGAGAACGTTTGTTTCGTGATTGACATCATCAAGACTAGTCAAAAGCTACAACTAGAACAATTGCATCAGCACCAACAGGGAGCAACAGTTAGAGTTTCTGTTGCGAATGCAGTGAAACACATGATGCCGAAACGTCGTGCATCGGTATCAGCCTCACCAGACCAATACTTGTCACCTGTACCATCTTCAGATACCCGAAATTCCAGCGATGTGTCCACCAGTGCTATATTCTGTATTCCAGCATGTATACTAGAAGGTATGTTTAGTGGATATTGTGCTTTTGGTTGAATCGCTCGGATGATACCCCCAGTTATGACTCTTCTCGGACGTTACCAACCGTTTTCTTGATAGATTGCCTGCATATCTACTACACGTATTTCCAACCCGGTGCTCCCATGGAGCTCAATGTCTCGTCCAAAATTCGAAAGACGGTGATAGAGGCGTTCTCTGATGTCGATCAAACTGGTGTGCCAATCAACGTATTCAAGGAGGCAATAAGTGATGTTGAGAGTGGACTCTTTCATAACATGTACGAATATCGAGGTTCTGATTGTTTTAAGTCGCTGTGCGAAAGTAACATTGACATTCCCTAGCTATCCAACATTCTGCAAATCATTAACGTCACAAGAAACGGCACGTATGAAGGCTTTGCCTGGAAAAGCAGCTCCATTCACACCATTTACGTGATCTTGAAGCTTGCAGAAGAAAGACAAAAGCCAAAGAGTAGTTTGAAATAGATGACTTGAAACGGAGTAATGAGCTAGTTTGTAGCTAGTCTAATAGTAATAATAGTCATGTCACATGTCGAAAATCCAATTTTTTTCATGTTACCATGTACCAAAGCTCCAAGGTAAAATCGACTCGGAAAAACACATCATGTCTAGAAGAAACGGGCCTGTTCGTCATCTCACCATGTGGTACTGATATGAAAGTTACGAAGGTAGATAAGTTTGCAATCTGTGGTGTACCAACCTTTCCATCCACGAAGCATTCTTCAACAGGACAAGGCGTTATTTCTATTCTATCAGCATATTCAAGACCCCTGCGATGGACGCTCAAAAATCACAATTGCAAAATATATATCCAAGTTTCTTGAAATCGTTGAGCATGGAAGATGGTTGGAGATTACGGATTGAAGCTTGCATTGGAGAATGACAACTTTGTTGCAAAGGCCATTCTTGTAATGAATACACACATACACTCCTAACTCTTAAAGAACAACACGTTTCATGACTTTACCAGGGCAATGGCGCTCTAATAGTACACCTTTGATATGATTTCTGAGGCTTGTGAGCACCAAAGAATTATTTGCGTAATAAATGGACGCAATGAAGCTATAAGGTGATAACGAACTGCATGGTAACAAGTTTTATAACCACAATAGTGTTTTCGTATGGTTTTTAAGCGATTATTCATGTTATCAGTAACCGGACGCTCAATTTATATTATTTCGTAGATTTAACTCAACCCTCAAATTCGGAAAGCTAAAGAAATTAGACCTGGCCAGAGCGAAGCAATCTCCTCACGCCTCGTCATTTAACGTGAGTTATATTCAGCATATATATTCGCCATAGGATTGATGTCGACGCCTCCTCCATATCCAGCAGGCTATGTGTTGCCTCAAACATCTCTTTTCATTGCTGTTGGGAGTGAGTGCTTCGTTTTGTTCCTTGACTTGACGTATCGAATCAGTGTGCACAGTGCTAAAAATCATTGCTTTTTAGGTTCTATATGGATATGTTTTGTTTTAATCACTACTCCACTCTACTTATGGACTCATATAAAATTGAGGTTGGCTAGACCATTCTATCCGGCACTCTTTTACAGTATTAGGTAGGCATCTGTGAACAATTCCCCTCATTTCTGCGCTGGGTTATTTGATTCTTTGGAATGAGTGCTGATGCTATTTCAATCTATTCAAGTGGTGTGCTCCTCCTGCTGCAAGGAATATTGAAAACGACGTATTGGAATGATGTGACACTTGGCTGTGTTATTCCCGCTATCGTTAGTCCAATTTACGCTAGCTTGTAAGTGTGGCAACAGGATGAATGCCGCATGACATTGTGAGCTGACTGTCTTTCCTCATTTGCCCTCACAGAATTCTGTTTGCCTTTCTCGTAAGAACTACCGTATGAGAAACAATGGCAAAAATTGACCATATCTCAGTTGTTTATTTCTCATGCTGCAGGGCCTATCGAGAGAGCTATATGTTGGATATCGAGAACAACAACTCAGGCTCAACCATTCAATTGATCAAACGAACTTGGTTGACAAGTCGACACAATGGTTGTCGAGTGCCAAAGTATATTGGATCGCTTTCTGGGCTGATCAAGCGCTGATGGTGATATTTATTATTGCCATGTTGATTGTATCGCCCAAATGTATGTATCTCCTGTTTGAGGGCCGATTGACCATTTTGTCGGTTGTAACACTCGGGTTTTGCAGATTCCATTCATCCTTCGATAAGGTGTAATGCTCAACAGTATTTCTTTGAAGTGGAGCTAATGCCCATGTATGTCCAAATGTCATTGGTAAGTCTGTCAATTGTTTTCCAGCTACAACTTCATCGAAGACTAAATGAATGCCTATGTTTCCAAATCATTTGAATGGCCAGATCTGTCTATTAGGTAAGTTTCAGCAGCAGCCGCTCTTACAGACTCCAAGGCCTTCATTTCTTTTTGGCCCTCATCGTTTTCTCGCTCGAATGTATGATTCTGTGGTTTAAGTGCTCTAAGGCAATTTGTTTTTTCTAGTTCCCCTCTTTATCATGAGCAGCTGGGGCTGTCCGGATGGTTTGGGTGTACGCAGCGAAATCATTTTCAACTCTGTAAGTACAGACATTTGCAATGTTGTTTTTATAAAATGTTTGCTCCCTTGAATCCTTCTCTCAAAACTCCAATCTGAAATAGATTTGGGGCTTTGTATTTGTGATTTCATTCATTTCGTTGGGCGGATCTCTTACTTGGGGTACTACGGCCTATGTGACATTCCCACCATACGTGGTACTACCTCTATCGGGTATTGGATGGCATATGTCTTCTGTGATTTATCCCCTGTGGCAAGCCTATAAGATGGATCTGAAAATCAAGGCCGCTATGCAGTATTATGGTCTTTATAGAGACAGCACGTCATCGAGAAAAGGTGCGAAATGTTGAAACATTGAAGGGACTTCCGCTGACCACACGCTAACCATTCTGTCGTTTTTGATAGAGCTTGAACATGAGAAGTATTTCCACATTTTGCTGCAAGACAGGGACGTGTTATTGCCCAAGTTCAAGGCCCATTCGGTGAGTCACAATCTAAGCATCCAAACCCATCGTTACCTCATTCGTTCTCTCTAATTGGGTGCTTAGGCTCGACTGTTTTGCGTCGAAAACACGTCATTCATGATCGAAATGATACGAATCAATGAAATGATCTTTCCCCAGGATCATGAGCTAACGACATCGGGACTCTTAAGCAATCGATCATCCATTGTGGGAAAAGCCTTTATCAGGAAATCTTCAGCATACGTGACAGACACCTTAGCAAGGGGTAGCGTAGTTTCACGAAACGGGTCAGTTTGTGATGATGCCGTACGAGGACATATGCCAGGATTGCTGGGGATCCCTTCACTCCTTCATTCACCACCACCGCCACAACATCATCAAACACAACCGCAATTGCTTACAATCATTCCCGACCATGTTTTGCCAGCTTGCCATAACCTCGTGGATACTTACTTTAGACCTAATGCAACACTGGAACTTAACGTGCCATCAAAATTCATCAAGCCGATTTTACAAGCCTTTGACAGTCGTGCGTCATCATCTGATCAGACTCTAGAAGGCATCCCTATCGGCATATTCAAGCCAGCCGTAACGGATGTTCAGCAATCACTGTTTCTGAATGTGTATCCCAGCTTCTTGAAATCGTTGAGTGCTGAAGAGGATAAGAGGTTACGGGTGGGTGCTTTGAAAGGTGCCACTTTACTCGATGGGCCATTCTTGTAATAAAAGCACACAGAGCATCTGGAAAATGAATTACCCTATAATTTGGACAAGGGAATCGTTTCCAATCAACACCCGAATAGGAATTGATGTAGTTCAAATTTTTTAGAAAGGGACGCAATCAGGTGATAAGGGTGTTAATAACTATCTAACAGTAATCATATGAATAGAATCGTTATAACAGATGCCGGATAATATATAAGTTGTATACCCAGCGTGTGGACACTATTGTACAGTTTGATTCCAAATCCCTCAATGACGGATGAGGCTTTCACAACAGTCGCCAATGAGATGATCTTTCCTCAAGACCAGAATCAACTAAGACCAGGACAACTCAGCGATCGTTCATCAGTAGTAACAAAACCCTTTACCAGAAAACCCTCCTCCGTGGTAGACGCAAAGGCAAGATTTGGAGGAATGTCACGAAATGGATCGACGGATTCTGACGATGGCTTAAGAGTAAACCTCAATGGTTCAGCAACACACTTCCCCGACTCTACCTCAACAACAACAGTCACTGCTAGAACAACCGATTAGACTATTCCAGAACACGACATGTTTGCCTCCGCAATCTCGTAGGAAGCGAGATATTCCAAAATACTAAACTTTCTTGTTGAGATATTTAATACAATGCAAATTAAGCAATTTAGATTTTTTTAGGATACTAAAACTAACTTGTCCGCACCACTTAACACGCCCGTCCTAGTTCTCTTTTCAATCTCTCCAAGTATCTGCACCACTTCCAACATAATCTTGAGATTAACCCATACCGCGAACATCATAAAGAATGCAAACAAGATCAAGAACACCACCATGATAAACTGGATATCAATCGAAGCGACTCCATTATGTAGCATTCCCATCACGGTACGACGACGTGGTGCTTCCTTTGGTGTTGGGATATCCAATTCACTTCGAATACTGGGTGATTCAGCTGCTGGTGCTATGTCAGCGTTACTGGCGTTTGATGATAATGCTGAGGTTGGGGACGCGCCATCTGCTAATGCAAGTGGCGATGATTTGAGCCAAACGTTTACAGCTGCGTCCAGTTCGTCGGCGTGAGCTTTTAGTCCACTCAAAGCGCTTGCTTCAACGGTGCCTATGAATTGAGGAAAGAATGGTTAATGCCTAGTTTCCTGAGGGTGTGTGGCTTTCGTTGCTTGATGTTCAAGTGGTTCACGCACCTTTCAACATTCCAACAGCACCTTTGTTGAATTTGATTTCCGAGCAGGTTCTCAGCCTACACCTGTCAGGAGCCATCATCATCAGGCACGTTCTACTCTCTATGACGAATGTGGATCCTAGGGGCACCTCCGGAGTTTGACTGGTGCTCATTACGCATATATAAGAATCGGCCTTGGCGATCACTTGGAGTGTGTTTTTAGCGCGGGCCGATTTCGGAGCGAATGGCCCTCCACCTGTATAAGAGACAGATAGTAAAAACGAGTGTAGAAAACACAAACCGTGTCAAGAAAAACGAGCAAACACTCACCAACAATGGGCATCACATACTCTAACGACTGAGTCGTATTAACCACAGCGTTAGATAATGGAGGTCCAGGCGGTAATTTCTCAGCCGATATCAACTTTACATCACCACTTGCTTCTGGTTTCTCACCGCCGCCAGTACTCCAAGCCGACAAGAAAATATCACTACATTTTCTAGACTTTTTCAAAAAGTTTAAGTGGAAGTTATCGAGTCCACCAAACATTAGGCCCCACATCGTGGCAAGACTAACGGGATATTCTTTATCTAGAAACACTTTAGCGTTTCCAATCGCACATGTGCAGGGGACTATAGATATGGCTGCTGTTGGTTGCTCGGTACTGGTACGAGACCGTGGTGGTGTTGGTAGGACGTTCTCTGTACTGTTATTCGTAGGTGAGTCTTTAGCAACGGTGGGTCGAGGAGCATTGGGTGGGAGACTATCGGACTTGGATCTTCCTCTAAACCCAACAGTCAACGACAACGTCCGTGACAATGGTTTACCATTCTCGTCAACGGGTTGTGCTTGCTCTTTAGCCGCTTTCGGCCTTGATATCGTTACTGGAGCACTTGCACTTTGCGTTTCTTCATCTTTGAGACTTGCTCTGGAAGTTCGTGGTACTGTAGCTGCATTACCGATATTAGAGTTACTATTATTTGTTGCTGTTGTTGGGGTTTCTTCATACGATATATCGGGTATGGGTGTAGTCGATTTTGGAACAGACTGTGAGAGTTTCGGACTATCTGCTGCAGTTGCTGAGGCTGCTGCCAGAGGCGACACTGGAGACGGGACGGAGCCCGACATGACGATTGATGGAGCTTTTACTTTCGTTCCGAGCCTCTCCTTCTATTTTGAATGACGAGAAAAGTTGTGATCAAAGTCAAGCGACAAAATACATGAGTTCCAAATGCTTACTGTTTGATCCCACGTCCTGACAATTATGTCGAATGCTTGGTCTCTGCTCAAGAATGATGTGAAAAAATACTAAACAAGGAGATAGTTGTTGGTGACGTGGTTTCATGAGATCCCTGCAAACAATGCAAAGATTACCTTTTGACCACTGGCGTCAATCTCAATACTGTTCTTAACAAAACCAGCTATAGTTTTACGCTCCACTGCGTCCATCTCCATATAACCAATTACAACACGGTTTGTGAGGACTGAGAAAAAGCATACATGTGACTCTGCAACGTATAGACGGCCTTGCAAGGGCAGCATTCCTTGTTTGGAAATAGCGCAGACAAAACCTGTACAAAAATGCGATGATTAGCACGCCGCCTATAGCTTCCTTGGTCTACAACATGGTTTCGACTTACTGTCAAGCAGTTGTTCGTCACTATCAAGATCAGGAAAGCGAGAGTGGAATTGCACATTATCTCCGTCAGACGCGACACTAGCCGCATCATCGTCTTCCTCCTCCTCTTCGGTCGGAGCCATAGTTTGACTCTTCAACAGACTCTTACTTCCGCCATTGGTTTGGGCTGCGTTTTCTGCCCAGTCGCTCTTTGACTGATCTACAGACTGCGACCTAGTTGCTTTGCTGGCCTTCCTTACAAGATCGAAGATACCAATGGTCTTGTCCTTGGAGCGTGACCTCGCGACTTGCTGTTTCGGTCCTTGCTCAATGACTTCCATGCCCAAACCCATTACTTGAGGACCAGTATAAACAGCAGTAGGGGGTGAATCGTCACCGTTTACAAAGGATGTGGCTGCTCCGTTGGTCTCTATATCTGATCCAGAGGCAGACTTTTGCTCTGATAGTTGTGATGACAGGGATATCAAGCTCGGAGATTTGGGAGACTTGACGGCAGTCTTGACGCGGCCAAATAGTCCGCGTTTTGGTGTTGCTTCTATGCTTGGAGTGCTGTCTGACATATATGTTGGCGGAGTGGGTTTTCAATGTTCAGGTTGGTTGTTGTCGGAAATGTAGAGATGTGATGGTTCCCAGCGGCGGAAACTCTAAAGTCGTCACGATTATGTCGTCCTGTAACGCAGTACTAAGTATATGGTGTCGCCGAATGTGGTAATGTTGTGTTTGGCGAAGTGCTTGGTGACGAGCGATGTGCTTGGAACAAAGTCAACACCACTTTCAGTTGCAAAGCGTTGTAGTCTGATCAACCTGCTAATTGAGAATGGACTTCCAATTGTATATAATAACAAACATTGTGCACGAACTCCAAGTAAACGTTGATGTGATGTCGCGATGATTTGCTTTGTGATATTGTTTTGAAAATTTGGACGCTGGAGCCTTTCTACCACCCGGGCAGCGTCGTCGCTACCGTAAAGTTCAATAATCTCCAGGCTAGTGGCATGGAACTATTTGGATCAAGTGTGTACCTCAATCTCGAAGCCCACTTTTGGACGTTCTTTCGAGGAATTTAGGCTTTCTGTCGAAGTAAGCCAAGCTTTTAAGCATCTCAAGATTTCATTCGGTCATTTTGGAAGGATTCATCCGCATGTATGCACGGCGGAAAGAACCAACTGTCGAAAATACACACCAACTCTTCGACGGATTTTGTCGCGACAGCTTTCGACCCATCGCTCAACTGTTAGAAGCAAGCGATGTAGTCATTACAACAAGAATGACTATTTGTCGGAGCGACTATTAGCTATCGGTGCTCGCAAAGCGCTAGGATACGATCGGATTTTACCTGTTGACATATTGCTTGCTTTATGTTGACAGTTGTACAGGCCATAGATAGTAGAACTGCAATATCTGAGATTTTGGTTACGTGAAAGATATAGAAGTTGGACCTTCCGCAACCTTCAGCCAATAATGACATGCATCTCAGGCTCGTAGCGTAGTTAGCAACACTGCCACTTTAAGATGTCCGACTTTTTTGTTCTACCGTTTTAAAGGCTAAATCTCAATTGACTAAACGGACCCATTTCGAAACAGTCGAGCAAATGGTTAGAACTCAATCTGAGCTGAGCTGAACGAACATGGTTCAGTTCTTTTTGCAACAACAGTAGCAGTTCTTTTTGCAATAACAGCAGTAGCTGGCAAACCTATTTTCCCTCAAAGCTCAACATTCAACAAGGGCACTTGATGGGTCCAAATCCTTGTTCTTTAAATGCCCGACGAGATATCCCTAATGCAGGATATGAACCTGTGCCCTTGGCTCAAACGTCCCTGGTGGTTTAAAAGTGGATCTCTTTTTGCTTCTTCATGCATCCCTAGACAACCCTACTCCTTGTCCCTTGCTTACGATCAACGTTATGGGAGAGGAGAAGGTCATCCCTTTGGCTCACGCTCAGGATGCTTTCAGAACTCTCTCAACTTACCAAAAAAAAACCACCAATATTTGCTTGAGCTTCAACTATGGCCGACGAAAAGAAGGTCGGTTTACTCCAAACCATCTTAGGAGCTAGCACAAAAGACGGCGTTGAAACATACCCCACTGACGAGGAAGGACATGTTTTGCTACCATCTTCATTGTCTGCTCTTACAGCCGAGTAAGGCATCAGCTTCAATTGCGATACATTAATTGCCACTAAGACTCAATGTCATGATAGGCAGTTGCATGAATATGATACTAAACTCTTGAGAAAGGTCGATGGTCGGATCTTGCGTAAGTGTCTGTTGTAAACCCCAAGTTCTGTGAAAGGAAACTCTAACTTTATTTCTTATAGCAATCATTTTCTTTTTATACTTTGCCAAGTAAGGGTAGATTTTGAGTAATCTTCTTGTCAGTGCGGATTCTAACGGTGACATCTTTTTCTCTCTAGCTTCTTGGACAGAACCAACATATCGCAAGGTAATGCCACGTCATCTCCCAAAGTAACTTGAAAAGTCTAACATTCGGTGCCTTTTAGCTACCATTGCTAACTCTGAAGCTGGCCACACCATATTCCAAACTATTGGCCTTACTTTGGATGTAGGTCGTGTGAAAAAGCGGGCATCTGTTTTTTTTTCCCCTTTTTTTGTAACAGGGAACTAATCGATACCTCTACCAATAGCAATACAATTGGGCAAACACAATCCTGTTCTTCCCATACGTTTTATTTGAGGTAATTCCGACCTTGTACCAAACACTACAATGCAAAAAAGCTGACAATCTACCTGTTCCCAATTTTAGTACCCATCAAATATCATCCTCAAATGGGCAACACCCAGTAAATGGATTGGAAGAATCTGCATCACCTGGGGAATAGTCGCCATGACCTTTGGAGCCGTCACTGACTACAAGGGTCTCTACATCTGTCGATTCATGCTGGGGCTGATGGAAGCTGGATTATCACCCGGCGTTACTTACTACTTGACTTTCTGGTACCGCCGATCTGAACGTGGTGTGAGATTGGGTGCCTTCTTCTTGGGTGGATCGTTGTCTGGAGCTCTCGGTGGTCTTTTGGCTGCTGGTATCTTCCAATTGGACACCAAGGGCGGTCTTTACGGATGGCAGTGGACCTGTAAGTTTGACTTTCCATTTCATTCTTCGTATTATGAGTGGTCGGTCAATGAATCGCTATCTTTCCATCCAGTCATCATTGAAGGAATCCCCTCAATTATTATGGGAGTTGTTACTCTCTTGTTCTTACCCGACTTCCCCCGTACTACTAAATGGCTCACGCCTGAGGAACGTCAATACATGGAACATCGTCTCACTGGTAAGTCGCGGCTTTGTTTGAATTTCGGCCAGATTTGATCAAAACCCGACTCAACGCATTCAATTTCCAGGTGAAGCCGGTTCTGACTCTCGAGGAGATGCCTGGGTCTGGTCTGAATTCTACGCTTTCTTACGCAACCCACTGTCGTACACTTTCTGTGTCATCCAATTCTGTAACTCTGTCGCTGTATACGGACCATCCGCATACTCTTCCGTCATTCTAAACACTGCTTTCGGCCCAGCCAAGACTGGTGGTTTGGGTTTCAGTTCCACTGCTATTGTCGCCATGGTATGGGTGAATTGATACAGTACATCGATGAAGCCTGACGTTTAATTCTATATAAGGGCGCCTGCACAAACTTCTGGGGCATCATCATGTGTCTGATTTTAGTCACTTCTGCCGATTACCGACGTGACAGATACTTCCACTTGTTGTTTGGATATGCTTGGTACGTACAAAATGAAAACCAGAGACTCTTTGCAACAAGTCTTGAGCTCTGTTCTTCTTTTAGTGTCTTGGCCAGTTTCGGTCTCTTTGCAACCACATACAATGACAAGCCATGGACCAAGTTCGGAGCTCGTACGTGACCTTTACATGCCGTCTTGTTCTCAGACCAGTTATACTAAAAGTGATCTTCTGTCGGGCCACAGTGTTCTTGGCTCAATCTGGATTGTCCTCTGCTACTCCGCTACTGATGGCGTGGAGGACAGACTCGGCTTACGGCACTACATACTCTGCAACTGTCACCGCTGTCACCCTCGCTTTCGGTAACATTGGTGGTGCCGTCGCGCCCCAGCTCTTCTTCCCATCCGCTGCACCATTATATTTCAACACCTTCTGGATCTTATTCGGTTTGGTAGCTTTGTCTGTGTAAGTTGTCGCCGTTTGCTTCACCTTAGGTCTAAGTCTGTTGTTCAACGCCTCGATCCTCAACATATTCTTCTTTACAAATAGTGTCTTGGTCACAGTCAACTATGCCATTGAATACTTCATCCCTGAGACATATGGCCCCAATGGTCCTTACCACTTCAAGGCCCGTCACGCTCGACGAGCTTCATTGGCAACCGTATAATCTTCATCCTCTAATAGTAGGAGTAACTAATTGTTTAAAGTGTGGAGCTTGATATCGCAGCAACTGAACATTTTACACATAAAACTCACGTCTGAAGCCTTAAATTAAGTCTTATTGTCAGCTTTCGAAGTCTCGCTGTTGTGGTTTTCTAGTTCTAGTGTGGAGTGTCATTGTGGACGATTGTTCTGTCAGGTGACGCAAATTGTTGTCGTCGAGGGTGGCGCTTTGTTCTTCCAGCTGAGCTGGTGGCAATAGTTTCCAATGCTATAGTATCACAGTTTTTCGGCTGGTTTGCAAGCAAAGAAAGATTGAATGTGCTATCTTTTGCGAACGTGATTATTTTGTTGGAATGAGAATGATGAAGAATTTGACAATAAGGTTTTTCGAATATATGGCCTTACATTACGATTGAAAATATTGAGAATATTGTCCTTCGTCGTCTCATGGGACTATTCGGATCAAGCTTACACCAAAACTCGAACTGGATATTTTGATATTTTGCCGTATATCGATGAGCTGCCGAATGAAACCAACCAAGGTCATGGTTATTCTTTAAATTGTATGATTCGTGATTTGGAATTATCGAATGTACAGTCGTCTAGATGATTGTTGTCCACTAAACGAACTCCTATGCCGAAAACACAGGCCAACATTTTGGACGAGAATGTCGAGGATCTTTCGACCGATCGCTCAAGGATTTTAATGAAAAGATGTAGTCGTGATAGAGAAAATGAATGTTGAACAAGACCTTTCTTAGTGGACGACGCGTTCAAAGGGCTACAGACAGACTTTTCCAGCGGGTATGTTTGTAAAACGACAGCAGCAGATATCGGGTATTTCGAGGACGTAAAAGGCCAAACAAGTCAAAACATATTACAATTATCTATTTAGAACTTCATTTCCGTAGGTAAAACTTCACTGCGCTCGTTCAAGGTCATCCAAACTCCAACACATTCTTTATCGATCGGTCGCAAGGTTCAACCTTAACCTCGTTTGACCAAAATGGACCAGTTTCTGGAACTTTTAAGTTATGGCGAGAGCCGCATCTGCACTGGCCAACATGCTTAGTTCCTATTGACGACTGGAAAACCTGGTTTTGGGTCAGGGGCAAACCTAAATCCCTTTGAGTTCAACGTTACCTTCAGGGATGGGGATCAAATCATGTTCCTCACTAAATGGCCGAGATGATACACTCTAATGCTTTTCCTGGATGGCTTATGCTGAAAAGGGTTGAAAGTTGGAAAAACTGGATATCTTTTGCCTTTTTCCGCATCCCTAGACACCCCTTTTGCCTTGTCCCTTTACCCATTTAAGGTTATGGAAGAGGGAAAAGTCTTGACCCTTTATCACGCTCAGGGCGTTGCCAGGAGTTCTCCCTCCTCTCCCAACATCAACAAAAAAAAATAATTACACGCACATATCATATATCAACGATGGCCGACGAAAAGAAGGCACTCGGAGGTGGCATCATCGGCACTATCCTAGGAACCTCCACCAAAGATGGCATTGAAACCTACCCAACCGATGCAGAAGGACATGTTATGCTCCCAGCTTCATTGTCTGAACTCACACCCGAGTAAGCCTTGTACATCAATTATGACTTAGCAACCACACCACTAAGATTGAATGATGGAATAGGCAATTACACGAATACGATACCAAGCTCTTGAGAAAGGTTGATGGCCGTATCTTGCGTAAGCGCCTATGGTATATCCCAAGTTTTGCGGCAACAAACTAAAACGTTTTGCCTCTATAGCAATCATTTTCTTCTTGTACTTTGCCAAGTAAGGATGGATCTCGACGAATGCCCTTGCTCGGTGTAGATTCTGACTGGTTGAACTCGTTTTTCTTAGCTTCTTGGACCGAACCAACATATCGCAAGGTAAAAAAAAACGCGGTTACCACGTCAGCCCAAAAAATTTATTAAAAATCTCACAACATTTCCCCTCTTAGCTACCATTGCCAACTCTGAAGCTGGCCACACCATCTTCCAAACAATTGGTCTTACTTTGGATGTATGTTGTTGTTTGTCGAAAAATGAGTCATTTGCTGTTGCTGCGTTTTGCAACAGGCACTAATGGGTTTCGTTTATGTAGCAATACAATTGGGCCAATACCATTCTCTTCTTCCCTTACGTGTTGTTCGAGGTAAAGCTGCCTTCTGCTCGTTTTAAATAGTCAACATTGCAGCAATGTTGAAAGATTACTGATTAGCATCGTCGAATTCTAGTACCCATCAAACATCATCCTCAAGTGGGCAACGCCAAGTAAATGGATTGGTCGTATCGGAATAACCTGGGGTATCGTCGCCATGACATTCGGAGCCATCACTGATTACAAGGGTCTGTACATCTGTCGATTCATGCTCGGATTGATGGAAGCTGGATTATCACCTGGTGTTACGTACTATTTGACTTTCTGGTACCGACGATCCGAACGTGGTTTGCGATTGGGTGCCTTCTTCTTGGGTGGATCATTATCTGGCGCTCTCGGCGGTCTTTTGGCTGCTGGTATCTTCCAATTGGACACCAAGGGTGGTCTTTACGGGTGGCAATGGACCTGTAAGTTTGGTTTTGCGAATCATTCTGTGGCATTTGGAGGGTCGGCCAATTAATCGCTATTTCCCCATCTAGTCATCATTGAAGGAATTCCCTCAATCATTATGGGAGTTGTTACTCTCTTATTCTTGCCCGACTTCCCCCGTACTACCAAATGGCTTACACCCGAAGAACGTCAATACATGGAACATCGCCTTACTGGTTAGTGACAGCTCTTGCATTGTGGCTACATTCGACCAAACCCTGACTCTCATCATCACTTTTCAGGTGAAGCTGGTTCTGACTCTCGAGGAGACGCTTGGGTCTGGTCTGAATTCTACGCCTTCTTACGCAACCCTCTGTCCTACACTTTCTGTATCATCCAATTCTGTAACTCTGTCGCTGTATACGGTCCATCTGCATACGCTTCCGTTATTTTAAACACTGCCTTCGGTCCAGTCAAGACTGGTGGTTTGGGCTTCAGTTCCACCGCCATTGTCGCCATGGTAAGCTTGCCGACCCTGACATTTTCACCACAATTCGGTGACCGCAAGCTAACATCAATTTAATTCAGGGTGCCACCACTAACTTCTGGGGTATCATCATGTGTTTGATTATGGTCAGTTCTGCTGATTACCGTCGTGACAGATACTTCCACTTGTTGTTCGGATATGCTTGGTAAGCTTCTCGCCATGAACATAATGACTTTGCGAACAACATCTCATCAACCACTCCTTTAGCGTCTTGGCCAGTTTCGGTCTCTTCGCAACCACATACAATGACAGGCCATGGACCAAGTTCGGAGCTCGTACGTGATTGAATGGTTTTCCAGTTGTTTTGGAGGACGGTAACTAAATTTATTCTGGGACAATAGTGTTCTTGGCTAACTCTGGATTGTCCTCTGCTACTCCACTACTGATGGCATGGCGTACCGACTCGGCCTACGGAACTACATACTCAGCAACTGTAACTGCTGTCACCCTCGCTTTCGGTAACATTGGAGGAGCTGTAGCACCACAACTCTTCTTCCCATCTGCAGCACCATTGTACTTCACCACTTTCTGGATCTTGTTCGGTCTGGTTGCTCTGTCTGTGTAAGTTCTCGTCGCTAGCTAAGAGTTTGTAAACTCTTGATACTAAATCTACTCCTCTTTCAATAGTGTCTTGGTCACTGTCAACTATGCCATTGAATACTTCATCCCTGAGACATACGGCCCTAACGGTCCTTACCACTTCAAAGCACGCCACGCTGCCGCCGTCGCTCGAAGAGCTTCATTAGGAACCGTATAAATGTCATCTACTAATGTCTGGAGGGATATCTCATTAATTGTTTAAAGGAATTGGGCTTGATATCAAAGGACGCAAAAATCTTAAAGTAGAGTTTGAATTAGAGAATCGTAAGAATCGTAGTAACTTTGAACAATTTTAAAAGTAAAACTTACGTCTGAACTGCAATTGAAGCTGGTTGTCATTTAGCGAAGGCGTTTTTACTTTAATTTGTTGCAATTGATGCGATGTCACGTACAGCATCCTCGAAGGCGGTTATGCTGCTCTAGGAGATCTGTTGCGGAGGTGTCTCGTAATGTCATATAATCGCAAATGTTTCGGCTGGACCTCGAACCAAAGCTAAATGTAGGTTTGCTTGACAAAACGTGATTGTTTTTTCGTGATGCGATTGACGAAGGATTTGACTTTGAGAGCCTCGATTACAAGGGCAACATCTTCAAAAACTACCTGCTCACAATATTATCCCACTCGCCTCATGAAACCATTGGGATCAAGGAAGTATCATCACAAGAACCAAACATTTCGACGCTTTTGTGAATTTCGATTTACTGCCTGATGGAAACCAACTTTTCGCCATTGAATTCAAAGACTTTACTGAAAATCCGTCGAATGCCTTCATGCCGTCATGAACGTCGTCGTTGTCAATTGAACGACGAGATCAACATTTTGGGCAGATTGTTGAAGATTCTTTCGACTTGTCGCTCAGCATTCACAAAGTAAGGCTGTAGTGATGACGAGCATTGATTGAAACGTGTATTAACAATGAAGAAACGTCTCGAAACCACAGCAAGATGTTTACGATTGGCGACGTGGACATCACAGTGCAAGCCCAACGAGATATCTGACATATTGATGTGAAAGTGAAAAAGCCAGGGCTAGTTTGACATCTCAACATAGGCTGATGAACCTCCTTCAATGCCGTCATGGTATGCGCGGTGCTGCAGTGTAACTGAGCCTTAAAGCAAAAACCCCACCTTTCCACGAAATTTGGCTAGGCTCGTCTGGCGAAAGGGCTTTAACATAAGCAAGAACTAATTTGATCAGTTCAACGAGCATACATGCATAGTTTAACCATGGTTCAGAACAAACTGGAACTTTGTTGATCCCTAATCTCCTTCCGACAGCCTCAATGATCCCCTCGTATGCAACTTGTAACTTAAATTGCTCGTGGAATCCCCGTGACATGGTATCCTTCTGCGGGTCAAATCTTTTAGCTGGCTGATTTGCACCCCTGTGGTCGAAAAAGGAGGAAATGATGCTATGCTTTAGCTTCTTTTCACCCCTTAAACGACCCCCTTTTGCTGTCTTTCGTCAAAGCTTGCACCTCGTGACTTAGTGTAGCACCCATGGGCAAGTCAGGTTTTGCCCTCACGTTGCAAAAGGTTTCACTCCCAACATCACAAAACCCCCCAATCAACTAGAACTTGACCACAACTACAACCATGTCAGACGAAAAGAAGGGAGTGGGCATTCTTGGCACCATCGTAGGCGCTACAAGCAAAGATGGCATTGAATCATACCCAACTGATGAGGAAGGCCATGTTATGTTACCATCGTCCTTGTCGCATCTTTCTGCCGAGTAAGTTTGCCTCAATTGTAACTTAACAACCAGCTCTAAGCATAAATTCTTCTGTAGACAACTAGCTGAATACGATGTCAAGCTCCTGAGGAAGGTCGACGGTCGCATCTTGCGTAAGTACCTATTCGTTATTCGTTACCCACACACTTTGCGGCAACAAACTCTAACTTTTGCTCTATAGCAATCATTTTCTTCTTATATTTCGCCAAGTAAGCATCTAATGTGCACTAATCTCCTTGCGCGGTGCGTCTTCTGACTGTTTGTGAATCTCCCTTTGTTATAGCTTCTTGGACAGAACCAATATCTCACAAGGTACACAGTTGCCACGTCAATTTAAACCAGTTAGCAAATCTTAACATCAGCTTTGCCTTTTAGCTACCATTGCCAACTCTGAAGTCGGCCACACCATCTTCCAAACGATTGGTCTCACTTTGGATGTATGCGTCTTTGTTGATTCATAGATTTGCTTTTTAAAAACTTTTGCCACAACCATTTAACCGATTTCTCTTATTTACTAGCAATACAATTGGGCAAACACCATCCTTTTCTTCCCTTACGTTTTATTCGAGGTAATGCCCATTGTCTTTGTACTTTCACCGAAGTTATGTTTTCCACAAGCCTTGAAGGTTTCTGATGAGTTTCTACCTGCATTACTTTAGTACCCATCAAATATCATCCTCAAGTGGGCAACTCCCAGTAAATGGATTGGTCGTATTGGAATAACATGGGGAATAGTCGCCATGACATTTGGTGCTATCACTGATTACAAGGGTCTCTACATCTGCCGATTCATGCTCGGATTGATGGAAGCTGGATTGTCACCCGGTGTTACATACTACTTGACCTTCTGGTACCGACGATCTGAACGTGGTTTGAGATTGGGTGCTTTCTTCTTGGGCGGTTCTTTGTCTGGAGCTCTCGGTGGTCTTTTGGCTGCTGGTATCTTCCAATTGGACACCAAGGGTGGTCTTTACGGATGGCAATGGACTTGTAAGTTTGAGGTTCCGAGAACTTCGTCTTTAATATGATGGACCGCCAATTCATATCATTTTTCTATCTAGTCATCATTGAAGGAATTCCCTCAATTATTATGGGAGTTGTCTGTCTCTTGTGGTTGCCCGACTTCCCCCGTACTACTAAATGGCTCACACCTGAAGAACGTCAATACATGGAGCACCGTCTCACTGGTAAGGAGCAGTTGTCTGAATGTTGGCTCGCCTTGATCGAAAACTGACTCTGGTCAACTTCTGGTTGCAGGTGAAGCCGGTTCTGACTCTCGAGGAGATGCTTGGGTCTGGTCTGAATTCTATGCCTTCTTGCGCAACCCTCTATCATACACTTTCTGTCTCATCCAATTCTGTAACTCTGTCGCCGTATACGGCCCATCTGCATACGCTTCAGTCATTTTAAACACTGCTTTCGGCCCAGTCAAGACTGGTGGTCTCGGTTTCAGTTCCACCGCCATCGTTGCTATGGTGAGTTTGACGTTGCCAAGAATCTATTCAAAGGAAACCGTCAGCTAAAAGCCTTCTTTTTTTAGGGTTCTTGCACTAACTTCTGGGGTATCATAATGTGTCTGATTTTGGTCAGTTCTGCTGATCGATTCCGTGACAGATACTTCCATTTGCTGTTCGGATATGCTTGGTAAGTCTTCAGAATGGAAAGGAGTGTCTGATCGTTATTGTCATCTCAACTCAACACCTTGTATTCCATCCCTTAGTGTCTTGATCAGTTTCGCTCTCTTCGCAACTACATACAACGACAAGCCATGGACCAAGTTCGGAGCTCGTACGTGATTTGACTCACGCCAGTTTTCTTGAGAGAGTCATACTAAAATTGATCTTTTCTCGCACGTAGTGTTCTTGGCTACATCTGGATTGTCCTCTGCTACTCCACTACTGATGGCATGGCGTACCGACTCGGCCTACGGAACGACGTACTCAGCAACTGTAACCGCTGTTACACTCGCCTTCGGTAATATTGGAGGTGCCGTCGCACCCCAACTGTTCTTCCCATCTGCCGCACCATTGTATTTCACCACTTTCTGGGTCTTGTTCGGCTTGGTCTGTGTCTCTGTGTAAGTTCTTGTTGCCTGCTATGACTGTTGTCGTTCGTTGGTCAAGTTCCTGTCACTCAATCGACTGTTCTTTCTGATAGGGTCTTGGTCACTGTCAACTATGCCATTGAATACTTCATCCCTGAAACATACGGCCCTAACGGACCTTATCATTTTAAGGCACGACATCTGGCTCGACGTGCCTCATTGGGAACCGTATAAACTGCTTCTTGGTTGTCTAGTGGGTAATAATTTGTAATTGTTCAAAGTGAAGAAGTTGAGTTTGATATCGAAAAGGACAAAATCTTTAGTATGCATTGAAATAGGAATAGTACCTGAATTTAAAAGTAAAACTCACGTCTGCAGTTTCAAATGTCTCTCAGTGTGTTATTTATGAGCGAAAATTAGCGAATCGGCAGGCGGTCTTGTCGTTGAGTCCTTGCGTGCTTGCGACACGAAGCTGGAGTAGCTACGCCATCAAGCAGGTCTATTACCGACGTGATTCTCCAATAGTCAGTGTTTGGAAACCCGTCCAAAACTTTTTCTATTAGACTGTCCTGCTCAAAACCCAACTTCGACCCAGTTTCTCACAAAACGTTTATAATCTTCCAATGTTAGCAGGCAACAAGATAGATTTAATTGAAGCTTTAACCGCCCACTCGTTGGCTCTGGAACCTGTAACAGTTGACCAAGATGTGATTGTCAACAAGATCGACTTCGAGTGTGCCCTTTCACGTATCGCCATGCACGAGATGCCGTTCGTCCTTGTCTCATCAAATCCAATTACAGATCATACGGTAGTTTGAAAGCTTTTCTGCTTCATTGAGTTAATATGGGTTGACATCAAACTGGAATTTTATTTCAACAGACTACTATGGACAAGATGAACGTGGTGGAGATTGCTGGTCGGAAAGGAACTCGTTCAGTATGTGAATTTCTATTCATTTTTGCACAGGATCTATTCTAACTAGATGTTCCCCAAGTTGAAACCAGATCGACTCGAGAGCGTCAAGTTTTTGCCCATTCAGCTCGATACTGCGCGGTAGGCTCTTGATATCATATTCTCACGATATGAGCCTTATGGTACATTCCTCACGATATGAGGCTTATGGTACATTTTAACCAGACATTTGATTTCGGAATTTGCTCTTCATTACACTACTGATGACTGTTCTCAACTACAACCATTATTGATCGCTTCAACTCGTCGTCACCCCTCTCATGGCGATTCTCAAAAGATTTATATTGGAATCGAAGCAGATGACAAGATGAATTTGCACAATCGTCTCGTAGTCGATGAAGGAATCTATGCAGCTGACGAAGACGAGAATGGATGCCCTGTTTACACGAACTTGGAGCATTTCGGCCTTGGAGATCGATTAGAGAACTCATCTGCTCGAGCCAAATATGATATTCTTACAACAAGTTTGGCTGGTGTAAGTTGATTTAATCCTGGCGACATCAGCCTTGATGGTATTCTCACCGTCTTTGTGAGTTCAGGGCCAAACCAACATATTTGTCGAAGGGAAATGGGATGGAGCTCAAACTCTCTTTGAATCTCCACCTGAATCTTCTTCACTCTTTCTGGTTTGTTCCTCCATCTACCTTCATGCATCCCTATCACAATGCTGCTGACACATATTCCAATCTTTTAAATAGACTATTTCTCTGCTCCGTGAATCTAAAGGAAAGAATGAAGCGTTCCCATCAAAGAGTTCCTTAACCGAAGAACTTGAGACACTAGAAGCTTGGAACACCATAGGCGAAAACTGGGTTTCTTCTGCGTCGAACGAGCCAGTTGCAGATTATACCACCAGCTTTTTGAAACGTGAGGGTCGTTACAGTGTCTTCGAAAGCCCTCCAAGTTCACTGACAAACTTTGAACATCGTAGATGTGAAAGAGAACAACCAATCCTTGTATCACATGCCCACAGAACAGGAAGACACAGAGACTCTTGCCTTCAATCCCATGCCCGATATTCAGAAACGGAATGATTATGACTTTACCGAACAGTTATGGGACTTTTGTTGTCGTGCATCCGATAGCGATGACTTGAACGAAATCATAATGACCGTAATGGACGCACTAGAGGATCTGACATTACAACCAATCATACACAAGAGTAACTTACAAACCGCCTTGGGAGCCTTATGTCGAGATTGTCTAAAACTATCCAAAATCCAAACATCACTTGACGCATCCAAGGAACGAATATCCGAAGCATGTGATTACTGGAGTGAGAAAGCCAATGCTATGGAGTGCATGGTTGAAGTTGGGATCAGCAAATTGAAACGAGACTTCAAATATTGGGCAACCAGTTCAGATGGCGGTCCATTTGACTTGGAACCATATCTTGACGGAGCTCTGCCATTGACTGAACAGATAACTGCAATGAAGCAGTTGAATGCGGTAGTCTCGCTGCACGAAAGTATCAAATCTAATGTTAACTTGCCACAAGCTGAAATGAAGAGTCTTGTCTTGGCTGCGTTGGAGCACTTTCGACCGTGTCGTGGAGGAGATGAAGTACTGCCAGTAGAGTTTCGTATCAGAATCGCACCTTTTACTGGCATCGTCAAATCTATGATTGCTGGGTAAGCTATAGACTACACAATCGGTTGCTTGTATACGCACTGAATGACGAAGCTATAGTTTGGCGTAGATCTTAACGCTCTTTCGTTGTCTGTAGACGTGTGCCAGTTGAATGGAGTGTTACTTTAGATGGTGAGACTATTCTTTTTACCAAAACCAACCTCTTTGATGGTATGGCCGTTGCGTGATCATTTTGGGTAACATTACGATGCGGTGCTCACATTTCTTCAATAGAAACCGCCTCCAATGGCACAAATGATACAGATCACGCGGAAGTACCTAATGATGACGCGTCCATTGAGCTGGACCAGGAGTTGGATGAAAGTGTAGAAATTGTAAAAAGCTGTCAGTGGAATGTTGTGCATGTAAAACAGCAACCCGTGTAGATTATATACAGAAATAGACGAGAGATGAGCGATCTTAGTACCATATCAGCTAGAGCGCAAGGTCTCGTTGCATCACAATCTTATCTTGGAAGTAAGGATGGCTCGAAAGCTTGATATCGATCAACGACCGCAATTGGCTTCAGTTTGGCATGTAGTCTAATCATATTGACCTGTCTACTAGTTGGCAAAGTTGCGTCTATAAATGACCCAGACATCATCAATCTTGGAACGGCCGAAAATAAGCTTACATCTGCTGAAATGAGTGAGCGAATGAATGTTGTTCGCCCCGTTGTAACAGATCAAGACTTACTATATGGTACGTTAAGATTCTCATATTTTTGACTTGAACCATCCAGTTACAATCTCCTAGTTGCAATGCCTCAACTGGATGTGCGTTCGATTAGGACAATACAATGGACACGACGCACTACGACGCCAATTGGCTCACCTTCTTAATCGACACTTCAAACCATTGCAGCCTGTCTTGATCGATGAAGTTCAAGTGACGAACGGGTGTGCGTCAGCTATAAATGCAATCGCACAAGTATGTTGCGATGCTGGGGATTGCATTTTACTTCCAAGCCCTTATTACGGCGGATTCTTGTAAGTTCGGAACCGAACGTTGAGCGACTTGTACGGTCTGACTCTGATCTCTCACACCATCTGAAAACAGCAATGACACGCTGTACACTGCTCGTTGTGAGCTTGTACCGGTACCAGCAACCTCTTACAACGAGTTTCAAGTGTCTGTAGAAGACATCAATGCTACATATCAATACGCTACTGTATCCCTCGCAAAGAGAATTACTGCTATAATAGTGTGCAGTCCGAATAATCCCTTGGGCAGAACGTATTCGAAGGAATGGTTGGAGGAGGTGCTGAATTGGGCTGCAGAACGAAAGCTACATGTAATCGTTGATGAGCTGTATGCTCTCTCTGTCTGGGGGGAGACTGCAGAGCCATTTTCACCGGTTAGTGTCGTGTTGAATTCACAGATTATCGAAGATATAGCACAATTTAGTTTTTACTCATTCTTTTTTAAAGTTTACATCTGCGCTTGCCATCAAAGTACCAGATCCACTAAGGACACATGTCCTTCACGGTATCGCCAAGGACTTTTTGTCAAATGGGTTACGAATGGCGTGGATTGTGTCTCGTAATCCAGCCATTATCTCAGCGTTAGACAAACTGGGATTCTTTTACTCGACTAGCAATCTCATGCAGAACTGGATGTGTAATATGTTTTCAGACCACGCGTGGGTTGACAACTTTATAAAGACGAATAATTTGAGGATACGGGATGTGTATCTGAAAACGACCAAGTGGCTGACGGATCATGAGATACCGTTTGTGGAAGCTAATTCTGGATTCTTTATATGGATTGATTTGAGGAGGTGGTTGTTGCGTATGTATAAGTGCTGAAGCGTTGATGTGAATGTGGAGAACTCACTAAGCTTTTCTATAGCTACTGGCGCTAGTAGTACCTCAAATGCCTCATTGACACATTCAAAATCATCTTCTAAACCAATATCAACGAACTCACTTTCCGTTAAAATGGCTTCCCCAGCTACGATTGGAGCTCGACGAAAAGAGCGAGAGATTGAGCTCTTTTACGCATTGCTGCAGAATAAGATTTATATTGCACCAGGTTTGAATCAAATTATAAGGCCAAATCTTTGATTACTCGCTAAATCAGTTCTGTTGATTATTAGGCGAAGCATTCTACTGTGACGAAGAAGGCTGGTTTAGAATCATCTTTGCTGTTGAATGGCCTGTACTCCAGGAAGGTTTGGAACGAATGGCGAAAGTGTTGGATGACCGGCTAGCGAAGAGTTTTGCTGGACTGAATGTGGATTAGCTTCAAATGTACAAAATGGAGTTGGGCCAGGACCATTGAATGTTGAATAGAAACGAACTCTCAGACTAAATGGATGGCTCTGTTGTTGAGATCTTTCGTTGCAATTCCACCGCGTCTGTTTTGTGTGGGGCAACCGTGGTAGGCATTAAAATAGTGTACAGCTGTAGTTCAGCCTCTCATTTACCAATGAACTCCATTTATTGCGACTCTGTTCTGAAAATGACGTGACGCGCTGCGCGTCTCGCACCTCCAGGATTCGATTTCCCTACTTTCAACATCTCAACACAGACAAATTTGGATGAGGAAGTGAAGGACAGTGCCTACCTTCGCTTACTCACTTTGCAAAAGCAAGACATATCTATAGACGCCAGGGTCAAGGCCAGAGGGTGGGACTTCGGTCTACCATCTGATGGTTAGTTGACAGCGGAACTTTTCTAGTCATTGTCGACCGTCTCTCGCTACGAAACAAACCCTGGAGAACTCGCTGTAACAGATTGACAAGTAGTTACCACATTGGTTCATGCTAGTAGTTGTAGTGGTCAGCATTCGCGTATGTATGGGTTTTCACGTTTGCGGCAAGTTTGAGAAACATCGCGTACAACCACAAATTTTTGGGAAAGAGACCTCAAATAGGCTTGATTGTGATTTGTACACATCCATCCACACAGTCCTGCTCAAGATTTAACTGTTTTGCCCTCTTTTTGTCTCTACCTAGTTGCCCTGTTTATCCAAGATTCTCTATTGGTCCAGGTGGTCATTTGGTACGTATCAAGCAAGATCAGGCGCAGTCTCGTCATCTGCATCACCTGGTCTAGTCCCTTGGTAGCTCTAGATGTCGAACTACTCGTTTGTCATGAACGAACTCGATATCATGGGAGCAAAGTGTCGCTGACAGGCCCAGGAAGGCAGTCAAGCGATTCGACAGTGATATCTAGAAACTTATTCTCTCGTATTGAGTGGGATTCATGGTTTTGAATGTTGATCAAAAATATTTTGCGAGTAAACTTTGTTCATATAACATCATATACCCGTCTAGGTACAACACCTATTCATATTTGCACAAGCTCAAAATCCACCCATTTAAGTCTACACATGCCCTTAATCCTGTTTCCTACAGCACTGTAATCATATCCAAAGTCATTCGGATGTATCAACACGTACTTCTTTACAACACAACTCTCTGCTGTCAATGCACCAACCAACCATTCAGCGTTCATCCTCGTATTGACAAGTGACAAGGCTTTGAGATTCCTGAGCCGGCTCATGAGCACTTCTATAAACACTGGCCTACTAAAGATGGCTGAATCTATAGCAACATATTTTAAAGCCGGGCACCGTGCAGCCATCTTAATCACCACATCGTCATTTACGTATTTCGGTAGCTGTATGGCAGTCAAGTTCGGGCTGGCATTTATCAATCCGATGAGAGCTGTTTGTGATATGCGGGAACCAGGGTGGAAGATAATTGCCTTCAGGTTGCGGACACTCTGAGAGATACTATTGACTACCGCGTCATCAATCCCCTCAAAAAGCACGGTATTGAGATTCAGGTATGCTATGTTCGGGTTGTTTTCTATAAGAATGGCGATGTCCCGTCCAGTGACGTGGCTGTAATAATCAAAGGAGACTGATACGAGATTTTTCCAAGTCGAAAAGAGTAGAGGAAAGTATGCGGGACGAGCAGCTTTTCCGGGATTGTGTGGCAAGAATGTCAAGTATTTGAGCTTGGGAGTGCAGGCTGCCGTTTTGGAACTAGCCCGAGCAAGAATCGTGAATCTGAGAAAATTGAGGTCTAAACGACATGCACACTGCTGTAGTTACCTCCAATGTACAGCTATTGTTATCTTTTCTAGATTCCATATGTCGCCCTCTCTGAATAAGTGTTCCGACAAGCAGTGTCCAGGCCAGTTAAGACTCTTGAGTTTCATTAGAATGGCTCTTACACTATCTTCTATCGGCACGAGGTGCGATTCTGTAAAATTCGAAGTTACGGTCAAGGATTCGAGCTAAAATAGGAAGATTCTAGCACAAATCTTCCAAGCACCATACCATATCTCGTTTCTTACCCTTTTACAAGCTGGCAAGATTGCAAACAACGGTTCCAGTCGCGGCACAGAGTAGAGAGTTAACTCTTGTACGTTCCCATACAACTTGTCTGGGTTTGAGACAGACCAAACATCTAGCAGTGCTAGGCGTCTAGGACTGTACGATGGTGCCCAGTCAAACGATAGAGGGAGCCCTCGGAACAGTACAATTGACTGACACAATTCGAATTGTGCCGGTTGACTCCAGCATTTACAAACAAGGCAGCACCGGTATTTGGTCTGCTTGTCGCATAGATCAAAAATCCCACTAAGATAATCAATGAGTGGGTCAATGTCATTATATGCTTGATTGTTAATTAGAGAAGGAAGATTTACGAGAATGACGTAAAGATTTCAGCGCTTATGCAGTGTTTGATTTACGACCCAAAATCTTTGATGATTTTTTAGATTTTCGATGCATACCTTAAGATCTCGCGTGGCAGTCTAATAGCTCCTGGTAGATCATCCTCAGTGACGATATTTGACGTGTCCATTACTGCCAACTGGTCCCAACAATCCAACACTCTCTGTGCGTCGACACACTCTTTCAAACAATTCGCAGTCTTAAATCCAACCCAAGCAGAGTCCCAGGCAATCGCTTTCGCGGATAATTTGCAGCAGAATAGCAAGATGTTCCCAAGTAAGCTGACCGGCCTCGATTCTCCTTCCTGGAACTCACAACTCGAAACTTTTGAACAGGAAATGTTTTTGGTGCTTTGACACGACGACGACTGGCAACACTCTCCAATACACTTCCAAATGCTAATTCCAGGTATGCATCACGCGTAGATATTATCACTTTTGATGTATTACCGTTACTCTACATTCGCAAATTCAAAACATCTGAACTGAAATCACAACTCAACGCACTGAAGCCCAACTGCCATCCTATTCATGAACATGGGAGGACCGCACAATCTCGATGAAGTCGGCCCATTTCTCACAAGGCTCTTCTCCGATCCTGATCTGATTCCCATTCCATTCCAATCCTATCTCGCTCCATGGATTGCTAGAAGGCGAGTTCCCAAAATACGAGACCAGTATGCTGAAATCGGTGGCGGATCCCCCATCAAGATGTGGACGGAACGACAAGGAGAATTGGTTACGAAAGCGCTGGATGTGATATCACCTGCAACTGGTAAGCTGGGATTGAAATCGGTGAGCCACTCTATTTTTGTTGGCTGTATTCTCAATTCACCTTTATAGGTCCGCATAAGCCATATATAGCATTCAGATATGCACCACCACTGACTGAAGATACCGTAAAACAAATGAAGGCCGATGGGATTCAACGGGCTGTAGCGTTTTCTCTATACCCACAATATTCATGCTCGACTACAGGAAGTAGTTTAAATGAATTAAAAAAACACTTGGATGTGCTTGATCCTGAAAAGAGTATACGATGGAGTGTATTGGATCGATGGGCTACTCATCCTGGCCTAGTGAATGTGAGTTCGCTGTCGAGGACGAATGCCCGTATGCTGATAATGTTTTTTTTGCGCTGACACTTTCTCATTTCATCAGACATTCGTCAAGCACGTACAAGACAAACTATTAGAGTATCCTGAGAATGAACGCGATGATGTTGTCGTGCTCTTTTCTGCACATTCGTTACCGATGTCTGTTGTGAATCGTGGAGGTACGCTTGAAAATTGTCCTGCAAATATATTGTGGCCCTCAGCGCGTCTGTTTTACCTGTGAAAAAAGTTACTGACAACAAACTCCATTACACAGATCCATATCCAATGGAAGTAGCATCCACAGTGCAACAAGTGATGCAGAAAGTGGGTCCCAAGAACCCATACCGACTTGTATGGCAATCACAAGTCGGACCTGCTCCATGGCTAGGAGCTCAAACAGGCCAAGTGATTGAAGGGTATGGCAAACAAGGAAAGAAGAACCTGCTATTGGTCCCTATCGCTTTTGTATCGGATCACATTGAGACTCTTTTTGAATTGGATATCGAGTATAAGCATATCGCCACGGAGGTAACTAGAAAAGGTTGTTGGCTCTTGCTTATAGTGTGTATTCAAAAACTTTTTTTGCCTTATAATAGAATGGAGTTACTGGATTCAAACGAGCCGAATCTCTGAATGCAGCTCCATTATTTATTGATGCTATGGCCGATCTAATCAAGACCCATATTGACTCTAATCTGCCGGTATCTGCTCAGCTAAAGTTGAGGTGTCCCATGTGCACCAGTCCACGATGTGGAGCGACAAAAGCCTTTTTCGCATCTCAGCCATTAAACATTTAAACTGTATAAATTAGATTCTCATATATCATCATCCACGTCAGCATGTCCCTTTTTGTGCAGGTTGTGTTTTTGCCGCATCAGACGATTCTTTAGTGCAGAGTACTCCAAACAAGGATCGCTACAGGTAAGAACACCATCTTGATTACATGGATTACGCGTCGTGTCGTAAGTTCCGCCCTCACGTTTCCTTTCAATACCATCTTCCCTCATCACATTGAATGTTAAGCAGACTTGCCACGAGAAGCAGGACACCACTAGTATCATCTATCAACGCTTATCGAATGATGGGGAATCAAGCTAGTTCAGCAACACCGGTCAAAGAGCCCACAGTTAAGAAATCTGAAGCGGAATGGAAGGATATTCTCGATCCAGAAGCTTTTTATGTGTTGAGGCAAAAGGGCACTGAGCGACCGTTTACTGGCAAGTAAGTTATTGCATATTGCATGGCTTACAGTTGTTTTGCGTTTGGTTTGCAGTGCGCCTCTTTGACATCAACCTCGTGTGAGATTGTCGTCAGGAATATGAAGCTCACCAAACCGTTTGGTCTTAAACTAGACTCGTAAACAACCACGACCAAGGAATCTACAAATGCGCTGGCTGTGGTTCTGAACTTTTTGAGTAATCTACATGATCGCATTGTACTTGCGGTCGAACCTTGGAACTTACACCTCGTTTGCCAACGTAGGAGTACAACCAAGTTCGAATCGGGAACTGGCTGGTAATGCCGATCGTTATTGATCCTTTCGTTTGATATCTGACTCTTCTTTAATGTCAGGCCTTCGTTCTTCAAGCCTATTACACCGTCAGCCGTCACAGAACATTCAGATTACACGATGTTCATGAAGAGGACTGAAGTGGTCTGCTCGAATGTACGTCTCTGTTGGATTTACGCTACTGATTTACGATTCCAGCTTTAACTCAACCTGGTTTTGTTTAGTGTGGCGGTCATCTCGGTAAACCCAAACACGATCAACAACTCTTCAACACGTTCTGAGCTATTCTTTTATTTTAGGCCATGTTTTTTCTGATGGTCCACGTCCTACAGGTCAACGATACTGTATGAATTCTGTCTCATTGGAGTTTGAGAAGAAATGATCTTGATACAATTTCTTTCTATTTTTGGCCCGTCCATCCTATTACCTGTATCAGCTCTGCGCAATTAAATAGTCATTAAATATAAGTTTCCTTTCCATCTTCAGTTATAACTTTTCACTCGAAGCGACGCGTTTCTAACTTCGAACTTTGGAAACGTACAAGCCACATCCAAGGTCACCAAGTTTTTTCAACATTACGACTTTCTTATAAAAAGTAGAAGACAAGAGAAGATGCCACCAAAGAAGATTAAGAAGACCGCTGGTACGTTAATAAGCTGACTTCTATGTCGCATCTCTCTCCGTTGTTATTTATTAGCCTTATGTGTCAAGTTGCAGCAAAAAACCGATGTGCGATTTCCAGCTAACTTCCATCCCCATGAACAGAATCCATCAACTCGCGATTAGCGCTTGTGATGAAGAGTGGTGTCTACACTCTGGGCCACAAGTCTACCCTCAAGACTCTGAGGCAGGGAAAATGTACGTGTGCATGAAAGGAGCTTCCTTGTAAAATAAACATCAAATGTGTTGACATTATGTCTTATAGCCAAACTCATCATCATCTCTGGTAACTGCCCAACTCTCCGAAAATCCGAATTGGAATACTATGCCATGTTGTCCAAGACTGCTGTTCACCATTACTCTGGCAGTGAGTTTAATGCTCTGGTTTTTTAGCTTGGCCGTCGAGAGCTTTACAATGTCATCAAACTATATCTGATTCAAATAATTTCTTTTTCATAAACAGACAACATTGATTTGGGTACCGCCTGTGGTAAATACTTTAGGGTCGGATGTCTTTCAATCATTGACGGTGGCGATTCAGATATCATCACTTCCACCACTGCCAAAGCCGAATAAATAGTTTGCACCCGGGGTTTTGTATAGTTGCTTGGATAAAATGTGAAGAGATAGGAGAGAGGAGCTTTTTTTTGATATAAAAAGTTTGCTACTCTTTTCTCTCGAACTTTGGTCTATTTCGATCGTTTCGCACTCTTTGCTATGATGCCAAGACAAGATGGGCAACTCCTAATGACCAGCTGGACGAGGGAAAAAGTCAACGCAATGGAGCTTGATGATGATGCAAAGATGGATCTTTTATCGCTTCAAACAGATAAATACAGGAAGCTACATATGTTCATTTACTATCTCTTCAGACACCCTTGAAGTTGAGATAATTCCAAGGTCAGTAAGTAGCGATGTTATGTATTCTGGTGGTGTGTAATCAATAGGCGGACTTCGAAACTACCACGAGAAAGTGTTAGATGTAAAAAAGCGGCTTGACTCTAATCCAATCATCATACCTCGATGCTTGTTGGATCATACGAGTCGTATTCATCCACCATTATCTTTTCCATGCCAACTTCTGGTTGATTCAGTGGGAATGATTTCATAAACTTGGAGCTATAAAGTAACGTTGAGGGGTTAAAAGAACGCGCACCCTATAATCCATCCGCGACACAGTCATTCCAAAGCGACTATGACAACTACACAACCAAAGCTTACCTTTCAGCCACAACATAGAAGGGTACATTAGCCTGCTTTGCGACCAATGCTATCTGATACGTTCCAAGCTATGGTAGGTATAAATCAATGTGAGTTGAAGCCACCCAAACGTTGAACACCATCCTGGACTACAACCATCATTTTTTGCAAAGTTACCTGGTTGAGTAGACCACCATTTGCACATATTCCCTCAGCACCCACCAACACCATGTCAATTTTCGACATTACACGGGCCACGGCTGTATCTAGTATTACACGTGCTTCAATGCCGGCTTCTCGTAGGATCTCTACGGCCTTTTTGCTATATCAATATACATTAATATCGTAAGTTCATGGCGTTGGTCTCGATTCGGTAACGTATACGAGCAGCCGCCTGGATTGCACGTCATCAGCAAAGAATCTCACCCATTGGAAGTTGGTCTTGATTCAGTAACGTATACAAGCAACCTCCTGGGTTGGACGTCAGCAGCGGCTCGTTGTAGCAAGTGGACGACGACTCGCGAATGTGAATGTATCAGCACAGTCTGTTTGGGTGAAAGTGTGAACAAAAAGGTGACTGGGTGGGAATACATGCTTTCTTACACTATGCAAGTCAGGCCGTAATATCTGTAGTCCTAGTGATGCGATGCTTTCCCTCCTAGCTCCAGAGTTCAGGACGAAAGCTTCTCCTCGTAATATGATTTGTTGCTTCCATTGCTTAAAGTCCTAAGGTATTGAGGGTTGAGTCAATAGGAGCTTGTGTGTTCAGGGTGACTTTGTACTATGTACCATGATATCATCCTGAGGCATGCGAGTGACTTCGCGTAAGAATAGATCGCAACCTCCCGAGAGCGAGATTGAGTTATGAGAAGAAGCTTTGAGAGCTTCACATGCCCTCTGCAAGTTCTGGTGCTCTTCTGAAGAGGTTGAAGCAGTTGATGCTCTAATGAATTCCGTCAAAGTCTAGCATTGTAGTAAGAATTTTAACAGTTAAAACCGCTGGATGACTCCATTATGTGTAAAAATGTTTGAAGTCCAAACTGTGTCAAATGTTTGGTCAAGACACTCCATTGGAGGATGGATTGGAATAAAGAGAGATGGATCTCGTGTAAAAGTACCTTTACAGCACAGACTTGCATGCTTAGTTGAGCATTGGAGCGTATTATGCTCTGGAGGGTCGTAACTAGGATTGACAAGACATAAAATGAGCATGTTGAAGCAAAGGAGAAAAGGAGCACGGTACACTTGCCGACATCGACCATTATTGAGTGAATATGGACGCGTCTCTGGTGCTTTGATGAGGAGCTTGGGTGTTTTTTGCAACGTGAAATTTCACACCCGAATCGGTAAGATGAAGAATGCGAAATGCTCAACGCACACCCAAACAAAGAAAAACGGAGGGATTGCCTTGGCTGTCATAGAAGCAACTTATAAGCAACACAAGGACAGTCATATCGATTGATTTATATACAGCTTGACTCTATTAGGTAAGTTGGAACTCGAAGATGAAGAATATATTTAGACGGAGAGTCAGATGTGAAAACTTTGAGAGAGACGTGGTGCGATTGGGGCTCCCAACGGGGGAAAGAGTCCGGTTACTGTCTTTATTATTCATTATTTGGCCACAATCCCTACTATTCCCTCCATGTTTGCTTGCTGTTTGGAATTATCAATGAACAAGCAAGATGAGAGCATTCATCATCAACCACCCAAACCTCAAACTGGGACTCGTGTGGCGTCTCATCACTAAAAGACACCAATTACTATATTCAAATCACGAGAATCTATTCAATTACTCTCATTCATTGCCTTGCTGCAGATTCCCGCAAGAATCCGATCATGATTGTTGACTCCCATATGACAATTGAAAACCACGATGCAAATCCATTCATCCTTACTAATGACACGTTATTCAACTCTCATAGATACATACGAGGACTGGTCCACCATGTCCAAGTCAAAGTATGTCGAGGACGAATACGACGAACTCGGCAGTGACGCTGAAGGTATGTATGCAACTTGTCATTTTGATCATGTTTTCGCTCATAAAAGACACGTTTATATCCATACATTACAATGAACTAACTCAATCATTACTTTCTACCACATAGATACTCCAATGACTGCTCCCGACCAAGACGACTTACAAGATGAAGACTCGGATCAAGACGACGACGACGACGAAATGGATGAACTAGCTTCCGATTCATATTCTCAAGGCGACGAAGCTGAATATGGTCGTCCTCCTTCCAGAGCTCGTGCTGCAAAAAGCAAGACGAAAGCTCCTGCCACCAAGGCTGTCAAATCATCTGGAAGTGATCGTAGACGAAGTAAAGGATCTCCAAGTGGTAGTAGTACCGGTAGTAGTCCGCGCCATGGTGGTAAAAGTGCTGGCAAGGCTAAAGGAAGGAAGAGTCGTTTGTCTGGCAAGGTAACGCGAAAAAACCGATGTGATTCTCGGTGGATTGACTTCATGAATTAATGAGCGGGATCATTCATTCCACAACCTATGCGAACCTTTCGTTTCTATATACTTACACGCACTCTCTACTCTAATCCTTACAGATGACTTCCGAAGAGGACTTTGACGACGACGATGACGAAGATCAAGCCATGGATGAAGACGAAGATGAAGATGAAATGGCTTACGAAACTCCAAACTCATCAAAACCCGCCAAAAAGAACGACAGGAAACGTAAAAAGCCATCGTCATCAAAGAGCCAGTCATCAGCTTCAAAATCCAAACTTGTACCATATGATCCTGTCGTCATTCCTATGGGCGGTGAAATGACACCACAGACTGTAGACAAATTTTTGGGATGGCGTGTCAATCCTGAAAATCCTGCTGAGGAGCAAATGTTGGTCAAGTATAAGGTAAGTGAGGAACCACCAAAACAGGTTCAAAAACACTGGCGTATGAAACTACTTGAAAGTTTCGTAGCATTTAAGCGCTACACGAGTCAATTGTTTGACAACATCACTAACCCTCACACAACCGAATTCATAGAACATGAGTTACTATCACGCTCAGTGGCTTCCAAGAGAAACAGTTGAATTCAACAAGATGGCTGCTGTCCGAGTACGACGATTCTTGGAAAAGCCAGCTTGGGAAACTCAATGGAATGAAGATGAATTCTTCAATCCCTCCTTTGTCAAGGTATGCTTCCAGAACGTGTACTTTTTTTGTTGAGATTGTGCTGACGCTGTCTTCTCTTTGCTTTTTACCAACAATAGATTGATCGTCTTGTTGATGAAGGAGAATTGGAAGGTGCCATCTACTTTTTGGTTAAATGGGGCTCGTTGACTTATGATATGTGTACTTGGGAGACTCAAGAGACTGTCAAAGAGGTGTGTGCTAACTAGCAAGAGGTTTGATACCCATGCGTTATGGCCTCCTTTTCCGCTTGAAGTTAAACCCCATCTTTCCGTGCTTGAATCTGAACCATGGCTCACGATGCTAACCGAGTCACCATATTTTATAGATTGATGAAGATAAGATTGCGGAATTCCATGCATCACGAGTCCTGCTTACTGAAAAGCGAGAAAGCCAACTCCGTGGTGATGTTCGACCGCCATTCAAAAACTGGAAGAAGATTGAAATATCACCAACATACAAGGACGATCACGAATTACGACCCTACCAACTCGAAGGTCTCAACTGGCTCACATATTGCTGGTTTAACAAACAAAACAGTATCTTGGCCGATGAAATGGGTCTTGGTAAAACCGTACAATCTGTCGTCTTTCTACATAACTTGTATGTCAATGAGAAGGTTATGGGACCCTTCTTGATTATTACTCCACTTTCCACTATTGGTAATTGGGAGAGAGAAATCAAGGGCTGGACTGATCTGAATCTGGTCGTGTATCATGGTAATGAAATGGCGAGAAACTTGATTGTGGATACAGAGTTCTATTATCGTGATGGCAAGGTAAGAACATATCGTGATTTGAATCTGATGTTATAGACCTCCTATTTGTCACCTTCTGTCCAAGTTTTTTTTCCTCCTTTCCAACTCACACTCGAATATCTTTTAGAATCAAATAATTCCTGGTGTCCACAAATTTGATATAATCTTGACAACATATGAAATGGCCATGGCTGGTGTTGCTCAACTCAAACCCATCCAATGGCGAACTGTCATATTGGACGAAGCCCATCGTCTAAAAAAGAACACATCAAAAATATCAGAGACTCTCAAGGCCTACAGGATGGACCACAGAGTCCTCTTGACTGGTACTCCATTACAAAACTCGTTAGAAGAGTTGTGGTCTCTACTCAACTTTCTTGAACCATCAAAGTTTGCGGACGAAAGGGTCTTCCAAAACGAGTATGGGAACTTGCGAGATGCTGCTGATGTTGAACGATTGCAGCTGCTCTTGAAACCTTTAATGTTGAGACGTTTGAAGGAGGATGTTGAAAAGAGTATTCCGGTCAAGGAGGAGACTATTATTGAAGTCGAGTTGACTACGATGCAGAAGAAGTGGTATCGATCTATTCTTGAAAAGTATGTACTTTATTCTGAATATTCGTTTGGTTGACCGAGAATGTGTGCGTTCAAGTACTCACCACATTCTCAACTTTTTAAGGAACTTTACATGGCTCAAAGCCGGTAGTGGTAAAAAGACAAATACCCCGCAGCTCATCAACACCATGATGGAATTACGAAAGTGTTGCATACACCCATTCCTCTTGAAAGGTGCTGAAGAGCAAATCTATGCCGAGTATGGTGCTCATACCAACGAAGAGCAATTCTCTTGTCTCATTGAAGCATGTGGCAAGATGGTCTTGATTGATAAGTTGCTGAAGAAGCTCAAGGATGGCAAACATAAGGTGAGCATTTACTACCGTTTCAAACAATATTTTTTTGTTTACGAAAATTTATGTCAATAGGTTTTGATATTCTCACAAATGACCAAATGTTTGGATATCATTCAAGACTACTTGCGACGTAAGGCTTATGGCTTTGAGCGTATTGATGGGTCTGTTCGTGGTGATGTTCGTCAAGCTGGTAGGTTAGATTGTCATTTGGCTTTGTCATTCATCCCTCACACAAATTTTTGCTTCCTTTCAAGCCATCGACAGATTCTGCTCTGGTGACTCTGAGAGCTTTGTCTTCTTGTTGTGTACTCGTGCCGGTGGTGTTGGTATCAATCTGACTGTTGCTGATACTGTCATTATCTTTGACTCTGATTGGAACCCTCAGAATGGTATGTTGTGTCAGTCTTTGTCAGTTTTTTTGTGCTTCTTAACTAACTTGAGACATTATCTATATAGACTTGCAAGCACAGTCACGTTGTCATCGTATTGGTCAGACCAAGGCTGTACAGATATACAGGTGAGTATCGCTTGTGGTTTCACTTCATTCGCTTCGCGTCCTCACTCAAATCTCAATAGATTGATCACACGAGGAACATATGAACGAGAAATGTTTGATCGTGCTAGTATCAAACTGGGTCTCGATCGTGCTGTCCTTCAACGAATGGGCTCTGGAGGTGGTGGTATTGGTCCAGATGAACAACCCACGCAACTCTCCAAGATGGAAGTCGAGACCTTGTTGAAGAAGGGGGCTTATGGAGCCTTCATGGACGATGAAGCTTCAAAGGCATTCTGTGAAGAAGATATAGATCAAATCCTTGAACGACGTACCCAAGTAATCAAGCACGATGCTAATGATACTCGAGATGCACAAGGATCCATCTTCTCTAAGGCTAGTTTTGCCTCGGCCGAAACGGACGCGGTTGCCTTGGATGATCCAGAGTTTTGGGATAAAGTAGCTCAGAAGGCTAGTTTGAATGTAGTCCATCAACAAGCAGCACCAACACTCATTATGGAAGGAGCTCGAGAACGTCGTCAAACACAACGATTTGGTGGTAAAGACGATGACGACTCTGCCTCGGAAGTAGATATAGCAGCCGTGATACGAGAAGTGACTGCAGCCGAAAAGAAAATCAAACCCCAAGATTTATTAAAGCCATGGTCTGGTACTGAACGTCAACGATTTGAACGACGACTCATGAATTATGGATTTGGACAATGGGATAAAATGGCGCGGATATTTAATCGTCGTAGTATTCCTGATTTGAAGGCTGCCGGACGACTCTTGTTGCAGCATTGTATTACTCAACCTCAAGTTGTCGACCTCGAGTTGGCTAAACAAGGAAAGGAGATTATTGATGCGGATGCTCCTGCTCCTGAAGGTGTTGGACCAGAGATTCCCTATCTTGGTGCTACGCAAAATCAGGTACGTGCTATTGATATGATTGTTGACTGATGAGATCTGCAAAAAAATGGCTCACTCACTTTCGAAATACCTTTTTCATCGTTACCTTTAGATTCTCGAGTTCAAATCCTTCTTAGAAGATACGACTATAGATCATAGAGCCAATTTAGGTCGTCGTGCCAAATCCATTCTTACTCGTATCGTCATGTTGTGGAGTGTAAAGAGCAAGATTGATCCACATCCTGGTACAATTGTTCCAGTAATACAGAGCACACCTCCAGCACCATGGTGGGGACTTGATGAAGACCGTGACTTGCTCATTGGTGTCGTCAAGCATGGATATGGCCAATACGATAACATGAAGGTGGATCCCGAGCTTATATTCTCTCAAAAGAAATGGGCCAAGAATGATGAAGAGTATGTTCTTATGGATGAAGGCGGTAATGCTGATGAAAAGATGGATGCAGATGATATGCTTGATGATGCTCCTCTTCCTGGTGTCAAGACTGAAGATGGTTTGACGTCTGATATTAAGATGGACGGCGATATGGATGATTTTGATGATGTCAAGCCACCAATACCCATTGTAAAACAGGATGTTGCAGCTCCAGCTCCACATTCAGAGAATGGGTTTGCTGGTCCTAGTAGCAGTCAAGAAGGGAAACCACCAGTACCAGAAACCGATATGATGGCTGTAGATGTAAACCCCATTATAAAATCGGACGAGAATGGAATGGATATAGACCATCATGATGGAGAGAATGGTCAAGCATCAGCAGCAGAAGACGTCAAACCACCACCTGCCGAACGAGTCATTGTAGAAATTGATTTAGCTACTGGACTACCATTTGGTGTCTATCGATGGCCTACTTCTGCTGATCTTGGTGTGCGTATAAAACGTCTAGTTGCTGGATTCCAACGAGCTGCTGCTGCTGAGAAGAAGGCATCTCTACGTCGAGAAAAGGATCAAGCTCGTGTAAAAGTCAAGAAGGACAAGGAGATTGAGAAATCCAAATCCAAGGAACGAGACTTGACTAAACGAGAAAAGGTTGATTTCGTAAGGATGCTCCACTCCTTCGGTGTAGAGACCGTACCAGGAGAACCCAATGTCCGTGACTGGAATCGATTCCGTCAAATCGCCAATCTAGAACGTAAATCGAGTGGTGTCTTGGAAGCCTACTACGTAAAACTTATTTCCTTGTGTCATGAATGTATTGAAAAGTTTGGACAAAAGGATGCTGCAAATGGCGGTGGTAATGCTGCTGGTCACGAAGAAGATGATGACGACGATCTTGAAGAAGCACCAGCTCCCAAGAAGGGTGATCGAGTAACTACCATTACACGAGATGGAGATGCCATGAATCTCATCCGTGCTCGACGAATACTCTTCCATGTTGAACTCTTCCGTAAATTACGACAAGAGGTCATTACTAGTCCTGTTTTGGATGCTCGATTGGCTTTGGCTGTCAAACATGAAAAGTCTGGGTTGCCTAAGTAAGTTGTTTGGTCGTTGTTAGTGTGATTTGGTTTGCAGGACTTTGCCCAGTCTTTGTGGTTTGTTCGCTTACTTTTTTCGCATTCTTGGTTTAGATGGTATGTTCCAGAGCTCCATGATCGGGCACTATTGGAAGCTGTTGCTCGATATGGTATCTTGAGGTCTGATTTGATGGTCCAAGGTAAATGAGACTATTCGATATTTTGGCTTTTTTTTGTTGCCTTGTCACTATCACTAACGTCCAACATCGATGTTTCGCTTAGACAAAGACCTACCATTTGGTGAAAGATTTGAAGAATACACCAGACTCAAAGGCGGCAAAGCTAAGGAAGAGTTTGAACCTACATCATGGCTTGCTGAACCATTCTGGATGTCTGAGCAAGTCTCCAATCGTCGTGTAGTAGCTCTGATTGATTTGGTGACTGCTCCAGAAGCCAAGCAGACTGTTATTGAAGATTATGAAGGCAAAATGGTTCGTCGTAATCAGCCTCGGCGACGCAAGCCTCGTCCTTCTACCAGCAAGACACCTTCATCTGCAAGGAAGGGTAAAGCTCGTAGTGGGTCGTTTGATACAGACGAAGAAGATTCTGAAGATGTAAGCGCAAGATTTCACATTCGTGATGGCAACAAAAAGGACATGTAGTAGTGGCCAAAAGTATCGGCACAGCTGACTTGGATTACTGACTCGCTTTACTTTCATCATTAGCCATTCGAAGAGGAAGTTCTCGCTGGATTTGGACCAGAAGATGAAGCCGACATGTTTGGTCCAGTACGAGCAAGTTCTAGGACTCCCAAGCCTCCACCTATGGTGGATTTGGGTGTTCTTGAACCCAAAGTCAGTCGACCTCCTCGAGTCAAGTCATATACACCTCCTATAGCTGCTATGCCAACTGTTGAGGCTCAAGGTAGTCTAGCAGTTGCACCGCCCAGGGCACCTACTCCCATCGGTCCTATTTCATTGCCTCCAGTAACTCCCGTTGGTGGTGATAGTGGTGATGATACTGATGAGATGATGGAGCAAGCTGCAAAACGTACCAAGAAGCAACGAAAGGTAAATTGAACAGCAGTTTCGTGTTACGACATGAATGTGTAGATTTTTTTCCTTCATTTTTTGCTCACAAGTCGTATTTTTCTACTAGATCAAGGATAAAGACCAAGACACTGATTATAGGACTTATCCACGAGGTCGTAAAGGACGAACCAGTACCCCGAAGGGTGAAAAGGCTACCAAAGCTCGTATAAAGTCAGGAACATCGAGCCCTGCTGCTCTGACATCTGGTTGGAATGCACCAATACCTATTGCTCCGTCTCCCATGACATATGGAAATGGTAATGAGCAACACCAAGGTGATGCTATGATTATGGCTCCTCATCAGCCACCACCGCCGCCACAACAACAACATAATATGTACCAACAACAATATCAATCGATGCCGCCAATGTCCCATTCACCTCTCACACATACAATGCCTCTCCCCCCCTCGAATATGGCGATGCCACCTCAACAACAACTACAACAGCAAATGCACCCACAACAACAACAGCAGATGCAAATGAATGGCTACCCCCAATATTACTCTCACCCTCAACCACAACAACATATAGTGATGTCTTCGTCTTCTGCTTCAGGTGCACAACCAATGCAAATATCTGCAAAGCGAGCATGGGACGAAGGTAGTGAGTGTCATCCCCAACAACAGCAACAGATGCAAATGCAGATGCAACAGCAACAACATGAAATGTATGAGGATGAAGAGGAGGACGATGAGGAGCAACAATGATTGTAGATGAAAGGTTTTATAGAGAAGGAAGAAAGCAAGGAAGTGGTATTATAAAGAGAGATCTCCATACGTATAAAAGTTTTGCGAAGGTAAAAAGAAAGAATTTGCTCAATATAAGTTGCGTTATATAAGTAATTTTGATGTTGTTCGGTTTTTGCTACACGAACACCGCCAAAACGAGAGACATGTAGTCTTTGATTCAAGTTTCTGATTAGCTTATAAACTCAGCGCCTTGTATTTTTTTGCAAAAATCGCGGTCAATACAGATAAGTCTTGCTTGTGCAGGAGCCAGTGAAGGTAGGCAACGTCATTCACTTTCTGGTTCAAGTAGTATGTTTGCTGTGGTTGTTGAGTGTTAGGAGTTTGGAAGGCGAAAACACAGCATATAGTAAAGGTCCAAGCCGAGTTCAACGTATTCAGACCTTCTTTATACCACAAAAATACTTTCTATTGTAGCCCCCCTTCAATTGTACCCTCCGGTGATAAATATACATTATTTGAACAAAAAACACGCAAAACGACACATTTGTCTTCACGCGACTCTTTTCTGGCTATAAAGTTGAAGCCACTCTTCAAACGTGTCCATATAAAGCTTTCAGGGAGCCATTTATTCTGGTTTAATTCTCATCCCATCCACTCGCACCAACAACTGAAACCTACTGTTGCGCAACTAAGAGGGCACATTAAAGATCCTAGAAGAGCATATAGTGACTCTGGGCCATCAAAATTCATAGCTGACAAGTGAATCAGCTTGGAAGCGATCGACAGGTTCGGGTCGCCCGCTTTTATGAATTCTGGTGGTTGATGTTTACATTAAACAGAGTCGTGCTCCATGTGGTTTTATCTTTGGTGAGCTGGTAGCGTATCTACTGGAACTAGAAAGTTGCAAGAATCACCTTTATAAAAAACACGTCCACCAAAATACATATATGCTTTTTACACGTTTTAAACTATTAACAATCGATATGCAGATATATGCGAAATGTACGGCAGATGAGTATCCTTCTCCACTCGAATTGGTGGACCTGCCAAGAACCAAGATCAGAAAAACAACCACAAAATTGAACCCCACAACGTCTGGATTACTCACCAAAGTCAGCACCATTAACCACAAACTGCACTACCTCGTCCCCACCTCCCCTAAACCCAACCACATCACCAGGAAGCACACATCTCGGCACACTACTTAGCACAGTGACTTCATCCTCTGTATACACTCCCTCAATGTCGAATTCACATGTCACGATACGGGTTTCTGATGCGTCGATTTCCAGGACGTATTTGTGACATGATGTTGTTGCGATGAATCCTACTTGTCTGAATGGGCGCCTAAGTATATGAGTTGTCTTGTGAGTTGAGGGCAGAAAAAAAGAAATGTTCGCATAAAGACCAATGTTCACATGAAATCTGCATCTCGATTGTAATCAATCACAATTCTTAAATGCTGTAGAGAAAAAGTGCTTGAAACAGGTGTTTCGCTCTTGGCTAGACCCAATGCGGAGAGAGGAGGTGTTTGAGGTTCTGCCACGTCGTCCAAACTCTCGGGCGCTAAAAAGGAGCTTTCATGAAAAACCACACCTTACGCGAAGTGAAAGCTAGGCATCTATACCTAATTCGTATACAGACTGCTTAGATTGAGTCTGATTCAAGGACCGTGCTCTCGTTTCATCCTCTTCGTGCGACAAAGATCGAGAAGACGGTTTCCATTCAGAGACCCGAGCAATGGGTGTGAAGCCTTCAGGCAGATACCTAGAAATTGAGGGAAAAAGTCCGTTACGATAAAACACGCCAAAGGAGCACGAGCACAAATATTCTCACGTTATCTTATCCAAAGCGCCACCAAAATACAACAAACATCCTTGCTGTGATGAAAGTGAAATAGCAGGATACCACGTCACATCAGTATCGACATTCTCAAATGCAACTCCCATATCTATTCCATTTCTCCAGTATCGAATTTCTCGTGTTGTTAGGTCAAGGAGTGAGGTGATGATGTCTCCTGATGCCCATGCATCACCATAGGCGTTCTAGGTCAAAAACAAATGTAATTGTAAGAACTTTAATTCCATGGGTTTTTTTTGGCACCTAGGAAACGGCTTAGTGCACTTACATCTTTAGGATCAGCACCATGCCATTTCTTTCGTCGAAAGCCATCAAACGCATAAGAATGCTCGTCATCTACCAGAAAAACAAAAAACCCATTAAAAATAACCGATGACAAAAGATGCTTTGAACCGTCCTACCTCCAATTCCAGTCCCTCCTTCCGGGTCACAAACACAATCCTCACTAGCCCATCCAATCTGTATAATCCCTTCAGTCCTCAACACAACCTCATACACAACTTTATCAACCACAGCAGCCTTATTAGACGCATGACATCCAAACCTCGCTCTCAGACTTTCAAACGTCCAGCTATGATTCCAGACATCACGTCCATAGCTCGCTGTAGTCAAGTAAGGTGTTGATTCGGCTATTATGGAGATTGGAAGAGTGTATGACAGTGGCGGTGGGATTGTCCAGTCTGATATTTGTTCAAATAGTCGGAGACTAAAGAAATGGCAGTGTGGACTTGTGTCTGGATTTTTCAGGTTTCGGAGGATGGTGTTGAATGTTGCGGCGTGCTCGAGTATCATTGATTTTGAGACTACACCTACAGAAGACCAAAAACAATGTTACCGGAGTCACTGCGGATGCTTAAACCAGACATTCCAGATTTCTCACCTCCCAATACTGCACAATCCGATATAGCAGCCACATAATCTTGATCCATATGTATCTCAAGTGCTTGTAACAATAAATGTGCTACTTTTTCCTTTGCAAATATTTTTTGTGCAGTTGCTAAACAAAAAAGGTTATATCTTACTTTCAGTAAAATGATCAACAAACGTGATTCACAGTTCAAAACACTTACGATATTTAGCCAACGTTCCAAGCAGTCCAGCTGCATTCTGCGTCAGCCGCGTCAGATACTGAGACTGAAGATCACCATCAGATGCAGATGCTTCAGCTACAGATTTACTAGGTGCTTGATATCCAGTCGGCGAAGGAGACGAAGTGGCCGATGCAGCTGCAGACACAGGGCTATTCGATAAGGTAGGTGACACCACAGCTAATGATCGTGGTGTTGGTTCAATAGGTGATCCTCGAGGCGACGATACAACAGAACTTTTAGCCGTCTCAGCTTTGCTTCCAACACTACTACTTAAATGGCTTTTATCACTACGAGCGACTGAGGCTGCCGATACAGGTGATTTCATAATGGCGGTCTTGCCTTCATTGTTTGGTATGATGGCAAACACGACAATGATGTCAACCAACAAGGTGATTAATGACTCGAGTTGGAATACAATGGCATCTTCGACACCACCTAGATCTTCATCCAAGACTGAAAAGTACGAGTTTTGTACATTGGGATCTATACCATCGAATATCTTGTGTGTTAGAAAGGCGAAGAGGCAGTCTATGTGAGATGCGAGGCATTGGATTGTTGAATTCCATTCATCGACTGACTCTGCTGCTGATATTGTGGATGAATTAGGTTTTGATGATGATGGAGTTGGAGTTGGAGAAGTTGGTACGGATTCCTCAACAGACTCCTCAATGGGTGTAAATGCGGCTCGATCTGGTGATTGAGATACTGGGGAATCACTTGATACAGATAGTGCCGGTGGTATTACGACAGAGAGTCTTCTGATGGGAAGTATCTCCTGCATTTCTTCAGTGGGACTGGCGCGTTGTTCTGCAGGGTTAGAGTCTGTAGGTGATTCAGGTTGTATGGTAGATGCAGAATGCTCCTCGTTAAAGAATGCAGCGCCTGATGGATATGTAGCCATAAACGATTCCAACAAGGGACTTCGTGCCGTCCCACCATTCTCCTTTTGATGTTTGCGAAAGATAAACATAACACATTTCGGACCTATAAGCAGAATTCGAGTTATGAGAGGCCTGATTGCCACCGAGATAATGTGACGTCGTAAGGAGGGCACTATGATTCGGCTGAGAATGAGCAAAAGAAAACGCAAAAGGCATTTTGACCAATGAAAGCTTACTCTTCCTGCTGATAGTAGTCAACGTCTTTGCACATATCGTATGAAGCGACTCTTTGGTCACATCCAGCATGGTTGTAATCAAAAGCTGTATACCGCCTGCTTCCAAAATTGACAAAATCATTTTCTCTGTGATCAAAATGCATCGTTAGGCAAAAGGGGGAAAAAAATAGACGGTACATGGGCAATGAATGTCGAACATACCTCCGATAGTCGACATGTTTAATAATATGGCAATTCCAGCATATTGTAATTCAAATTCACTAGATCTTGAAAGAATCATGACAGCTTCAGTCATTCCAGAAGATTCAAGAGACTCGTGCGTTTTGACTGCAAGAAATGATAATGAGAACGACAAAAAAGGATTGAGATTCTGAACCGAAATACTTTTCGGGATAAGAAACTTACCAGAGCTGCAAAGACACACGAATATATCAGCAATATACAGCGATTCGTGTGTAGTTGCTAATGGGACTCTGGCAATCAAAATTTCTAGGCCCTTGTTTGCCAAAAAGTCTTCATGGCAGTCCGCTATCGAGAGGCAAAAAAGAGCCCTCAACACAAACACACAATACGAGTGAAAATGCGCTCAATGCATACTATGCCCAATCAAGTCGTGTAAAACGGCCTGTTTTCAAACAATATTTCAGTATCTCAAAGACGGAGAGAAGCTCATGATGCGAGTACATACCAACGCCCAATATCTTGTATCCTCATCAGCAGACGACAAGCAAGACAAGACCTTCTTCAAGACACCAGCACGTAACATGTCATTCTGGAAGTCCTCTAAAACAACACAACCAAAAAGTCAACGAAATAGTGAATTTGAAGAATGGCCAAGCAAGACCTTACCATGACTCAATCCCAGACACTTCAATGATCTAAGCGTAACTCGAGGAATACAAGTCTCATCACCACCTCCCAACATGGAAGCCAATATTTTAGCCAACCCTTTTGATGCAGCAAATTCTTCTCTTGCAACATCTCGTGTTACGAATTCGTGGAGAACAAAGGCTGCCCATGATGAGAGTTCCACGTCATCTAAGTATGGTTGAAGGACGGTGTGAGAAAATCTTGAACGCCAAAAAAGCGCATGAGTGTGACAGCAAAATTACCATTTCGTATACAAGCACATATCAGCGGTACCATATTCATCGACACCAGTTCGTTAAGCTGAGACGAGAAAATTCTAGGTAAGTCCTTACTAAACTAAGAGAGTATGCAGTTCAACAGCTTCAAACCTCATTGACAGCATCTAAGTCGGCAATAAGGAAAGGTTACTAATTTTATCCCTTGTCGACATAATCACAAGCATGCTCACGTGTCTTATCCAGACTTGAGATCAATCGGACGAGAGAATGCAAACACAATTTTTGCATGTTTGAGTTTCCAAAAGTCAATCTCGTCATTGTTGCCAGTATGTTAATGACTTTCTTGGCCAAAAGAAACACGTGTAGTTCCTCTGTGTGTGTAATGGCAAAAAAAAGGCAATGAGAACAGATTGATATTTGAATTCAAATCAATCTGCGACTACCTTGCAGACAGAACTGATGTAGCATTAGCAGAGCCCAATACTTTAGATCATTCGAATGTGTCGGAGTAGAATTCAGCAACTTGAGGAGTGGATCCAGGACTTTGTATTCGATGAGCTTGACCTTGAGTGTATCTAAGTAGAGGACGTTGTAAGAATTGCTGGACTTTGGAAGCAGTCGTGTCAGAGATGCAAAGCGACGTGAATCGTATCCAACAGAAAAGGTGTTGTCTCGATTGGGGACTGGAGCACCTATACGCACCTTTATTAGACACAATCCTGAATAAAGCCACTAGCACATATCGCGTGACGGTCTCATCATCGTTATCCTGATTGTTTAACAGATCGACCAAAATTCTCAAAATCCCAGCCTTGACCAGTTCGTTACGATTTTGTTCTAGGTTGAGAGTGCCATGTCAAGATCAAAATCAAGCAACATGTGAAGGCTAAGTAGGGTCACACACCACTTTTAGTCAATTGCTGTACGGTGGCAATGCCCTTTAGTCTCGTTTCAGCATCATTCTCGATTCGACAAGCATTGACGATATGTGGCAAGTATTCCTCTATCAATGAAATAAGTTGATAATCTTGTAAAGTCGTGTTTGACGCGTGAAATCCACGTACTTGACATTGCACGATCCAACAAGAGTTGCAGTGCACTATGTTTGAGAATAAATGTGAGTGTTCGATTGGTCACCAACACAGGATCCAGCGGTACCTCTCTTGTAAATTGACATTATCACAACGCGTCAGTTGAGCCAGAGCATCTAAACTCAGAACTATGGATAGAAAGGAGGAGGTGAATGAGAACCGTGCCAAGAAGTTTGATGTTGGCAGTGCTATAGACGATCTGCACATGAAATCTCTTTCACGAGAGGCAACTTACAGTCATTTCCAGGCGGTATACTGTGAGCACTTTTCTTTCTTGTAAGTAGTCGCCCCGAGCTAGATCTTCTCCTTCTGGTTGTAGTTGCACTTCTCGTCGCATTGTCCACACGGTGTTGGTGGTCGAGTGAGTCCTGTGAGAGATGCCAGTATATGCGAAATGCAATGAGGGTGGTGGCCGCCGCCAATGCAGCAAATGTTGCTTGTTCGGCAGTAAAGCTATTCATCTTCTTCGTTTGATCAAAAACACGAGAAATGTAGTTTCAAGAGATCTGTATTGGAGTTCAGATAGAAAACGCAAATGCGACTACTGTCTACATTATAAGCATTGATTCGCTGCCTTGATCGTGTCAGATCCCGCAAACAATTCCATCATCCAATTCTTCACATCACACCAGCAAAAAAAACAACAATGATTCGTAGGCTGCATCCCCAAGTCCTATGTCTTCTAGGACACCATAGTAGCGTCATAGTACAGCAGCAGGCGCGGCCTTTTACTGTAACTGCAATCAGGAATGCTCGTCGTAAAACTCGACTCGCTGAATTGTCGAGAGAAAACCAGATACAAGCTGAACCATTGACGGGAGACATCAACAAGGATGGAATGCATCGTTACGAACTAGACTTTGTCGAAACGGCCTCATGGTGTAGGAGGATATTAGAGAGCATGAGGGATGATGTACAGACATTAAAAGGTGAGTGCTGAATGCGAGGTTTGGTTAGTCGACATTCAAACCGCAACATCGAATGCAACCATGAGTCCTCGCAAGGTTACCAGATCGCTGTTCTTACCGTGTACTTCATCACTTAGATAAAGCAAAACCATTGCAGCTCCCAACAACAGAATCATCACCACTCGTAGCCATCCAGACAAGGACTCAACACGCTTACGACTTTTCAAAACCACCAATCCCCGATACCTCAGTCACTCTCCATCTCCTAGTCTCGGAACTGGGTTTATCGCAATCCCAACATCACAAACTCGCCCTATTGTGTGGTGATGAGCTGTACAATCAGACTACCGGAATACTGTCTTTAACCGAATCCTCAAGTCATAAAACTAGTATAAATAGAGAGCTGGTGGCGGATAAAGTCAAAAAGTTGATTGAAGAAGCTAAAGTGAGTTGCAAGTCAAGCTTGCCTGGCTCCGGTATTGAAGCTCGATACTCACCTCAATTACTCTATAGAACGCGGATGCAGACTCGTTTGCTGATGTACCGCTACCGATCAAGCGGAGATCTAGAAGGAATACACCCAGACTGCTAGAACTTCCAAGAGAATGGATTACAGTCAATAACAAGACTGCTGAACCCAACTTGGCGTAAACTGTGCTTTGATAGAAATATCCTTTGTAAGTATCATTATCTCTTCACATATGATTGAAATCAAAACAGACAAACATGGTAGAACTTCAGTACTGTTGCAGCGTTGATGACTGACGCGTCTTCACGATGTTGCGGTTCTGAGGGACTGGTGGCAGGAATCGCAACATCAAGCTCGTCAATACTGATGTCTCCCGTTTATCAAACTTTTTCCTGTGTATGAAGCCACTTGGAGGAAGTGTAGGTCGCAGCGTTGATATGGTGGTTTATGATTAGGCTTTTTATGGCTAGTTGTTCAATGCTTGCATTGCCACACAACAACTAGTCACTTCGAATATAGGTGGAAGCATATCGTAATATATTAATATGTAGGTAAGTCGCAAGAATGTAATAATACCTGCTCAGTTTAGACAACCAGAACGTGCGGTGTTTCATGTGAAACTCTAAGCAGCTTGTATCATTATCATTTTACTTCTATAGTTTATTCTTTTGCAAATGGCCACAGGCTATTACACACATTCATCATCTCAGTAATCAAGACTAACATCCTCATCTAAAACCAACTTGCCCTTTGTTTCCCTTCGAATACGATTTCTAATAGTTTTGGGCATATCGTCATCCGTCATATCACTCTCCAAATCATAAGTCATTTCTCCACCAAACGACATATTGACGTCTCCGTGGACATAAAGAATGCCCCTGCCACATTCTTCTCTAACAATCATTGCATTCAACAATGTATTCCCAATAACATTACTTTCTACTTCCAAGCATAACGAGCTGAGATTCTTTAATCGAGACACCAATACGAAGAGGGTTCTGTCTGCGATACGTTCACCCTCGATGCGAAGACGAGTGAGGTTTGGGAATACGGTTGGGATGACTGACATTTCCGAGTCTCTGTGGTCTTTATCGAGTATTATGGAGAGAGTCTTCATGGATGTGCTTGGAGACATGTTGAATAGCCCTGATCCGATGGCGTCGGTGAGTTCGAGTTCGAGGAAGGCTAGTTGGGGGAGATCTATTACGGTGAATAATGGTCTGTCGAGAGTCACTGCGGTTCTGAGAGATAGGGCACGTAATGTTGGTGATGCTCTGGTGATGATACCATGGAAATCTATTGTTCAAACAAGTGTCAGCAACAGAATTTGCACGCAAAAAACACTTGAAAATGTCGTAATGTTTGCAATCAGACCTTCTGTTTCAACATCAATATCAGCCATCTTCAACTTTTCAAGTCCTAGACCAGTGTGGTTCCAGAACTCTCGGCCAATATTTTGCGTATCCTTTATTACGAGTGTTTTCAGATTCTTAAAGTGAGGCAAGAGAGCACCTTCGTCGTGCAGACAGTCAATTGAGAGAGACCTGAGAATTTCACCGGATGATTGTTGTAGAGCAGTCCATATATATGAGCTGCTACAATCCAGAGAAACTGTAGTCAACTTCCATCGAGCGATTGCGGCATTGACTTCTCTTGAGCTGTAGCTGTCGAGCTAAAACGGAAAAGACATGAATGTGAGTTCAAAGTCAAGTCAAACAAGAGAGTAGAGTAAATCACGATAGAGTGGAACTCGAGTTTACTACCGTCAATTTGGTGACGTGGGGATGAGATATAGCAAAAGCCTCCCATTGTGCAGCAGTCCATAGCTTATCAGCAGGACCACGATCGGGTTGACTCAAAGAGAGAGTATTCAACGATGAGCTGACGTTCCGTAGCGCAGAGCTATCCCATGCAAACACTGTGTGAAGGTTGATGCAGCGTTTCAAGACACGTTTCATAATCAAGTTTTTGTAAGGTTCGGCCCTATCACATGCCAGGTAAGATCATCTGCTAGACATCTGCGAAAACGACTCATCAACTATATTCATACCATCCGTAAAAGTCAGGAAATTGAACCTCCTTCACGTTCTCGTACACATTTTGACGGTATCGCCCAGCCGGATAATCAACTTCATCATCGTCATCGAATGTTGCATCAATAGATTCCGTCATATTTGCATCCAAATCGAGTCCAGCGCCAAGACGCTTCCATAGATGTTTGACAGCCATGCCATTCCAGTGCTTGCAGACAAGGCAGAGATTGTAAAGTGACAATGTCTCGTCGTGTTTGGCCAATACAGCAATTATCTCTTCAATTACATCGTCTACAAGGATTACCGAAGGTTTGACTGGTTTGATTTCAATTCCATCGTTGTTGTAGACGTGATGTTGCATTTTGATGTCGAGATTTTGGATGTTGGGATACTGTAGATGCGTCTACTATAGTAAGAGGATAGATGTAAGCAAGACTTGGATAGGATGAGTGGGATCAAAATGGTCGTAAAAGCGTCAAAAAGTCGAAACTTCAAACAAATCATCAAGCTGCTGTCAACCACCAAAGCTTGTACTAGAAAAGAACGACGACGAACTTACATTTTGGCACCTGAATTCACTTAAACTTAAGCATAAAATGTGTTGTCGTCATGTTATGCGTGAGGGAAGATGATTCACGGAATCGTATTCTCTGGTAGGAAGACATTGATGGACCTTGGACGTGAACAATTCACGTTTCAATGCTTCAATATGTAGGGAAATCAAATCGGTAACATGTTGCAATTCAAAGAAACTCCCAATAGCCTCAAAACGTCGTCTTGAAATTTGAAGTTGCAGTTTTGACACGATGAACGGCGTTTCAGTGAACTGGAATGTAAGCAAGCGATGCTAAAGGTATAATGACACGTTTTTCGGTGCGTCCCCGTGGATCTGTACCTGCAACATGCCAGCCTAAGCGTCTAGCAATTATTGTTCACCGGACGTCACGTTATTTTTGCTGGCATTTTCAGCTGCAACGTATAAGGGAACAAGACCATATTAAAGAGTATTAGCAATATGACATTTGCATTAGCGATATGACATTACAGGCAGTGTGATCTCATTTTCAATGTACATGCGTTCTACGTGATTTGTGAGTTGGTTCTTCAAACACGCACGCACGTTGCAACAACGCATGAGGTGAAATAGAAGGATGGGGTCGAATCGCTTGAAATATTCTGAGTAATATCCACGTCATAAACTGCTCACTGAGCCGAAAACAAGCGGATCAGTCCTTCGTGGGAACCTCAAGAAGCACAAATTATCCACAAACCACAACCACAGTTCCAACGGAGAGTTTCCAAGAGCTGCAGGTTTTGTTTCCCGAGTAGCTTGGAGTTTGGTTCGCTTTTTACTCTCTCACTGTCTCCAATTGCTCGAACCCTGTGACGGCCAAACTCTCCTCTCGTGATTGTTGTCAACCATGAGTACCTCGCCCTTTTCTCAATTCCCAAAGGAAATCAATCCAAACACTCGTCCAGGTACGAAATCGAAATACGCCGTCGAGTCTTTCTATTTTGTTCTATTGTCCAGCGACGTTTGACCGACATCAGTCAGCTCACAGTTTCATTTCGATGTAGGAGCTCCAGCATGGTGGGTTGGAAAATCCTTTCAAACTCACAGGCCATTCAATGGATTTGAAACTTGCTCCATTGCCTGACACTGCTTATTCTTTCTCAACAAGGGACTTCCACGTTTATTATAAAAACAATCCAGCCGACATTGAGGAGGCTAAAAAGCTGTTTGAACGAGTCAAGAATGCGTTCCCAGGAGTATTAGAGTACGGCATGTTGCCATTCCCTGCTGGTCCTCATCCTTACCCTATGTTTGAGGTATGACCTGCGCTTTAGAGTCAACACGTCACGAGGTTCTAAGGCAGAATTCAAAGGTGAATGCACGAACAACCGAAGAATTTGGGGCTTTGGTCTCGTAAGTTTTGCCTTCCGTTGGGTCTGCATGGGCTCAATGACTCGTTTCACCACCATCGAATATGAACCTCATCTTATTTCAAACCCAGCTGGTTTGCTTTCAACCGAGGAAATCATAGCGTGCTTGTACATCCAAACACTGGAGATCAGAATGCGGAACACTCTCCCAAGCACGCCTTCTTCCTCGTAAGTGGTACTTTGTGCTAAAGCCAATCCAAGGTACTAAGGTATCAATACTTTTTTACGTCTAGGGCGAAGCACTTCCGCTAGACTTTGAGTATCTGGCACTGGCTCAAGATTACCAAGACAAGGGCAAGTATTATGGAATGTCGGACAAATTATAGTTCTAGATCAACTTGCTTACTACCAGTAATTTTTTATAGGAAAAACATTCATGGAAGCATTATACCAAGCTACTGAAGACCTGTCAAAGAAGCGTGGCACTCCAAACTTGCTTGCAAAGGTCAAGCCAAAAGTTTAAACTTGATTCTAACATTTCGAATTTAGTATTATGTATGGGTTTGATATGAGGGTCTTTTTAGTTATGCGAAATACAAGTTACATACAATTTGACCTTCTTACAAGTTGAACTACTGTTGGCGAACTTGTTTACAGAGCTACAGGGCTCTAAACTATTATGGCGACTACTTACAGAGTTACACACCTACACATCTAACCGCCTGTTGACGTTCAAATGATACTACTTTGACGGCTCTTCAAGCGGAAGTGTGTTCCAGTCAATCTTTACATCCCTGTTATATAGTTTCACAAGAAGTTCCACATCCTTGTCGCTTTTCAATCCACAAAATATGTTGCTCCAGTCCTTGATTTCGTATGCTGGTGACCATAGCGGACCTGATATTGGTATGAGGTTTGGCTTTGTGATGAAGAAGCACATCCATCCGACATCGAATAGCTGTGATTGTGTCCTGTTAGTAAGTAATCTCCTTCTATGACCAAAGGAAAAACTCACTGAGGAGACAACATCTTTGAGAGTAACAGTCCTTCCATTCAAAAACCACTTGAGATTATACTCAAATACCAAGAATTTGGTTTTTGTTAAAGCCTTCTGTGCACCCTTCAGGACCAGATAGTCATAACCTTCAGCATCGACCTTGAGCACAAATATTCGATATGTCCCGTTAAGTATGTGCGACATTTGTTTGACATTACCACTCATATTGCAAGTGATTTTTGAGCTGTTCAAGAATTCATCTAGACTCATCATAGGTAGAGTCTCATAGTTGTCAGAGTAGCCAGCGGCTGCATCTAGGGAGCCTGTGTTTATAATCATAATGAAATTAGTATTTGGATTCAGCGCAAAATAGTGGTGATATGGTGTGATACCGTGAGTAAATGATTGCTAGAGTCACCTTGTTCATCCCCATCAGTCCCATTACCAAAGAATCTCACAGTATCTTCTCTATCACCCATTATACACTGAGCGCCAACCCAGGGCACAGATCCCCACTGATCTTGCTTAGCTCGAGACGTGAGTAGACCATAATTACCAGTTATAGGCTCAAATGATATGACAAGCTCATTGTCTCTACATCCTGAATGCTCCTCCTTATGTACTGATTCTGGGAAGGTTGACGTGCATATAAAATCTGTAAATGTCTGTATCATCTTGGCGGTGGTTTGTCCAATGTTGGCTCCTATATCGATAAAGACTTCGCGACCAGCAAACTCAGTGACTCCAACCGAATTGCCACCACCATCCTGAGCTCGTAGTATGTTCTCATGGTAAATTACAGCCTACAAAGACAAAGAAAAACAAGTAAGACTTGCATTGTCCCTTCAATTGGATTCTAAATCCAGCGCAAACCATGTATGGTGCCAGCACAACAAAGTCCTGCATTCCAATTAGATCGCTACGACCACGACCGAAGGCAGCCACGTAAGGAGACGCATCATAGCTTTTAGGTATGGGTATAGTGGTGTTGATTGACGAGGACGTCTCTGTTGGTGGTGGACGAGTAGTTTTCGACGTGGTAGACACTATATCATCATGTATTATATTTGGATGTGCCACTACGGGTTTCTCTATCGGTTTCTCCAGGTTTGCTCCATTCTGTGATGTTGCGGCATTTCGGTCAATGTTTTCACGTACAGCGGAACCATTCACCCATGGAAGAGAATTCGTATGCTTTATATTGGGCGCGTGGTTACGTTTGCCATCGAGAACTGCCACTTCCTGTTGGCGAACTGCTGGAGTTTTCTGCTCAGTGTTGGCTTGATTCGATGTTAGGATGAAGAAGGGGACGAGTACGAGGAGGAGGATGAGGATTGCTCCAATAGTTACAATCCTGGAACCTCTAGCAGCCATCGAGAAATACCACCGATCGCCTAGTAAAGTTGGAGACAAACCCGTTTTAGTTGAGAGCTGCGTTGAAAACTTTGAAATGGAAACGGTGACGAACGCTTTCGTGTTGGACGCGCTCAATCGAACTTTGAGAGCTGCAGCATTTATTCAATATTAGTGTATTTAATTGTTTAGCTATATAGGCCATTCACATTGTTGTGCATGTTACAGAGTAGACGATGCCCTGGCGTATCTTTTTACTCCCTCGCAAAAGTGGCGTTGACAAAGATTCAATACAAATATGACCTTCTCAACCTCAGCTTCAAGTGCTCTCCAGCAGTAAGAGTCTCCTTTCGACCACCTGCAAACCCGTACTCTGATTCGACTCGAGTCTTGTCTACTACTTCGTCCTGAAGCTCCAGACCGTCCAGTAATGGTGACGGTATCGGATCTAGTGTTGCAGCTGCCTCGGGATGTGCAAAGAAGGCCATAGAGTATCGATCCAGATGTTTTGTTTCCTCGTCGATCATTACTCTATGAATTGTGGATGACAGATACCTAAAGGGAAGGAATGCTGTGAGCACTGAGTAAGCTCTAATAGGTTCATGATCATACCCTCGTGTCCAATACTCTAGACAGTCACAAGTGTTGATTACGAGAGCTCCCTGCCGGGGAGGGACAGAAACCCATTGCGGTGGTTTCTGCGGGTCCGTTCTTAGCAATACCTGCAGTCCGGAGGATTCATTTGGTACGAACAGGCATGTGACTGATCCATAATCGCTATGCTGTAGACAAAAGTTTGCACCGTTTTGGCTGTTCCGAATGAAGATGCACAATTCTTACTTACCCCACCAGCTCTCTCCGTCGATTTGCTTGCTCCAGGTAGTGGAGGATAATGCAATATTCTTAGCTTATCACCACTGTATTCCGGGATTCGGTGTCGGTTTGCCAACCACTCTCGTCCGCCAGCTTCATCTGGTATATGCAATCCTGCACCGATAGCATGGTATATCTTCTGACAGAGCTCCAAGCATTCACCCACAAACCTTTCGGCTACACCGCCTTGTATAAAGACATCTGGAATTGGATGTTTTGTCTTTTCAGTGAATTTGAGGATGTGGAATGACTCTTTTGGGTCCGTATTTTCCGAGTTTGGATTCAATTGCTCCATTCCCATGTGTAAATAGCCAGCGTCCAGTTCCGCAATATGTTGATACTTGAGCTTATCGTACAAGGGTGAGTCGAAAAACTTCTTGCCAGCTTCAAACATCGAGTCAATGTCGGGCTGCGGTATGCCATGGTTGGTCAGATATAGAAATCCTAACGATTAGAGAGTGATGAGTGGTGGTAAAACTTGGTAACTCTTGTGTTGATGTGTTGTTATCGTACCAAATTTGTGACTGGCAGCGACTAATTCTTCACCGCATTTGAGCTGTTCATCGGGCGTTCCGTTCAGAAATTTACTAAAATCGATTACTGGAAGTGGGCTGTGTGTTTCTGATAACATTGCGGCCAGTTTTGTAGGTATACAAAAGTTCCTTCGATTACGAGCTGACTTTCTGAGTAGATTAGACTGACTTCTAGTAATATATCAGATACACTATAAATGACTCAAGTATGAGTGCCTGAAGCTGGAATGCCTTTTGCACCTTACCAGGTGTCCTCCTTCAAAAACTCTATCTGTAGGCAGAGAAAGCTGGTGTGGATGAGTGACGTCCAAGAAGAACACAGGAATTTTCTGTACAATTTAAAATTCTGTTCAAATGTTGAGCTTATTCCTTTTCACAACCATTCGGCTCTTGAGTTTTGACAATAGGAAAAGTGAGTCAGTTGCAGAAAAGTTCCCGGCTTGCTTCAGTAGATCCTTATCCAGATCAAATTTGATCTGATATTTTCTAGCTGATCTAGTGTCCATCTGGTCTGTTCTTGGGTAGATCAACTAGGTCATTTGAATCTTGCGAAGTTCTCAGCGTTAGCGACATCAGTCGCGCCTTCACGTGTCTATTACTTTAAAAGGTCGTTAAAATGTCTCATGCGAAATATGTCATTGATATATCATCATCCTAGCTCTTATAGTCACAAAAGCTCGTCGTTTCCAAACATCTGCCAAGAAATTTGACTTACTGACAATGTTCTCGCAGCAGCCAAAGCGAAGAGATACTGACGATGGAGATTTCAATTCGATGCCTCAAAGTCAGCAAAGTCAGCCTCGCAACCCAAAGAGATTTAGACGATCGATGCACGAATATGAGATCAGAGGAATCACAGTAAAGTACGTCCCATTTAAAGTCGATCATTATATCATTAAGCTCATTCAAAGCTGTCCATTAGGTTTCCTTTTGCTGCTTATGACTGCCAAATCGAACTAATGTCCAAAATCATTGAATCACTTCAAACGGTGACTTGAGCTTTCTTCCATTCCCCCATTCCAGTTGTCAACCACAGAATTGATCATCTAATTCAGCTAAACTATTAGAGAGGAAACGCTCTTATTGAATCGCCAACTGGAACAGGCAAAACGCTGTGCTTGCTGTGCGCGACACTCGCATGGAGAGAAGCGTATATCGCAAGACAACAGTTGCATCGAGCTGCCAAGGAGAAACCTCTACCTCCAGGTGCTGATGCTACAAGAGAACAATTGGATGCTATGATCTCTACAAATCCTGCCAACGGTAGCTTTGACCATTACCAGATCATGTTTGATTCTTTGATCCCTTGCTGATACCACATTCCTTTCTTTGCAATAGAAAAGTATGAAGAAGATCCACCAAAGATTTACTATGCATCTCGTACACATTCGCAACTATCGCAATCTGTCCGTGAACTCAAGGCTACAGCCTATAAACCGAGAATGACTGTGCTCGGGAGTAGAGAACAGCTGTGCGTACATCCTGAAGTCAAGAAAGCATCTACTAGCACAGTGCAGAACGCACTTTGTCGAAAGATTGTCAAGAATAAGAGTTGTGTTTTCAAGTCCAACACTGAAAGTATGACGTCCTCGTTTTGTAGCCTATCTTAGCAATGATATCAAGAACTTTGTTCATTTTTAGCCGTAATTGCCAAAGAGAGCCCACAAACGATGATTCAGGATATCGAAGAACTGGTGCAATTTGGGCTTTCTCAGAAGTAATATCATATTTCATTCGAATTCAATCACGGTCAGGTTACTCACCCTTGTATCTACACTAAGAGCATGTCCTTACTTTATATCACGAGATATTTTGGAAAAGGCAGAAGTCGTATTCCTGCCATACAACTACCTCGTAGATTCAAACACTCGAACAACTCAAAAGATTAATGTCGCGAACGCCATCTTGATATTTGATGAAGGTCATAATCTGGAAGGTTCATGCAGTGATGCCACTTCAGTCGAAATCACTACAAAGGACTTGAATGATTGTATCAAGGAAGTGCAATTATGTGTCGAGAAATTCATGTCTCCACATGAAGACTATGTAGAAGTATCACCCAATGATTTCGCCATGCTCAAAGGTAGTGTCTGATTGCCCTCGTGGGAATATGAAACTTCACGTTCACACTTATTTTGTTAGCCTTGCTGGTCAAGTTCTTGGAAGATATCGAGAACCTGAAGCTTTCCACCTCTTCCAACTCATTGACCAAGTCTGGAGATTACATGTTTGAGCTACTTGCCCTTCTTAACATCAGCGTCATGACTGTGGGTGACCTCATGCAAATACTGGACGTTGCGGTGGAAGTTCTCATAGCAGGTGAGATGTCCAGGTAGACTCGGCTGGATTTTTTTTGGATCTGCCTCGAACAAGAATGACTGAATTCCATGTTGTTTTTAGACGCTCAAGAAAAAGGGAGATCAACCAAGTTGGGCTTGATTGCTCTCAAACAAATGTTAAGCATTGGTAAAAAAACCCGAGTTCTAAGCACTTATACTCATGTTGTCTGATCACTCTCCATATAGTCTTTCCTGGATGTGATTCGAAACAAAGGCAACCCAGAGATATTCGGGCCTTGTCAAGGCAATACAAGGTGCATATCCAGTCAGAAAACCTAGTCCAATTCGGAGCAAGAAAGCCCGGTCAAGCTCCTGAACAAATCCGAACCTTGAGCTTTTGGTGCTTTAGTTCTGGAATTGCCATGCAGGATTTGGTAAGAAAAGGCTGATTGTTGTAGCAGGCTATGTCGTAGTTGTCAATACCTTTTGTTCTCAGATCATTTCAAAGAATATTCGGAGTGTTATACTTGCTAGTGGTACCTTGGTAGGTCCTTTTTCCTAGTATGACATGGTGCACCCCGACTTGTCAATTTCAAACCAATGGTTTTGTAGAGTCCTCTTGACTCCTTTGCTTGTGAACTTGCCATGTAGGTGAAGCTCTCGACACAAGTTCTTCGTGAATATCAAATTAACTAGCTCTTACCATAGACCTTTCCCAATACGGCTTGAAAATCCACACGTAATCGAGCCTCATCAAGTGCATGTCACTGTGGTTCCTGTTGGTCCAGCTGGTTACAAACTTAACTCGTCGTACGAATATCGGTCATCTAATGAGTATATTTCTGGTAATCTCAATGGCCAAAAAGCAATTGAGTATATGCTCTGCTATATTTTTTCACTGGCCGCTGACTTTGATACAAATCACAGATATGGGCAACACAATTGTGAATTTTTCGCGGATTATACCTGATGGTGAGACAAGGCTGTGAAACACTTTCATTGATGCTCTCACGTTTACCGTTGTGCCTCTTTTAGGTCTCTTGGTCTTCTTTCCATCATATGGTGTCATGTCATCTTGTACCGAGTCTTGGAAGTTTGAGGTATATGCGAATAGAATTATATTGCTTCTTTTATCCGCTCATTTTTCGCGATAGGCCCGTGGACAAAAATCAATATGGGATCGCATTCGTCAAAACAAGGAAATCATCATGGAGCCCAAATCGAAGAATGACTTTGCACATGTAAGAGATCCGTTGGATTCGGTTTTGTGGAATGTTCTGAAGACTCACGTCGCAACATAAATTTGTATTGATCAAAGGCCATGGATGAATTCTATGCAAAACTCAAAGATCCTGCTCGTCGCGGTGCAGCATTCTTTGCTGTATTTCGTGGCAAAGCGTCAGAAGGATTGGACTTCAGTGATTCCAAAAGTAGAGCGGTTATTATATGTGGAATACCTTATGCACCATCGAAAGATCCCAAGGTGTTGCTCAAGAGAGGGTATCTAGATTCGAACATGTCTTTTGCACGAGCGCAAGGAATCACGGTATGTTACTGCTTCAGGAAGCAACGTTGATTTTCAACAATATGTCTGAAGAAGCGTTTTTTATTGTCCGTAGGCACTCTCAGGTCAAGATTGGTATAAACAGCAGGCCGTCAGAGCAGTCAATCAGGCTATAGGGCGTGTCATTCGTCATCGTCGTGATTATGGAGCTATTATACTGGCTGATGAGAGGTTTGCTCAACCGCAAAACATCAAACAGTTGCCATTATGGGTTCGACCATACGTCAAAGTTGCAAGCAACTTTGGACAAGCGCAAATGGATTTGATCAAGTTTTTTAAGAATATCGATGAAGTCCAGGTGAGAATGATACCCTTTGAAAATCAATCTTAAAGAGCATTCATTTATTTTTTGGTTTAATAACAGAAACGATTGGATACCGCGGAACAAGCTTCTGACTTATTTGAAGAAATTCCAGATACCCTAATATCTCAACGAACAGATAGTACAGCCAGTCGGCCTCCGAAATCGTCATTTGCTACTTCACATCCAGAGCAAATCAAGGTCGCTAGTCAAACCATGAAAAGAAATGGCTCTAGGTCTCTGCTTGATACTTTGCAAGGACAAAAGGTTTGGAACTCTATTGCAAGTGCAAAAAGAGACCTCTGATTGATTTGCAAATTGACCAGACTCAAGGCATGGACTTTGATTCTGTGAATGGAGATTCTCGAAAACCCATTTCGCAGGGATTTGGTGTACCAAACAGCCTTCAGAATATGATGGGAGGAATGGTCGGAACAGCTCCGTCTTCATCATCTTCACAAACAAGGCCGATGCTAAAGCCAACATCATCGAGCAGTCAAAAGAAACCTACCCAGACAACCTTGTTTCTTCAAGGCTCTGGATCTGTATTAGCAACAGCATCGTCATCATCAACCGCTACAACTGAGAAGCCAAATGGTGCTCCAGAGTATATTGCATCTGTAAGTTTATTGAGGTATTTGGTCGACAGGACGCATGAAAATGAATTCCCCGGTCATTGTATAGGTCAAGAGATCAGTTCCGACTGAAGTGTTTAAGAGATTTGAGAACGCCTTGAAAGGTTTCAAGGCTGGTAAACTCAACGTTACAAACTTAATCGACGAGTTGGTAGAGCTCTTTACGTGTGTGGACTCGAGTAGTGCAGAGACATGGATGTCTCTGATGCTCGGATTCAGAACATTCCTTACACCGTCAAAACAAAAGGAATTCGATACAGCAGTTAGGAATCTAGGTGTTGCGATTTAAAAAGGTTACTCCATATCATTTGTTATGCTTTATTCTTTCCATAATCCTCTGTAGATTTCTTTGGACACTTGTACATATATTTGGTAGACTACATTACTCTGATTGACTAATTAACTTTGATGGACTCAAGGACAGAGCGACCGTGCCAACAAAAATTGCTCCATACTCTTGTAGAGCTGTGACACTCGACGCGAAGGCAGCAAAGTCTGGGAGCGAGAATGTCGCTTTGACTGCGTCGAGATTCGCACATGTTCCAATACCGCCATAGACTGATTGAAATTCCATGTAGAGAAGATGAAAAAAAACGAAACCAATTTCAACGCAAAACATGGAGCAACCTTACACTTGTCATCTGTGGTGCTCTTGTACGTGCTCGACGATGAAACCCGGGAACCGCCTTTTGAGCAGCCTTGTATAGAGCCTCTGTATCAACTGGGCCAGGTTGAGGGGGCGCTTCTTTGAATTTAGAGCTCGTAACAGCCTAAAAGTAAATGGAATTGGAGACCAGCTGCATCACCAAAAACGAAGTGTTTGGACGTATCATGCGACTTACTAGTCAGACGCCGAAGGAGCTTGTGGATTCCACTCGTTGAGTTAGTGTAAATCCTTCGATAATGTATGTACACCACCGTCATAGGTCCTTGGCTTTTGATAGGAATGTGTTTAAGTTGGTGACTGTGTCGAACTATGGGATCATAGAGACAGAAGGTAGAATCAATTAAAGGATTGTATTACTGAATTTTCTTGAAGATATCGAAGACAATGCGTTTACAGTAGCCTGGCACTACTTCACGTGAAAGCCAGCCTTCAATATGACATGCTGCGGCAAACTCGAATGTGACAGCCCATCAAAGCCAAACACTACTGTCAAAACGAACTTTGCGACCAACATCGTGATAGAAATGACAGACAGAGACCGTTAAAAGGCGAGATGATTTCTTCAAGTTTCTGCATAACAAAAAACCACCTCGTCTACTACTACAACTACCTCTCACTACAAGATCTTGAAACCCACATCTGCACTGCAGGATCTTGCACAACTACATCACCATGAAACTCTTTATCATCTTCTTGTTGGTTTCTCTAGCTTCAGGTAATTGAATGCGTCGAACGTTGAAGTAGAGCAAATGATTTGACTTGAATGCAAATTTGATTAATAATTGTAGGTGTACTTGGTGGTGGTGGAGGCCAGTCGATCACATGCTCCAACGCTGGTAGTGGTTCGCAAATTTGCCAAATCGGCGGCCTAGCAGCAGAAGTGGCTCCAGATGGAGACATTGCTCAAGACGGCGATACTGCACTGGATCTGGATATTGCTCAAGGAGGTGGAGGTGGTGCCAAAGTCCCTGCTTGTGCTTATTACACACCAGGAACCAAGTGGACTATCAACTGGTATGGCTTGGTGGTGCATCGTTGAAATTCGGTTCTTTTGGTCGATCTGACAAAATTCTCTCCTTACAATGTAGGCCATACCAAACTCAATGTGGCGGCAAAACCGTCCACGGTTTAGCTCCTAGCGGAGGCTGCAGCCCTTGCAACAATGTGAAATCTGTTAACAGGCCCAATTTTGCTGTTGCAGTCAGCTCTAGTGGTATAGCAACATCTTCAGCAGCTCAACAATGCGCATACTATCCTTCTCCAAGTTTCACCGCCACAGTCAATTGGGCTTATCGTACCAACTGTCCTGGACGAGGTGTTGTCTCTGGACCAGCACCAGGTCGAGGATGCAACCCATGCCAAAACGTGAAATCTTAATCAAGTCCAAATTGTACAGTACTAGTGCTTCTTCGTCTTCTTCTTGCATATCTTGGTAGCTTGTAAACTTGTTTCAGCCAAATATATATAACCTTGAGCAAAATCTGATGTGATGTAATGGCTTGATCAAATCCCATAAAGTTGCCCGACTCAACTCCATACGACATTGGGACTCGTCTCAGATTTTCGTTGTTCGTGTGTGATGCAAGAGCGCACTGAGTAGATCTTGACGATCATTCGGCAGTATAACTAGTAAAAATATAATCTTGTTAGAAACCGTGTACAGTTCGTTCACGTTTCTCGCTGTCATCTCCTGAAAACCAAAATCCTGATTTTTGACAATTCTCTAGATTGTAGGTAAGAATGGAGTCTATACGATTGCCACCGCTGCCACATCATGCATCCAAGCAGATCATGCCCAGTTTTTCTCCCTCGGGTCGCGTAGATCAGACACCACAACCTGTTATTCAACAACAACACGAAGTAGTTAAACATGTGGATTACGACAAGATATTAATTGCACTCTCTGGATTCTACGGACCGCATTTGTACGATCGGTACTCGACAGTCATAGACAGATTGACTCGAGTCTGCAACGAAGGAATCCCACTCGCAGATGTTGGAAGAATCACATCTGTCTTGAATGCATTGCACACAACTTTGATCAGAGAGGGCGCTGAGCTAGCGCCCGATGTTAGAAGGCTGCTAGGTGCTTGCGGGTAACGATTTCTCTTTTTGTTTGATTTTCTCCGTTGCGTCTGATGTTGCTCCTGTTAGGAATGCATTACTACTACAATCTGAAGTGGATCTATCTGCTCAAGAACCAGTTGTCAGCCAGTTCGTCAATCAAGTTGGAGATTTCATACAGACTCAATTAGATGAAGTTGTCGAAATCGCTGCAGATGTAACTAGTAGTTGGCTTTTCGCCCAAACACACCATGATCTCACTCAATTGAATTCTAGATCACCTTCAAAATGACTGGAAAGCAGGGAGAATATGATCGCGCAGAAGCAGCCTACCACTACATTTGTTTGGATTGGCAACAGAAATCTCCTAAAAGGAAGAAACAGGAAACTTGGAGTGGATTTGCCTTCTTGCCACATATCGAGAATGCGTATGGACTCTATGTGTCGAGCCCTTTTCTTTTCTTAATATCCAAACCAACTTGACAAACTCTCTCCAGGGTGGTTGCTCCAAAGTTGCTGCAAGCGCTACGGTCCATATCCACCCTTTCGTGTGAATGGAAGGTTTTACGAGCACTAAGAAAACTATCGTCAGCCTCAGTAGTGTGCTGTCAACAAATCATCCAAGGTATTCGCATTCAAAATCTGTTTGATTCACTTGAAACGTGAAACCAACGTGATCGTCCATAGATCGTCAATTGGCATTTCTATGTGAATGCGCCGCACGCTTACCAGACGAGTCTCTGGTCGCTATTGCTGTGGACATAATGTTTAATGTGCTCGAAGGAGACGACACAAACCAAGGTGCCCAGATTCTTGGATCTCTGGTATGTTGCTACTCCTTGTTTCAAGCCGTGCCATCAACTCATCGGCAAACAAATTCATAGGAGTGTATAACCGAACTTTCGTCAGTCTATCAGAAACTAGTACGAAAAGAATACCAAAAGCCAGATGAGCACCTCCGAAACGAGTTACTTTTACTCTTGACAAGAATCGCCGAACTGTGTCCAGAGTCTAGACCAAATTTTTCTCAGACTGGATTTGTGGCATTGATGTGTAATACGCTTCTAGCAGGAAAGGTGTTCGCCAAGAGGAATGCAAGTATTCATCTTTCGTTGCCTAGAATTTGTCTGAGCAAATATCTAAACAACTGTGCTATCTAGCAACCGTCATCGGAAGACTTTCAGTTGTGGAAGTTGTCGATACGTAATCTGATGGTCCTCTGTCAGAACGAGTCAAATCTGGCTAACGCGCTTGAGGTAATTGCTCTTGCCAACAGTGACTGTCCATACCAGCTCCTTTTTTCGCTGTCGTAGACCTTTTCAAAACGCATCCGTTGACGTAGGCTGGATTACTCAAGTTCGCATTTGCCTATTTACAAGAGGATCATGCCGTGAAATTTGGATGGTCGAGAACTCAACTCAAAGAAATACAAGTGCTGGTGAGTTTTTTGTGGAGAATAAGAGTATGAGACATATCCAAGTCACTTCATGAATCTTCTTGTCACATAGATCCTTGGAATGTTGACAGAACTAGTATCTCGAACGATAAATGAATTCAAGCCGAAAGAAGGTGATATAAGAGCGCTCAACTTTTTAGCCTGGGCAATCAAGTGTGATTCGGGTGAGCGTCGAGATGCTGCTGGTATGCCTGAGGAGATGATGGGACTAGTGCCCGCTACTCTGAAACTGCTACTGGCTACAGCTGAGCTTGGTGTTACTCATAAAAAGGATTTGGGATCTCATGGAGTGTTTGAACATGCTATCTGTAAGTACTACACCCCAAACATACCCTTTGACTCTCACCAACTGTCAATCGTGAATGTAGATCTACTCAGGTCTTCAAGCAATCAGATTGAACTAGTGTATAATGCAATGGTCTTGTGTTCAACTCTATGTCAAGGAAGTAAAGCCAATAAGATCTTGTTTGGTAAAGCTGGAGGTGTTTCTGCCTTGATACCGTATTTCAAGTATGATTCGGCCAATCCGAAATTACGCAACAAGATTGTTGTCGGCCTGGTAGAGTGTATTTGGATGTGCGTGTCTGGTTGCCATTCTAGCGAAGAGGAATTTCTACAGAGTGGAGGTAAAGGGTTTTGTTGTGTGCTTTAAAACATGCTGGGCTCCAATCATTTAATTTTTGTCTCGAACTGTTTCAGGAATGTTCATGTTACTCGATCGTATGGAAATGACTCCGCAACCTCTGAAGAAGCACATTATGGGTTGTGCTTTGGATTTACTTGAGAATCCGAAAGCTCGTTTCCATGTGTTGGAATGGCGCTCAGTAGTTGATGAATCTCAGGGTATTGGTCACCTGTTAATTGACATGTGGCACAAGGAAGAGGAAAATCTAGGCGGTCAGTGTTGTCCTATTAGCCAACTGAACTGGACTAACACGAATTATCCTGTGACAAACATCCTTTTTTTTGCTTTTGTAGTACCACAAGGCCCATATGGAGAACTTACCGAATTGGAAGATCCCCTCAATATTCAGGCATATCCAGTATGCTGATTGTAGTAGTTGTTCAATTGAGGAGAACGCAAGACTGACAGTTTCTTGTAGCGTGAAGCTCTCAGTGAAGGAATTGCTGTTCCTGAGATATCCATGAATATGAGGGTAAGTTCTCCATGAGTTCTTTGAGCGAATCTGTCGAAACTCACGTCTTGGTTCTTCATCAGGCAAAGGTCTATTCCATGTTTACAAAGCTTGGATTTGAACCCTTTCAGGAAATACTGTCTGCCGAGCAGAAAATCAAATTACTCCTAGTATGTTTAGAAACATATTACTTTATAGGTCTGAATATCGGAATTTTTTTACCCATGTCTTTCTAGATTGCCAAGTACCTCGACTTCAAACTTGGAGAGGTTTGGGAAGAGATTTGTGGAGAACTTGACCAAGAAGGAGTTCGGTACGTTCATCTGGTTGCAACCGCTTTCGTTTCAATTTAAAAGTATTTTGTCTCTGAATTCTTGTCATAGACCTGTAACGCCTGATTTGGATTGTGTATTGACGAGCAAGCAAGTACAGCTTGAAAAGGCTTCTACTGTCAGGCAAAGACAGTTGGATTTGGTGAAGAAGAAGATGGAGGGAGATTCTGCAAAGGAACGGACCTTCTTACAAGAGAAAATCACGCAGATAAATACCCAACAGCATTAATATATACGTATTTTAATTCACGCCGCCATGGCATTGAACCGTGTATGTTCGTTTATCAATTGCAGAGTTGGTTCAAAGGTCATGATAAAGAGATCATCGAGTCGTGATGTGTCTGTCCAGCCTCTGATACCAACAAAACACGAGATATCGTCCAATGTTTAACTCTTGTCCAAATGATTGAATATTATGCAGTGAAGCGATTTTTTCGATACTGTAACAATGAAAGCGCAAAAATGACACGTCTAGACACGTCTTTCCCAGCCTTGTCGCCCACCCATTTCGACTACCATGAAACTGGACATACATGCAAGGTGAATTCCCAACATCCAACAAACAGCCACACTCGAGCACCAAACAGGAGCACGAAGAAGGAGGAAGGCACACATCTGCCAGCCATCCGCCGACTTCAGTTTGCAAATATCAACAACACCCTACAATCACTATGTCAGAGGGAGTCTAGTTGTAGACGGACGACCTAGAACCTTGTAGTTCTCAACTGTCGACCTCCAACGCAACGACAAAGCCCTGGGGTACTCGCTATAACGATCAACAAGCACTTACTACTTCTGGCAGCACGATCTTTGTAGTGGTCAGCATTCAGGTATGTTTTTTCATTTGCGGTAACGTTGATTCAATCATCAACCACACATCCAAACATCGCGATACCGTCATAGATTTTAATCTATTATGCCCTGTCAAACATCAATCCACCTATGTTTACATCAAATCTAACCTCTCACCTAGTCCACTCTACTAGTTGCGCCTGTCTTTCAAGAGTTTCCTATTGGCAAGTATGGCGTTTTTGGTAAATCCAAGCAAGGTAGGCGCAATCTCCTTCCCTCTGCATCCATTTGGTCTTGCCTCTTGCCCCACTCTGGATGGCCAGCTATTGAGTCGACATCATGGTGGGCTGGAGGGTAAAATTGCTGGCTATACCTATGAACGTAATCAAGCACGTCGACATTGAGGGCTACCCTTCGTTGGGGTGAGACACTCGTAAAGGATCTGGATATCTTTTTCTGGAACCGAAGGCCGGCCTGCGCGGCTTCGGGTTCATGGACAGTCAACTTTGGTTGGCGCGCAAGTGTGATGGTAGAAGATGGAGTGAAGGAGGGAGTTAATCTCACTGTGGTGGAGGTAGAGGATTTGGTGATTGTAGCTGATAACGCAAAAAATCCTTTCTTGTTTGCTTTGCCATCCATTCGTTATGATGTCTGGTAGATACACTTTCGTCGCATTTGCTTGCGTACGTGTTTGGAGGTTCGAGTCTAAACACAAGGTTAGTAAAACAATTCGTACACCAGAATTCCAACCATGCGATTTTTACAGTGACTCCCTGAAAGTGACGATATACTTGCATATACTCTTTCATAGTTCACCATATTTTGTCTTTCGCATACTAAAAGTCGTACAATCTACGCCAAGTACATTTTGAGCAAACTATAGTGCAGCAATGACGGTACCAATTACGGCACCACCAGTCTCTTGTTGAGCAGCAACGGCAGCAGCGAATGCAGTAAAGTCAGGGAGTGCTGCAGCAGCTCTGAGAGCCTCGGCATTTTCAAAGCTTCCAATGCCAGTGTAAACTATAATTGCAAGGTATAAGTAAGACACTTTAATGACAGTTTTAGAGCAAACTTACACTTGTCATTAGCAACATTCTTGTATGTGGATTGACGGTGGTATCCGGGAACGGCGGTTTGGAATGCCTTGTACATTGCCGATGTATCTGGCGATGCAACTGGTGGTGCTGCTTTCAAGACTGACATCGAAACGACCTGAAAAATGGTGGTTGGTGATGTTGACATCTTGCACAAAAAACCCCCCAAGTTGACTTTAGCATATTGCTTACGAAAATGTCCGAAGCTGCTGGAGGCTTGGATTCAACTCGTTCAGTCAGTGCAAATCCTTCAACAATCCATGGCGCGAGAGAAGCGAATGTGTCCTTGGCCTTTGGGAGGAAGGCGTTCAAGCTGGCTACATTGTCGAACTATCAGATTGCAACAAAACAAGGCGTTAGATGGAGTCAATTTTGGGAGAAAAACAGACATAAATAGCGCAATGAAACCGCGATTCAAGCAATGGAATAGGCCGGAATGAGGTCCAGTAAGGACATCACGTGTGGGTATTACAGACAATGTCAAGCCTAGTGCGTTGCTAGGGACTCGAAAGTAACATAACCGACTCATACCTGATGTACAATCATATGGGAACTTCTGGCTGGTGGGACACCATCAGCGACCAGCTTCTTGATCTATGAAAAAGTTATTTTCGTGAGTTTGATGTATCGAGTACGAGACGCTGGCAAGAAAGGAAAGCCGAGCAAGACATACCAAGAGAACGGCAGTAGTTCCAGCTACAGCTTTGGCTGTCGGCTAATATGAAAATGCTGTTAGCAAGATGTATGCGGCGAACCACCTGAAAGTAAGGTATCACGTACGAGTAAAGCCTTGGCAGCATCTTCTTTGGTGGCGTCTTCGATGGCGACGATGAGAACGGCGGTACCTGACATGGCTAGTTGGTTGATTGTATTTGATGTTTGATTAGCCGTTTGTTGAGTTGTTCGACAAAACGGGTGGTAACACTAATGTGTTGTCTGCAGGAAAAATGGTATTGGATGTGATATAGGATGAACTTTGCAAAATATCCCTAGTCGTTCAAAATACGTAGATAGTGTACTTGCAATATTTGGGCACGCCTTGGATGATAAACTCTTCGTGTATCTTCGCGTTTCACGTCGTTATGTTGTTGTTGGCATTATTTTTGGTGTCGTAAAATTACAATTTCATTGTATCTTAAATTAAAATTAGATCAGTCATGGATTCTTCACCAATGCAAAGTTGCAAGTCCAAGGTGATCCATTTCCATGCATCAGTTGACAAAGTCCATGCATTCACATACCCCGTTGAGCTCTAGAAGTAGCTCTGCAAGGACGGAGTTTGGACTGTCTCCTGACTTGAAATCATTGTGCAAATACAATTTGACGGCCATCAAAGTCAATCTCAACGACTGGTGAACTCTCATTCATGTCCTGTCAACCGAAGCCATGAGATTTTACACCAATGAAGTTGTTCTCTTTGTGATTCTGAACGCTACGGATCATTTTTTGAGTTCAAGCAGTAGCTCCGTGACCGTTCAAGGAGCAGACTTGCAGATCCTCCTCCCCGTCTCCATAGGCGACACCAGACGAAATCGGTCCATGAATCCACACAAATATGAGCAGCGGTCCAGAAAGGAATGCGCTTGGTCTGCAACGACAAAGTTTGATGTTGATGGAGATTCACAACTGTTGGGAGTTTACGTGTTTATTAGAAGCAGCCACAAACAATTTTCAAATAAATTCCGTTGGACAAGCTTGCCTATATATACCAATAACGTGTTAAAACATCCATGTAATAATCACGAAACTTTCAAATCACAATCTTCAAAACATTGACTAAAGACTCCAGCAACAAATGACGGGCAACAGTACAGCCAACTACTCGTATGCGACCTTCTTTTGCGGGACATGTGAGCAGCCTATCCGACTGGACTCTTCTCTCCTGGAGCATCAATCTCTCGAAGACGCAACAGGCAAGTCATTTAAATGTTTTGGTGAAGCTTGGTTTCAACAGGACAGGTACTGAAGGAATAAGAGAGTAGATCCATATTCTCAATTCCATGTATTGTAATGACTGACCGCTTCGCATTTTCTTACTTTCTTAGCACCATTATTGGATCAAGCTCGATCATTTCGAAATCTACGATCAACAACACTGCGTCCAACTCGCAGAGTCTTGCCTCCCGAAATATCCACTTCTTCACTCGAACGACGCACTACCGGCACCAACAATAACAACAATAGTGCCATGTGGAGAACGGGTGTCCCTGTCCAAGATTCCTTTGTAATGCTATCACGCTCACAAGTCAATGCAACGCCTTCTGCCTCTGCATCGTCATCAAATCTACCTCTACAACAACAGGACTCTTCACAGCAACGAGGCAATCTCAGTCATCGACTGAAAACTGCTGGAAAACTATTCGACTTGATATCTGGAGTGTCACAAGTAGATCACCCACTATGTCAGGACTGTGCCGATGAGCTGACAATCATGCTGGAAAAGCGTCTGTCTGAAGTCCGTAAAGAGCGGGACGTCTATTCTGCCTATCTCGACAAGCTGGAAGTAGACCGAGAATCTGGATCTGAGGATAACAAGATTACGGAGCATGATCTTGCAGCTGTAAGGGATAGCTGTATTATGACCTGGCTGTTGTCGTCGAATGGTGCTAAGATCCTTTTTAGCTCAAGGAAAGAGAAGACCAGTCACTACGAGTTTTGAAGGAGCTCGAGGACGAAAAAGTCCACCTAAAACACGAACTGGAATTACTGGAAGCCGAGTTACATGAATTAGATCATCTGGAGGCATGGTATGCAATGATCGATACGTTTATTTCCTTTTTGCCTTGACTGATTATCTCAACTCACTAGTTACTGGCAAGACGTCAACGAGTACGAAACAGAATTGCGTGAATTCCAAGATGAGAGAGACAGCATTCAGATGCGACAAGAGCATACAGACCGTCAACTTCAAAACTTGAGAAGGACGAATGTCATCAATGACACGTTCAGGATATGGCATGATGGACCTTTTGGAACTATAAATGGTAGTGCTTTTTCATCGCATAAATCTCATGGCACTAGTTGATATTCATGTTTTCTTTTTGCGCTTAGGTTTCCGTCTTGGACGTCTTCCTTCCATCCCAGTATGATTCAAACTCTGTGGTGTTAGTTCTTTTTGCTTTACTCACAACTACTAAAATTAGGTCGATTGGTCTGAAATCAATGCAGCATTGGGTCAGGTCCTGTTGCTTATGGACACTCTAACAAACAGACTCAGTTTCACATTCAAAACGTATGCTCTCAAAAGAATTTATGTCTTGCCTTGAGAAGCACTCATATGTTTCAAACCCTCACTTTTCGCTATTCAAAATCTTCAGGTATCGTCTGGTGCCCATGGGCAACTTTTCCCGTATTGAGAAGATTGAAGGAGACAAGGCTAGCTATGAGTTGTGAGTCGTTTGTACAGAATGAATAAATTTAAAGCGCTTCAACTGACCGAACTCTTAATAGATATGGATCGGGTGATATAGCTAGTGTACTCTTCTACAACCGTCGATTTGACATTGCCCTTATCGCACTTCTGAATTGCTTGCAGCAATTATGTGAACTCGTAGAGCACGACGGAGCCTTCAAGTTGCCATACCGGTGTGTGCTCTTGTTTTCTCTTACTAATGGATTGTTTTCTACGGTCGAACTCATAAACTGAATCTCTCTAGAATAAGCAAGGATAAGATTGGAGACACATCTATACGGCACTCCAATCTCGATGATACGTGGACGAAAGCACTCAAGTTCGTGTTGATCAACCTGAAATGGGTATTGGCTTACGCTTGGTATGTCCGTTGTTTTAATTGGTTTTGTGAGCCCTTTTATCAACCACTGAAGTAGTTCCAAACAATTTTAGTATGAAGGGGCCTGGTCAACGCCCAGAGGAGACAAAAACCTGAATAATGTTTTATTGTTTAAATGTGCTTCATTTGTATATTGTGGTTACTGCAACAGAGAATAATTCAGAAATGTTCAGAGGCAGTATCGCTAAAGCTTGAAATCATGACTTAAACAATGAACTATTTACTATCAACACGGCGTTGATGCCCTTCAACTATGCCTCCTACTAGTACTATGTAAACCGGCTGTTACAACTTTGGGTGGTCGCAAAATCGATTTAAGAGTTGGTTGATGATTACATACAGATCGTAGCTGCTTACCCTGTATTTCCACGTTGATCACTGACGTTCTGACACGTCAAGGGTCCAGAGATATGTGATGCACACCACAACAACTAGCAACAACAAAAAACGAGATTTTAGTAACAAACGCGTCTTAGTATTGAACTGAAAAGAAGAAACCACAACCACCAACTACAGTAGTACTACAACCCTCAAAACGCGTCCCCCTTCCTCATGCTTGCTGTTAGCTGCAGCCCCAAACGCGTTTGATTGGATGCAACTCTGTGGCCATTTTTCCAAACTTCTGAGAAACGATCATTCGAATCACCAAACTTCCAAGGTGTCATATTCGACATCCGACAAAGTGACTTCTGTTTCCGTTGACATGTGGTTTCATAAGCTTCTATGGGCTCTAGCAGCCATTCGTGCTGTTGCTGCAGTGACAAATTGCAACAGCACGATACGAACTACTCCTCAAGGTATCCGTTTTACCTCATTTAATGGAATTAATGCACATGAATTTATCATTCATCAACCGAAATTTCTTAGATTATGTCTTCTTGGTCGATGCAACTGACAACATGTGTCAATACAGGCAAGCAAACACCTTTAATTCATTGTCTATCAACTCTGAACCATTGACAAACCACTTCCTTAAACATTTCTAGTCTTCGTAAGCTACTAAAGCGGTCCTGTTTTCGGCATCAGGAATTGTGATTATGCGGTCCTTTGGACTGACGTGCTACCCTCCCTAGAAATCGCCAACGCCTTTGCCTCATTTGCCTCATCACTCTCTGCCCAGGATGATAGCAGATTCATTGTAATTCAGTATGGGGACTGGATACAATACTCTCATTTGACCCCCACATTCACCGTTGAGTCACATTGCTTCTTTCTTGGCAACTCGACTTATATGTTGTTGCAACAAAGCTGACTTCAACCCTTAACAACAGAACAACGCGTTTATGGTTACCTCCGCACTGATTGGGGCAGGTTGTGGCATGGGTCAACGACAAGCCACATTAGAAGGCATTCGTATGGTCTTGTCATCAAACGGTGGGAGTGATATCCTCTGTGACTTGGTCGGATGTGGTATATCATGGCGTGCTAATGCTCAAAAGAACGTTATTGTACTTACTGATGGGGGTGAGCAATATTTACAGTGAAATGTTGGTGATGATGTTCCTTGACCGAAATTGATTCAATTTTCGTAGATTCTGATCTCCCTACAAACGTGAACTACCGAATGACAAATCAGTCACCCAGTACATCCATGTGCTGGGGATCGTATCTCTATACTCGCGACATAAGTGGCAACCTTGTCGAAAATGGTTGTTCGAGCAACCTCCAATATGGTAAGGCTTCAACCACTCGCAAATTATTATCATTTCTGAACTTTTGCTGACATAGAGCCAAAGTGGACCGGTTCTATGGCCTTCATGGACTCATTAACGAGTGGAGGACCTATACCTACAGTAGGACCATGTTGCAATTTTATGGCTTATCTTGTCAAGTTTCCATTCGACGCACTGTTATAAACACTTACCGCACCTGTTGGCTAGTATTACCGGACTGATAGCGGACCAATCTCACTACAGCAGTCTTGGTATGATGAGATTGCAGCTACTGCCAAACTGATTGTTCAAAATGGTGCCATTGTCCATCTTCTGATGCAGCCTGCGAGTGACACGTCTTCTGGTACGTTGAATCTTTTCGATGATGGTTTTAATTGTAATGTTTGACAAAACAGCAACACTAGTCCCGGCACTCTTCGCCCCTCGCTCACAATTTAATGGATACAACGAGTACTTTCGTAAAATCGGTGCGCAAACGACTTCGGCCAATAACACTCAAGGTATAATGAAGTCTGCCTTTTCTTTGCAATCGAAGCATTCGACTGATCGTAACTGTTCAAAAACAGTTTTGCAATTTGGCGATCCTGCTGTTCAATCCATGGATTCAGATTATTTGAACTTTAATCCGAAACTGACGAATCAAAATCTGGCCAGCGTTGGCTTGAATTCGTCTCTTCAGTCGTCGGGTATGTGCAATGCGTTGACGTTGCTTGCATGTGGCTTGTCGCTAACCCTCCACTTCTCAACAGTTCTGTCTATGGGTGGACTTCTTCGTCTCTTCAACATTGGTGATTTGACTACCAGCTCAACCGGAGCTTCTAGATTTTTAAATGCTGCGTTGAGTACATCACTCACATGCTCTGTAAGTTCCGTAATATCATCTTGGAGGCATTGAGACGTTTTATTCACACTTCTCCCCAATTCTAAAACCAGTCTGACAATACGATTTACTCGCCTCCTGCCCCATCACCAAATCCAAGTGCAATAGCCTCAGCGGCGTCTTCAGTAGCTCCTTCTCCTGTAGTGACGTCTGCCAACCCTAATATTTTGGCATCAACAATTGTCTTGAACTCCGTGTTACCATCTCCCGTTCCAAGCACTGTCATGGCTTCAGTCCTACCATCTCCTATTCCAAGCACCGTCATGAGTTCCGTCTTACCGTCTCCTATTCCAAGCACTGTCATGGCTTCAGTATTGCCGTCTCCGATTCCAAGCACTGTCATGACTTCAGTCTTGCCGTCTCCGATTCCAAGCACTGTCATGACGTCAGTCTTGCCGTCTCCGATTCCAAGCACTGTCAGGACTTCAGTCTTACCATCCCTCATTTCAAGCGCTGTCATGACTTCAGTCCTGCCATCTCCTATTCCAAGCACTGTCAGGACTTCCGTCTTACCGTCCCCCATTCCCAGCACTGTCATGCCGTCTCCTCTGCTGGCATCCGCTAAACCTTCCATTGTACCTTCTACTTTGGTCTACCCTTCGCCTATGACAAGGGTATCAGCGGCTTCAGCTCCCTCTTCTCCCACTCCAGCCAGTCCGTCTCCAATGTCAACGAGCGTCTTGGCAGATTCAGTGGTCATACCGTCGTCCATTCCAGCAACGTCATCATCTCCTGATGTAAGCCAAACAGATTCTTACAAACGTCCTACTCAATTTTAAGTGCTGCCTATATCTCTTTTGTCTACAGGCTTCACCAACACCGGAACCATCAGGCGCAAATGTAGTGCCTATTGCAATTGGTGGTGCGCTGGGTGCAGCGTCGATATTTGGTGCCAGCATAATCTACCGACGCTCTCGTCACCACCTTCCAGGAGCAGGTGGTGTATCAGCAGGACCAGCAAGGCTCTCAACGAATGGTCATAATCCATTGTATGAGGGGTTGAGCTCGTTGTCGGAGAATCCTCTGTACGAAGACCCGTTGAGGAAGATGGATTTCTTTTCATCATCTTTCGCTGATTTGGCCTGATACCGGAAAGACACGTATAGTCTGAATAAATATCGTTGATACCTTATACTAGTACTAAGTGGAAAATAGAAAACACTGGCGCAGACAGCAAAATGTTACTGTTGGGATGAAAAAGCCACATAGTTTGTATGATGCGATGATGCGATAATTCAGCTTAGATATTGCTTCCAATTGACGCCCAATTGACGCGTTTGTGTGGTGAAATAAGTTGATGCGTATCTGGTCATCATTTTACACACTAGTACTTTTGTATTTTCAACCCAGCACTTTTTTCTTATAGCGGTCGCTCAAATGGCCACGTTAGAAGCGCCTGAAGTAAGTTCAAGAGCATCATCAGCACCTGGAAGTGCTCGACAGAACTCTCAAGGAGCAGCATCACAGATCTCCTCCCCACAGCTTGAACCAAGAAGTGTTTCCCAGCATGTATCAGAGAATGAACAAGAATTAATCGAAGGAGATGATGAAATTAATGAGAATACTCCATTGGATGAACAAGAACAGGGTGCTGAGACTGGGGAAGACTCGCCCGCCGAGTTCAATGTCAACATTGTGGACGAGGAACCACGCATTGTGGATTTGGCTGCTGAACAAGAACAACAATTTAAAGATCAGTTGGCTCAAAAGTAAGTTTAATATTCTGCAATTTAATTGGGTATCATTCTTACTCGGCAATTAGTTGGCATATCACGTTCTAACCATTTATCTATATGATATAGACGAAACACGTTACGAGAATCCTTGTTGCAAAAGACACCTCAGAATACGAGTTACTATACATTTTCAAAGAAGGAAACCGTCGTGGTCGATACGGTTCAAAACTTTTGTCGGCAGTACACGCAATTGTATCCTTCTCGAAAGGAATTGTTGATACTTCCTCAGAATGAATTTGGACAACAGGTAGAGATGCGAACCATCTATAAAATCTATTATCGAGTGTAATCTGACGGTACTTTTTTGGCTGTGTGGTAGAAATTCATTTGCACGACAATCAGACCAACCCAGCTACCATTCAAGGAACTTTACGATTATCGTAGTTGCGCCAAGTTTGTATCGGATTACCTCTCATACGAGCTTCTGGAACCTGCTCATGAAGGAGTGAGTGAATAATCGACAACTCAAATGTAGGTTTTGAGGCAAACAAAATAACAATTAATTTTATCAGCCCAAGGTTGTGCCGTCACCAACATACACCTTAAAGATGCAAAGTGGAAACTGCTTCGATTTTTCAGTCCTACTAGTCTCCCTTCTTCGTGGAGTTGGCTATGACGCATACGTCGTATCTGGATATGCATCAAATCAAATCACACTCGTAGACGAAACTCGAAATGATGCTTCAGCAATTGGACTCCCTCAACCATTCAGCACAAGCAAATCGCCACCAGCTGTTGCACCAGCTGCGTTTGGTCATTCAGATGGAGCTTATGCAAATGATGGAACAAATAGCTCGTCACATCCACCATCGGCTGCCCCGAATAAACCAATGACGCCTATTCAGATGGCATTAAAGTATGCGTCGTCTGGATACAAGCTGCATTCTATTGCTGAGAAGTATCGAGTCAAGCCGCCGAGACAGATGCAGAGTGCCTTTTTGGCAAAGATGGAGAAGAAACGGCTGGAAGCTGAAGCGAAGGTTGCTCCTGTTGTTGCAGCGCAAGAGCCAGTCGCTAATGAGGTAAAGAATGTGCGGAGAGCATTCTACTCTGCAGAGATCATCACTTTGATGTTGTTTTTTTGGCTTTCCATTCAATAGGTCGTTGATGACGACGACGATGAATTGAAGGGTCTGCGTGTTCATGCTTGGGTCTTAGTGCTACCAGGACGACGAGATATCGCAGAGCCTTTCTTTATAGGTAAGACACTAAATTAGCGCATATAGCGAAAAGCAAGCCAACGAACAGAGCTTATGTGTCTCAACTGACTTTAGAACCAACAACCGGTCGAGTCTACGGAACAGAAGACGAACGATATCTCGGTGTTGAAAGTGTGTTTAGTCCGATGAACTACTGGGTCAACATGCAGACGTGTTATGACGGTCTGAAGGTGAACCGTGAATGTTGTCAACATTGTGGGTACGAGTTAACACTTCATTCATTGCTCGGTTTAGGGAATCTCATTCAACTTATGGGACAATGCGAAATGGGAGTATGTCCTCAAGACACCTCCAGAGCCTCAACGAAAAGATGCCTCAAAATCTAAACCGGCAGCTTGGAGGGACGAAGAGTCAGATGAAGATGATTTGGGAGATGATGAGGAACATATTGCTATGCCGACACCATGGCCAAATGCAATATCATTGACGAGAGAAGAGTTTGAAACGAGACTGCCTGCTGGCGGAAAGACGACGCTGTTTAAAAACCTTCAGCTGGTATGTGGAGATACGATCCAAAAAAATGACAAAGACGAAGAGCTCATCCCGTGTTGCAATGTAGGAAAACTGGGCAGAATACCATCGGCCAGATGGTATGATATCTCGATTGACATATTTCGCTGACGACGAGACGGGTTTCAACGGCGAAATTCGAGAAGTCTTTGCTAACAGAAGGTGAATTAGACATGGCGAAAAAGTTCTTTTGGTCTGTATTAATGTCAATGGCTTCAATAACGCATACACACAACCAATAGGGATAAACTGAGTGAGAGAATTCGGCTCCCAGATCGCAACCAAATCCATGACTTTTTCGATCGTGGACGAGGAGCTGGATTACAAGAACACGTTTCAGTGAATGGAAAAACGATCGAGATGAACTTCTATCCTAGTGCTCGTTCAGATGGCTTGTTGAAAAGGCTCGAGTCACCACGAAAGGTGTGTGATGCAACAAAAAGCTGGAAGAACAACTGGGTCTACGGGAACTGACTTGCTCCCCTCTGTTCACACCTCAGATTATTGAATTCTTTGAAACACGAGATGATCGATTAAAGTATCGATCTGTGACATTTGATTCACCTCCAAAAGGAAGCGATGATGAACGTGGACCAATGATTAAGATGACTGAAAAGTTTACAAGAAATACAGGTTGGTGGCAAAACAAATTGAAGACAAGGTTGCATCTTGGCACTAAAGCTAGCTTTTCTACGCGCAGATGTCGGTGCAGGTGTTGACCCTTCGAAAAAGACATACTTCTTAAAGGAAGAAAAGGTACAGAGGTTTTTTGGGAGAACAAAAAAGTGTCTAGAAGTCATCCTAAACTCCAAACATATATGTTAGATTCGCGTCGTCTATCACCGTGACGAAGGGCGTATCCTTTCATCATTCCACGAATTTAAGAAACCACCACCGGAACAAAAAGTTCCATTCGTAGGACTATCGTCATCATTCGAGGTTTGTCTGCAACAATTTGAGATGAGACCTTCGTGATGTAACTCTCTCTTTCGTTTGCATTTCGTCAGGTCAATTCATTACGAAAGCCACTCAAGAAACCAGAACTGTTTGCACTCCTCAACTCCTTATTACGAGCTGAGCAGATCTGCTTACAAGCCGTTCGAGGATCTGAACGTGAAGTCAGAGACATTTTACAAGCAAGACAAGCTGAAGAGTCGGAGATTGTGCTGAATGTTTCAGTGTTTGATACTACAAGAAATCAAGTACGTGTGCAAAATTCTTTGATAGGCGATGGGCATTGTTGGTTTTTTTTCTTGCAATATAAATACGTATACATACTAGGCTCCATCTGAGGAAGAAAAGGCTGTACATAAAGGTACTGAGGACGAAACGAAACGTGATTTGGATTTGGATTATCTGTCTCCATTCCTTATCAACTATGTAAGATATCAACGAAAGCACCTCATCGAAAGTCGTGATCAATTTAGTTACTTCCATCTTTTTTTGCAGCCACCGGGCCACATTCTCAACCGTGAAGAAGCTCTCGCAGTGAAAGATGCATGCATCAAGTCGCTCAAGGAACGGCTCCTGGAACGTGCCAATATTATTCAAACAAGACTTGACGCCCTGACTGCCGAGTATCAAAAGAGACAAGCTGCTTTTGCAAGAAATGTCGATGGAGATCGGATTCACACTGCAGAAGAATTTGCACGGTTTAGTGAAGATGCTCTGTTTAGTATTCGTGTGCATGAGAAGCGTTTGATCAAGGTAATTTGACTTTTCCCAAAAGTCTAAGAAAACTTAGAGACCGATGCCAATGTTGAACAACGTCACTGACTTGGGCCCCACTTTTAATTAGCACAAGGAAGATGCACCGGAGAAACTCATCGAGCTAGACACCCGATTACGTAGGGATTCAAGATTACAAGCTGCCTTTGTTTGAGTTTTGCCTTTGTCTTCTTATCCTAATACACTGCCATCATTTCACACACGAGATTATTCACTTACATACCAACGCGTGGCCTTATTTTGTCTACTGTGAATTGCCTTTTCGTTTTACTTGAACGCCGGCCTTGTGGGTTACTGCTATTTTATCGACCGGGAAGTGTTTGAGATATTCTGAAGCTTGAAGGTAATGATTTCTAAAAGTCCGAGAACCTAGAAAAGTGGCTATAAGCCGTACTCATCCTGGACTTCAAACGTTTTTTCAGATCCGTGTCGTCTATCGCCGCGAAGGAGCACGAATCCTTTCATTCTTCCACGAATTCAAGAAGATCCATATGCCGTATGGCAATCCAAAAATCTAGCTCTTTGGTGTTTTTATATGCAAATATGAACCAAATGACTTTCCGCTGGTTCAGCAACGTTCACGCCTATTCTACCGCCATTGAAACAGATCGAGAGACTATTGTTAGCACTGTGGCTCATGTGCAAGTCTCTTGTGCCCCATACTTTTATTCTGCGTCCATCTATGAGAGTCAACTCAGAATGTTACAATGTCTAGTACACGACGATAAATTAGAAGGAGGCGGTGAAAACATTCAGGCCACATCAGTGATTTATAGCAAGTCCTGTTGCGTCAACTCTCTTTTCATATTCACACAAATCCCAACTTTTCTGTCAGCTGATCCCCTTCTCAAGTAGTTTTACACACTACGGGTTGACTCACTATCCCACGGTACGTGTGGCCACGACGGATATGCGGGTTGGGATCTCTAAAGTCTCTGTCTTTGTGTCTGCCCTTCGTCCAAGCCATGATAAAATCTTGTTAGCGAATTGGATGATCCATGTATATGATGAGTGAGCCTTTATGGTCAGAGGAATTAATCGAAGCAAGTTCTTTGATAACAAGATATTCACATACAGTCGATAAGTGGTTGCGCTGTAGCCAGCCTCATTGCTACAGATGCAAAGTTGACATCACTTTGTGTCCCCGAACAGTATCCAAATCACTTCAGGTGCTCCAATTGTAAGTGATGTGATCGTCAGCAGCGAGAATTTCCTATAAAGGAGTCAAGCAATATGTAAGGCAGAGAAACAATGCCTTCTAGGGCCCTTCTTACAACTGCAAAAAAAAAGAAACTCACATGCTTATCACTACTTCTGGATCCACATTCAACTTTTTGGTACCATTACTTGTGGTCGCAACATGCTGACCGCGAGAGCCTTGATGACTCTTTCTGAAATTGTCACCTTTGAATTCAGCAGGTAAGGCTTTAGGCAATGGTGGAGTACTTGATTTTTTGTGGATCAAGATCTTTTTGTTGGTGTATCATGCTGTAGAGAAGAGCTAGTAAAATAGGTCAGTTACCTGAATGGCGACAACCACAATGACGGGGTGTTTTTACTTACATTTTTAGCCAACCGGGATTCAAAGTTTGCTATGTAGCTCTTTTCAGCATTAGAATCAGCTCGGTCGCCCGTCAATACCTGTGCGTAAGAGGGTATCTTTTCTATCAAAGCACCCACTATCCTTTGCGCTATTTGTGGTCGTTGGTAATCTATTTTGGTAGAGCTTTGTAAGAAAGCGAGTTTCGAAAGTAAACGTCTATCAAATACATGCTTAATTTCACGAGTCTTTCGTTCTCTCCAAATATCGTCAGAGTTGGAAATCCTGGCCAAATACTAACTCGTCAACAGCTCATATATCTCTCCTCCTAATCACAATCAACAGCCACGACCTCGGCCACTCCTTTTAGCTTTTAAGCAGGCTTCTCGTACTCGGGAGCCTGGTGGTGGAAGTGTCAAATCGTTGGTTCGAATTGGTTTATGAGGTCTAGATAGCCTACTTCAACTTTTTGCAAAGTTCTTGCAAAGAATTCAACCATGACGGCATGCTGTGATAGAGTAAAAGATCAGAAATCCACGTTTAATGTAATGTCAGAAGTACAAACCATTTTAACTGAAACAGCTATTCTTCAGCATCACTTTCAAAACGAAGACCAGCATATATGCAATTCAAAAACGAAATAATGTATTTTTCTTTCCAAATCACCTCCTCTCTCTTATTACAATTCATCTCGGACAGCTTCTTCCGATGCAGCTGGCGGAGCGGTACACAGACCCTCATCATCACCACCTTCCCCACATTCCTGAGCTTTAGTTGCAGTCTCAGTCTCATCCACCTTTTCCACCTTTGCTTCTTCTTCCTCCTTCTTCTCCTCCTCTTTAACCTTATCACTCAACGAAGGCTCGAAATCAAATTTAAGATTCCTTCCTCGTCCAGCCATCAAGTCAATCAAAAAGTCGACAACACTTGATTCTTCAAATCCACCACGGAAGGGCTGGTAGACGTGTTTCTTGGCCACTATAGCCACAATGTTTGGTAGCATGTCAGAGACATCAAAGTCTCGAATCAGTTTACGGCCGCCTGGTGTTATGGCGTTGATCCATGAAAACGAGACTGCAAACAGAAACACAGGAATCAGACGACATTTGTGCTGAATCAACCCACATATATAACTTACATGGTGCCGTCCTATCATGCATTTTCTTCTTGATCCCTTCCAAGACTTGCATGTGGGCTGCATGTTCAGAAACCGACTCTTCGAATTCAGATTCCAGATTCATAAATGTCAAGATACATATACCGGCTCTGCCAGTACACAAGTCTTGTAAATCCTCGTTTGTCTTGATTTCAGCGACTTTGGGATCAACTATGACCATATAAGAGTTAGCATAATAACCATGCGTTTTCGGCATTTACACCACTCATTTTGTTGAAAACATACTTACAAGGTACAGGAGTAGGAGATGGAGCGGCAGTAGCTTTCGATTTAGCATTTTCCTTCCCTGCAGATGCTTTAGGTTTGGCATATTCAGACAAGAACTTGGAGAGTCCTTCGTGTTTCATGACACCTATGACAGCAGGAAAAAAATTCTTCAGCCAAAACCAGGAGACACGAATATATATTTGCTACCAACCTTCATAACGAATCGGTTCACCCCCAACAGGAATAACAACCACAGCAGGCGCATCTTCAACGCCCAACCTTTCAGCAGCAGTCGATGGATCTTTGGCCGTTCGTATCTCTCCAAGTGACAATCGACCTTTGAATTCGGCAGATAAAGCTTTAAACAAGGGTGGAGTACTTGATTTTTTGTTGATCAAGATGGCTTTTGCTAGTGTATCATTCTGTAAGGGATAAGCGATTTGAGGAGATCAGTAAAACGAACAAGCATAACCAAAATTAAGACTTTTTGCTTACATTTTTATCCAACCAGGAATCAAAGTTTGCTGGTACTCTGTACCCCTTTTTAGCTTCAGAATCAACCTGGTCGCCTGTCAATATTTGTACGTATGAGGGTATCTTTTCTATAAGGGCGTCCACTATGCCTTTCGCTGTCCGTGGTCCTTGGTAATCTATTGTAGCAGTGACTTGTAAGACAGCGAGTGTGGGTAAGATTACGTGACTATCGAATAGATTCATGCCTTGAGGAGTTTTTTTATTCTCTCCAAATATCTTTAAAGTTGGAAATCCTAAACGCCAAAAAATGAACGATCAATTACCTAACATATCGCTCCCAGATCTACTACAACAATACCTTGCACTTGGTACTGCCCACACAAAGGCTTATTGCTTTCCTCATCACAATCAAGAGCCACGACCTTAGCCAGTCCTTTTAGCTTTTCAGCAGCCTTCTTGTACTCAGGAGCCTGGTGGTGGAAGTGTCAGATCGTTGGTGCGAGTTGGTTCATGAGGTCTAGACAACATTATGTAGGTGTTTACCAAGTTCTTGCAGTGGCCACACCACGGAGCAAAGAATTCGACCATGACTGCATGCTGTGATAGTGTAGATGTGTAAAAGTTAGAATTTCGTGATGACTGTCAGAGTTTCAAACCAGTGAAATGTTGAAGGGATGTGATGTCTTGACTTCCATCCCGTCAAGGACACTTACATCAGATTGCAGAACTTCTTGCGTAAATGTCTTTGAAGATACTGAGATCACTGGATCTCGAGACGAGTACAGAGCGCTGGTGCTGGAAATCAGAAATAATAGTAGTTGCCAGGAAACCATTGTTTGCCTGCAAGATCCTACGATTAAAAGAAGGCTGGCAGGTTAAATAAATGACGGTCAAGGTACAATACTCCACTTACTGTTAATAGCTTTACCGTTTAATTGCTATGCTATGCGATTTGTATTCGAATGAGAAGATTGGCAAACCAATACATACGACGCAAGACACCGTGAGAAAATTACTACCCCTTGCTAAGGCCATTTAACGCGTTTCAACACGGTCCAAATTCTTATTCCAAACGTCGAGCGCGAGCTTGAAAGCCCAAAACAGTTCCGTCCAATTCGTCAAAAAACGCAGTTCAACCAATATGGACGAAAAGACCTTAAAGCAGACCCAAAACCTGCAGCTAATCGACCAGCTCATGGACGAAATATCATTACTAAGGGTCAATGTGAAGAATGCTACTTCTTGGAACCCCAAAACAGATTCAAAGCAAACCAAACTGCCAGACAAGTTCATTCCCGTCAATGACACAATCAAGAATATAGAACGGCTGTCTGGTATGGCAATATTATGCAATCGTTATAAAACTTGATGACTGAGTTACTACTTAATTGCAGGGCTGCTCCAAGAGGGCTTACGGAAACCAGATCCAACCAATACATAGCTAGGTTCTCGACAACATGTTATTTAAATTGTACAAAGTTATTCCCAGCACAGCAATTCTATAAATACAACATATTATACATACATCCTTCACGGGGCGTTTCTAGACAGTCGTCTCATCCAGTTCAGTGTCGTTCCCAGCACCATCAACATCAACCGCCGAATCATCCACCATCTCTTCATCCTTCTCTTCTTCTTCCTTCAACACTTCATCAAAGCCCTCCGTAGCTTCTTCTGTTGCATCCACCGGTGCAGCTGCTGCTGTTTGAGCGTCCCTACCAAACCATTTGAAACATTAACATCATGATAACGTCCGAATGCAACCACATGAACCACCCATTTACCATGGAATACTGAACTTCGTAACTCGTGGCTTGGTATCCAATATACTACGCTGCAGTAACTCCAACTGCACAGGTGTCGGTGGCGTCTCTTTCAATACTTCATCCGTGTAATCGTGATTTACGTAATATCCAATACGAACAAACTCGCGTTCCATATAGCAGCATGATAATAGTATCACTGTCACGCCGACAATGTCTTCTTGGGGTAGTCGTTCTGGGTTTGGTGCATCTGCCTGGATGGTGGATAGAATGCATTGTTTGGTATAGAGATTTGGAGGCGAAATATATCGCGACTTAAAAAAACAGACAAGCTACACGGTATAACGTACCTCGAACACAAACTTGCTTGATCCAACAGGCACAGGTCCAACAGACAAGGTCTCCAGCATTTGATCGTAAGATTCATCATCTGCTGATCCAACATACACTAGCTTGAATTCAAGATCTGCAAAAAAAAAGTGCCAAAGGTTTGATCAATGTTAATGAGCTCTGCACTTTCACCTTCCGTCCCAACAATCATGATACCAAAATAGCCAATTCCAACCAAAACGGCATACAAATTAAACAATTTTCAATACTAACCATCTTTAAGTTCCTCTAGTACTTCAAACGTGATTTCAAAACGAAATGGATCAAAGAATGTTGCTGGATTGCTCAGCACCTAGTTATACGACTAGAGATTAAATGGATGGATGCAACGATTGGTACGCATACAGCTGATCTTACTGAAACATTCTTGATAGCTACTAATGCCATGGTTTTCCGCCTGAGTTTTAGCTTTTTGGAGTTTTGTCAAGTTACTGGCACTGGGATGTGAGAATACCAGACGAGAGGAGGCGACTTAAGGTTATGGATACGACGCGTATTCGAGTACTATACGCGTAAGCAAACCATCAACGAGAATGCAAACCTACAGAATTAGCTACAATCGGTGCTGTGCTTGCGAAGTTTTGAGTTTTCCTGATCTTTTCGTTCTTGACACGTCCCATCAGTTTCGTAAATAGTTCCACTTCGTGATCTGATCAAATTTGCAACGAAACAAGCCCAAAGTTCTGATTGATGAACCATCTGGAAACCAAGCGAAAAAAATATCAGCTGCCCGTCAGGTATAAGCTCTTAATCATCCATGTAGTTTGTTCCTTATTTCACAAGATAAATACAATGTGTATCGTAACATGACACTATCCGATGTGATGATGAGACTTATTCAACAAGTGATGGCAGAGCAGTCTCAAATCCATTAACCACTTTGGAGAGATTGCTCAAATGATCAGATCGTGGTTGTGACAACTAGTATATTGACAAGGGTGAATGTGAGTACCAACATGAGGAGGAATTAGGTGCTGTTTTTTGCGTTGAAAACTTGTTCATCCCAGAAACCTACCTCTCCAACATCATAAACATAGAGATACCCATCAGAAGAACCTAACGCTGTCCTCCTTCCCTCTTTATCCCAATCCAGCTTGTTCAAGGCCATACCATTACCAACATGAATGCTGACAGTAGGAACCTAATCGGAATTTGCAAAACGTATGGGTCAACTTTATTCGTCTGACCGATCAGGACTTCAAAAACAAATCGACCAACCTCAGCCTCTTGGGTCAAATCATAAACATCAAATTTGCCACTCGCATCAACACTAGCGAAAACTCCAGAATGAACAGGTGACCATTTCACATCATATATGTGATCATCTGCATTCTCAAATGATGCAATAGGATGTATTGTTGTTGCAGATGTTGATGGTTTGGCTGACGACTAGACGTGACAAAGGAATTATGTCAAGTCATGAATATTGTTCCAATGTCAGACACAGGCGAAAAACACTAAGAGATAGAGACGATACCTTGGCACTCCAAAGTTTCAAAGTCCAATCAACAGACGAGGACAGAAATAGATCTGAAAACTCATTTGCTGGATGGAAATGAAGACCTGTTATCATTCCATAGTGACCTTTATACACATCCAATAGGTTCAATCCAGCTTTACTGTACGAGCGAAAAAAGCTGGTCACCAATTGTGAATACATTACGTGAATTTCCTGCAACTAACAAACCTTCCAGCTCGATCATATCTGAATGCTTGATATATACTGCCTTCTTCTGTACCAACCCAAAATGTGGAAGAATCAGTGTGTGTAAAGCCCATACACGTGACCGACACTTCAGGTGTCTTGGGATGTGAAGGATGTATTAATTCCAATATTTCCTAGACCATCGCCAAGATATAGTCGATTAGTCCCCGTGGGTTTTTTTGCTCAACCAACACTACGTTGAATCACCCTTACCACTGGTTGAGCAAGCATATCCAATTGCCAAGAACATACCATCCCATCCGTTGATGCCGAGATGAGATTATGAGCATTCTGTGTTCCAACCATACTCATACCATATACAGGATGTGCATGTCCACTGGATGATAACGGTGTCTTCAACACTGGAATGCTCTTTGATCGAGTATCCCATAGTACTATTTGGCCTGTCGATGTACCACCTACAATAAGATTCTGATGGAATTCTGAAAAGATGGCTGAGGTCACGTCGGACTAAAAAATTGAGATGGATTGTTGGACTTATGCGACCACATATGCAATGAAGGCAGCCTCCAAACAATGGCTCCGGGCTAAAGCGTTGAGGTCAAATGAACTTACCTGGGCATGAAATATAAATTCAGGCCGTTCAGCCAAGTGTAGATTCCAAACTAGTACTAGACCGTCTGGATCATTGGGAGACGAGGTGTTTTTGTTGTATGATCCAAGCAACAATTCTGGAAACTAGAAACATTGAAAAATGGAACGTCAACCACGACTGTGCTGTAAGTTGTCGTCTTTTTCTACCCATTCACTGACCTTGGGAGACCATCCGACTGATGTCAGTGCACGATTCCGTGTCCACCTTTCATCATAAAATGTGCATACTTCCTTGACTTCTGTCGACGCGCTCCTGAAAAAAGGAAGACATTTAGGCCAAAAAAGATGGGATTTGCAATGTTCCTCCTAGTACGCCAACTTCTTCAATCCTCATACCTGTCGAGATCATCACCAGCCGTATAATCAACCATGAAATCATATCGATCATTCAGTGCTCTCTCCACAATCTTGGTCGACTGTTCGAAAAAGCCCAAAAACCTATCCGACATTAGAATCCGTTCTTTTTCTTCTTCGGTTAGCTCTATGTTTGGAAAGTGATGACAAATGTGCTGAGCTGAGAATACGATTGATATAATGCTGAGGACTGACTTGGTAGTATAGGAGCCTCCTTGTCGTCTAAGATTGTGGGTTCTGTTTGTAGTATTGGTGTTGCGGCAGGAGCGATTTGAGGAGGAGTTACAGAGACCGGAGATGTTTGTGCTTCTATTGCTGGTTCTGGTTTCCATTCGGAGGTTTGCACTTCTTTACTATAAATGACCTTTTCCTGTGTTTAGGCATGGTGTGAGTGTATGCTTGATGCGTCATTACCATAATGAGCTTGATACTTTTGGTGGGATATCCAATATCAGGAATTCTACAGATGATAGATTTGGCACGTATCTACAAATATAAGAGTTGGATCAGCTTGCTTTATCAACCCTCCTCAACACCAAGTTCGTCGTACTTTTCAACCGTCTTATCCACGACACTTTCAGACTCGTCTCCTTTACTTGCAGCAATACCACCAGTGGTGCTATCAGGATTTGAGACAGCAGGAGAGGCAGCTCTAATACCAGTGGACGATCTGGTAGGTGACGATTGGGTCTTGTCCCCAATAAGAGCCGAGACCAGATCATCAATGTCTGATCGATCCTGATACATTCCTCCAGCCAATGTGCTCTATAATGAGCAAAAAGAAGGTGAATAAGTGAGCAGTGGTTGAGGGAGTGCGGTGAGTGTCTCAGATGTACACAGCTCTAATAGAATTCAATACGCAAACAAGGGATACACCGTAAAATACATCAAATATCAACAATAATCAACAAGTATTATACGATACCCTTGCAGTTGGAGCCGCAGTTTTTCGTTCATCTTTCTGTTTCCGCAGTTCGAGAAGCTTTTGGCGTTTTCGTTCCAACTCTTGCTTCCTGGCGTCTGCCATCTCCGTAGCGAATGATTAAACACGTATGTAATAATATGTAGAGGCTTTAAGCTTCCCGTCTGCTTGATCTTGGTTCCAACACTGGAGTTTTCAGAAATCGAAGGATTATGACAACGATATCACCAGTAGTGGTGAACGCGTATAGAGATTCGGAAAGCGGTCTCAAATATTACGATTTAGTCCGTGCAAATCCAAAACTTACGTGATTTCCATTCTACAGCTTGATTTACGCTTGGTGCACAACCTAGTGTTTTGCTGCAACTTTGGTCTGAAGCCTCGAAGCTCTGTAGGGAGGCAAGCAATGATGCTTTTCACTTGCTCAAATGCCCCATTTGATTAAAATTCTTCTCTCTTTTTGTACTAGCCTTTGCAATGGACACTCAAAAACGGGATAGAACGACATTGAACGACCAACCTGTCATTCAACATCCACTATCACGGACGGGTGCTCTGATCCGGAATGATGGACAGAGCAGTACTGCGAGTCGCCGCGACCCAGATGCCTCATCCGCAAGCTCAAAGGGCCAACATCAACAAAAGGCAAACAGCGATTTCTCCAACGACGATCTAGATTATGCAGATGATTCTACAGCTGATCAGTCTGCTGGAAACAATAATAATAGTGCTAGCAGAAGGAGAGAGAGACGTGCTAAACGGGCTCCGAGGAATCGCAGGGAAGCACCACGGGTCGATCATGCTGCTACTCCTGTCTTTCATCAGACACCAATCATTCTGGAACGACGTGTACCGGCTGCCACTGATGCCACTAGAACTATGTCTATACAGCCGCAACAACCACAGGTGCTACTGGTCGAGAGCCCCGACGTCACTCCAAACTACTCGATCGTCAGTCTCCCTCCATCTGATAGACCATCTGTTCCAGTGCCTGCTCAACCGTCTGCTCCCTCTGGTGCTGCTCAGCCTGAACAGGCACGGAGACCAGCTGCACCAACACCAGATATACTAGCATCGGCCATACTCAAACATGTACAAGCAACGACCAATATCAATATAACATCGCCACAGCAGCAACCGGCACCATCCAGCACAACCCATTTAATCGACGAATCATGGAATTGTATCATCCCAACAAAGCAACTAGCTGAAACACCGGGTTGCTTTATAATAGGGATCATAGGACGATCTCATAGAGTTGTATCAACGTTAATCCATTATTTTGTAAAGAACACACCTCCGCCTGCCGGAGCCAAACCTATCCGTGGCGTGTCATTTCACATCACGCCTGAACGAATGATTATATTAGGAGCCCAGCAGATACACACCTCTGCCAAAGTACAAGAGTCATCAAAGGACTTTCAGATTGCTCAATTCTTGTTTTCTGTATGTCATGTACTGGTTGTAGTAGGTGACTCGCTTATTGATACGGAAATGTGGGACTTTGTAAAACGAGTGGAAGTCATCATGTCTCGGGGACGTGCTAAAAGTAGCAACACTAGTAATGGTAGTGGTGCTAGTAATGGTACCGACCCAGCATTTGACGAAACAGAATTCAGACCCGAAGTAGTGTTTATCGCTCGCCGTGGCCAATTCCCAGAAGATTACTGGACTGCATGTGATCGATTAAATGCCATCTTTGGACGAGACTCTAGATTTAGGATACAAGGATCGAATCTTAATATGACCAAGTTTGTGAATAATAGCACCAACACCCGCATACATCCGAACATCTTCTTCTTACCAGATTCGAATCCACGATCGAGCTTCTTGGTGCCACCATCAGCAACATCAACAGAATTCACACCAACCTTCCACGAATTCCTGGACGGGACATTTAGTATTCCTGCAACCACACCAGTCCTGATACACGCATTACGTAGTCTTGTATTTGACGTACCACGATACATGTCCAACGGATCGGGAATGCTGCAAAAATGGTACCTCGTCTGTGAAAAGGATTGGGGCAAATCCAGCCAACGTGTCTGGGTAAACATCATTGCTGCATCATCGGCATCAGCAGATGTACGGCAGTCGTCTGTATCTGTGGAAGGTCCTGGTACTGTGTCGTCCAACTCTGGTGGTAATAGTCGAGGGCGTGATAATGAGAACAATAATAGTAGTGATAGACGACGTGATTTTGGGGATTCTTCTTCTTCGGGGAACAGGCAGCGACAAAATAGGAGGAATAGGGACGGTTAATGCTAATGCTTACATACATTGTATATATACGAATGCAAATATTGCAATATATAGATCTCATAAAATGCACCTGACATTGAGTTCGAAATGGACTATGAAGGATGAGGAGCCTCCAGCGGTCGCAGCCTCGGACATAGTTTGGACAGCAACAACTGGTTTTTAACAAAGGAAGGACATTGATAGGTGCAAATAATTTATTAGTAAAGAACTTATTCGACAACTACATATTTAATTCCTCTAATCTGGAGAATTGTTTCCAAACAGATCAGGTCAACACCGGCAAATTCGGACACTTTGATTTCGACACCTTCACCAGAATCATTTCCGTGAAAGCGTTTGGACAGACCGTGATACAAAGTTTTATAAGACTTTTCCACATCGTCGTATCTCACTTTTCGTTGCTCGGCAAGGGCCTTGAGGCGTTCTTTCAGCAACTTGTGTTGTTGTAATGCAACATTCAACTTGTTCTGCACACCGTGACCGACACGAGAGTCAAATTCGCCCTCGCTGGTAACGTACTCTAGTAGACCAAAGGAGGTGCAACAACAGTTGTTTTGAGAATTCAAAGCAGAGACAACAAACAGAGACGCCAAAAAATATTCACTTGTGCTTACCGATCGCCCCACGTAGATTTCTCATGTTTTTGGATTTTAGATATAAGTCGCGCATAGCTACAAGTTTGTAGTCCTTCTCCTAGTTTCAGGAGGCATTTCAGATGGGTTGGAAATGCTGTCCTGCACGTAGCAATCTCTCGAGATGTCTTACCTGGATTTGTAGAGATAAATGACGAATTTCAGTCATGGCAGCTTGCACTTGAGACATGGCGCTCTTTGCATCCTTTAAACAGTCATCTTTGGTCCTGGAGACTTCATCTTTGGTCCTTAAGACTTCCTCTTTAGCCTTCGCCAACTCCCACCCAGGGATTCTTTGGGACGAAAACAAAGGAAAACATTAGAAAACATTCGACAAACGATTTCAGTGGAGGATTGTCTGGCTTGTCGGTGGATAGTAGTTCTCCTTGCAACGAGACTCCTTGCAAGTCGTGGCCAAGACATCATGTTGCTTCTTTTGGGCTTTTTTGAAAGCGCAGGATGAAGGATGAAATGGCATACAACAAAATCACCTGTATTGAATATTCATCTAGTATTATTGGCGCAAAAAAATGCTTTTACTGTTTTGATGTTTTAATTAATGTCGATTGCACCTCCTTCGACGCGTCCAGCAGGCCCCAATACTCTTGTCCTTTTCGTGCACCAAACTTGACAATTTCAAAGGACAGCATGTCGTCTGGTCGTGGACCTTCGAAAGTGGTTTTTGGTAACATGGCTACAACAGTTTACTCATTGCATTTTCATTTGCTAACTCTCGTTCTCCCCTAGTTGGAAACATTCCATGCAAGTTTCTATTGACATTTTGGAACCTTGAATGAGAGCTCAATATCATGTACTCTATAGATGACTTTACAGAGCAACAACTAGTGGATATCTTCAAGGAAGTTGGCCATGTAGTCGGCTTCCGACTCTTGTTTGATCGAGACACGAATAAACCAAAGGGATTTGGATTTTGTCAATACCTCGGTATGGTCCTACCAAAGGCATGATATAATGCTCAAATACCATTCCATCTCATACATTGATATGCATCAAATCATTAGATTCAGAGACGGCTGCTAGTGCGGTACGAAATCTCAATGGCTATGAAGTTGGAGGACGGAAGCTGAGAGTCGATTTCGCTGATAGTGAAAAGGAGATGGAGGTAGCCTATCTTGCATGTATACTGCTACACCACGCGGAAACAGATGCTAAGCATCCCACAACAATCTTTTACTAGGTGGCAGGAGCAATACCGATGCAACCAATCGCAACTCCACCAGTCCCACAACAACCTTCTGCACCTGCCGCCGATGTCATTCAGAATCTAGTTGCTCAGACATCTCCCGCTGCTCTTGTGTCTATGCTTGCAGATCTCAAGGTATACCATGGGTCATACGTCGGGGTTTTTTGTCTCAGAACAACCAATTCTCAACAAAACATTTGCACGTTAGTTGATGGTCACTACACGACCAGATGACCTCAAGAAAGTATTTACAGCCAACCCTCAATTGACTTATGCCGTGTTTCAAGCCATGATTATGATGAATGTCGTTGATCAAACAGTTATTGGGGTGAGTGCCCAAAAAGTGGGACTAGCTCACCTGAATGTATGCTTTCAACTCAACTCACTTATGCTCGCCCTTCTTCATATCAATAGCAAGTACTTCAAGCTCAAATAGCACAACAATCACAAGCTATAGCTGCAGTCAATCCTATGGTAGCTGCCACCGTGACTGGTTATCCTCCTGCACTTCCTCCTCAGCCTGTAGCTATGCCATTAACAGCACCAGGTGTAGCACCACAACCACAAATGGATATGGCTGCTGCTACGGCGCTGGCCAAACAACAACAAGTAGGGACACTTTCATGGTTTTTGAAACAGCAAAAAGAAGCATGTAAGCTCAATATGCAAATTTGATATAGTTGCTGATGGAGATCCTGTCATTACGAGAGGATCAAATTGCCATATTACCACCGGACGAACGAGCACAAGTCATGGCTATAGTAGGTTTACTTGTGGAAAAAAAGGAACGGCTGTATGCTATCATTGACTGACGAAGTTTTTTTAGCGGAGCCAATATCAACAATACTTGCCATCATAGTGATTCAAATACCTTGATGTTGTGACATATTTTCGCATAGAAGGGCAGCTAGACACTTTGTAACAGCCTCTTTGAAACAATTGTTGAATACATTCCTTGCATGTCATTAAACCATTTCTTAAGAGTTGGACTAGTGCGTATTGTGTAGCCTTTCTATGATTGTGTTTTTGTACAAGGAGATGTATTTCCCAGAACTATGGCGAATGTATAATTGATCCACATTTATCGTTGTGGTTTACGAACTCCCTTCCCTTTTGTCTTGACTGGCTCTTTCGCTGATGGCGAAATAACGAACGGCTTTATCACCTTATCCCAGAGCTTCCATATCGCAAACAGCGGTATCTGTTGACCAAAACAAGAAATTCAGTTACGAAATACGATCAGCAAAAAAACGTTTGGAACGAAATCTGTATACTCACCACCCAAAGCAGATACCAAACCCAATCCGACAAACACGCACTCCCCACCAGCACAAACATACACACATAAATCACGTCAAAGTAATACGCGACCAGCGAATTCGTATCACTCAAATCAACGCCCGAGTCATTCGATAGCGATACGAGCTGTGTATACAGTCCAACTATTACAGCTTCGAGAATCACAAATCCGAGGATGTGGGAGAAGCGGAATGACGAGTACCGTATGAGGAAGCGGATTAGGATGTAGGCTAGTGCTGTGAGGAGTATGGCGTATAGGTGGTATTGCAGGGTCGTTGCGTTTTGGGAGGCGATTTTTTTGGAGGATGCGTTTGCCTGTGGTGAAGAGTGTACTGTTAGATCATACGTACAGAGGAAAGAAGTATGAACGGCCAAGGACTTGCCATTGTGTGCTTTTCTTTCTCTGCTTCTTCTATAGACGTAAAGCAAGATCTTGATCTATAAGTGCGCAATGTGAAATGCTGTAGCATCGCAACTTTCAAACCAAACCCAAAACGCGGAGCTGGTGCACTTCTATACGCGTTTATATGTTAATATTGCAGGTTTAATTATCTTACCTTTTTACATTCTAACGAGGAGACGTGAAACCCAAAGGCAATGGAACGTGAACAACACCCAGTACTTTCAAGGGTTTAGAAGTGTACTTCACGTTTTGAGATCAAGCTTTTATACAATTCAGTCCTCAAATGAGACATTTAAAAGACCATACGAGTATTACATCATCTGCAAGGTCTCTTAGTGCGGATGAATACCACCGTCAACCAAAACTACGAATTGTGTGTGCAAGTCAGCACTCTGGCTCAAACCCCCCAAGTTTTTCAATTTGTACAAGAAGGACACCACAATGCAACAATAAAAGCACTTACATGTCTGGTTTGTGATGTAGCCGTTTTGCAAAACAGCCACGGTTAGAGACGCACATTCGTCCAAAGTGCCAAACCTTCCCACAGGTATACGAGCCTTGAGATTGTTAACTTCATTCGAATTCGGATCTCCAAAGCTCATTCCTCCATCTATTAGAGCTATTCGATCCAAAATGGATTTCATCAGCAAGCGGTATAGCTAAGAACGACACTAGTCTTGATACCTGGAGCGATGATGTTGCAGGTTATTCCAAACTTGGCATGATTCGCAGCGACACTATGCATTAACCCAATCTGAGCCGCTTTTGATGAAGCGTAATGAGGTCCAACGACACCACCGGTGAAGGCAGCTACAGAAGACACCAGAACTATTCGACCAAATTTACGCGAAATCATTCCAGGTATTACTTTCTGCAAGATTGTGAATTGAGACGTGAGATTCACATTCATTACTTTGGTGAAAGTCTCGAGTTTGATGTCTAGGAGAGATTCCCGGAATCCAATGCCTGCATTCAAGACCAAGATGTCTATAGGACCTAATTGTGCCTCGGTTCTGGCAACAAGAGATACATTCTCATCTGGTTTTTCAATGTCCCCATCTAGTACTATAATTTTGGCGTTTGGAGCCTGTAAAAGTTTGTGGAAACAAATAAGCGATGTAATATTTGGTCGATAACACAGTGACAGTAGTACTGTAAACTGAGGACTGAAATGCTAACATATTTAAGACAGAGGTCTTTGACTTGTAGAGCAGTTTCCCGGTTTGAATTGTAGTGTATGGCAACATTACAACCTGCGATTGCCAGATGCACAGCGATTGCAGCACCTATTCCCCTGGACGAGCCTACATGGTAGAGGAGACACAGTCAATAAATGTGATATTGGTGGTACGATTATGAATATTACATCAAGGCGCCTCCACAATAATCATGCGATGGCAATTCCACGAAAAGGTATGGTACGCACTTCAAATTAATGCCCACAACTTACCAGTTACCAATGCGACCTTGGCATTCAATGCGTTGATAGTCGAAAGCGGGTTGATGATCTTGTTCATCGTGCTGCGAGTTTGTAGAACGGTTTGTAGGTTTAACGAGTTTCTTTGAGTTTGCAGAGTTTTAAAGGAGCAGCAAACATCTTGGCAGCCCACAAGAACAAGTTTTGGACGTACTTGTGAAATTCGTTCGCTTTATTCACGCGTATATTTGCGTGGATCTCCAGTGATAACCGTCTTGCAAGGTGAAAGTATTCTCGGAAGCTCACACCCAATCAACCCATTTTTCAGCAATCTTTTTTGAGAAGTGTCTTGATCATGACCCTACAGCAGTGAGCAGCTTGATAGCAAGGTCTACTGGATTCAAGTGGTCGAGAGCCGGCCTGGTAATATATAGCCTACTATGTCGGTCGCAATCCGCATTGACGGCATGCATTGCCAGTCGTGTGTGAACGCCGTAACGCTCGCTCTCAAACCTTTTCCGGGTGTTAAGAATATAGCTGTCTCGCTGCAAGACAACCGTGCCGATCTAATCTGTGATATGGGAATCGTCTCCATACCCGATGTTCTAGCTGCCATTGAAGATTGTGGATTTGAAAGTGCTCTCATGTCTGGAGAGGACAATACCAACAACACTGTTGCTGCACTGCCAATGTCAGAACCATTATTAGTAGATCCCACTCCTATATTTACTGCTTCCATACCACCACAACCAATACCGTCAAAGATGACTGATTCCACGTCAACCTTATTGATGACACCACAACCACCGATTACACCTATACTATCACTGCCTTCTCCAAATATAAAGTCGCCATCTAGCTCAACCTTTGCCAAGAGAGCTCATCTACAGGTTTTGGGTATGACTTGTGCCAGTTGCGTGGCCTCTATCGAAAAGCACTTGAAAACTACTCCTGGAGTGATATCGGCCCAAATAGCACTACTAGCCGAACGTGCTGAAGTTTTATACGACACTCGAATCACCTCTCCAGCAAACATAGCACAGGCAATAGAAGACATTGGATTTGATGCATCGGTGCTTCCAGACCAAGCTGTTGGAAGTGTCGACCTCAAAATATTTGGAATGACGTGTGCTTCTTGCTCGGGAACCATTGAACGAGAATTACGAGCCATGCATGGCATACGAGTCGCAAACGTCAACCTCCTCGGTCAGCAGGGACATTTCGAGTTTGATAAAAATAGGATAGGGATACGTGATATAGTAAATCGTATAGAGGATTTAGGATTTAATGCTTTGATGGCTGATTTGTCGTCAAATGCTCAAATCGAGTCACTGAATCGAACTCGAGAAATTCAGGAATGGAAGGTATCGTTTTGGAGGGCTCTTTCGTTAGCTCTTCCGGTGACTGCCATATCAATGGTCTTGCCCTTGTCGAATTGGGGCTGTGCTATGGTCAATGCTGTCGTGTTACCTGGTCTGACATGTGGTAATCTGCTACAAGGAGTCCTTACCATTCCAGTCCAGTTTGGTATTGGACGACGATTCTATATAGCTAGTACCAAGGCAATATCGCATGGTACAGCTACTATGGACGTCCTTATTGTCTTAGGAACTTCCTTGGCCTTCGTCTACTCGGTCATGGCTATATTTGACGCCATGTTCTTCTCACCATCCCATGCTAGCCCTGAAGTCTTTTTTGAGACGTGTACCACTCTGATTACCTTTGTAACGCTGGGACGATATTTAGAGAATCTGGCCAAGGGTAGAACTGGAACTGCCTTGTCAAAGTTGATCTCCTTGGCCCCAAGTACCGCTTGTTTATTAGAACCAACTACAAATAATAATGCTGCCGACGCTGTAAAGGACAGTAAAACCGATATGAAGCTATCCACACATGTCTCATATACCGAAAAGTCCATTCCAGTCGAATTCATAAAAGTAGGAGACTTGCTCAAAGTAGTACCAGGAGATCGCATTCCTGCAGACGGCATAGTAGAAACAGGTGCCAGTGATGTAGACGAGTCTCTGGTTACTGGTGAACCGATACCAATCCGAAAAAAGATTGGAGATGCTGTTATTGGTGGTACCGTCAACGGGTCAGGCACCTTTGCCATGAAAGCCTCACGAGTTGGTGCTGATACAGCCTTGTCACAGATCGTCAAACTGGTGAATGATGCACAAACTAGTAAAGCTCCCATCCAGTCTATGGCTGATGCTGTAGCCGGATATTTTGTGCCATCAGTCATACTGCTAGGCGGACTCACCTTCCTCATGTGGATGTGTATATTGGTTAACGTCGGTCAAGTTCCACCAGCCTTCCCCAAAGATTCCAATTATCTATATGTATGCTTGAATCTAGCTATATCCGTCATTGTCGTAGCATGCCCTTGTGCGCTTGGATTGGCTACTCCCACTGCAGTCATGGTTGGAACAGGAGTAGGTGCTCAACTAGGAATTCTCATAAAGGGCGCTGCGTCGCTTGAAATCGGGCATCGAGTCACGAAAATAGTATTTGACAAGACTGGGACTTTGACTGCTGGTAAAATGTCTGTCGTGAAGGCAGAATACTTCAAGACCAGAGTTACCAAAGGTGATGCTCATGCTACTCTGCAGTTGATTGGAGCTGCTGAAGTCGGATCTGAACATCCTCTCGGACGAGCTATATCGAAATATGGGCTAGTGACGTTAAATCAGCAAGCATATAGTAACCAAGTCACTGAATTCGAAGCTGTAGGAGGATCAGGTGTAACTTGTCACATAGCTGGCCATACCGTCTTGATTGGCAACACTGATTGGATGAAAAAGCACGGAGTAGCCGTTAGCCATGAAGTCGCTGCAGTACGAGAATCTCTCGAATCACTTGGACACACTGTAGTCCTTGGTGCCATTGACGATGAACTAGCATGTCTACTCGGTCTCGCCGACTCTATAAAACCCGAAGCAGTAACAGCCATAAACGCACTCCGCAAAATCGGTGTCAAAGTAGCCATGGTAACTGGAGATCAAGAGCTGACTGCCAGAGCCGTCGCACGTCAAATCGGTATAACGGAAGTACATGCTGGAATATCACCTGCTGGTAAAAAGCACCTGATTACAGAATTCCAAAAGACGGATGTGGTTGCCATGGTTGGTGATGGTGTCAATGATAGTGCTTCGATAGCGCAGTCTGATATGGGGATTGCTGTGTTTGGAGGCACTGATGTGGCTGTTGAGGCTGCTAATGTGGTCTTGATGAGACCGGATTTGACTGATGTTGTTACTGCCTTGGATTTATCACGAGTCATATTTCAAAGGATTCGATTGAATTTCTTTTGGGCGACCATCTAGTAAGTATTGTCGTGTGCATTGTATAGTTGGATAGCGTTGGAAGCCAAGTCGGGTTCAGATGATTCCATTGTATCATTATAGTTACACTTTTTTGGTGTATCTGTATTAACATTCCAATCTCACTTTCTTAGCAATGCCATTATGATTCCACTAGCCATGGGTGCATTCGCTCCTTGGGGATTCATCCTACATCCAATGTTGGCTGGTATGTACTTCCGCACAAAAAAGCACAAAGTATGATCTATGCACACGACTGACCGTCAAAATTTCCAGGAATGGCCATGTCACTCTCCTCCGTATCCGTAGTAGTATCCTCCCTCCTTCTAAAATCATACAAAAAACCAACCCTCGACACCACCGAATCAAAAACCGACCAATATCAACCAAAACAACCATCAACACCACGTAAAGTCCTCAAAGTGCTCAATTCTGCGTTGAATGTAGTGCACGTTGTGGGATTGAAGACTGCAGTTGCTAATGCATCGTCTGCTTCTGCTGGATATCGCCTTGTGCACGATGATGAAGAGGAGGACGAGTATGAGATGGTTATTAATCGTGCTGTTTAAAAGGAAACACATATCATATGAACAAACGCAACAATATTATTAAGTTAGTTAGTAGTGTATCCAAAGTGTAACAGTCATATTAAACAAACACAGTTTATAGACAGCAACATAGTCGAAGGATAGAGGACGGCAGTTTTTGCATGACGTTTTATATTGAAAGATACTATAAACATGCGACAATACAATTCTATAGATGTTATGCCCTTCTACGACCACCACGATTTGATCGTTCTCCAGCAGCACTACCACCACGTCCATCACTGCTTCCAGCATTACTACCTGTCTTATCTCCAACTTGATCAAATACCGATGGTACATAATTTGACGCCGTCTGCTGTTGCTGTGGTTGTGATGGCGCTGGCTGTACACCACCACTAGAAGTAATCGACCCATCCTTTTTCGTCACGACAATTTTCAATCTGGTAGTCGCTGCAGCTGCTGGTGCTGCAACTACATTCGACGAAGACACATTCTCAGAAGCAGCCTGAGGCGGCAATGGTTGAGAAACTGGTGGTGCACTATTATTAGATGCGGCTAAAGCAGCAGCTAAAGCCTCACGAGCCTTTTCCCGTCTCTGTAATTCTCGGTCACGTAATTCGCGTTCCTTGGCACGTGGATTTATAGGTTCTGTTTTTATAGGCTCGGATGATGATGGTATAGCGATATTTGTAGGTGGATTTTGTGGTGGGATAGGCTGAGTAGGTATTGGAGGTTGTTGTTGTTGCTGTGGTGGCATCGATTTAGATACTGGTTGTTGAGGCTTTACGGGCTGTGCGGTTTGTTGCAATATTGGTTGTAATGGTACCGGTGCTGCAGCGGATGGAGGTGGTAATGGGGGAAACGACTTGTTGTTGTTTTGCTCTATGGAAAGTGATTTTGAGGCATATATGGCTTTGGTAGGTTGTGCGGCTGATGCTTCTTTGCCACCAGCATCTTTCTTCTTCTTGTTTCGTTCACGCCGTGACGGTTTAGAACCTGATTTATTATCATCTACATTCGATGTTGGTGCGGCAGGACTAGATGCTCCAGCCTGTTGACGTGTATTCCTTTCCTTTTTAGTATTCTGTTCCTTTTTCGGCTGTTGCTGCTGTGGCTGTTGAATACGTTTAGGCTGCGCGTCTTGTCGAGATTTACCCTTTTTACTCTTGGCATCTTGAGCAGCCTTTTTATTTCTCAGTTCGTCTAATAAAGGTGTGCTCTTTGGATCTTGACGTGATGGGGATGAGACGGATGGTTTGGATGGTAGTTCTGGAGTTGTTTCTTCACCGAGGTAGTCACCGCCCTTTTCCAGCCTTTCCAGGAATGCTTTATAGTCTGAGTCTGCGTATCGAAAAATTGGTTGAGATATCGAGTGAAGAAATAAAGGAGAATTGATTCAGGTAACAATCCTACAGGTAATAATCCTACCATCAGAAATAGTCGCAATCCTTGAGTCAACCTTGACTTTACGTTTTGGACATTGTTGAGAAGGAGCAAATTCGATATGTATTCTGGTTTCGTTTCCTTAACAAATGTAAAAATATCAGCCTTCAATGCAACTTGATCCACCAACATGTAAACCCCATACCTTTAGCGTCAGCGAAAACATGTCCTTCAAATCCACGATGAAACTCTAATAATGACGGTACGTCCTTGAAATGTATATAAGCTCTAGAATATACGTTTTCCTTTGCAGCACTATTAGAATTGTTGTGAGCTGTTTAAAAGTCGAGGTTTCATGTTAATGTTCACGATGTGACAACCTTTTAGCTTGCTTGCCAGAACAGTAATAGTACGAATCGGTCATTTCCAGCCACGGATTTATGGAGGATCGAAATATTTCTTCAGGTAGATTCGGAGGGAGCCGTCTCAGGACTATCTTCAACTTTGCATCGTCGTCAGTGTTGCTAGCCTTCTTTTTGGCCGCTATAAGCAAGTGCTCGTGTTAATATTGGTATAGGAAATCACTTCTATGAATTTGATTTGGCAGAACTTGCCTTCATTCTCTTGATCTGCCATCTTCTGGTTGAACTGGTAGGTTGATGACGGACGCAATGTGATCCAGAAGCGGAACCAAAATTATCATTAACGCGAGAGTTCGTGTATTTTGCTCAAATATTTGCTACTTCTTTACAACAGTGGCTTCTAAGGCCGATTTCAGTATATTGATCAAAGTTGGCATTCATTTACAGCAGTTCTAATCCTCCAAAAGATCTACAGGAAGTTTGCCCGTCGATCTCACTACACCAAAGAGGGTGCGTCTGTGTTGAGGTGGGACTGTGGTTGAGAAAACACGTCAATGAAAATCCTTACAAGAAAGTATCAACAGTCCTTACCACCACGACAAGAAGTCAATGCCAAGTCTCGCACACCAGTCTCTGCTACTTTGAGCACTCCAGCTGGAGTAATCGGCGTCGATTCTAGCAGTAGCTCTTGCAGGTCTTCACAGTTACAGATATACCCAATTCCTACATCCCCGACCTTCGTCTTGGATATATTCAGAAACCGAAGACGAGATCCAGGTCTCTTCATAGCACCTTCGTGTTCATACAATCCGGGCTGTGACAAGACCTCAAAGGTAGCATCCGTTACTCCCGTATCGCTCACGTCGAGATTCTCTAGATTGAGCGCTGTGGTAAAGACTGATTGCAGATTGTTGATACGTGTGCACGAGAACAGCGATAGTCTGGTAAGGTGCGGCAATAGTAAGGCAAGCGGGTTTAATATTTGAGGCGTCAGTTCCTATTTTGAATGGATGGTAATTTAGTCAGGTGAATTGAGTCAGTGATTGAGTCAGTTGCATGACTACGGTAGAATCAATAAAACTTACAGGCGTTCCACCAATGATGAAGGTCTCTACACGTGGACCTGCAGGTCTTCCAAGGAATGTTTTCATGGAGCTAAAAAAGTCTTTTGGTAGTTCTGCTGGTCCCTTCTTTCTCGAAGTCAAATGACTTAAATTGAGCTTGGTCATGTTGACAAAAAGGTGTAGGGGAGCTAATTTCTGTGACCACAAAGTGAGCATTTACCAGACAATGATTGCTTATCAACAAACTTACGCGACATATAGTAGACATCATATCCAGAGCTTCTAACGTGCCTCCAAATTTCTTGGCAACAGCATCAAGTGACGCGCTCCCAAAGTCAGTGTTACAGACTTTGAGTCGTTGTAAAGGAGCCACCATTTCAAGTTCATTTATTACTGTCGAGATGACCTTGTCGGTTCCCAAGGGCGTATTACCAAGTTTGAGTACAGCTAATTTGGGTAGAGCTAATACCTCCTTTAAATCTTGCATGGTGGCAGCTGTAAATGATAGATTCAGACGAGTGAGATTCTCATATTGTGACAAGGTCTCTAAAACAGTGGCTCCAAGATTGGAATGGCCACGAGCATCTAGCGATACTAGCTGCGGCATTAACCTGACTATTTCAGCTCCCTTTGGTGAATTTGCCGGGTCGTTTATGTTTAGTTCTCTGACATTCTCACAAATATCACGATGCCTTTTCAGCAGGGTTAGAATGTCGCTCTGATTTGCCCAAATGGACAGGTCCAGAGATGTTGGTTCACAATACATGATGAATAGCTTGTACACATTGTCAGCTGCAAGAGTTGGTTTGCTCTGAGCGACGAGATTAGCTAGTATTGTTATCAATTGTTCAGGAATGAGTTGGTATCTACGATTGTCGGCAAGAGTTGAGAAATATGCTTCGATGTTTGCAGCCATTGCCTATGGTAAAATTCATGTTGGTCTCGTTCTTGCAAGCGAATTGAAGTGCGAGATGTCAATAACCTCAAGACAGATCCTGGTTAGCGATCGGAGGCCTATTTCAGTAACATTCCTCGCAGCTGCATAACGAGATGCTCGACTCTGGAACAAAGAAATTCGATGAGCTTACATCACTAAAACCACAAACCAAGTCCCTGATGGCAACAGATCAACACAATATTGCATACGGGCAATTGGAAGAGCCACTTACTTCTGAGTAAAGAGAGTATTCGACTTTCCGCGAGGCTTCCTCGGTTCCTCCAAAATTCGTAAAGGCGATTACATTGCTGCTGCCTCCCTTTTTGCTCGATTTCTTAGCAGCAGTCTTCTTGCTGGAACTTGGCGATGACATGTTAGGTCAAGTATATAACGTGGCTCTGATTGATCTGATGACCTGCCAGGATATAGCTCTATTGTCAAAACAGCAGCTTACTGGTAGTTACCAAAAGTTGGACGACTAGCAACGAGTGTACAGAGACGAGAACCTAAATTTGGGTGCGCGTGGATTTGTGTATAATTGAAAGTGTATCTGAAACTCCTTTCGCCTCTAGCCTTTGGTACTCTGCTTATCGCGATAACCACGTAAAATGTTGTGTTTGGTAGCAGACGCAAATTAACGCCACCCAAAAGATTCAAAGTAAGTGATATGTGCAATTTATGGTTTATTGTTGGTTGATAAAGTGCTAAATCAACTGTTTGTTTGCAATTGTGTATAGTTGATCATAATACGAGTTCTCCTACAGGGATTTGCTGTTTTATGGTTTTTTCTACTACTCTTCACCAAGAGTCTGGTTTTATAACCTTTACTGGTAGATTCCAATTCGATAATAAAAGGAACTGAGAGCACGTGTTGTGGTGGTGTTTAAAACTTGCGTGACTGGGCAGCGGTTTGTTAGGGATATACCGACCAGGATGATATATGCTGTACCTATTATGCTATGATCAGAGGATTATCATCTTCGTTTGAGCGTTAGGCAGCTGAGCAATGATTGCCACTTGGTCATGGAGCTAGATGGTTGTTTATAGTGTTCGTCGTAATCAGCCTCGTTCGTAAATGCCGAAGACATGTCATAGCTCTTTGACGAGGACGGAGTGAGATCCTTCCGAGATATACTGGTAGTCGTGGAGCAGGTGGAAGTTGTTGGGGTTCGTGAGAACATGAGTTTAATTGGAGGTGCAATGTCTTTTGATTTCTTGACGCTAATGACTTCGTATGGCATGAAGGTAGTTGACATTGGCACGTAAGATGGTAGTAGGATGTTGGGACGAGCAGAGAGTTGATTGTTTACTGTGTCAAGAGCGTTTATGAGTGAGAGATCAAGTTCGTGGATTTACAAGAAAGGTGCATTACAAACCTTGTCTTGCGCAGCAAAACAGAAGACTGTAGAATGAATTGGAATGCCGCTTGAAAAACGTTCCGATGCTAGTTGTTTGCTCTCTCGCGTTGATCTCGTTGAGTTGGTGGAGTGTGTTGTGCGTTTAGAGCGTTTGTGACAGGTGTTCACACATGTTCGATTACGTGAGATTTAGTAAGCTACGTAGTAAGCTGCAGCACACCACCACACACCACACTTTTGAACTCAGAGAAGTATCTATAGGCGGCATTTCCTTGCTAAAACAGGCTTATAAAACTCTCGGTATGTGCATTCTCGTCGCTCTCTATCTTGTTTAATAGTACAAACTGATGGATGGATTGGATGCATTCCACAACATGCTCCCAACAAAATCCAAACACACGTTTAAATCATCAAATCTGGCACAGAACTGGATCTAACATTCAAATCGCGGACACACTAGATAAATCAGCTCTCTCTCCCTTCCCTCTTATTACTCGAATCACTGTAAATCAACCATGTATGTTCAACATTTTGCATCAAGAGCTAACTCGATCCCATGTTATGCCTTCATCGTGTTATACCTACATGCTGACATGCCTTCATAAACAGGAAATACTTGGCCGCTTACATGCTCGCTGCCTTGGCAGAACCAAAGCCTTCCAGCGAAAAAATCACCGAGATTCTATCGTCTGTTGGTATTGAAGCCGATGCTGCTCAAGTGAAGAAATTGTTGGCCTCCATGGACGGCAAGGACTTGAACAAGGTAAATCAAGCAGCTGATGAAGTGAAGGGATGATGATGATGTCTGTGGCAGCAGCTAAGGTGATCTGCGTGCATGTTGAAATGTTACTAGAAAATGGTTGAGAGTGAATAGTGAAGCCGATATACAGACAGCCAAATCATCCCTGAGCATCAGTCATCGTCCTCTTCAATCAGTCATCGTCAACTTGAATAAGCACAGAACACATATATTTAACCAAAACCATGATGTCCATTCTAGCTGATCGAAGAAGGATCAAAGAAATTGCAAACTGCTGGCCCAGCTGCCGTCGCTGCTGCCCCAGCCGCTGCTGCTCCAGCTGCCAAGGCTGCTGCCCCTGAAAAGAAGGATGCTGGCAAGAAGGAAGCTCCAAAGAAGGAAGAGCCAAAGGAAGAATCTGATGAAGACATGGGTTTCGGTTTATTCGACTAAACTATCTCTCCTATAAACTCTTTGTAAAGTGCATAAACCTTCTTTGGCATCTCTAATTCTCGTGTGTTTTGAAATTGTTGTGTTTTGCCGTGTTGTTGGTCGGGATTTACTGTGAGCGATGACTATATTTATATGATTGGTATTTACAGTTATGATATAAAGGTGATAGGTGATTACAGCACTATTCTACCACAATTGCACGATCTTTGCCCGCCATATCTCGCCACACTTTTGTTGTATGTGGTGCAAATAAGGATTCTATGTGCTGCACCTGATGAGCACCTCCAATCTCCATGACGACTTTGATCGGAGAGCCAGAGTCCGACTTGATCAATCCTCTCCAAATGCTGGCAATGCGTCTATAAAAGTCCAGACCGTCTCGCCCACCAAGTAAAGCTCTCGGATCCTCATAGTCCCGTACTGATGGAGCTAACTCGCTATATTCTGACTCTGATACATACGGTGGATTCGACACAATGACATCAAACTTTTCTGGATGGATTTTGAGTATGGCGTCGACAAATCCGGTGTGGAAGAGATCATGTTGCAAGAAGGTCGCATTGACGATCTTGTTACGAATAGTATTATGTTTTGAGAGATCTATGGCTATTGCAGAGTAGTCCAGTCCCAACACTGTTGCTTTGGGAAACCGTTTCGCGAGAGCGAGGCCGATACATCCAGAGCCGCAACATATGTCTAGTATAGACGTCGGCATCGATGCTGTGACTTCATCAGCGAGCTTCATAACCCATTCCTCAGTCTCCCATCGTGGAATCAGGACGGGAGAACAACACTCAATATCAACTGGTCCAAATGGTTGCGATCCTGACGTAGATGACTATGAATATTGATCATATCCCATAATAACGATGTTCAAAGGTGTGATACCTAGGATATACTGCAGCGGTTCGTGCTTTTGACGACGAGTAACGAGCAATGCCAATTTTTTGGATGTCGAGTCATCCAACTTTGGGATGAGCTTGTCCAATACAGAGTAATCTCCCCTACTCGCCAAATCCAGTTCCGTTTTGAATGATGATACTCTAGCTCGTGGATCTTGAGCCGTTATATGTGATGAATGTGTTTCGACTGAATTCAGAGCTTTACGAAGAAGCCACGATATCTCATACAGTGCGTCGTCCTTGGTCTCGGCTACTGGCAGTAGAGCCGTTATATAAGAGTTCAAGGTAGATGACGTTACCCCTGGAACTCTTTTCATTATCGTTATGTTGTTTTAAACGTATGCAAGAGTTTTCGGCTGACGCAAAATCACACAGGTCTGGCGATGGCCAATAATCAGACTGGCCAGAATCATAAACGTACATATTTGTACGTGTTGCGGCTACTTGGATATGCTGCTTCAAGTATGTCGCATTGATATGCCAAGTTGGACATCAGACTCATTTGTGTTCACTCTGGCCTACTAGGTTATATCGTCATTAGAGGGCTGGCATCACTTGGTCTGCCTCCATTCGCGTCATTATTTGCTGCTACCCGACGCAAATTGTCAATTGAGGAGGAATATGAGCGGCTATTTAAAGGAGACTTTGATTGTGAGTGTTTGTGTGGCATCCCGCCGTACTTTTTTAGAAGCAGTGAGCAATCTTATTCAAGTTAACTCATCGCATCAAAATATAGATATCGTACTTGGTGCTGGATCAGCTGGCTGTGCTCTCGCATCTCGCCTGTCGGAAGATCCAAACTGCAAAGTGCTACTTCTTGAAGCTGGACCCGATTCAAAAGACATGTTGGCAGTCAAAGTACCAGGACTCTTTACATCTCTGCTAGGAAATTATACAACAGATTGGAAACTCGCTACAGTCCCACAAAAGGACACGTTTTCTCGAGTTCACAGCCTGGCTCGAGGAAAGCTAATGGGTGGCTGTTCTGCTGTTAATGCGACCGTTTGGGTGAGTTTCTAACGATTGTACTGCTTTTTACTCTATCCTTGTCGCGAACGTGTCCCTAATTTTTACAAAATAGGTCAGAGGTTCACCTGAGGACTTTGAAGAGCTTGAACGTGACTATGGAAATAAAGGTACATGCCGATGTATTCGCTTACCTCTCTACGTCTTCTATTGTTCACAATGCTCTTCAAGGATGGGGATGGGACATTATGAAGCGCATTTACGAGAGAGTAGAATCGGTGCAAATCCCAAAAGATCATGTGGGCGGTGGTCGTGGATACGACGGAGCAACGAAAATCAGCCATTCAACAAACAATCGTCCGGCTGCCCTCCATTTCAAAATGGTTGAATGGTGTGTGACCTTGTGTGTTCGTTGTTGCCAAAAAAAGGAACTACTATACTGACAATCAATGTACCATAGTGCAAATGAAGCTGGTATTGGATCATCTCCAGATGGTACCAGTGACACGAAACGTCAAGTGAGATTAGATCACAAGACGTTTGGTGTTGGTAAGTTTCAACCCGGTGAACGTGGTTTGGAACTCACACATTTATTCACGCCATTCCAATTCAGATTACAACTCGGAAAACCAATTTGGGTCAGGGATCTTACAGTCGAATGTTCACAACGGGTATGGCCGATGTCGGAGCAAAACCAATTGCATTCCTGTGATTGACAAGATATGTGCTTCTGTAGAGAACGACAGTCCACAGCACATTCGTACATCTATCCATACACCAATCCCAAGTTGGCCAACTATAGGCCGAATCTTACTGTCTTCAGGTAACCTTGTTGCGCGACCAATGTACTGCGATGAAATATTGAAACTGACAAAACTTGCAAACCACAGCGGCGTCCATGTTCTCAAAGTACTCTTAGAACCAAATCCAAAAACGGGCAAACTACGCGCTGACGGTGTTGTGGTCAAAATCAGCAAAGACACGACCGGCACAGAGCGAAAAATTCGTGCTCGGAAAGATATTATTGCCAGTTTGGGAAGTATTGGATCGCCTCAACTCTTAATGCTCAGTGGAATTGGACCAAAAGAACACCTCAAATCTGTTGGACTTCAATGTTTGAAGGACCTTCCAGGTGTCGGTGAGAACTTGCAAGACCATCTTTTCAGGTATGACATAAATGCGACGATGAAATGACGTTACAAGCTGACTCTTCAAATGAAACAGCTGGTTGCACGTCGAGAACTTGGACAAAACTGTCTACACGCCCCGTCGAACAAGTTTTCTGCTTTGGTCTCTACTCGAATGGAGTTTATTCCGAACTGGCATGTTTGCTGGTAACGTCATCCTTGAAAGCGGATCCTTTTTCAATACCAAGAAATACGTTGAACGGCAAAAGAAAGTCAAGAGGACACGACCGCCGCCTCCGAATATACAGTTTCATATGGGAGGGTCATTCCAAGGAGATCCAAGTAAGTCTGAAATTTGCTGTTGATGTTGGATTATCAGCTTATTTTTCCGCTCCGTGGTTAGACTTTGTTGGCATGTATTCATCGGCCGTGGTTGAACCGTTTGCTGGCTCTCCAAGCGGATTTGATGCTGAGAGGGCGATGTCAGAGTCCATGTACCTGTCGCGAGATCAAATGGTAAAGAGAATTCAGTGGTTAGAAATAATGTGTTATTTTTTTCAATATCGTAATTCAAGAGTAAGTGGTTTTTTTCTCTTCCCAGAGCAAAGTGCCAGATTCATCGACAATCTGGGTCACATTCATCAAACCCCAGTCTCGTGGAACGGTCCGTCTCCGTTCTGCCAATCCGTTCGATAAACCAATCATCGGTATGGGGAAAAAAAGTGCCGATTTGAACTCATGCACGAAATTCCATGCACAATTTTCCAACCACTCATTTCTGTAGATCCCAAATACGTCAACCATCCAGACGACATTGAGGACTTTGCCGATGGATTTGAAGACGCTCGTCGAGTAGTCGACAAATTACAACAAAAATACCCACTTACATTTGGCCGTGAAGTTCACGACGCTTGGATTGTGAACGAACTGCTACGTGTGCATCCGGAATGGAGTCGAGAGAAAGCGGCGGCTTCAAGAGAGTATATTAAGGCGTACATTCGTTTGAGTTGCCAGAATGTAAGCCAAAAAGAAAGATGTTGATTAATGTCTTTTTTGATCCATTCCAAACAACTCTCATCACAACCGTTGTAGATATCACACCCTACAGGAACCTGCGCCATGAAAGCTGAAGCTGCTGGTGGTGTCATCGATTCAAAGTGTCTGGTTTATGGGACTGAGAACTTGAGGGTAGTTGATGCAAGTGTGTTCGTCAACATCCCGGCAGGCAACACCAACGCGTAAGTATTCATGGGCTTGATGAAAGCTGTTGATGAAAACATCTCATTTCTAATTTTGGTTTCTATAGTCCAACTATAGCTGTGGCTGAGCGAGCAGCAGATATTATCAGGGGGATTTAGCCCAAATTTTAGTAGGTGGTTGAACGAGCGGAGGGCCGTCATTAGAGGGCATTCAACCACACGCTCTTACAAAGCACCTTTGTTGAATATTTGACTTTCATTTTTTTGATCAAAGAAATTTCAAGATTTTCAAAAACACTTATGACTACTTTTGCTTATTTTTTACATGATTTTATGATTTGGAGGATGCTTCTTGTGATTTCAACGTACCGTGATGGATGTAGATTTCATTTTCCGAGAGACTCGTATGAAGTTCAAACATCCCAAACAAAGTCCCGACTGCCATCCCTCATTTTGTCAATTGGTCCAGCAGCCATAGATGTGGCTTTTCCCATAATGCCAGAAGCATCAGGTGCTTTGGGATGTGGACGAGTGGGAGCTAAATGGAGGTCGTGAGAAAAAAGGTTACAGTATAGAATCAATTATGCATCAAGCCGAACCTTTGGATTTCGCCTTCATGAATTCTCGACCCAACTCAATAGCTTGTATCAAGGAGATTTCACGTCTCAAGGCTGGGAATTCAGTCGATTCTTCAAGTTTGCTGTGAGTTTCAAACCTTGTAATGAATAGTCAAAAAACTGATGATGACGGTGATGATGGGATTTGAAACTCCTTACTCCTTCATGATTTTGGACAAGAGGGGTTCGAGATTGGCATCTGACAAGGGCAATGAGTCGACTACTTGAAGGTCTAGGCAAAAAAAGAGGTTCAGTAATCAGGTCGAATCGTTTACGCTTTGATACACACAAACATACCTTTCTTGAGATCAAGATGTTCTTGTCGAAGCTGAATGGCAATAGTCTTTCCACCAAGAATGTGTTTTTCCATTGCAGGATAAATGATCATTTCTTCAGCAAGAGAATGAACAGACAAGGATCGCACGATGGAGTTAATGTGTCGTTGTCTGTTTTCAGTCTAAAGGGAACCAAAGGTAGAAAGTTTAGCAAATGAGGAATGTTGCTCAAAGGGTGTGGGATATCTCACATCAATCTTGTCAATAGCCATATAGTTTTTGAAATAGCTGATAATCTGAGCGTGGTCTCGAGCAAGTCTAAATGACGACCAATGGGTTGGTGAGTTGACGAATGATGAGGGTTGGTCAGCACTCCCGTTAATGTATGAGCCACTTACATTTGGTCAAAGGGCTCTTCACCAGACATTTGCTGTAGTTGCTGGGAAGCCTGGGTGTTTTGAGCAGAAGCTTGAGTTTCTGAGAGGATGGGTGTTGGTAGCATTGCAGAAGTCTGTGGAAGGAGCGAGAATGAAATTTAGTCTAAGTTTTGGAATTGGTGACCTTTCCAAAGCGGGAGGAACACATCGTCCATGCCTTGGTGAATTCGCGACCCAACTCAATAGCTTGAGCAGTGGATAGTTTCTGTTTCAATGCTGGAAACTCGGTTGCTTCTTCAAGTTTACTGTGAGCTTCAAACCTTCGAATGAATACAGAAGCTTAATGCAGGTTTGTCTCAGCATGCGTATTGGATGGGCTACTTACTCTTTCAAGAGCTTGGACAAGATGGGGTCAAGATTGGCATCCGACAGCTGCATAGAGTTAATGGCTTCGAGGCCTAGAAGATAAGATAACATGTTGAGTATTACCGTGCATTTGTGCCAGATCGAATTGGTACACACCTTTCTTGAGTTCGAGATGCTCTTGTCGTAGCTGAGTGGCGATGTTAGTCCCATTGGAGAGGTTCTGTTCAATTGCGGGATAGACGACTGTCTCCTCTGCCAAGGAGTGAGATGCCAATGCTCGAATGATGGTGTTGAGGAAGTTCTGTCTGCTGTCAGTCTGGGAAAGAAAGGATGGGTTAAAAAACAGACAAGATGACGCAAAGTGGGGTTCTCACGTCAGTTTTGGGCAGGGCAAAGTATCTCTTGCCGTAGTTGAGAATCTGAGCATGATCTTGAGCAAGTCTTTTATGAAAGATAGGTCAACCAAACGTCTCACATCTTGATGCACGTGCAGTTTCATGCAAGCATACACTTCGTCGAAAGGTTGGTCTTCCGACATCTTTTGCAACTTTTGAGCCTTAAAATCTTGAGCCGAGGCCGGAAGAGTAGTTGGCGTTCCAGCCACATTCGATTTGAGCTCTTGCCAGGTAAGCTGGTGTGTGGACGAAAAGTTAGCATATTGTCTTGCTTATATGCAGGGCACAAACGCAACCAAAGTCAAGCAAACAGCAACACACCATCATGAAATATTGGGTTCTTGTTGTTTTGGATGTGTATTCTGTTGTGTTTGTTGTGTTCTTTAAACGATGGTTTGGATTTGTTGTGATGAAGTGTATGGTTTGGGCACTGCGCAAGTCCACATGTCGTATGAATAAGCACGTGAAAATCATCATCTTGATGATCACTAACAAACGCTCAGAGATTTCTCGAAGAAACGTCCGACAACATTTTATCACGTGCTGATGTAAGCTACTATAGTGTGATATACCGACTCTACCGAATAAATTCTGGTTTACTAGATATTTACTTTACTATCGCTTTGTATGCTGTAATGTACATCGTATCACTAATCGTCCATCCTGCCTCGAATCTAAATTCCACACGATCAAATCCACACGCTTCAAAGTCCCGCATGATAGAATCCGGATTTACGTGCTCTGCACTAGCAGATCGTGTAAATATGTTACTCCCGTAGCATCGTACAGCAAACATAAGTCTGCCATTGGTTTTCAACACTCTAGCTATTTCCTTCAGAGCAGCTAAACGGTCGTCGAGAAACCAAAAGACATAGACGCCAAAGCACGAATCAAAGTATTGGTCCTCGAATGATGGGAGTTGTGATTCTGGAGTGCCTTCATGGATTACGACACGTCCAGCTTGAATTTGAGCAGCAAATCGGTCTTTGACTACTGATACCATCATATCACTCTTATCTATGCCACATACAATTCCTTTTCGTGCATGTTGTAAGCAAATTTCTATGGCATCTCCACGTCCAAATCCAATTTCTAGCACGTTGTCGGCTGGCTGAAGATCCAACGATTTTACGGTGTTGATGTTGACAAGTTCGATATGTTTGGCGGTAAGGAAGGCATATAAGCGAGACTGTAGTGATGGGAAGTATGCCAAAATGGAGTTGATTACGTTTCGATGGCCTCTCTTTTTTCGAGACATTCTCGCTTGCTTCCAATTCACCAATCTATCTACTACTGTAGTAGCTAGCCCTATAACACACCAGTATACATAGCATCTACACACTCATTCTATTAAAATGACCAGCAAGACACTCTCTCAAGCTACGGTTCCGCTATCTATAAAGGTGTCTACTACACAAACACTGTCACTGGACGACGCATGCAACGATGTGGCGAGCTGGCTACAAGAAGCCGATGTAAATGGACAGATTCCCGCTCATATATTACAGCAGCTAGAAGAATGCAGTGCGGCAATGCAGTGGTATAGTGACTCGATGGTCGAACAGGTGCCATCAAGTGTTTCAATAACAGAAAACCGTCTCAACCAGAAAAAGAAGTCTAAGAAGGATAGGGAGATGGCGTAAAGTGTCTCTAGGAATGTATATGTATATGTTCATAGAAATTAGGATCTAGGCCTCGTCGGTATGAGGTATGAAACCTTGAGGAACTGCAAGATGTGGCGGATAGAAAAGACGATAGCTCGACCATGATAGTCAAATGTCGTGCAATTAGCACTGGAATATATTTTGACACGTCTCCAAAAGTAGAAGTAGTGTAAAAGGACGGTGTAAATAGAATTCATATATCACATCATCACTAAAACATATCTTGTTTTGTTTTTGTTGAAATTGAGGACTGTTCTTGCCCATTTTCAACAGATCCAGTACTCGAAACGAGCTGGTACTATTGATATCAATGTTGATAGGGCTATCACATACAGCGATCGTCTAAGAAGCCACTAAGAAGAATGCTGTCAGGCGGGGTGGCAAAACAAACAACCTTTTCGTGGTACCTTACTATTTCACGATTACAACGTATATTCTGGTTACAAGTTCATAAGGTCAAACCTTGGATCTTGAGATTTGAGCACTGGTGATGGTCAGCCCTGCAGTTTCGAGACTGGTAACGCCAGTTATAACCTCGGAACTTTTGCTACATGCCTATCAGTCAAGAGTCGAGTTTGCACGCAGGTGGGACGGTGTCCCTCGTGTCGTAACTGGCTTCATTGATAGTAGTGACGCATATTCGTACTTGTTGATTCAAGCTGTATCAAAGATCTTGGACAATTACAATGTGCAGTTGGACTTACGAGTAACTGGCATTCCTGATTCTGATGCTGTGTCGTCTAAAGAGAAAATGTCGGTCTACCAACGTAAAGACTGTGCAATCATAGCCCCGTAAGTTTGCTTGTTGTCTTGTTTGTGATTGTCTCTCAGCACCCCAGCTTTCTGGACGAGACATATGAGCTCACCGCTTTCATTCCATTTCCTTAGTGCTTATGGACTGGACTTTCCTGCAGACGCTGCTGAACCTTCGGTAGAAATCGTGACTCTTGCAAATCGAATCATGGTCGGTGCTGAAGCAACACGAGCAGATACAGTCAATAGAATAGCTCTTTTCACGGCAGTATTGAAGTGTGTCTGGCATGGAAACATGACCAGATTAAAAGAGATTGCCCAAGAAGCAGGATTTGCCAGTCCACAAGTCACAAAAGCAACTCTGATGGGGAATTTTGATCTAAGAGAGAAGAAGGGCCATTATCTAGGCGGTGTGTTAGAGTATGGTGGTATCTTTTATTGGGGCGTTGACCGGTAGGCTTTGTTGTTGTTGTTGAGAAGGCGATGCACCAAGCTCATCTTTTCTGATTTAGGATTGAATTCTTGTCACAACATTTACATCGCACTGGCGCATCATGGAATCCATCTGCTACAACTCCAGTAATTCTAGCCCGAGATCCATCAAAACTACGACTTCCTCAAGTTGGTCAAAATGTGGCTGTTGAATGGTTTAATTCAATTAGATCGCCATACACAGCAATTGGACTCCCGAGAGTGGTCAAACTGTGTAAACAATATTCGGCCAAGCTTCAGGTTAAAGTGATTGCTCCTATGGTGTTGCGAGGAGTGCCACTCAAACCAGTCAAGTAAGATCTACTGTCATGGCTTCCACGTCATCAAGTATCGCTATTAAAATCGCAAACAATCAATAGATCACAGTATATTGTGCGTGACGCTGCTCGAGCTGCAAGAGAAGCTGGCGTACCCTTTGGAAAGATTGTGGACCCGTTGCTTGCATGGTGGCGCGTAGCTGCTGTCTACTACGCTGCCAAACGACAGGTTGGCGAAGAAAAAGCTCTAGAGTTCCTTTTAGCTGCAATGGATGGAATATGGGCTCGAGGTGTTGCCGTGTCTGTCGATCGAGAACTCGTAGCTCTGGGCAGAAAAGTTAGCCTTGGTACAAAACTCGTAATGGAAGCTATTCAGTCCAAGGAAGAGAACCCAGAGTGGAAGGTATGTGGTTTCGTTTTGTGATGTTTGGATTGGTTGCTCACAACAATCCATCTATTCAGGTGGAAACGACCAAGAACGCGAACGAGCTATATAACTTGGGACTGTGGGGTCCTCCTGTAGTGAAGTGTGTAGTTGGTGGCTAGTGCATTCAAAACGTCCTTGCTCATACTATTTTGACTATAGATTTGGACCAGACGTGGCCTTATGGGGGCAAGACCGTATATGGTACTCACGAAGACTGCATTTCCAATGGACATCACCATAACGACTCGACGCGTTCTCATTCATTATTTCAATATAGGATTTTGGAAGAGATGCTTAAAAGAAGAAGTGCTTCGTTGGCAAGATTGTAGTGTCGACTGTCGACGCGTTCTTCCAACGCTCTCGAAAAGAGGCTCAAATATGCATACGTAAATTCGAAATTAATACTCACAATACACGTCGAAATTTCATTATAATTGCTCAGAAAGTGTTAAATTGGCGCCGGTCCAGTATTTCGTGTCAAACACCAACACAGCTGCAGCAAGTTTTTGGAGCACCTCCTTTTTGGACTAGAGCGGTCGACGGGCAGGTGCACATTTGGGAAGAACCTGTATAACCTTCCTCTTCTTCTCCAATGAGGCCTCTGCCGCCAACAGCAGCACCAAGACCTCAAAATTCAACTCGGACGAATTCAACTACGACGACAACAGGCACTGCAAGACAGCCTCTATATAGTGAGCCTGCTACCGACGAGTATGGCTATAGCACCTTAGATGATGACGGGGAAGAAGACCCGTTTGGAGATCAACGTCAACACATCACCCTCAAAACGTACCCCGAACCGTCAATCTCACACAGAGGCTCACAGTTCAGTGATTTTGGAGCTGATGAACGACATAGAGGCTCTCAATTCAGTGATTATAGAGGTGATGAACGGTCACGCCAATCATCGTCAAAATCCAGTTTAAGTGGCAGCACTCTGGCCGATAAATTAGCTTCTGTTGCTTCAATCGCTAAAGAACGGGGTACGGAATGGTCGAAAATCGCTATGGAAAAGTCTGCTGTGTACTTGGAGAAGGCGAGCGAGTATACTGACAAGGCATACATTGCTGCAAAGGAGCGTGTTGGTACGTCAACAAGAACATATTGAAATTTCTGTTCAGAATCGAATACCAAATCTTAATGAACTGCCGGATTATAGATGAATACCGCACACAGAATCGCTCGCCATCACCAGAAGCACAATCACGGAAAGAGTCGCCGTCATTCCAGCCCAAAGGGCCCAGCCTGATATTTGGAGAGCCATTATCGCTCGCAGTTTCAAGGGCACCTGTATCAGACGATCTCCCGATACCGATAGTGGTGTATAGGTGTATAGAATATCTAGACAAGGAGGGCCTTACCGAAGTAGGACTTTATAGACTGTCTGGATCAAATGTTGCTGTAAACAAATTCAAGGGGGTCTTTGATGCCGCAGATGATGTGGATTTCAGTAGTATGGAGGAGAGGCCGGATCCGAATATTGCTGCTAGTTTGGTAAAGTTGTATTTTCGAGAATGTAGGTGTTTCTTGCAGCGCTTGATATCAGTGAAAGTCGATTTTTAAATGGATTGTTTCCTAGTACGAGAACCGATCTTGACGAAAGAACTCGTGCCAGAATTCACGCAACTAGTGTCATCAGTACAGGCAGGCTCGCCGCCGAATTCCTCTGTTCAGCAGGACGCACATCTGATACCTGAGCTCGCCCGTCTATGCAATCAGCTTCCCACAGAAAATTATTATACTCTAGCATACCTCTTTCGACACTTGCACAAAGTGTCGAAAAACAATGAAGTCAATAAAATGACGACTTCGAATTTACAGGTTGTGTTTACGCCGACGCTGGGAATAAGCTCTACTCTAATACGGATGATGATTACGTATTGGTGGGAAATATTCGAAAAAGCCCAACACTTAGATGGAGGGGTATCAGCGTCTAAACAGCCATCATCATCCTCTCAAACATCATCGTCAACAAAACGAGTAGCACCTCCACCACCGCCATCTAGAATAGGATCTGGATCCAAGAGTGACTTGAAACCAGCAGCATCGTCGCGATCGAATTCAATGAATATAGTCAGTACAAATAGTAGTGTTGCCAATGGTGAGAATAACAGCTCGCCGCCACTTGCACCAAGACCACAACGACCACCAAAACCTGTAGTTGTATCAGACGCTCGACCGGTGTCGTCACCAGGAACCGCACCTAGGAATAATAGTAGTAGTAGTAATAGTAGTGGTGGAAGTATACGGAAGAATCCATTCATGCAAGCGGGGATAGTGTCGACTGCTTCTCCCAGTCAGCCAATGCAATGGAATCCATTTGGTGATGATGTGCCTTCAAAGGGGCTCGATAAATAACTCGTTGAAAATATTAGCATTTCTTCAACATCTGTGACGCTTTTTTTTTTTTGCCATCACCGTAAATAGTATATCTGAATTTCAGCCAACAATTCATTTGTGTGCTTAAAGTTTACGTATTTATAACTACAGAAAGAAATGTTACACTGTCAAAGACAAGTCAACGCTATTACGACTCCTTTTGATGAGCTTCATAGGGGACGTGGAAGACTTGACTATAAAAGCACCGGCACATGGACGGCTAGCAAATATAACGTCCTTCAAAGCAGCTTTTTTTCCAGCATCATTCCTCCATTCAGGCCACTTTTTGTAATAATACCCAACTTTCAACTTTTCGATAAACGCTTCCACTTCCCCTTCAGCAACCATACTGACTGAGCAACCTCCCCACCTACAAATAGTAAACTTCAATTTGACGCCAGCTACAGCAACATAAAGAAAACACTGACTTACCCAGCTCCCGTCAATCGCGATCCATACGCACCAGATGCTCGTGCAAGAGCAGTAATTTCATCCAACTCTGGACAACTACACATGAAATGATCACGACATGACTCTTGTGATTCATTCATGAGTTTGCCGATATCTGTGAGCAAGTTGGCGGGACCTGTTGATGGCGGTTTACCGGCACACACGTCTCTGAATTGGTAGACACGTCGTGATTCAGAGAGGACGTGGATGGCTCGGTGTTTGAGGTTGAAGGTTTCGGCGTGTATGAGTATGCCGTTTATGAATATATCGTCAATGGCTTTTGCCTGTGTAAAAATGGGGTTAGAAATAGCCGAGGCGAAAAAAAAATCCACGGGAAAGAATTCATCACCTTCATTTGAAGCTCTTTGCTCAACACTGTCTTAGAATAAGGTTCATCCTTAAAATTCTTTTCAACTACAGCTAATAAATCTGCTAAAACTCGAGGAGCACACTCTTCAAACACGGTAGTCGCATACGACTCTTTCTTTGATATTTCAAAGTATTCTTCAGCAACATGTCTCAAACTAGTTGGCTTTACGACTCCATTTTCAGTCAGAGTTACAGAGACACCAACAATAGTAGCCAGTAGAGCAGCAGCCATTCTACATTCGACTACTCGTAAATTGTAATTTTGAGGTGCCGTGACGTGCTTGTCTGAAGTGACTAGAGTATTGGCAATGACGAATACAGGTGATGGTTTGGATGGCGGAAGGCTGATGGGATTTACTTGTAGTTTGGGATAAAAGTCAATCAAGAGTACTGAGTCTGATATTCCCATAATGGAGCTGGATTGATCCATTCTATTGCGAGTGGAGATAGCGATTGGCATACAACGGAGATTGGAACATGCCAAAAAAACAGATACGGTGTCATATCAATAGACGTTTCGTCGATGCTCACCCTCCAATATGAACACCTACATGAATATTGCCGTCAAAATGATTGATCTGGGCACTAAAAAAAGCCAATAACAAACCTACCTGCGTATTGTTCACTTCGTATTGCAGTTTGTGTCAATCTAGCCTTGCTCATGGTGATTCCATTTGCAATCATGGTTGCGAGAGCAGAGCAGCAGACAAATGCAGACGATGACGATACACCTGCTCCACTGGGCACAGTTCCGTCTACCATAACCATCATATCTCTGGCCTCTTCCAATCCAAGTTCTTCAAACACGCCCTAAGACAGAAGAACGCACTGTATGAGTCGGGAATATGTGAAATTCCACAAACATTTTTGATTACCTTGTATCCACACTTGAAGTAATTCGTCCACTCATGAACTGTGGCATCAATTTCGACATATCCTTCTTCTTTTGACAAGTGAAGGAATTCCCGTGCAGGATATCTGTCGTCGCTATTGGCGATAAAGATTTCTGGATTGGGTTTGCTGGTACGAGATGTAGCCACTGCGATCTATGCAAGGCGGAATGAAACAATGATGGTAATATTCTGATTGCGTCCAAAGGCACTTACTATACAGTCACGGTCAATGGCCATCGGCATGACAGGAAATAGCGAATAGTCAATGTGTTCTCCAATCAAGTTGACACGACCAGGCGATCGAGCAAAGAAGGTAGGCACACAACCAAAGTGTTTTTGGAATTTCGTTTTGAGATTCTCATATCGAGGTCTAGATGTAAGAGAAAGCAAATTGCACACTAATGCTAGAGACACGTATGATAATAACTGATCAAAGGAGCGTACTTTTGAGGCGTCGTGTCTGGGTAAATGTCCTCTAATTTTGAAATGTTTGTGACTGGCGGACACTCCAGATCATCATCAGGGAATGGCTGCATCGGTGGATTAGGTGTTGAGGAGGATGCAGATTCCTTCTTTGTTTTCTTTGCTGGTTTATCTTCTGCTACGACTGATGTCTGAGAACGCGTGACTCTCCTACAGGACAGGACAGGCGTCAGTTTTAGAATTTGGATTGAATTTATATGCCATGAATTTAGCAACGTGATTTCTAGTTTACTTTGTTCGAAGTCTGTCCATCTCGAAGCTCTTGACGATTCTGTAAAATCCAAACTCTCCTTCCAACAGCGAATAGCAGTAATAACAATGAGCAGTGAGGCCGACAAAGACAAGGCTCGACGTGAAGCCCGACGAGCAAAGATCCTGGCAAACTCTGGCGATCGACTGGGCAAGATTACTGGTGTCTTTAATCAATCAACTACAGCAGCAACGCCATCATCAAGTGCAGCAGGAACAGGTATGTTATCATATTGAACGTGAACGTCTTGCTGTAAAACGCGTTATTCGTACATGTCTTGTATTTTATTTATTCGCATTTGATGTACTTGTGCAATTGCACCCCAAACATTTGATCTTGTTGTAGCTAACTATTGCACTCCCTCTAGACAATCCTCCTGCAGAACACTACAAGCCACCACCAATATCGTCAGACTCGTCCATAAGGAACAGATTCCCCCCACAAGTACAATCACCTTCCGTCGTCAGAACACCAGAACGAACATTTGCATCAAATGCATCCCGTCCATCGCATATATCCACGCCACAAGGCATGGCTCGTACTTGGGCAGACAGTTTGGCTGGTGAAGGAGAAGTCTCTGATGATGCAGAAGAGTTTCCCGATCCACCAGATATACTCCCTCCTGGCGTATCGGCACTACTCTATGGCAATGGTAATAGTAGTGGCGGTAGTGACGAAGAGAGGAAAATGCAGCAAATGATGGAGGCAATGATGAAGAGTATGGCTGGTGCCGCTGGTGGGGCTGGTATTGGGGGTGGACCTAGTGGCTTGCCGCAATTTGATCCCGAAATACTAGCGCAACTACAACAACAACAGCAGCAACAAACGAGTCAGCCACCACTGGTCTCTTCACGTGTATGGAAGTTGATACATATGATATCCATGATGTTATTGGCCATGTGGACCATCTATACTTTTACAGCACGACTAGAGAGTGGTGATGAGGACTTGGAAGGGCTGAAGAATGGTTGGGAGATTGCATTTATTCGATTGGGGAAATTGACTGTATCGCCATATAGCTCATTTCTTGCTGGAGGCACTGTAAGTCTATAGTTTTGGTAGACTACATGTGTCGCTCAAATGCACTGACAGTTGTGAGTATTAACATCATTCGGTTTTGTTGTCCTTCTAGTCTGTATGGATGCTATTTCTCAGTATTGAGATGTCTCTTCAAGTCATTTGGTTTGCCTATCAATCCGTAAGCTACAACTTTCTACGACTCGTCCAGCCAATACACTACTAACAATAACAAACTCAACTCCATCTGGACCTAGGTCTTCCCAGACCCACCATCACCTCCTACAATATGGTCTCAATTGACCGCACTGCATCCGACTGTGCAGACAGTAGCAAAGGTGGTGTCTGATCATCATATGGTGTGGACCACTATCGCAGACGACGTGTGCACATTTGTATTTATTGTTGGCATCTCTATATTGATTGGAGATTGCTTTGCTCCGGTTGTCTCAAGTTGAAAATGTGTCAATGTGTGTCCTTTGTTTAAAAATTGTATAGCAAGCTCATCTTCAATTCACAAACAACATATTCAAACTAGAAGTGGCCGTTACAAGTTTTATTGATTTGTTCGTTTTATAAATGAGCGTGACAGAAAAATGACTTTACAAAAGAAGGGGGCATGATGAAGCGACCTTTTTAAATTTGATGGTAGACGTAATGGCTGCTACGTCGGACTACTATGGTGACGGTCAAGATGACGAGAAGGATTACAGCTAAAATCCAGCTTCCTAGGAGTGCTATAAAGCTGTTTCCATATGCTCCGCCAAAGTAGAATGTGTCGTCTCCCTTGAGATCGATGATGATTTTCATTACAATGATTTGCAATGATACGTAAAACAGGGTCAACCAGTAAGCTGGAGCAGTTGATAATCCTCTAGCACGGTCACTAATCATCAAACCCTATATTGAAGAGTGAGGGTGAGTCACTTCAGCAAAGTAGTCGGGAATTGGTGTTGAACATGATGGTGAAGTTGTCGTGGTTGTAGTTAATTGAAAGACTACGACATCCAACCAGTAGTCAAATGTAGCACACACATACCCAAGCAAAGATGGCGAGACCACCAAAGATAACAGCGCCAATTTCCAGATACCTAGATGCGAGCCACCCCTGGCAGAATGACAGGCCGGGTTGTTGGTCATTATTGCCCTCGTTTAGCTTGCAGTCAGCAGAAGGCCAAGAGTGGCAAGACTGGAGTTGGTTTCCATTGACGGTGCGGATCAAGCAGGATTCAAAGAGCCCAAATCTAATTTCACTGCCGAATAGCGGGTCCTTGGATATACGTAAAAAGTCGTTTACGGCGAGAGTGAAGATGGACATTCCGTAGCAGATGACGAATAAAACAAAGAAGGTTGCTAGTAGATGACATTGGATATGAGTTAGATCAGGGTGAAGTGAGGGGCTTGAGCGTAAAGATACGAGTGTAGCATGAAAGGAACAACGCGAGCATTCAAGCGTGAAGACACGACTGTGGCATGCTTCAAGACAAGATCACGACATGCCAACGAAATGTTGGTGATTTCAGAGTGAGCAACTCACCATAAGTAGAGGAGAGAGATCCGATCCTGCGTTCAATGATGAGCGGCATGGTGGGCCTTGGAATATAAGTTGGCGAGTGTGCTGGAATAAGCGGATCAGCTTCACCGGCTTCAGTGGCTTCCTGCTGAGGAGCAGATGGATAGATCGGGCGAGACGGTTTGGTAAACATTGTAATATACTGGACTTAATGGTACTGGACGTGTTTTCTTTGATTGCTTTTATGAGTAGATCGTGAGTCGTGTCAAAATATATTTTTTCACACAAAACATTCAACCTCCACTAAGAAGCCGTTCTTGTCGTCGGTGACTGTACGGGTGAGCAAAGCAGAGCAATCCGGAGTCTTTCTTCCAATACGGATCTCGTGACGCTGACTTTATAAGGTACAGTCGAGGTGTTGGTCAATCTCCATCTACTTTTTTTTCAATTGCTTCAAGCTTGTTTTCTTGAAGCCTACCCATCAGAACATGGCTTCTCTTGCGATTGAACGTGATACTTGCACACGATACTGATCTTTATGCTCCTGCTTACGTATAGGTTTGTGGCATTTCATCCAACATCAATCATTCACAACTCGCGAGACAAATGATGAGAACGCAAGTTTATTATGTGTAATCTGAGGATGCCGGTTTTATTTGCCTGTGCATCTCTTTGAAGTTCCATCCTTGTTGCCTGCCTTCTTATGTCTCTTCTCGTCAAATACCGTCTTGGAGCAAAAAAATATGTTGTTGTCCACCAACTCATTGCCATCATCTGTAGGGCACTGATCCTTCGTTCCAAAGCACAACAAGTACGTTTATATCACTTTCACACATCCTCGAATGAGCAACGATGAAAGAATCTCGTCGATTGCTAAACATACAATGTCGAATGCAAAATGTATTACATTATTGCCTCTGACAACCTATGCTTAGTCGTGATGCATGTGTACCATTATAAGGATGATATAGTGGTCTGATGCTGATTTACAAATCTCTGTAGATTGGACCCAATGTACGTTGTTGTCACAAACAAGAGTTTGATGATATTTTGGTGGAAAGATGATGATTCTATCCATACAATATTCACGGAAGAAACCAAATGAAAAGAGTCCTCTTGATCTTAAAAACGTCAATCGAGAATCTTTTCATCTTGTTTCAAAGACGAAAACATGTTTTTTCGCAGGGAGTCTGATTTCAATCGGATCGATGATGTCGCAGAGAGCCAACATTGTATGAGGAATGCACAGTCTGGTGATACTTATTCTCCCTCTCTGTTTAGATAACCTCATTCCAGAACATTTAATCAGGTAAACTATTTGTTTGACATGATGAACCGTAACGTGTATGTGCGCAATGATGAAAAAAAGCCCGAAAGAGCCAGCCCTTGAATCATCCATGTACCCATGAAATAATTGGGAGAACCCACGTGGACTCGAGGTGCAGATATGGCATCATAGTGGTCCTCCTAAAGATTGTCTGAGCACACACTACACGCACACACGCTTTTCGGATGTATTGGCCTGATCAATTTGAGATGCTAAGTATACATATTATTCTACCTAGTTATGGCTGCTGACAATGGAGTCGATGAAGAATTGAAGAAATTCATCGAAACTGAACAAAGGCGTGCGACGTTTCAGTCGACGGTGCATCAGTATACGGAGATATGTTTTGACAAGTGTCTGACGAAAGTAAAGGCATCTCTGGATAAGAGGTAACGTGGGAAAAAAACAGTAAAAATCCCGATATGTACTTGTGTTGACAGCTTTTTTTTGTTAGTGATGAAGCATGTGTCACGTCTTGCGTGGAAAGGTTTCTAGACACTACCATGTTCATCGTGCAGAGAGTTAACGAGGCTGCGCAAAACCAGAGGACATAGTGGGTTTTTAGCCTCGTACACATTATTCATGTAAATATTAAGTCTATATCAGCAATCACAACTCTCATCTCCACGTAAACCTCGCTTGTCTCTGTAGTCTACTTGCGTTGCTTGCTGCCCGCACCACTCGCGTCTTCTTCATCCACACACACCACACTCAAACCGGTGATGTCTTCTCAAACAGACTCCAAGAAACCCTCACGAGGCACATTCATGTTTAGGAAGACATCATATTCGACTCTAAAGGATAGATCTACAGAGAACGATGAGAAGGAGGTGTCTCAACCCAGTCTTGTCTACAGCTCCGCACTTGAAAAGCAGCAATTCTCTATAGTACCTATTAGACGTGATGCCTCTACTGATGTAAGCAATATCTATCTAACAATCTTGTCGTCTCTTTGTCATATACAATCCTCTCTGTTGAACTGTGACATACATTTCGCTCTGAACATCAACATGATTCTCATCCCCCTCTTTTACATTTCTCCCAGGACGAAAATTATGACGACACTACTCATCTAGTCACCATCAAGAAGACCAGACCATCAATATGGCAAAAATTATCAAGCTTTGGAACATTGGGACGAAAGCCGCATCGCAGTAGAAACCCAACCTCTCAGCCCGTCATTCCTCATATCCCATTCGAGAAATATGATCTCGATGGGATGGTTGATACCAGTAGATATGACAGCTCAGTTACTTTGCCGCCACGGATTGACAGGTCATCGTATTACTTACCACCTGAAGAAGAAGAGGCAGAAGTCGCAGCAGCACCAGCTATAGTGAATGATGATCCGTGGAGTAGGCCGTCACGATCACGTAGACATGCATTCTATGATTCTGGTGATACGGTTGTATATACAGGCAGCGTTGGGAAAAGTGCTTGCCAACGACCGCTGTCAAACGTATCATCACCACTATCATCATCACTCGCATTACCTTCTTCTTCTACTGCTGCTATAAACACTATGGAATCGCATCAAGGTGGTGATAGTCTACTTGTAGCCAAAACGAGAATGATGCTAATGCCTCCAAAACGCCATCCACAACGTCCCAACATTAAAGATGTGGTATGGAACCAAGTCACCGCTAATGACGAAGGGCCGCTACAACGGGTTGGATCTATGAGTGAGTTTGGGAAACGCAATGTGTCAAAATGATATGGCCAGTAACGCAACATTGCAGGGAAAAAGAGCATGGGGTTGTAGATGGAGAGTTGAAGAATTGGGACTATTTTTAAACAAGTGCCTTGTGATTTCCAAGAGGAGGATTGTGTATGTGTTGCATGCAATTCAAATGTAGAGCATCGCATTCATGAGAGACTTCCATGAAAAATGGTATATTGTATTGTAAATGAAATTGTAGAGCCTCTAGAGATTCTGTACATAGATACAAGCATAGAAGACAATTGATACGGGTATGATTTCACAATTGGTGGTCGATTACCACGTTAAGTAAACAACTTTGATTGGTTCTTCAAGCATGGATCTTGCCATTGAGGCATATGACAGCCTTTGAAGGTGTTTTCCTCAATTGTCTGTCCTTTTTGTGGTGTGTATAGTAGGATCAATGTGGTTCTTGGGGACTTGTGTGTATGAATATATACACTCGCTTGGCTTCGCAGAAGAATTGAAATGTGATGGTAGTCACCAAGTCAATGTCTCTTCCGACTGCCTGTGATGACGATGGGGGGTAATTGAATGAGGGAGATAAGATAAACCAGAGAAGTCATACCTTTTTTTCTTGTTGGGCACAAGCAGTTCAAACCACCGAGGGGATTTTTGCAGGCAATTTTGGAGACTCATTTGAAGTGGTTTGTGGTATCCAAAGCAAGGATTGTGTATATGTATTGCATGCAACTCAAATGAAGCGGGTCGAATTTCGTACATTTTCAAGTTTGTATTATTGTGAATCACAACAGATAGAGCCTCTGGAGATTCCCAACATAGATGCAAAAATAGCATTCAATCAGAACATAGAGAAACTACAGGTGTCGCTTCAATGACCGTCAACTGCCTCCATCGTGAGTGTCAATGAGAGAAAAAAGCTACACAGATAGACGGTATCAGATGATGCTCATCAAACTTGACACCTCGTTTGATGGATGATTCTTGAATGATTCGACCTGTAATGACAAGAAGGAGATGGGATGAGAAAAAAAAAGTCATTTGATGTCAATGTTTCCTGGTGTTTGGAGAAGAGCTCAGGATTCGAATTTCTGTTTTGTTGATTTGTTTAATCATCATGTATTGTATGACTGACGTGCTAAAATTTGCTCATCGTTGCTCTCGCTTGATGCTGAAGTTGCTTGTGAAAAATGGGGTTAAAAACTCACCTCTTTGAACCCATATCCAACCCCAAGCAAGACCTATGAGAAGGCAATCTTCATGAATGCATGACTGTGCATCCAATCGTGGCGTCCCTTGAGTTCCTTGCGGTCGGTGGCAGAACTTAAGTGTCGTTCGATGGTGGATGGTTTTTTTGAAATTGCCTGGTACATTGAGTTTTTGGTTTGGATATCTCCAACAGACCTGCAAGATGCTGAAGATATATTTCCTGATTTTGTACAGCATTATTTCATGTTCCAAGACACGAATTGAACAAGCGCGGCTAAACCTGAAAACAATAGGCTTACGACATATACTCCTGTCCTTCCCGCTATTAAAAATAAATAATATAGGCGAATTGCCAGAGGCATTCTTCCTACTAGTGCCATAGGCCACCTACCTGTGCCATAGGCCATTGAAACGAATGTCACCGGATTCTATCGAGACTCCCGTGAAGGACATATATTTTCAGAAATCTGAGGTTTTCAAAACTGCCGAAAACAACCCAAATTACCATGCTGTTATCTCTCACGTATGGGGCGACCGTACCAGACACATTTTTGAGAACGGCGTGAAGTATGCTAATGAGTTTGACAAACGAATTGTAGCAAAGCTACGTTCTGAAAATGTTAACATTTGGTATGACGGGGAAAATTTCAACATCAACGATGATGCCGTGAAGGCATTTCGAGACATGAAAGCCGTCTACTCTGCTGCGGACACCACCATCGTTCTGCTAACTGAAGAAGATATGGATTTGGTTGTAAGTGTTCCTCTGATCAACGATGTCATGACCGCCGCCTTTGCGCTTGAAGGCGAACCAGAGCGAGATTCCTTGCTTGGGCAACAACTCACCAACATTATGGAAGCCATGCTGACTCGGTTTGCTGGCACTAAATACGCTGGCAGGACTTGGACGATGCAGGAGCTGTACACCGCCAACTCTGTAGAATATTGGTCCCCAACGAGGGTTATATTAGGAAAGGAGCTCATGCCTCGCGGGATGAATACTAAGCTTCATTTGCTCGATCAAGAAGGTTTCGCCCGTCTCGTCGAAACGTCAGAAAAACATGCCAACATATTGGCAGGACTTGGCATGATTTCGGGTGGATGCAGGTCGATGCCCCCAGCAGCTGCAAAAGCAGCGTGGCGAGCTCTGTGGTACGAAAGTAGAGACAGCACGTATAGGATAGATCAAGGATTAGCCGTTGAGCTGCTCAATGGGTTTGAGGATGCCCAAATAAGTAGAGAGTACGACGTCAACGCAAAGCCGGAGAAGATTGCCGAGAATGAAAACATGGTACTTCAAAAACTCATTGAGCGTGAATACATACCGGACTTTGCCGGAGCTCAGGTATGCCACTGCATTAAATCTCATTGGATGAAACCACAGACATGTATTCATGTCTCCTTGGCTACCAAGCTCAAAGACATTGCGGACACGCGCTGGCGTGCCCCGTCTCCAAACAAGGATTGGAGCCTCCCAACAAAGTGCACTGCAGTAACGAACATGTCGAAAATTCAATGTGCGCTGCCTGACTATATGTCTAACGTCCGCGACATCCTGGAAGGAAACCAGAAAAGCCTGAACTTTGAAGCCGAATACACGAAATGGTATAGGCTGGTAACGAAGAGAACTTCAGTCCGTGTAGGTGAAGTTCAAACAATGGACATCTATTTAGCGTCTCACTCCCTGGAGCTTGGGCAAGTTGAAACTACTCAAGGTTGGGCTTTATGTGCCTGGCAGTCTAATCTAGCTGAATATGTTGGTATGAGCGAGTTGTGCCTCATCAAGTTTGTTCATCGGGCAGAGAGCCGGGTTGCTAAAAGCTTGAATGAGGTCCTAGCAGACGAGAAGTCGTATCGTTTTGATGCCGCTATTCCTATCTTGTTGATTCCCTCCCGAGCGACTACGACAACAGAAGACAATGAACTTAATACGTCATAAAGAGTACGTGTATTGACAACTTTCAACAAAATACAACATCCTAACTACAACTCTACAATTACGAGCGTCCCAAAAAAAAGCTCCAAACACCCCTTCTCTCGATTAGTGCCTCGAGTACGTAAGCTTGATGATAACTAGCATCATCACGAGCAAGATCACCAGAGGCAATCCAGCTTTATCGACAAAACGTAGCAGTCGTGCTTTGCGTTGCAGCCAGAGAGTGACCTGTTTAGATCGAGTAGAGTTCATTCGTCCCGCTATCAGATTCTCGTCCAACACCAACATGGCAGCTACTGGGCGATGATCTGACCACGTGATTTCCTTGACAGCTGTATAATAAAGTGATTTTATCGGTGATCCCGTGTCCTCCACCCTACTACTGGTTTTGGCAGAGCCATGGTTCGTAGCGACAGCTGGATCTTCATCTGCTGCATAATACAATATTCGATCTGGGAATGCCCTACGTCGTGATTTAGAATACATTTGAGAAGTCGCGGCCACATGAGGGGGTCGTAATAATGGGTCAGACGGAAGGATACTCGGGCTTTCCTTGGCTTTACTATTACGTTTACGGATGGGTTTTAGTTTATAAGTGGGATCAAACGTTACTGTGGCCTCTCCAAACATAGAGAATGGCAGTATTCCACCTCGTCGAGTCAATTCCAGCTCGTCGTAATCATGAATCAGTTTGGGCACATTTACAGACTCGTTCATGTCCTGACTTGGAAGAGCACCATCTATTGACGTACTGGCCCTATTAGCCTCCCCATCGTTATTACTGTTACCACCATCAAGAGCAGGAGCCGACTTGATTAACCTAAAATTGAGATCTCCACAGAATATGATGGCGTCATGACTGTATATAGATTTAAAGTGTTCGGAATTACTACGGTCCATATCATCACTATCTCGTAATGGGATGTGACCATCACGACTTGATAAGCCCAATGGTTTAATATCACGACGATGGCTCGACAGGGGAGCCAATCCCAGATGGTCGAATATAAATGATCCTTCTTCTACACGGCGAGCTAGAGCCGATTTCCCTTCATGAGGCGACAAGTGGGCTCCGACCAAGCAAAGGGAGAAGACTCGTTGTGCCTCGATACCTATGTTTAATGATATTGCGACAGCTCCCTTGTTACCATGAATGCCTGCTACACCAACACCCAGATCACCAGTGCGGATCTCTAGTATTGTATCTTTGACGTCTACGGATGCGAATACAGTAATAAACATGGATGCTAAACGGTGGGTTGCGACGGTAGTGTACTCCTTTTCGGTGTATATGCTCGATATAGCTGCTGCAGCTGCAGAAACCAGTTCGTGTACAGGCCCACTATCAGGACATCCGGGCTTGCCAACCGGAGACTGTGCCAATGCAGTCAATGGATGAGTTACTTCTTGAAAGGCCAATACAATCATGTCTGGCGTTTCACGGTTGTTTTCAGCGGGAGGCCGTATCCATGACGATAGATCAATATCTTGAGTAGGTTGCGATGCTCCAACGTTCCAAGTTCCGACTAGAAGCTTCATGATCTGGCGAAAAATACGATGGAAGAATCGGATTGAGAATCTGATGTCGACGTGTCTCGAAGTGTACGGACAAATAGTTGAAGAGAAATTTGGCGATAAAAATCAGGATCTGGATACATGAAACAGAAACTAAAACGGATGTTTGGTATGATGTAAAAAGCCCAACACTCTTCACCCAACCTCAAGACACTCACCTCAACAGGGCTCAAGAGGAAGGGAGCGTGAAAGAATTACGCTAAACAAGTGCTATTTGAGATTACTAGCCAGAATTATACGTCTGTAGCCTATCGCCAGTCTTCAAAGTGGGCTTTCCTGGCAAGGAATAAGATGGGCAACTCGCAATCATCGAGAAGAGACGCTGAAAGCAACAACAATGAACAAACTTCAGGGCTTCCAATAGTAAATAATGTCACAGTAGATCACGGAGTATGACTTGCTTTTGCTCGTGTTTTACTCAGAAAGGTTTCAAGGTTTGACTAATCATCAATTCTATAGGCCTTGACGCCGTCTGGAGTCTATGCCACAATCCAACCAGACTATGATGTAAAGGCCGTCCGTAAACTCATTCTAGAGCGTCGCATTCAACCATTTTACAAGGGCCTGGCTGATCCTCCCGACGAAAGTGAACATACTACCTCGTCGCCCATTGCGATATCACCACACAAGGCCGATCCTACTGCTACAAAGACTCCTGACGAAAGCAAAGCAATGACCTGGTCTTCTACATCCGGTAGTGCTGCCTTGGCTACTCAGTCTCTCAGTCGTAATCCGTCAAACACTCCATCTGCAACCATATCACCGCCAGCTATACATACCTCAGCCTCATCCTTGTCTATTGTCGCAGATATGAAGAAGAATAAACGAAGTAGTAGCTTCTCAAATGGCCAAACCCCCCCGCTCGCTAATGGACAACATTACGATGTTGGTGTTGGATCTCAAACTCTTGAAGAGCTATACAAGGCACCAATAGGTTAGGCATATCTTTGAGACATTTTTGTCTCAGGATCATCACTTATCTTCCTCACTTACTCTCCTCAATAGAGTGCCCGATTTGCTTCCTCTATTATCCGAAAAACATCAATTATACTCGCTGCTGTGAAAAGCCAATATGTACAGAATGCTTTTTGCAAATCAAACGTTTGGACTCCAACTTTGAGCCTGCCACTTGCCCTTACTGCGTCGAGCCGCACTTTGGAATAGTGTATAAAGCACCTACTGCTGCCAATAGACCCACAGCTATCAGAATCGCCTCCGACTTGAATGGTCTGCCTCCACGTGCCATGAGTCCGGGATCCATGAGCCCCTCTCAAGTCTCAATCCTTGAGAGAACTCTGCGAGAGGATGAAACAACCGATAAAGGGAAAGCACGACGTATGAGTTACTCATATAGGCACAGCAGTGTAGTGACATCAGACGAGATAAGGCCAGACTGGAAGCAACGACAACAAGAAGCTGCGATGAGAGCCGCTTCGTCAACTCGTCGAAATCCATTTTTGATGGGCCCAGGTGGAAGGTCTCGATTATTTAGAGATCCAGCCGAACAAGAAAGAGAATTGGCGGGAGCCGCTGCCGCTGCTGCCTCTCTCGTTGAGAATATTACCCAACTGACTAATAGAACTGCTCGACGAATGGATTCAAGGGATTCCTTGAGACTCGGGTCCAGGCGTTTGAGCTCATCACAAGATAGCAACAGCAGTGGATCTCGTAATCGACCACCTATAGATTCCCACAATCTTGCATACTTGGAAGGTACCGTCCTCGTGATCTTACGACATCTCTTCGACCGTTATGATGCACAATGCTGACACCAATTTCCATACAATTAGCAATGCGCACTATGAATATTGATATTGAGGAGGTCATGATGATGGAAGCCGTTAGGAGATCTCTGGCTGAAGCTCAAGAAGCCGCTGAAAAATCAGCTATCGAACAGGATACGAGATCTCTGGCGTCCCGAGCTGCAGCCGCTGCGTCACAGTCTTCTGCTGGTGTAACTACGCCATCGATGTCAAGGAACTCCAGTGCTCAGACCACGATGTCACAAAGACCTCCTGATGCCATCATAACAGCTATACCATCAACATCCTCACCATTAGCATCAGCAGAAGCAGACACAACTAATACTAATAATAATAAACCGATAACAACGTCGCCGCCACTATCAACTATAATAGCACCATCACAACCAGCACCAACTTCCAGTTTAGCACCAGTACTGGCCCCCAGCTCCATCTCTGATGATCAGTCATCTACAGAGGAACGAGATCGTCGGTCTAGCTCTCCAGCGAGATCTGTTGGTGCACGAGACGTGTCTCTAGAAGAAATTGGGGCTGGTGACGAATCCGTACATCGAAATATATTACTGCCTTCGGATGCATCGGTCTTGTCTTCAGAAACTCAAATGTATGGTGACGGAGCTTCTATGAGAACGGGACATGTCACTGCCTTCTCACTCTACTCTGCAGAGACTGGAGATGCCTACACGACGAGGAGCCCTCCAAGTATAACGTCACAACAGCCTCCATCTTCTCTCGCACCTGGTAGACCATCAACATCCGTTCTGGAACGCGACACGCTAGAAGATAATGCTAGTATGAGCTCCACACGAGCCCTCAAATCTCTGAAATCCGAATACATAGGGTCTGGTGGCTCTGTGTTATCAGCAAGCTCAGGGATAGTGGAATGGGATGATGGACGTGATGTTGGAAGAACGTCTATTGATGGGGGAACTGTAGGGGGCACAATAGCTGCTGCTGCTCAGGGAGATAGCAGCTAGGTCTTTGTAACAAAGTGTTCTATTATTATATTTCTCGATTACTGCTCATAAATCTTTCGGTTCTCGCCGCGTCGGAGTGCACGCTACTTTCATAGACGATGTGTCGCATTAGGGCTATCGCGTTTCGTCAAATCTTCAATTCATAAACAGCAAGCAATGGACGAAACTGCTGACTTCTTGTCCCGAGAGGACGAAGCCGTACACGCATTAGGACTAGGAGACTCGGGAGCTGCTATCTTCCAGCCTCCTTCTGCACCAGCTGCGAAAGAAGATTGGGGCGCATTTGATTCTGAACCAGTACGTGTTTACACGATTGATTCTGGTTTATATTTGGTTATTGAAGCAAGATCTGGTTCATATCTAAACATGATGCACTCTCCTCTACTGTCGTAGGCCTTCCAAAACTCTCCAGCCATGTCAACATCTACGCCAATTCCACCAGTTTCGTTTATGAGCAGTATGAGCACTGGTGGCAGCAGTCCAACAAAGCAATTGACAAATACTGAAGACGAACCGGAAGTTATAAAGTAAATCTTTTTCTCTATTGCTGATTTTGTCTTTGACATTTCCACTGAATTTTTGCTTTCTTGCAGACAATGGCGCGAACAATTCAACAAGACTATAGCTGAGCGAGATGAAAAATCAAAGGCAAAACATGCAGAAATACTAGCTGCAGCCAAGACATCCCTGGAACGATTCTATGCAGACTACAATGCCACAAAAACTAAAGGAATTGGAAAGAATCGAGAGACTGAAAAATCATCTATTGCTAATAGAGATGATACAAGTGGAAACGTTTGGGTATGGCTCTTTCTAGTAAATCCGATTTGTCTATTTCTGATCATGTCTACTTTTACAGGAACGAGCAGTCAAACAAATCGAAACTGCATCATCATCTTCATCTAGCAATCCTGCCCGTCTTAAGGGATTGGGCAAGACTGGAACTGCAGATGAAAAGCCTGCCAAAGTCAAGTCTTTGGGCAAGGTTAAAGATACCAGTAGGATGAAAGATGTTTTGAAATCGTTGGTCAAGGATGAGAAGGCTCCAGGAATCACAGCATAGAAGTGTAAATGAAGTGTGAAGTGTTTTTGCTCACAATATATATTAATTTGTTGTGTGAAACATGTTTATGGTACATGTGTTGGATGTTTCCATGGGTATCAGATGCCATTCTGTGACTGTTCACGATTTCGCCACCAATCTTTCAAGACCTCGTAGACACTCATTGATATGACCTGTGGTTGAAAGGGGGAAGAAATTAAGAATCGACTGAGAAAGATAATTGCGGAATTTTACATACGACAGATGGAGTAATCCATATTATTCTAGCAGTCATTCCTCTAGCAAAACCTGCAAGTCCCTCCGTTGCGTAAATGTTTCGAATCACCGATGTGGCAGACACGCCATCAACACGAGAAATTTGGACTCGTGTTTTTACAACGTCCAAGACGTTGGAGATGGCTCCAGCTACGGCACCAGCAGCTGCTGAGGATGCGGCGTAACTTGCAAAATTCAACTCTACAGTTTCTGATTCAGGTTCTTGCGCTGTAGAGAAGGGCAGCCTCGTTCGTCCCGATGCAACGAGTTTCAATTGTTCGTAGGTAACAAAATAAGTTACAGTGTAGGGAACAAACACCTTTGACAAAAGCAAGATTAGGACATTGGTGGTGAGGTATAGTGTAAATTCTGGATACTCACTGCGAGATTCAGAAGATATCCCTTGAAAAATCCACGAATGCCTTCACCGTGATACACCTCCTTCACCATTCGAAAAATGTTTGATTCTTGCTGTAAATTACGAGATGACACCTGCTGACGGTTCTTTAAGACTTCCATTGGTGTCCAAAACACTGCTGAAAGACCCTCAGCTACAACTGCACTAAAGAAAGAAGTATGAATGCGTGAGACACCACACCTCAGAACGTGAGAGCGTACAAAAACGGCTTTGATACCTAGATCCATGCACGTAAACACTATCACTACCACCATCCCCCATCAAATCCCCTAATTCGGTCTTACAGCTGTCATACGCGTGCAAGTACAGCGATAAAGCCGGTATTGAGAAGAAGGCCGACACGGGCAATCCACGATATAGCGATCTGAACGACTGGGTCCTCAGTATGAGCTGTATAGTGGAAAACGTGGACAGTGGTTTTTGCTTCAAATGCTGGGTTGTTTGTGGTTGATGCACCGAATCGGATTGTATTAGGACCTTGATTGTATCGAGTGGGTGTGTTACTGCACGTGTAGCCTATTGCGAGAGTTGCGAGAGTGTGGAGATGTTAGATGCGATGCTATTTCTCAAAATGTCAAAAACGTGATTGTGAGAAAAACGACAACGTCAGTGATTGTTTCGCACTTACCAATGCTGCAACTGATGAAAATATCAATCCAGGTATGTACGAGCTTTGTTCGTCCGCCATCGCTCTGTCTATTTGGTGGATTCTTTAATGTGTCAAGAAAACACAAATCGACACGTCAACGCAAAAGGCCGCAAAATCAGTTTATCGCCATACGAACTCGCTCGGTGCTCGAACAAAACGAGCAATGGGATCGCGTTCTCACGTGTGTACATGAGGTAAAAAATCAATGCAGCTATCTTACAGATTTATCTTACAAGTAATCCACCGCTCTAGGCCGGTTTTTCTTGAAGTCAAATACATCAGCATCAGCAGCTGGTGGGCGAGCTGTTGGAGTCTTCACTTCAGTAAATGCACCGACCTCTTCCTTTTTGTTGTCCACCACTTTTACATCGTCAATACCATCATCGTCCGTGTGATGCTCCTTCTTTGACTTTTTCTTCTTTTCCTTCTTGTTCTTTTTATGCTTCTGCTTCTTCTCGGCCTTCTTGGCCTTCTTGGCTTCCTTCTTCAATCTCTTACGTTCTGCTTCGTCACTAGCTGTACTCCTTGTTGAAGACGGACCTGCTTTCGATGGTTGTTTGGCTACTGCATCGTCTTCGCCATCGGATGAGTCTGAAGATGCGTCCACATCAATGATTTCTGGTTTGGGCATAGGAGCAGTATTGGACGTTGTTGGTGGTATTATAGATTTAACGGGTGGTGGTTCTTCTGCTTCCAGGTCTATTATTGGTGTTACTGGAGTATCAACTTCCATTGGTACAACCACGGCAGTAGCTTTATGTGACGAAGGAGGTTTTTCGGAAGCTTTACGTTTATCTTTCGACACAAACACTGGCCGGAAGCTTTGCGGTTCTTCGACGATTGGGCTTACTACTGCTGGTATTGCTAGACTCGACGCTTTATCGGTAGTAGGACTAACACTAGTAGCAATCTTCGGTACTATCACCTCAGCCTGATCTTCACCATCCTCGTCGTCGTCAGAATCACCAAATATATCCTTAAAAATATCCATGGTTGGTCGTTCGGGCTCAGTATCCGCTATACCAGCACCGCCGAATTGTTCTAGCTCGGCATCGGCATCTGAAATGGGCTGCTGATTCCCATCATCGGCAGCTGTTTCACGTCCCAACATTTCAGTTGTTGGACCTCCTAGCATGGTCAAATCACCATGAGCGACTTTGTTATCCCGTTCACGTAGGAGTTCATCCATTATATCCTGATTCAAGACATCAGGAGCTCCTGTACCTCCAGCAGCCGAATCATCTTTACGATCAGGATATGGGTTTGGTACATTAAACCGTTTACATAAAAGACGATTTGGGTAGAATATTTCCTTGGATCTAGTTATGATATGCAGCGGTACGACCTTTTCAACAACCTATTAATCCAATGTATATGTTGGATTTTATTACTTTAGCTGTCATCAAACCAAACGAATACAACTGAAGTGATAACTTTACCTTTGTTTCGGTAGCAGGTGCACCAGATGATGCAGTTGTGAATCGAGAAGCCATGGTGGCAGACAAGGGTTGAAATATCTGAGCAGCCTTGGAAAACTCTACAAGTTCGTGATGAGCGTCTCTAGGTAGCATGTCCTAAACAGACTTGTCAATTTAAGACTGTTGAGATATTAATTTGCTTCGAACTCTTACTGGGGGAGGTTTGGCTAGTTCGGTCTCTATACCAGCATGCACCTGCAAGAATCTCGTGTATCGACCTTGTTTGGCTGCATCACCCCCAAACGGCATAAACCCTTTCAAAGCTGCTTGAGCCTGTACCTTGTCAACCTTTGGGATTTCCTTTATTGCTTCTTCTTCTTTCTTGTCCTGTTTTAATTTGGCATTCGATGACGATGCCCGGTCAAGAAACTCCATTAATCTATCTTGTTCTTTTATGGGTATAAACGAGAAAACTGATCGTGAAGGTCCATCTAATGGCTTTTCGCCCAGTATGTCACGACGTTGATCAGCAGTAAGGGTTGATTGTTGTTGGGCAGAAGACCATGCTAGAGGTTTTGTAGATAATTCTGGTCTAGGACCGGATTTATCAAAGTGATGCATGGGTAGGAAATTCGATGGTAGAGGCGGCGGCTCAAACCATTTTGTCAATGGTGATGGATTTATAGCCAATTCAAAGCCGCGTAAAGGTAGCTTACCATCATGACAAAACTGGATTCTGGTAGCAGGCAATGGCTTTAAATAAAGTAACATCAGTAAGAGCCGACATTCATAGGTACTTTAGGAACAGATTCAAAAAACATACCTGAGCTCTGCTTGCTGAGAAGGCTTTCGCTTTTTTACGATTGCCAGACGATTTATTCTTCTTTTCCATTTCTAATGCTTGTAGTCTTTTCTTTATAGTCGCAGCATCAAATTCGTCCTCGTCGTCATCAATTACCATGGTGAATGAACTCTTTGTATCGTATACATCATCATCGCCACCGATTTCATCATCCTCGTCGAACATACCAGTTCCGAAGCCACCTACAGAAGAGTTAGTTACCATGGTAGGGTGATGCCACTCGATCACAAGATTTATAATTACCCTTCATTCCAAATTGTCCTCGACGTGGTTCAGGGGTTTCTTCGGTCTCTGAATTACAAACGTATGTTAAAACATGGTCATAAAACTTCAAATAATCCAAAAGGGAATTTACCTTCATCTATTTGCATGTCTCTTGAGGTAAATTCTTGGGCGTTCTTGTATGGATCAAATCCTAATCCAAAGACATTTGTCTTTTGCTCATAAGAAATTAAAGTGCTGTCCTTTGGAGCAAACAAGACGTTGGTTGCATGAATGTCTTCAGTCTCCCCTTAAAAGTGTTAAATTTATGTAGACGACTTTCGGTTTTCTGCGATGGCCTTGAAATGATATTTACCACTGCGAGCGACTCGAGCACCAACTCCTTGACCTTCTCTCCAGCCCATTTGTCTTAGCAATTTGATTCCAATAGGATCTGTCGATGGCCCAATCAGGTCAGCAATGACTTTTGTGGGTAATGGGCCTACAGCACTAAATGTAGGTTATATTACAATGTTGTGTTGAGCACGACTTTCAGTTGATTTACCTCTGATTCATCTGGGAGGAAGCAACGGCTCTTCTTCGTTGTAATTCACGTTCGGTACCACCTAGTACATCAAATTCATCTGTGGCGGCAATCTTTTTTGAATCAGCCAATTCCTGCAATATGTGCGGGTGAGGATGGGTTGACGAGAGTTGATATAAGACAAGAATAGGAACACTTGTAAACTAAACCAGTTTTAAAGTGCTTTATTGCATACCTGTAGATCTTCCTCATCCATAAAGTCTTCAGGACGAGCAGTAGCATTTCCCGGATTGGAGCCTCCTTTTTCACCTCTTGACGATTTGAATTGAGAAGGAGCCCATCCTAATTGAGAGTGTATGAGTATCGAACGTAAAAGGACGTGTGCAGAAAGCAATAAAGGGTGGGTGCAGGATTTTAGGAGTACCTTCTTTTGAGCCAACACTGTTGTAGTAGCCAGCCGAGAAACCACCAGTGAATGCACCATGTAATCTCTTTCGACCCCTTTCATCACGAACCTATAATTAGAAAAAGGAGTAGGGAGTAATGGAGTGAGTGAGAATGTTGAGTATTACATTTAATGTTGGTGTTTGACACGACGTAGCAGACCGCAAACAAGGAAGACAATAGGAATACGACGCGAATTAGGTTTGGGAATACATACTTCTTGTAGATGCACAGGAAGGTACTTGTTCTTGTCCTTGTTTTTGATTCCATCCAAATCCAGAGCAGGCTGTTCGGTGCCAATAAAGCCAGTTCGTTTAGGAGGAGGTTGGCTCTGTTGTGCCTGATCGTCCCAGTCTCTTTGGCTCCTCTTACTATCTCGCGACATTCTCTAGTCTACTGGAGATCAGCTCCAAACATTCGTCAGATTATCAACATCAAACAAGCTTATACCTACCTGACTGGCTGTGAGAAGACTAGTGACAGTCAGTAATTGGAATAGCCCGCCAGGTGGGTTTTTATTATCCTGCTCTTCTTGTCTTTCCACAGCTTGAAGAACGTGCAGCATTCGCTGAGACCAAAAGTCGCAGTCAATTGTTGCCACGACTATTGGGCATGTACGACGGATATCTTATACTCTCATTTTATTCTTTATTACCATTAGTATACTCATTACATCTACTTTTATAGACAATGGACTCCATAGATGATCCATCAGACTGGTCATTGACGGGCCTCGTTTTTATCGATGAACATTTGCGATGTCCTATCTGCAGAGAATATTTCAACACAGCAATGATGATTGTCAATTGCAGCCACAATTATTGCTCAAAATGCATACGATCCCACCTGGGTTCTCTACAACAGTGCTCCATTTGTAAAACACCTGCTAGTCAAGCAAATCTAAAGCCAAATAGAGGTATAGCACTTGTGCTGCTGTGCACCATGAATACAAACGTGTATTCATACCTACATCCCTTTCAATATAGCATTGGACGATATGGTCAAACACATAAAGGATGCTAGACAACAACAGCTCGATATGCAAGCCAAACAACCACAACAATCCCTATTGCACGCTTCTCAATCGCTACTGCAGCACCCACAACCTACTTCATCGTCGCAAAAATCACAGAAAAAGAAGCGAAAACGAGAAGACGACGATGTCATCTTTGTCGACACCGCCATACAAACCGATCCTCAACCACATACTCAACAATCACAACATGTCCCAACTATGCCCAAGGCGAGTGGGTCCTTCTTCAAGAAAAGTAATGCAAGTATGTCAACACACAAAAAAGGAGGTCCTATGGCTTGGAATGATTTTCAACCTCTAGGTAAAGAGCTTGCTACCAGCCACCACTGCTACTCCTCATGAGCTCATATCTATCTCAACATTAGATCAAGAAGTAGAATGTCCTGTATGTGGTGATTTTATTACAGGGAGAAATATTGATAGTCATATTGAGACAGCCCATGGGAACGGAGAGTCTGCTACAACATCAACTAGTACCACTCAAAGGAAAAGAAAAAGTCCTGCTCGAAACCGTGCTACCTCGTCCCCTCCTTCTCCAGCGCCTGACAAGAGAACTACTCGCCGCTCTCAAGCTGGCGACCCGCCAGAAGAACGTCTCCACTTCAAGTGCGCGTTACAAGCTGTTTGGTTTCTCTTAAAAATCCTTTAAATCTATTCTCCCTTTAGGATCAAACCAGCCTTAGCTTATGATTCGTTGGATACCAAAGGATTGAAAAAACTTGCACAAGTACAGAGTTTTGAATTTGTTGACAAGTATACGCTTATTCACTCACTTGTTGTAATAACAAAAACAGGAACTTGGAATTGGGCAAACTGATCGAGCTACGGTTGTCAAAAAACATCAGCACTATACATTATTGTATAACACCAACGCCGACAAAGACTATCCACGGTCTGAAATGGAAGTCATGGCCGAATTCAGAGAATGGAATCGTAATCAGGATAGTCTAGTTACAGCCTCGTCGAAATCTGTCAATCATACCAATCTCAATGTGGCGAAAATATTTTCTTCTACTGGACCATCCCATGAGCCCGTACCAGATGCCTCTGCCGAGACCGAGAAATATCTTGAAAAGTATAAAGCCAGCTTCGACGATTTGGTAAAGAAGGCTGCAGGTAGTCGTAAAAAGAAGAAACAACAGCAGCAGGAGCAGGAACCCGTAACCGTGGCACCAGTGGAACAAGCACCCATCGTAAAAGATGATCCCATAGTACCAGAAACGCCACCAGCCGAGGCCGAGACGACGAACGAACAACCAAAAGATCCTCATATGACTGATATGGCCATTGATTTGACGACAGATTCGACGACAGATGAAGAGCACGTCGCGGAATCACCAAAAGCAGACGACCGTGCTGCAGAAACGCCAAAAGCTTGTGATGTTGGCTGTGAGTTGGATAGTGTTATGGACGTAGATCAAGAGCCGATCTTGTAATTTGTAAATTGATTTTGAGCATGTGGCAGTTTTTTTGTAATCATGTATGCTTTGTATGCTGCTTTCCAGGTTGCATTGTATAAAGAAGGTAAAACCTAGCATGTCTATAAAGCAGCTACTTGTCCTGAGATTTGTTTAGTTTCTGGTCTTAGGTGTATTTTTTGCGTCGTTCGTACTGACAGCCGTACTCATCAACACAATAAAGTGGTAAGATTTGTTCCATACCGCTTATTCTTAGTTATTTTAACTGTCATCTCAACAATCAGAGCTTCCTGTCTGGTTTCAAACCTTCAGAAAAAGAATGTCGGGCGGCACTAAGCAAAGGAAAAAGAAGAAGGAATTCATGCCATTAACAGAATTCCTGAACTCTCCTCAAGCACCTCAAGCATCTGGTCCACATGGAGCAAGTGAAAACTCATCAACTTTTACAACATCTTTGACATCAGTTGCACCAGTGGAGGATACAAAACAAACAAAGGCGAATGGAAACGTTACTGACCCCGCTGTAAGCAAGCCAGCACCTGTAGCTGATACTGAGTATGATTCCTCGATTTGCTTCATCTGTACAGAGCAAATTGTATGGTATGCTGTTGGAGAGTGCAATCATAGAGTTTGTCATATATGCTCCTTGAGATTGAGAGCTCTTTACAAGGTCAAGTCTTGTGCTCTGTGCAAGGTCAGTGTTTCCTACTTTGACAGCTTCAACAATGGGAAGTGGAGTATGAAAGCTTTGCTTCTCACTACTTGATACCGTCGTCTGCTAGACCGAACTACACCATGTCGTCTTTACCAAATCAGCAACCAAGCCGTTCTCGGATTTCAACATTATGCAGATTCGTTTGGTTGATCCTAAGCTTGATGTCTACTTTGATGAACCCGATGCTATGGAAGATTCGAATATCTTGTTGAGATTCAACTGGTAAATGATGATATTTCAGCCCTTGATGTTGCGCGAAACTCTAACGCCAAATGTCACATTTGTCAGTCCTGACCCAAGTTGTGACGTGGCATGTCCTAACGGATGGGCACAACTGAAGGCTCACGTCAAAAAGGATCATGGCATGCTCATGTGGTGCGTTCTTTTGCTCTGCGCTTCCTAGAATGTAAAAATGTTGAAATGCTCAACATTACCTTCTAGTGATCTATGCACAAGACACAAAAAGATATTCACACACGAGCATTCGCTATATACACAATCCACACTGAATCGCCATTACTCGACTGGTGATCCTGATGATCCGTCATTCAAAGGACATCCAACTTGTGGATTTTGTAATATGAGCTTTTATGGTGACGACGAACTGTATACGCATTGTCGAGAAAAGCATGAGCAATGCTTCCTCTGTCAACGAGCTGGTCATCGAAATCAGTATTATGTTAATTGGGACAGTCTGGTACGAGAATCGTTTTTATTTCTTTCAAGACGTTTCGGCGTTGTCCAAGACTGAAGTGAGGGTCTTTTAGAATCAACACTTCAACCATGATCATCATCCCTGCACGGAGCCAGAATGTCTAGAACAGAAATTTATGGTGTTTGGTTCAGATCTGGATCTCAAGGCTCATCAGGTTTGGTTTCATTTTTAGACGTTGGTTCATCAGCCGATTCTAACTTGACTTTCGATACGCAGCTTGAAGTACACCGTGATTCAAGCGCAAAAAAGAGCTCAAAAAGCAAATACCAAGCAGTCGATGTCGGATTCACTTACGCTGGTTCTCCTTCAAGGAACAACGCAGATCGGTCCAGACCATCCCGTAGCAGAGATGACAATAGTAGTAGTGCAAATAGTAGTACGAACAACAGGCTGCAGCAACGTAATCAATATGCTGCTCCCGCTGGATCGTTAGAACTTCCTGAGAGAACTAGGACACCTGTGGCTCCATCTCCGGCAGTTACTGCACAAACAGTGAATACACCACCAGGTCTTGGAGCACCGGTGACGGCAACATCAGCAACTACACCGTCTTCTACGCAACAACAGCAGCAACCCTCGCAACGAAAACTACGCCCACCACCGGGATTTGGAGCTCAACTCTCGTCGGCTGACAGTAATAGTGCAGCTGCTATACCCACATCCTCGTCACAAGCACCACCCTCACCAACTAGAGCTCTAGATCAATCACCTTTAACACCTGATGCCGATCTTAATAATATCCTAACTTCGCTGTTATCGACAACACCCACATCGTTATCGGAATTCCGAGAATCTTTAAGGCAGTATAGAATGAGTTATACCACAGCAGATGATTTGCTAGAAAAGATGATTTCTTTGGCAATGATTGGTCGTGGAGCTGTGTCCAAGATACGAAAGGATACAGAAAACGAGGTTGGGCGAGCATGGACACGGCTAGGTAGTGTCTTGCCAGATACAGAAGGAGAAGGTATCCGTGGAATGCTACGAGCTTGGAATGATTGGAGAGCAAAGGTATGGTGCTTCCTGATGTCTCCGTTCCGGCCATTATTCTCATGGTTCATATTTTAGCGTGATGGAGATACCTCAGCTACACTTTCAAGCTATGCCAATCCATTATCGAATGCCTTTCCACCAACTCCAACATCAAGTAGCAATGGTGGCAAAGCCAGAGTACTAGTTATAAAATCAGCATCATCACGACAACGAAATACAGGTACTGGAGCTTGGGCAGCTTCATCTAGTCGACCTCCGTCACTACGTAGGAATATAGTGTCTAGTGCTGGCAGTGTCTCTAGCAACAACTCGACCATATGGGATCGACTTGCTGATGAAGTTACAGCCGAACGGAGTGGTGCTAGTCCAGCAAATAGTAATACCAATGGGCGTCCGGTAGATTTCCCTACATTAGGAGCATCCTCATCGTCGTCTTCTGCCACGGCTGCATCACAGTCACTGTCACGCCCGAGTTTCGTAGAAACTGCTGCATGGACTCCCACAGTGTCGTCATCATACCGTAATGCAACCGGTCAGGATCGATCTGGATCTTCACTTTCGCGTAATCGTGAAGATGTCTTTCCAGCATTACAAAGAACTGCTTCAAGTGATCGACCTTCCACACCGTCTGGAGCTTGGGGTACTAGTACTCCTGTAGAGGAAGCTTATGTGCCAGAATCACAAAAAAAGAAAAAGAAGGGAAGACAAAAAGATATCCTTTTGCAATTCGGTTGAGCTGCTTAATTTACTTTGAATACTAGATTTTGTAAGTAAATCGTCTTTTGCATAATCGCAAATATATCTTTAGACATTATTCTAACACATTTCGTCTGAGTTCTTCTGGCTCTGTGGCAGAAAGCGGTTTTGATCTTGATCTGTTGTCTCATAAATTTCCCGAAAATCACAGTTTTACTTCGGAAGTGTATTTTACGAGCCATCAAATATAAAGTTCGCTGACGAAAAATGTCTGACTCTGAAGCCTCAGATGCCGGGGAAAGATCCGTTATAGAGGAGCTCCCAACTGCTCAACCTGCTCCTCCAGGTAATTTGTTGCGCCCGTTTGAGCAAATTGTTCGTTTTAGCGAGAACAGCTACAATACTGCTGATGTGTCAATATAGCATAGCCACCATTATTACAATTTTATTGCCTTGTTTTCATTTTAAAACCTTTTTGCTTTCTCTTTAGGAACGACCGCATTTCATTTTGTCTGGTAACATTATTATGACGAAAATGAGAATGGCCTGATGCACAGAATTGTGAGACTGAGGCGTTTTCTTCGTTTTAGCAAATCAAAACTGGGATTCGTTCAATGGAAGGATTCTGAAGCATCTCTGTATGGATACTTTGAACGGACGTTCAAGGCGACGACATGTACCCTGAAGTTGACAGAGTCGCTAGAACAATATTGTCTAGAAATTGAGGTAAATCCAACTTCACCAATTGTCTGATCCTATTATTAATAACCCCTTCACCTTGAAAAGGTTCCAAATGGTTATGCAGTGAGTGTTTTCAGACCGTCTCAAGAACCGCTTGTTCAAGTCACGCACCGGAGCGATTAGGATTGTCCACTAACGAACGCACGAAATATAGGTCGCATTTGAAAAGATATTCAAGAAGGGTTTGGCTCAAGAAATTGATCGAATCCACGGAATTCCCACGATATCTAAATGGAAAGATGTACGGCTCATGTCTTCACTCGGCAAAGCTCCTGGAACCACTGATCCTAAATCAACTGGACACTCGTCAATGGATCTCTTGGTTCAACGACTGGGTGCTCTTCGCCAATGTGGATTACAACGACAACGAGAAATCGACGGTGTCCTGACCCAGTGGGAAGCTCTAAAAACTGAGATTTATCGACGACTGGGAGCTATTGATGAACACTATTACAAGAAATGTGTCGAGGAAATCGTTGCTAGATTGGAATTGGTGCAGAACGAGGTCTTGGATGCAGTCAAACGTGATTTGGGAATGATTGGCGCACCACCTGCTCACGACGACGATATCGGCTCAGAGCCGAGAAGCCGTATGCCAACTGGAGGTTATGGCATTGGCGGTGGTATTCCGCTATCTGTCTTGTCGACAAGGCCTTCATCACCAGCTCCAAGCACGCCGCAAACTGCCAAGCTAGAGCTCGATGAACACCACGTGAATGACACGACGCCAACGTCATCTGTGGGAGGGTCGGCTACTCCCACCTCTGGCCATTCCGCCACTACACCCATATCTGCATCAGTGACGTCGCCCATGTCAGCAGGCAGCCATTCACGAGTAACCTCGATTGGTCATTCGAAACTGAACCCTACAAGAGATTCTGCAGCAATAGAGCAATCGGTTGGCCCTTCAGCGGTGGTAGTAAAATCTCCAGTCAGCGGTTTGAAACCAGAAACGACAGCAAGTCCCACCGTCACTCGTGGAATCCAAGAAGAACCAGAAAACGATCTAGAAACTGAAGACATCAGCACTAAAACACATGCAGTAACAGAACATGTCGAAACCGTGGAAAAGGCACCAGTTGTTGAAGACTTCCAAGACTTCACTCCTAAAGTTGAACCCACTAGTGAGACTCCAGACGTGATATTACAACCACAAGATGTTGAAACTGTAGACATTACAAAGGAAATCACCAATCCAGTCACGCACGAAATTTCGTTCTACGAGTCAGCAGAGTCAGAATCACTTCCCAAAACCGCAACAATCATTATCGACAACGAAGACGACCGTATTCTTTAAAGACATGCAAATTTATCTACAACAGAATACAGCAAGTGGTTATAAGTTACATGTGGGGTTTACAGCGAGTTGTTAATATCTGTGAGTATTTGGGAGACGAGATTGACTCGTTCACGGACCTTGTCCTTGTCTGTAGCGACAGTCCGTTCAATTAAGACTGTTGCTTTGTCAGGGTGATAAAGCAGGAGCTGCTCTCTGATCGTCTTACGTCGTTTATCGGGATCTGTATACTGTCCAAGCAGAAACGATATGACATTATCCTTTGTTAGCTCCCGGTTAGTACCGACAGGGAGTGGAACATCAACTAGTCGGACTATATTTATCGGATTACTAGACGATAGCTTGGATTTAAGTACATCCCAGCCATCTTGATAGGCTTTACGAGTTGCTGCGGATTTACGTAGTTTCCTTTCTGCTTTTTGACGCTCTTCTAGCTGTAGAAGCTCCAATTTCCTGATTCTCTCTTTTTCTAGCATGGCAGCAGCCCGAGCAGCCGCTTCCTTCATATGTTCTCTAGCAAGACGTTCTGCCTCGAGCTTTTGTGCAGAGTAGTCATGGGCCCACAGCTTCTCGCCCCATGACTGTGACGACGAGGATGCAGATGCCGGTACAGGTTGCTTGGATCTATATCTAAGTGGCTTTACTGATTCGTAAAAGCCTTCCATGCCTCCGTGATGGTCTTTATGTTCAGCGTGCAGTTGATCCAATATACGTTCCTCCCATTCATCTCTAGATGGAATATGATGTGGTAGTGTTCTATCTTGATTATCTATGTCGTCGTCTATATCATATATAGTGGGATTTCGAGGAGGAGTTATGTTGCCCAAGTTTGGTTGATATTCATTCAGGTCCGGAGAGAGCTTCCTAGAAGGTCTTTTATGATCGTCGTCCTCGTCATCCCGATTAGATTTCTTCCTCTTGAATCGCAGCTTCTTTGACATATAAGGTTTTTGCTGATTCTACGTCCTTTGAAATATTTTTGAGTGTTGGCGAGGAGACTGAAAGTCAGATTGTTGGGGAGGTCATTCAAGGTGAGCGGCATCATTTAAATACCTCTTGATATTTATCTAAATCATTGAATGCCCTGCCGCTCGTCATTAGGATTCGCAGCCAAGAAAATGGAACAAGACGAATTGCAGAGGACGCAAGATGAAATCCCAACCGCTTCAGCTCCCAATGACGAATCTGTAGACGCGCCATTGAGGCCGAATAGACCAAAACCGCCACCACCGTTGGATTTGCAGAATACTGTAGGGGTCAACATTGCGACTTCATTGTTGGCCTCACAGAGCAGCCCTACCACATATAAACCAAGGAGATTCACTGCATCTGCTACTATGATTCTGTCTCCACGTCTCGGATCAGATGGCGTAGGCAGTCAATCCAACACGCCGCCATTAGTAGATTCGCCAATACCGAAGGCCAGTGAAGTCATACAGCCATCACCTGAAATACTACCGCTGTCTATATCACATTCAGCATATAGAGCCATGCTGAATGCTGGTGGTCCTGGAAATCCTAGTGGAACAGGAGCAACATCCACAGCTTCGCCGAACTCGCACACCGGAAGTGGTGACGATTCTTCATCAACAAGTGGTAGGAACAGTCTCACAAAATTGGATTCTTCTGCAAAACTATTGCTGCAATCGAATGGATCTCCTGTATCCGTACCATCGAAACCACTACGTCGGACACTGTCGACACAAGAAAAATCAAAACAAATATTAAGCATGCCCAGTTTGATAAGAGACCATGGAGTGGAAACTCCCTCGCTTATATTGGAATACGCCCCAGACTCACCTAATCCCAATGGCATTGGTATAATATCACCTTCAACGCCCTCAAATGTCTCGATGAGCATTGCTTCGAGTTCTCCATCAAAGGGATCTCTGGGACGATTTAGTGTTTCCACGAATAATACAGGATCTCCTGCGTCACCATTTCGAAAAATTCCTGGAGTAATGGCAACGCAATCTCCACTGAATTCTACTCCGAAACGCAAATTGCCTACGACCAACGCTTTGAGAAATTCAGTTGGCTCTAACGACTCTGACTTTGAAGAAAACGGATATCGTCGATCTGGTCAGCTGGATAATTCTGATGGAGAGTTGGCCGATATTTTACGAGACTCTGAAGAAGTCAGACCGAATCAGACCGATTTTCTAGATGATAGGGGAGCCTCTTTTGATTTGAGGCGTGAGATGGTTGCTGAATTACTAGCAGCTAAAGAGAAGGCTGATGCTGTCATCAGTCTCGTGTTGGGTTTACCAACTCAGTCTACTGGCGACATCACTGCGAGAACGCCAAGTAGTGACAAGAAACGTAAATTGATGGAGCCATCAGAGAACCTGTTGAATGTCAAGCTTGTTCGGCCACTGTTGCATTCGAAAAGCTGGCCTCCGTCCATATTTGGTATGCGTTGATTACTTGCTATGATATGTAAACCACAAAGCTAAACCAATTCTTTCCATAGCTTCGCCACACGACTTGCTCCTGACGCAGATTGAATCTATTGGTACTCTGATCATGCATACGCCAGCATCGGCACTCATCAATACACAAGTAGCTGGAGATTTTATGCGTTCGCTACAAGACTTGATGGAACAATCAAGGAGAATGGTGGTTGGAAATGCCGAAGCGAATGATTTGCTGACCAAGTTGCTGTTTGTGTTTGCCCCCGTCAGTCGTGTGGCAGAATCCCTAGTAAGAAAACACAAATTGTCGGTTCAGTCTATCGTCGAGAATACTAAACCTCACTCAAACTCTAGTATGAATATGGAAAAACAATGAGACGAGTTAGTTTACACGAATCCGCACCGTCTTCGGATGGATCCCCGCAACATCGACGTTCAGGTCATCGATCGTCAGACACCAAGCATTCAAGGCCATCGCACACATCGATACGACCAGGCGCACCTCCATCCGACTTCCAAAGAACGGCCTCCAGTCCTAGGCTGGATGAAACTCGCAAGCTGCTGAAATCTGAAGGAAGACAATTTGTTCCGCAACATAAACGACAGGCACAATCTGAATCGTCCATACAGTTTATTTATACCGACACCTCTACTCCCCCTAAGCCAGAAACCAATCAGAAACCAGAATTTTTGAAGTCTTCCTCCGTGAATGAGTCCGATTCGGATTTTAGTGCTGACCACACGCAACCGAAGACTCCAACTCATCGAGGATCGAAATGGAGCTGTACTGATCTCGATGGCATATCAAGAGCACCGTCAGAGTTCTCTACGGCTCCGCCGACTACATCTCCGACACGACATGCCAGTCTCAACGAAGGTCAACCGCGATCTTCACCACTCGGTAGTACACCATCATTGGGAGGTAGTAGTGCTCAACTAATGCACCTGGGTAGTATGCAATCGTTTGACTCAATGCCCAACAGTCCCAGTCTATCAAAGTCATGGTGGCATTCGAAAGAACGAGTAGATGATGGTTCACCTACACCAAATCTTCAAAGCAATTCCAGCAACACCAAGAAGGTAAGTATTTTCCAAATCAGAGAATGACCAACGATATGAGCCCAATGCCTAACTATATGCTTGAATATAGGCACGACCAATGTTTGCGTTTCTGAAGACCATTCGACATGCATTTCACGGTAGTTCAGGAGCCCTTGCGCCAACATCCATGCCAACATCTCCAATATCGACATCCGGAACCAATCTTCATATATTAATGGGGTCGAACCCATCGTCGTTATCCATCAACGATTCTAGATCACAATCTTTTGGCTCGTTGTCTTCTGCGGGTCGACGACAGTCAGCTCAGGCTGGGTTTCAAGCACCAACATCAGTGCCATCTGGTCTTGGGTTGACCCTCAATACGGATAGCAGAGAAAATCCACCAGATTCGCCAACCGTCAAATCAGATCGATCTGGTGAAGCCTCGTTTTCTCAAACACCACCCTCAGGCCGAACTCCACTTTCCCGTGTGCTCTGTAGGATTTGCGAGGAAATGGTACTGGCTGAGACATTGGAAGAACATTCCAAAAGTTGCGCTGTGCAACAAGAGTGTCATTTGAAGCAGTATGCTTGTGATTTGAAGCTGAAAAAGTTTGCCAATGCTGTTGCTGCCCGAAAGGAACAGCTAAAAGTCAAGGTATGTTTAATGCATTCCGACATGAGAGCCATTGATAACTTACGCAATTCATCCTAGGATTATGACGATTGGACGGACTGGCAACATATGAGAAAACTTGCAGAGACTCTCGAGACCAGAGCTTCCAAAGGCGCAAAACTGTCCGACGAGACTGGCAAAAAGAGTATTGCCAAGTGTGAAAAGTATGCCAGCCAAGTCAAAAAGGTTTTGGATGAGGGATCTAAATACGCCAAAGTTGAGGTTCAAGTGTTTAGTATTGGTAAACGAATTCACGCTGTGGTAAGTGGGGAAGAAATCAATCTTCGCATTCAATAGTGCCTGTCAATTTCATCGCGACTCTCGCTAATGACACCAAAATTATTTTCGTAGCTGGAGGAGAAAGCACAAATCCTGGCCATTCAAGTCAGACGTGTTCATACTACATCCAACTTGCAAGATACCCACGGTTCAAGTGGATCATTATATGATGCAAGCCCCAACAGAAAGAAAGATCCAGAGCAACGACATTCCAGGACACAAGTCGACAGAGTCGTAAAGAGGAAGAACAGTGTGACTAGTGTCTCGAGTGAACGAAGTGCCAATCCGAATTCCCATGAAGCTGATTTGTACGCTTCTGATCGTAACAGAGACAAAGCACCAATCAACAAGGGCCGCTTCATGTCCATTTTTGCTGCTTTGATGAGGGGGCCAGCCACTCGACCGAGATCACCGAGTGGTTTATCAGGAACATCGGGAGGAGAATCAGATCGTGACCGGCGAAAGCAAAAGATACCATCGATTCGGGACTTTGAGATTTTGAAGCCAATTTCTCGTGGTGCTTTCGGGTGAGTTTATTGACTTTTAACTGTTGAATCTGTTTGTATCAACTGTCTGATGAATTCGTTCTGTATTCTGATCTTGTAGAAAGGTGTACTTGGCCAGGAAAAAGACCACACAGGATCTGTATGCCATCAAGATTCTGAAAAAGGAAGACATGATTCGAAAGAATATGGTCGCTCATGTTTTGGCTGAGCGAAAAGTGCTGGCCTTGTCACGAAATCCTTATGTTGTGAAGCTGTACTATGCATTTCAATCTCGAGACTACCTATATTTGGTCATGGAGTATCTTATTGGCGGTGACTTGTCGACTCTATTATCAGCACTTGGAACATTCGATGAAGACATGACCAAGATGTACGCTGGTGAAGTGACATTAGCTCTAGAGTATCTTCATGCAAACGGTATCACGCACAGGGATCTCAAACCGGACAGTAAGTAGTGATAATAATGTGATTTGAAATTGCGCAAGCATTCTAACTTTATGTTCTTGTTGTGTAGATATGCTGATAAACCAAGAAGGTCACATCAAGTTGACAGTGAGTCTTAAATCATTGTCGTTTTTGGCGATTCCAAATCTTACGATTTTGAACTGTACAGGATTTTGGACTCGCTCGCATCACCGTTCAAGACAAAGAATCGGCTTTAAGTGCGGAGAGTCCAGAAGAGATGCTTCATGTGAGATCGCCGAGTCGCTCCTTGTCCGAAATGACAAAGTTATTAATCAATCTTTACCAATACGCTAGCACTTGCAGCATCTCAACACTTTGGCTCGACGTACGAATGTACGACGGTTAACCGAAGAATCATCGTCCGTGGCACCAGACGGTCCCTTGTCTCCAGAAAATGCACATTTGCGCAGACCATCACGACGTGTTCGTCACGAAAGCAAAGCACTTCTAGGAACACCAGATTATCTTGCACCAGAACTTTTACTGGGTCTCGGCCACGGTCCCGCTGTAGATTGGTGGGCTTTAGGAATATGTATCTTCGAATGGGTTGTAGGCTTTCCGCCATTCTCAGATGAATCACCTGAAGCCATTTTCAGAAATATTTTGAACCATGATATCGAGTGGCCTGAAGATGGCATACCTACAGATATCAAATCACTGATCATGGGGCTTTTGAATCCGGACTCTCACACTCGTTTCAAGGGTCCTCAAATACGAGCACATCCGTTGTTTACTGGAGTAGACTGGGATCACCTCCGTAAGCAAACTGCACCGTTTGTACCGACACCACACGATGACATGGATACCGGATACTTTGAAAGTCGAAATCAGCGCCCTGATATACAACGATTATCGTCCTTGTCGATACCGCTTGGTGGTTTTAACGAAGCAGTACATAAACTCGATCCCAATGCCGAGATCTTGGGGCATCGTAAAGAAGCAAGTAGTGATAGTCAGCCTATATCACCCACAACACCAGTAGACCATAATAAAGCAGAGGGTGTCTTGCCAACCTCCGAATCCATTTCAAGGAGTCCACTACCAGAGAGTGCTGGGCCTTCCCGTGATAATTTCTCAGTGTCTGCATCAAGGCAACGATCCGTCAACTCGGGCAATACTCTTGATAGTCGAGAGTCATTACGAGGAAGTGCTCGTATCCGTGGTAATGATGTGTTGTCAGGAATACTAAGCTCTATGAACGTGTCACGATCCGGCTCAACATCGAATGTCAGTGACGATGGGTTACTGGACAAAAAGTCATCTACCAAGACCAGTATGTCTAAACTACCAACCAACAACAGCACCAATCCTCCACAACCGCGTAAAAGATCCGTGTCACAGACTGCTCTAGATCCAGACCGAGCAAGTTTCATGGATGACCTTAATTCCACCATTCCTCGAAATGCATCTGCCGCTAGTTTGGACTCACAGTTTGAGCAATTTACATACAAAAACGTTGACGTACTGGCCTCTGTGAATGACGACGTAATCTCTGGCTGGGAGGATCAAAAATCTCGTCGAGGCAGCTCTGACACACATGAAGAGATCTTTAATGCACCACTACAGAAACGACGAATATCAAATACTCTTGCAATGCAATCAAGGAACTCGCCTCATAGTAGCCTCGGTGACCTTGGCAAAAAGAATGGATCGAAAACAGATCTGTCCTCCGTGAAGCCGTAATTTCATCAAACAGAATAGATCAACTACAGATTTGACCTCTTGAAAGCCATGAGCTTTAAATTCGCCCAATAATCCATAATTTAAGTTTTTTATTGATTACATTTTTATTAAGTTCTATTCGTGTCGCTAGTTCGAATAGTTCTCGCGGCCTATTTGATGGACTTGGATCAGTAGTAACTGATCTGCTACCAATTACCAATTTACATCTGGGACTACTTGAGCTTGCTTCGTTCCTGGAATTGCTGTTGTCTCGAGGATTTCCTTATACGCGATGTCCTTGTTTGAAGAGGATGAAAAGAGGAACTTTCTTTTAATAGGCGTTTCTTCTTAACGTCAAAGTGATCTGTACTGGGTCTGAACTCGTCACAAAGGCGGAAAGAATGTCATATCAAACGAATTATCTTTCTGAAGTGAAGGCGTTCGAGCCACGAGAAGATGTAAGACATCTATATTTAATTATTTCAAACATCGCTAATTAATGCCTCGTCCATATAGTCGCTGCTTTCATTCAACATCAAACATTTGGAAAACAACATTGACGCGAATCTGATTGCAATTGGATTAAGCTCGTGGAGGCAGTACGGAGTCTACGTTCAAAAGATCTCACTTTAAGAGAACTACTCGTACCGCAACATGGCACCCTTGCACTGGGTTCGGGTTTTTCTTTCGATTTCCCTTTCGGTCCAGTCAGATCAAGGCAGTGCTGTAAACCATCTTCAAACATCTTATACATCCATCATAACTACTGCCGGTAAAGCTACTACTTGTGTATGATAGTCCAGGATTGAATGGTAAGAGTGTTGACCTTGCTTTATTTGCATCGTTTGTGTCCTGGATCTGGAGTTCGGGAGTCCTGTCGTTGTATACGAAAACTTTGGTCTCGAGGTTTTACCCAGATCTTGACTGTATTCATCCTCTCACTAGGCAAATTCTTTTGTCTAAAGCTACAAACTGGTCGACTGGACAGAAGGTGCGTTGGACTGCGATTACTGATTCGTCACTGCCCACTCCATGTCCTCGGCTATCAATACGTTTCTCTCGAACCCACGATAAGATTCTCACTGTATTGCTTTATCGACTAGGGTGGTCCTGGTGCTGTTTAACACTGCTCGTTTCTGGATCAGGAATGTTAGTTGGCTGATTTTTTTGCTCACAATGTCAAACTTTCAATCCTCCTCGGTCAATACTCAGATCTTTAACGTATTCCCCCTCTTCCCAGATCTGTCCAGCTCCTCTTTAGGGCGCCACAATTTGGGACTTGAAAAAGTGGGTTGTACTGCACGGTTTTTTTTTGAGAATTGTCTGGGGTTGTTGCGTCGTTGGGCACCTAGTATGTTGAAGCGACGACTCAACAATCGGCTGTTTTGAAGGACCCGATTACCACCTGCGCCTAGCAGAGTCATTCGGGCCTCCGAAGCGGTTAGTCCAAACGTCCTTCTTATCCTGATGAGAGTTACGGGAGCTTCGGCTCCCCGCTGTCGGTTGGTGGGGCGTCTCATTTTCTGGAACCATGCTGGACTGCTGGCGAGAATGCTGATGAGTGGATATTTACCAAGATGTACTTGCAACGCTCAACTCCGGGCAATTCAACTCTTTGAAAGTTCAGTATACCCACTCTAACGTGACTTACTCACGCTTCGTCACAGGAGTATGGCTGATATTGATGCTATACATTTGCGGCCTCGTCCTGCTACAATAGAACGTGTTGCAAACCATGTCCTGTGCGCAATAAATTCTCAAAATCCTCGCCCCTTCTCCATCACCACCTTGAATTGTATTGCAAACTCGTACCGCGACTCTTTGATTCTTTGGTATCTGCTGATCGCTCGGAGGAACAAGTCTGGGAATTGGTCTGGGACTGTTTTAATCACGACTTTGATACATTGCTCCCCACACCTGGGATTGGAGAACGTTCCTCTAGTAGTGCAAGTTGAAAAACGGTGCTATGTATATGCAGTTGCAAGAGCTGACTTGTAGGCCGAAAGCTTAGATCTCTCTTCAAGGCCTGCTTGCCCAAAACAAGATTATTGCCAAAAGTGGTATTGACATGCCTGTTGCTGATACATCGCTGACTTAAACGCAAAGCACGAAAAGAATTGGAGCAGGTAAAATACATTTCTACGCACCTGGTTACTAGGCTTTGTCACTTAAAAACATGGATGGCTTTCCCTTGTTGGCCGTATTCGGATTTGGGGACGTTGTGAAAGAATTGATGACTCCTGGCTCGTCTAAACGCCGACTGACTGAATCCGTCAAAGAGCTCACCAAATTGCTGGACTGTACGCTCCAAGTGCAAAAGAACTCTGAACGTGCTTATCAAAGCGCGCTTTCAGACGCAATTGAATGCCAAAAGCGGGCTTCATCTGGACAATGTCCAGTTTGTTGGGAGAAACAAGTCAATCGAGCTTTGGCGTGTGGCCACGTCTACTGCTCTGCCTGGTAAAAATCGTTGTTTCCGGTATTTATTCAGATGTAGTCGCATAGAGCTTACACTTAAATCTTTTCAATAGCATTCCTCGTATGGCTCGGAACGTTTGTCCCAGCTGTCGAGTTGTTCCAATCATTTTGTAAGAACCTGTATAAGAGTTTGAACAACGCTTTGATATTGATCTCATAGCTCCAACGCTAGTTCGAATAGTTCTGATGTCCTATTTGATAGAATTGAGTCACGAGTAACTGATTTAATACAAATCTACAGCTGAGATTACTTGAGCAGGCTTCTGTCATCTGGTTGCAATATACAGTGCAAGAAAACAAGGTGCTGAGCAGAAACACGACGTCGCAGAGAGTGATCGGGATGAGAATAATTGGTATGCCCTATAAAACCACACTTTTCATGTACTTTTTCGGTTGACACTCCAATTTCGTCGCTTTATGTCAGCATCACATAAGCATCCAATACTTTGAGCTTCATATCCATCCATCGATATCTGAAACAAAAGGATTGCAAACATGGTGAGTTCTGACTTGTAGTTAGTATCGAGAGCTGTGATATAACTTCTCTCTGCCTGGAAATCCCTTCCTCGTTGCCATATGGACTGGGGCCAACACATTCAACGATGTCGTGCGATGGATGTGACACTTGCATTATGGGAGAGAGACCTATGCAAATATGAACTTGAGAGGCGCCGATTGAGGATTCAACAATGAGCTTTAATTATTGGCAAAACAGTTGCCTGAACAGGGGCATTTGACAAAAGCTTGACATTTGGGGCAGACATACACGTGGACAAATCGAACTAAATAGCTACAATGGAGCTGTCAATAACAGAATCTAACAAATTTACGTACCAATTACTCTTTGCAGGCTGACGAAACTGAGGGATATGATGCCGAATATGTAGGTTTCGACGGTTTTTTGGCTGTCACTATATACAGATACTAACGAGCTATGTATAATTTATAGGCGGCTGAAATGAAGAAGAAGCGCCAATTCAGAAAGTTTACTTTCCGTGGCGTTGACTTGGATGACTTGATGGACTTGAGCCCAGAAGATGTATGTTGATTCATTTTATTATACAGTAGGACCGATATGATAGAAGGAAAAGGAGATTGGAATGTATCGGCATTCAACTTTTACCCACCCTTTGCACGATCGTTGAGAGTCGATACAAATACGGTCAAATCAAAACATCTAACAATGGAGACGCACAGAGAAACACACTCATTTTTGATGCCATATTCAAAATGATCTAATTCATTTTATATAATCTCTAGCTGATGAAATTGGTACACTGTCGTGCTCGTCGCAGGTTTATGCGTGGATTGAAGAGAAAGCCTATGGGTTTGATCAAGAAGCTCCGAAAGGCAAAGAAGGAAGCTGCTGCCAACGAGAAGCCAGAAACTGTAAAGACTCACTTACGAAACATGATTATCGTACCTGAAATGATTGGTTCCGTCGTTGGTATTTACAACGGAAAGACCTTCAACCAAGTTGAAATCCGAGCTGAAATGATTGGTCACTACTTGGGTGAGCATTTGATGATGATATATGAATATTTGATGATGTTAACGCAGATAAGGAGTCTTGGACTAACTCGCGTTAAATGTAGGCGAATTCTCTCTGTCCTACAAGCCCGTCAAGCACGGAAGGCCAGGTATCGGAGCCACCCACTCCTCCAGATTCATTCCTCTCAAATAAGGTAAGCTACAGTGGTCATACCTTCTTTACATTACGTTGTTTCTTCTTTTGATCTTGCCAACACTCTTAATCCATAATTAGGCTTTTATTGCAATATGTTGGATTTTGCCATAAGAATTGTAGAAATAAACACCAAACCCTGGTCGGGGATGATGACTAGCCTGTGGATTTCGTGACTTAATATTTCGCTTGTTTCAACTGTTTGAAATTCGAAGAGCGATTCATGGATCTTCCATAGCATTTACGTTTTTGGCACGTCTAAATCGCATTAGATTAATAAACTGGCAGCGATGGCTGACTGTGTTTTTTTTGGTGCAGTCGTCGAGCTTGCCTTGCTTTTCTTTTTACAAAAAACCAATTCGTTACTTACAAAGATGCCCAAAAACAAAGGAAAAGGAGGCAAGAATCGTAAGAGGTATGTTCCTAGTGCAATATCCTTGGTAGCTATGCGGGTCTATGTCGCTTCGTGTCGGTTTGAACAGTCTGGTCTTTGCAATTTCGTTTTTGAGACCAACGGAGCCGTCTCATCTGAAAAGTTTATTGATGGAGTCTTTTCGTGCGGCAGCTTCTCTAACGGATTTCAGTATATATAATATGCTATTGCCTTGAACAATGTGCTAACCTGGTTTTATGTGTAGAGGGAAGAATGAGAACGAGTCAGAAAAACGTGAATTGGTCTTCAAGGAAGATGGACAGGAATATGCTGTAGTGACCAAGATGTTGGGAAATGGCTGGGTAGAAGCTCAATGTATTGATGGAGAAAAGAGACAAGCACATATAAGAGGTGCCTTCCGAAAGAAGGTTTGGTAAGTGTGCGGGTTGATGTGCAGTCTGGATAGGTAATCGCTCTATGCGGGAGTAGTCACTTACTACATTCTCTTTGATGATGATCTGCAGGATCACAGCTGGAGATGTTGTTCTGCTCGGGTTGCGAGATTTCCAAGACTCAAAGGCAGACGTCATACTAAAGTATACGGCTGATGAAGCAAGAATGCTAAAATCGTATGGTGAAATTCCTGACAACATCAAGATCAATGAAACTGCTATTGGTATGGAAGAAGGAGATGAAGAAGACGGTACGTGAACATGCGGTTTTTATGTTTGGTTTTGATGAGATCTGTAATCTCTGCTCTGCACCCTTTCGTGGGAGCATGAAAGATCAATTAGTGTGTGCGAGCAAATGAGCGCCAACACTGACTCAATTCCTGTGTTTGTAGATGGTGTCGAATTCGACATTGACGAGATTTAATTTCTTTTCGAACCGATGCATATAGAATGTTTTGCGCTGCTCTGTAAATGTAAATAAACAATAAAGTCCACGTCATCCTCAAATCATCCTCACGTCGTGAATCGCGTTTTGTGTTTCTAGTATGGTTGTGCCACATCATCAACAACACCTGCTCTTTGCAATATTACAGCAATGAGCGGCAAGTACAACTCGATATTCAAGGAGGGAATTCTAAATGGCAAGATTATGTAAGTTCCTACTCTCGATTCCTGCTAAGTTTGGGCAACTTTCGCAATAACACATTTTACACGCATCCTTTCAATCCAGTATCGTAACTGGTGGAGGAACAGGTCAGTTTCTGAGTTTTCGTCTTCGTGACCTGCTTTGTCGAGTCCTTGCTTGCACGATTCCATGGAAGACCATCAACACTTGAACACATCAAACCCAAGCTAAACTTCGTATCAAATCAGGTCTAGGACGAACTCTCACGCATGAGCTTGTATCATTGGGAGCTGTGGTCCTAATCTCTGGTCGACGTGAGGCCAAACTTAAGGAGGTTGCTGAAGAAATAAAGTAAGGACGACGTTGTTTGATCATTCTTGGGTATCCAAGGCCCACAACATTTACACGATTAAATCTAACGCTTCCGTTTGAATTTGTCTCAAAAGAACGATTTACGGGCCAAACAAATGCCACTATGCCATCATGAACATTCGTGATGAAAAGCAAGTCAGAGAAGTAATGCAGGGTTGGGTCAAAAAATTCGGCTATATCAGCGCACTCGTAAACAATGCTGGAGGCCAGTTTGCATCGCCAGCCGAGAATTTGCCTACTAATGGATGGAAGGCTGTAATTGATTTGAATCTGAACGGTACCTTCCACGTCACGAAGGCCGCTTTTGATTTTTACTTGAAGGAGCACGGAGTATGTTACATACACGGTTACATTCTCGTTGAAGATGCTCACGAGATGTTTTTAGGGTGCTATCGTCAATGTTATTTTGGACGTACGAAATGGAAAAGTGGGAACAGTACATTCAGCGGCCTCGAGATCTGGTATTATCGCCATGACGAAGAGTCTCTGTTTGGAATGGGCCAAGTACGGAATCAGGATTAACGAGTAAGAACAGCCAAAGTTTTCATTTAATTCCAGGCACACAACTGCCGGTTCTGGTATACCTAATATCCTGCGTTGCTATATAGTGTTGTGCCTTCAAAGATGATTGGTTCTGGAATAGCAGGATACCCAGAAGCAGTTTGGAAGAGAAGAGTGGAGCAGAGCTGGCGCAACCCTGCAGGACGAATGTCGACTGAAAGTGAATGTGCCAACGCAATAACGTTTTTGCTAACACCTGGCGCAGCCTACGTCAGTGGTGTTATCGTTCCGGTAACTGCTGGTGGGGATTTGAGAAATGGGGACAGTGATGACGGTCTGTTCCCAAAGGAATCAAAGTTTCCTGTCTACCTTGGCTTTGAAGAAGAGACATTCATGGAGACTCTGTAAGTTATCTCTGGTGCGAATTTGGAAGTCATTGATAAACCGATTAATTTGCAATACCTCTATAGCGAAACGCCAGAAGTCTTTAGAGATTTAATGAAGACGTATTTGAAAGGTGGAAAGTTATAAAGCTAATGTAAGAATGACTTTGTAGTTCCAGTCTTTCAAACATACAAGATATTCAGTTGGAAAATATGAAGTAGTTATGATTTTTCTTCGTCCAAACATACAAATTGTTTATAGTTTGGATTTGCGTCCGATTTTGCGGTAGTCTCGCAATAACTGCTTAAATGATTCTGGCACTTTCCTGTTGGATTTAATTGGGATGTTAGGAGTCATTCATAACTGTGCAAGTAAACAAAACACGTACAAGTCTTCAATGCCAAACTTTTCATCGAATCCATTGTCTAAAAAATTAGGAGACAAGGTGTCAGTTTGCATTATCAAGTGAAATGCAAAACTTGCATTCAAAGTGCCTCTGCTTACAGACTGGTATATGCGATTCCTTAAAGTAAAGTGGTCTTCCGTCCATTTCTGCCTCGCCTAACGGTTTGTAGACATTGTGAGCAAATATAAATCAAATACTCCAACAAAATTGACATCGTAAATCGACTTGCCTTTCTTGAGATGAGCTCCTGACGTGGTATAGTGAGTGTATCCGTTTATGTAACTTGCGCCGTGGGATAACAGCCAAACTACCGAGGATCCAACTTCGGCTTCCGTCTGTGCTCTGCCAGCTGGCACCGTCCCCATCACTTGTACAGCGGTCTTGGCGACTTCTGGGGGATAGTTTGCCATACCATTTCCTATAACGCGTTCAGGCACTACATTGTTGATTCGGATCCCGCAAGTTGGTCCCCATTCAAGACATAGTGTTTTCGTTAGTCCGATGATGGCAGAACGGGCGGCGGCAGTATGTGCCATCGAAGGATAACCGTTACGGACGTTGGCAATGACGTTGACGATAGCTCCTCCATTGTCTTTCATGTACGCGTCATAGCACGCTTTCGTCAACATCCACATTCCCATGAGGTTGAGCTCGACTACGGCCCTCATCCCGCCATTGGTGAGATTGCCTGCAGGTACAGTGTATTGACCACCTAGGTGTAAAGTAATGAGTATTCAACCTTCTAACAACATCATAGAGTTTTGTAACTTTGCCTGTTTGTAACGTACCTGCGTTATTCACAAGACCATCGATTCTTTGATATTTTGCCATGACACGATCCACCAAACTCTTCACTGATGCCTCGTCACGAATGTTTACAATCTGAGGGTCACATCGACCAGTACCATACGTAATTTGGATTTCAGCAGCGACATGATCCAAGTTTTCCTTCTTGCGAGAAGCAATCACGACTATGGCACCAAGAGAAGCGAGTTCATGGGCAATGACTCTGCCGATGCCTAAGATTTGGTATGAATGTTGATGAAACTGTGTGGACAAGCACTTGATGAAGCAGGAGAAGAAAGAGGGGAAGGCAGTAACTGACCTGTGCCTCCACCAGTCACGATACTAGATACAAAAGTTGCAAGAGGTGTGTAAGGCTTCAAATGTGTTGTTGCGGATTTTTACAAAAATCAACAGAAAGAAGGCCTTACATCACTTGGTCTTTGAACAGGTCACTGCGAAAGACACTGTTGAATTTCATCGGCTTCAGCACTTTGGCCATGACTTGACAGCTTTGTGGTTTGCGTTCAAATCTTTGTTCATAAACTAAAGTCACACACAAGACACAATCCTGCAAATGGTTTGGGCGAGCTTTAGCTCGTACAAAATTTTGTCCAAAAGGAAACGTGACATCGTGTACAGATTTATAGTAAGATTACGATGCACGCGTTCTGCTATCAACCTGGATCATTCGTACAGCTGATATATCAGCTGGATCAAATTCCAGAATAGTTATATACATCTTACAAACATAAGTACAAAGATGCAACATTTGCATTCAGTTCACTAAAAGGAGTACGGGAACTTGAATAATTCGTAAACTCGTTCACATGGTGTAGCAAACGAGTATCCCTTTGAAAGAATTGAATGGGAACTATGAGAATTTACCTAGTAAAGCATCTCATTAATAGCTACCTTTGGAAACAGTGGACTGCTAACTGGCACATTCCCTCTCAGAACACCACATACTCGTCCATCGTGTATCAAAGGAGCTCCAGACGACCCAGATGGAACTACCACATCAACGAGCATGGAATGTAGCTCATCGTAAGTTCCCGTCTAACGAAGGGAATGAATGATCAGCAATTTGCATCAATAGTAACAACAAGGAACTAAAGCAGCAACGGTTATAAATACCCTAGATTCTCCTCCTATCGAGTTCCGATACAGTTTAAGTTGACATTTTTCAAAATGCCATTCATCGGCGGTATGAGCTTCCAATTGGGTGTCGACTGGCACAGGATAGGGTGTCGTTGGCAAAGGTACGAGGTCTGAAACAGCACCATTTAATTCTGGTCCAATATTCAGCAACACCAAGTCCAAGGCAGGACTAGCAGCAACAGCTCCTGTTATCGGGTATATGTGGCCTTTACTACTCAAAGCAACTATCGATTCAAACCCAAGAAGGGGATTGCAACGTCAACCATGAGTGACAATTTCTCAGCAAAACATTACACACCACAAGTTGCAATTCCCTTAGAGCTCGGCGGCAGCACGGGAGCAATCATATCAAAAACGTGATGACAAGTCAATATGTAGTTTGAGGCCGCAATGACGAAAGCTGATGCTACGTCAACGCGAGCATCTAGAGATCCAGCAGGATTCGTGACTACATTTGTGAGAAGTAGAACTGAATCTGATAATGAGGTTGATATTGGTTCTTGTGAGTAGGGCAAGACAATGTCACTTTGAATTCCACTCGTCAAATGGATTTGATGTATCAGGGTTTCAAGGCGTAGTAATGACTGTAGGAGGGAATAGAGCTTGATTAGCTGATTTACAGCAAAAATATTTAGTCTCAAACCAAATAGAGGCCTTACTCTATGTTTCGGTTGCAGACTTGCGAGCAGGTGTTCCTTCAACTGTGGTGCAGGCAGACGTCGAAAGTCATGGTGGAACCGCCGAGTGTGAATATGCTGAGCTATTAGTTTTACATGACGTCTCATTTGTAAGCGATTGGTAGAGAGTATGATGGAATCGTGCGAGTTACAAGTAATCGCAAAACATGACAGTCAATGTGGATCAAAGGACAACAACAATCAAAGTATCCTCGATATAAGTTACGAAGAGGATTGAACGCGAATAGGCCATGCTTTATCATCGTATTTGTGGGTTTATGTGATGCATGCATTGTTGTTTGAGTCGTTTGATCATTACACATTGTGGGAAACGATTTACAGTGTCACGAAGAGGCAGCCGCCGGAGCATCCTTGGTGAGGGCGGCGATGTGGTCGATCATCCGTGTGTAGAGGAAGGATGGGGAGGAAGCGAGGTCAGATACTGCTATTGTCTTTTCAGCTCCAGTGCCTAGACGGAAAGCGTCAGCAAACGAGATCGTTGATGTATATCCATCGGTCAAAGATGCACCTGTTTTGATGGTGATAGAGTTGGTTTTCTCATCAGCTTCTCTCGTTGTGATGTTGATTTCTGGGTTGATGAATTTAAGCCTTGGGAGTTCATTCACGCAAAATAGCCTACGTGAGCCTAGTTAGAATCCTGTTCATAGATGAAATCAATAGAAACTTACCCAAGAGTCCTGTATGCTGGCGATTTTTTTCCAAGCACGACTGAGATCGAGATATTTGAAGGAAGAGCCTTTTTGTTGCCAACCGCTAGATTTGTACGTAAAGCACTGACGCTGAAGGACTGGAGCTTCATCCCTTGTTGCAATAAGTTTCCTTTGTGAGATTGTGGACGCAAAAGCTTCCAAGTTTTTGGTTTCTTTGCAAAGTTGATCATTTCACGGTTGCTGCAGACGGGAACGTGTTTATAGAATGCATTCGGCTTTGATTATATTGGCATCGTACTCACGTGAACCTTCTCAATTCAACTTTAGATCATAATCACACGTCCAGAAAGACCGGAAAGCACCAACATTTGAAGTCAAATAACCACGATATGTCTCACCACAAGAAAGTTGGCATGATCGGCCTAGGAGCTATGGGAAGCGGTAAATACCATCCAACGCCGGAAATCGTGAAATCTTGCAGCAAGCTTTGACATGAGTCTTACAATTTCAACAATTGCCTACACACTGCTCTGAAACGGACGCTTCTTAGGTATTGCTCTCAACCTGGCAAAACACTTGAAACAAACAAACAATCCTCATCCGCTCTTGGTCTGGAATCGAACAAAGTCAAAGGCTGACGAAATACTTGCCAACGGAAATGCTGTATTCGCTAACGGAGGTGTCACTCAAATCGCCAAATCGGTTGATATCATGTTCGTCATGTCCTTTGACGACCAGTCTCTCATTGATATCGTCAAAGCCTCCTTGGGTAAGAGTGAGATCGAACATGGGTGGTTTGCATTTGGCAAATCTAATCTTCAAGTTCGAAACTGATTCATTTGCGATTTCCAAAAATCGCATTGTAACCATCTTACCTGTGTTTATATAGCTGCTCCTGCCAAACGTGGTCTGATCATCGTTGGAATGCCAACGGTATCGCCCACCTTGACTCAACAATTATCGAAACTCGCTTCTGCTGATGGCAACGTCACCTACCTCGCATGCCCAGTGTTTGGAAGACCCGATGCTGCACGTGCAAAGACACTCGTATCTGTCGTTGCAGGACCAAAAGCTGCCAAAGAAACTGTCAAACCCTTCTTGAATGGTATTGGCAGAGCCGTAATTGATTTGGGAGAACAGCAACAAATAGCTTCAGTACAGAAACTTGTGGGAAATTTCATGATTGTCGGCATCATTGAATTACTCGCCGAGTCAATGACTTTGGCTGATCGCAACGGTTTAAGTCGTGAAGATTATCTAGCGTTTGTTACATCCTTCTTCCCTGGTAATCAAAACAGCAGTTTTTTGATACCATTCGCTTTATTACACTCTGATTCAACTATTTGCTTTTAATTAGCACCTGTGGTCATTGGTTATGCTACTAGAATGGCTAAAAACCAATTTGAAACAAATGGCGGAAAGGATGGGTTTGGGATTTCTGGAGGTATAAAAGACGCCTCGCTGGTGAAAGATTTGGCTGATCAATCGTCCACGAAAACTCATATTGTAGACATTGCTCTGCAAAACTTGAAGAAGCAATTTGCAAAAGGAGTTGCAGATCAAGATTGGGCGTCGTTGGCCGAAGTTGTTCGTGAGGTAACTGTCCATTATTGCCCTCTCAAATACGGATTTTCATTTTCCTTTTCTTAGGAATCTGAACTGAAATCCCGCTTGTGATGCACGACGTTTCTGTCAAGTCATCAAAAGTTGCTTGATCGAGCTGAATGCTTTGACGTCAAACAAATAAAGATAATTTCTGCATGATATGTTGATGTGCAATATGCGATTTGTTCTATATGATTAAAAATACAAAGCAACGTAGAGCAGCAAAATTTATGTTTTCACTTTTACTGCAGCTTCAAACGAGAAAATCGAATCTTCTTCGGTTCCTCTTGCGACAAGTGATGCACGATACAGCTTTACTAGTGCATCTTCAGCTTGTTTGGCTTGTTGTGCATGTTGTTCGTGCTTTTTGATTGGATCACTTTCTTCATTCCATAGTGTTATCTAATTGGTTTTTTCATATAGACTGCATATGAGTTTCAAACATAATCATAGTACGTGCGTTTTCAAACTTAAGAAGACTCACTGGTGTTTGCAAGTAGGTATGCGCGCTTGGAAGAAGGGGGAAGTGTGGTGGTATGTGATCTTTACGAGTGCCAGTGGTGTCGTCGACTCGGATCATTGATGAGGCTGGGTTGATGTACTTGTATAATTCGACATTCTTTGCTTCGAGAGTGGGTTTTATTTGGATTGGAGCTAAGTTGTGTTGTAATTGTCAGTCTGCTGTTGTTATTCTGAATTCGAGTTTTCGCGTCGTCGAAACCGCAATAAGAGAGTACTATCAGTCTTGACAAACCTGTATCTTGATGAATTTCAGCAAATGATTGCAGGTCTCCAATCGAAATCCTGAACTCGTCAAAGACAAACAGGAGGTCAAGTGGTGTTGGCATTGTTCGAGTCGCATGTTCAGCGTAGGACTTCACTCGACTACCAAGCCGATGCAAGTCTACGATAAAATAAAGAATTTGGAATAGTTTAGCTAGTGCATGGTTGCTGTTACTCCAGCAATTTGTTGCATCAAAAAACAAGAACTTTACAAGCAATGAGAATGTCTGTCAATACGTCTACAGCTCGAGACGAAGCCTCATCGAATCCAGTACGGCGTAATTGAGTCGCTACAATAGCTCGAAGCAGTTGAATTTCGTAGGGAGACACCATCCTTTTTGAAGTGGGTTGCGAAGTTGGAGACACTCATCATCACGCTTCACGAACTAACACCGAGAACAAACACGCCAAATCACGAGAGTCGACGCGTCTTGCCACAGATTTCCAATTTATATTGCAAAACATTCACTTATTAAACTCATTACTCTAGTTTTCCATCACTCGAAACAATTTAAGCCCGTTTTTACTGAGGCTTCGGTCTTAACTATTACTAAAGTTGGAGGACTCAGAGGTATGGAAGGTTCAGACGTATTACTTAGGCATCAGTCTTTCCTGCTACAGAAGTTAGAGGTACGGACGGGTCAGACGCCTTTGCAGCCGCTGCTTCCTTCTTTTTCTGGGCACTAGATGATCCTAGTTGATACTACAAAAATCAAGTAGTTAGATCAAATCGTTTCTCTTCACCAGCAGCTCTTATCTGCGGCTCATACATTTTTGATGAATAGACTGCATATGAGCACCAAGATCGAAAATGCAATGGCAAGTCGCCAGGCACTATCTATCGCTGACACATAAGCCGATATGGCTATGGCTTTTTGATCCGATGGAAGCGTTTTAACATATTGAGGATTGTTGGCAATTAGTTGAGGGTTGAGGGTTGGAAGGTCTCTCGCCAAATTCTTTACTAGCAAATCTTGGAAGATGGCACCAACAGTTGCGACTAATGGAGATGAATGCAATTAGCATATTGTCAACGTGGCAAACCAGAATACCAACCTCCAACAACGGAGCCCAACTGCTGAAAGAAACTGGTAAGCCCAACAGCGACGGCGATGAGTTCACGAGACACCTGGAAGAAAATGCGTGGAGGCATCAGTGATGTTCAAAGGCGACGAGCTCGTAGCCTCGAAAACTTACAGCAGCTTGAACTGCTATTATTCTAGCTCCAAAAACGAGACCAACCCCTACACCGGCAAGGAGCTGGGCAATTGACTGGAACCAAAGTGGTGATGTAGCGTTCATAAACGACATCATCACAGCACCACCCGTTAAAATTACACCTCCACACCACAAAAATGGTCTGTAGATCCCAAACACGGAAATCATGATTCCAGACACTAGTGAGATGATACTGACGAGAAACTATTAGTCATGTTGACTTGCAACAATGCTAATGCAGCCAGCCGTTTCAAGCTGTAAATGGTTGTCACTCACCTGACTCCAAAAACGAATGGAATTGTTTTTAGGCCGGCAGTCGTCGCCGAGTCTCCAACCGTTACTTGAAAATAGATCGAAACATAGTAAAGCAACCCGAGGAAAGCCATTCCTGACGACGATTTCCTGTTAGTTTACATAGTCTCTTGGATTGCATTCACCATCACCATTTTCTTACCGGTAAAAGCACCAAGGGCAAACGATGCTACAACCGTTACGTTTTGGAACACCTTTGGCGGGACGACAGGCTCTTTCACTACATTTTCCACCACGATAAAAGCTATTAAGAAGACTGCGGACAAGACGAACAGGGCTATAGTCTGAGGGGCACTCCATCCCCATTCTATTCCACTTTGCAATGGAATAAGAAGAGAAACAATGCACAAGATCAAGAGCAATGACCCAAGGTAGTCAATCCTCCTCAGTTTGTCCATCATAGTTCTGCCTCCTACAGCGCTTGCCCTTCTCGGTAAGAAGATGGCAACGAGAGTCATTGCAAGGATTCCGAAAGGGACTAGACAAAAGGGACAGACAAAATTAGTCTGCAAACTTTTGTTGAGCGACGAATTGTAACGATCTTACTATTGATAAAGAATACCCAGCGCTGTAGAGTGTTTGAGTATGGTCATGAGAAGGATTCAGAGATGGAACCAAGATACCAATTTTTACATACCCAAGTCGCCTTTTCGGTAAAGACTCCACCTAGCAATGGTCCAATCACAGACGAGATGGTAAACGTCATGGAGAAAAGTCCAGCTGTCAGGTCAAACAAGGATTAGTATTTGTTGCAGCAACATTGTGCAACAAAAATGAGGAGGAAAACAGAAGAGTATGGATGGCGTTGTCTATAAATTGCTGGAATGAAATAGCTTACTGTATTTTCCTCGATCACGCATGCTGACGATATCAGAAACAATAATAAAGACTAAGGGAAGAAGCTGGTGAGACTGGCGAGCCTGTTCGAAGGTGATTTCAATATCACAGAGCAGTACTAACCAAGACTGAATATGCCCCCGCCCCCGAGGCCACAAATTGTTCGTCCAACAATGAGCATTATCACTACAAATTACAAAGTAAATCGGTCAATGAGTTAAAGCTGCTCGTTTGCAAGGGGTAGAATGTAGTGTTGAATATGATGATCATTATGGCACCAGATTTGGATGGGACGCCTTACTTGAGGTTGAAAGGCCTGCAATTAGTGAGCCGAGTTCGAAAAGGAAGACCGCGACGAGGAAAACTGGTTTGCGGCCAAACACATCTAATTATAGCAATAGAGTCAGTAAGCGTCCAATCTTTGGAATGGAGATTTAGTTACCAGCGAATCGACCATAGAGTGGTGACGTGGAAGTCGCTGCGAGATAGTAACCCGTTCCAAGCCAAGGGACTAGATCCAAAGACTGAAATTCACTTGCGATAGTTGGGATTGCAGTGCTAAAGGAAAAAGTTATAATCCTGTTTTCTCATTGTGTGTGGATAGTTCCTTAAAATACCTGATAATTGAGGTATCCAGAGCGAAAAGAAACATGGAGGAAACGAGTGAGACCAGCACCATCACAACTAGAGGAGTGAGGAATACTAGGCGTTAGTATGACGTATACTGCAGACGAGATCGTGCTGAGTTAGATGGAGATTGGCTCGACGAAGTGCATAATTGAATGGCGGAGAGGTTGAGATAGGACGTTGGTGAGTACGATGGCAAGTGTTGTATGTAAGGTGGTGAGGCTCAAGACTGCATCCATTTTGCAACATGAGAACAAACCAACGGGCAGGCGAAGTGCAGACGTTGCGATCTTCAACAAAATGATTCCAAAGCATGGCAGCAATGGTCGTCTATGTGGAGCGTTTGGGGTGTATGGTTGCAACAATTCCAGTCGATCTGACAAATGCAGCACGAAGAGCAATAGTACACGACGAATGTGCAAGCAAACACAAAGAGGAAGAGAGGGATCTCTCAGGAAGGAGTATCCGGTTGTACTTACATTGAAATTTGCCCAGTTCCATGTTGGCTCCAATGGAGACGGGAGCAGCAACTTTTGGGACTGCTTGTTCCTCATCGTTGCTCATCGTCCGAGCAGGATCATCGTCGTCTTGGACCTTAACGACCATAACTGATTTTTCGTCCACAGGAGCAGTTTCCTCGGCTCCCATTGCGATCGTTCCTGAAACTAACAAAAAACTGTAATTGTGAGAGAAGTAAGCCTAACAAGTCGAGTCCGGTTAGACGAGGCATCGCCAGGCATCGCTGTACTAGTGGGTATAAAAGAGGCACGCACCGAATAATCCTACCGTGCTATAATCTCGATACAACAGCACATCGCTTAAAACACAACCAATTTCCAGCACATTTTCCTCAAAATGGAAGAAGGCGAAGAGTTTGAACAATATGAGAGCAAGAAATCAAAGAGACTCGATACTGTCGGCAACGAAACCACTATGAATATGAATACTCTACTACATGCAAACATCTTGTCATCAACCTACTTCAAGAACTTATACGACTACAAGACATGGTCCGAAGTCATGGCGGAATTAAAGAATGAAGGTAAGCCATACATACAACAAGATATATTTGTGGTCGTGGACTTGGGACATTGCTTTTTGTTGTTGTTGGTGTGCTGGAGTGTCGCTGATTGATACACTCCTTGCTACGGACAGCACACACCCACTATTAAAATGCTATGTACTAACACTATGAAAACAGTCACTTCACTAGGTGAGCATCCTCCCCCTCACTTCCTTTACACACATCCATTGCCTATATATAGGGTAAATCGATGTTGGCATTATTGTTGTTTTATCACAATGAGAATATTGACTCGATAACGTCAATATGCGAATATGCTACTCCCTTCTTCTCAATCATTTTATTTCATTCGAAACTCCCTTTTCTGACTTTTTTCCCGCACATCCATTATTTCCTACTACAGAACCATTCTTGAAGGGAACCGTTCCATCCACGGCTTTTTGCATCCTCTACAAACTATGGACATTGAAACTCACCGTGAGGCAACTAGAACGCATGGTCACTGACCCAAAGTCGCCGTATGTACATCCCTATGCTGAATTCAGACACATCACCATACATTCCCAACTAAGTCATGCATTGAATGCATTTGTAGACACGCTCGAGCTATTGGCTTCTTGTATCTCAGATATGTCTGCAAGCCTGATCAACTATGGGACTGGTTCGAGCCGTATCTCGACGACGAGGAAGAAGTCCAATCTGAAGCAGGCCCACGTCCAAGATCAATGTAAGCAACCTGGACAAGAGAGAGATATCTCCCGCTCTCATCACCTGTAGGAAAGTGCTAACCCTCGGTGTTACCCCCTCTAGTACAATCGGCAAGATGGTGAATGATTTATTAACTCAACAGAAATGGATTGGTACAGTACTTCCTCGCATACCTGTACCTATTGCACGAGATATTGAAAAGAAACTCAAGGAACGACCACCACCAAAGGCAGCTGAAGGTGATGAGGATGATTACATCATGGAAGACCCGCTGTTCCCCTCCAGAAATGCTACTGCTGCTGTTGCTTCTCCCAGAGCATCTGACGGGTGAGCTTGTCTTGGATTTTTTTGTAATATTTGCGTATGCCGCCAGGACTATGCGAAAAATAACTGGACGCGTTTTGTAATATCGAAACTTGACCCCTAATACTCACATATTCTTTATTATAACTTAGACATCGATCCCCTCCTGGTGCAAGGTCTCCTCGTGATGACCGACGAAATGATTACGACAGGCGTGACCACTATGACAGAGACCGTCCATCTGGTTCTAGAGATCGTCGTGATCGAGCACCAGACATACCACGTGATGACAGACGTTATAATGATCGACGATATGATGACAGACGTGACAGATATGATGAGTCAAGGGATAGGCGAGACAGATATGATGATTCAAGGGACAGACGCGACAGATATGATGATTCGAGGGACAGAGGAAGATATGATGACCGTTCTCGTGATCGTCGACGTATGTGAATGTTGTTTGGTGTCTGGTGTTTGGTTGAGATGGCTTGAATAATCTATTTAAGCAACAATCTTCTTACTTGACCTTCTCTCATGATTAGGCTCTTCAAGCCCTCGAGGAGGAGACCGACGACGTGAACGTGATCATGAGCAAAAGCGAGAAGAAGAAGCTCGTCGTCGAGAAGAAGAAGATTTGCGAAAAAAGAGAGCAGAGGAAGAGTCCAAACGCAAAGCACAAGAGTAAGCTTTTAAGAGTGTTTTTTTGAAACAGAAGACTCGTTCAATCTAACGATTTTACTACATTATTAGGAGACTGAATGCACTGAAGAAGGTCTATGGATGAAGAGACTGGTTTCTTGCCCTCGAATGTAGTATTCGCCCTTGAATTGTTCTCGCACTCATGAGTTGTATAAACGTAGAAGCGTGTAGTCAAAAGTGCAAATAAAGTAGACGTGCTCATGAGCGAGTTTTATCGAGCCTGTTTCTGGTATTTCTCTGCGAAGATTGGCAAAGTCACTCACAAAATACCAAAGATGCAAATGGATGTCGATGAAGAGGAAGAGAGGCAGCCTGAAGGAGACGATAGTACGAAGCAATATGTCTGGGAAGGAGCGTACGAAATGTCTTGGCAGCAAATACAAGAAGATGATGAAGGAACATTAAGATCTGCAGTTGCAAACATTCTGAATAGAAAGCGAAAGAGGTAATTGTGAGCAAAGATGATTTTACAGCTTTAAATCTATTTGAATATGTGCTCTATAAAGCACTTGACACGGTCGCTGAAATTTATAGCAACATTTGCAGACATTGAAAGCTCACGCATCGTTTCAAATAGACCACAACGAGATACCGCCGCAGTACGAAGAGGAATTATTCGCAACTTGTATATAATCCTTGATCTGTCTCGATGCATGCTCGAAGGGGACTTGAAACCAACAAGGATCGAAGCTTCCATCTCTCTTGCCAAAACATTCATTCAAGATTTCTTTGATCAGAACCCATTGTCCAGTCTGGGCCTCATTGGAACGCGGGACGGAAATGCTGAAAAGATTACAGAGCTGTCTGGTAGGTGGTGTCATAATTCTTCCTTCTTTTGGTGTAAATTACTTGGACTGCATCGCCTGATTACTTCGGTGTTCTCACTGTTATCATCATATCTATCGTCATAGGAAATCCTAGCGAGCACATTGCAGCTCTGGATGATGACAAGGCTAAAAAGGATGGTGAAGAAGATAAGGAGAAACTCAGTCTACGAGATGTCCGTGGTGAAGCCTCTATACAAAATTCTCTAGAACTAGCTCGAGTGTCACTAGGGTATGTGATTATCAGAAAATCCTTCAAATCGTCACTTTTCGCTTGTTGCTGCTTCTCATTGCCATCTCTATTTCCAACTTGTGTATGTAGCCATGTACCAACACACGGATCACGAGAAATACTAGTGTTGTTGGGCTCCTTGTCAACAGTAGATCCAGGATCAGTGTTTGATACCGTGGATGCTCTCGTTACAGACAAGATTCGTGTATCGATCATTGGTCTGAGTGCTGAAGTTCAAATATGCAAGGAGATTTGTAAAAGGACTGGCGGTAGGCTCTTTTATGCCTGATAGGCAGACTCTTTTATGCAGCAATACAAGCGTATGAACTTTTTAGTAACCAGATATCTGAAATACTAGGTGCATACAATGTTGTGATGGACGATCAGAACTACAAGGAACTAGTGTTGAAGAATGTACCACCACCTGTCCTCACAACAGAAAACTCACCTGCAAATATGGTGGAAATGGGCTTCCCAAAAAGTTTTCTTGCTCCTCAAGCAGTCCTCTGCTCATGGTAAGAAGACTGCATGATGATGATGATGTAGATAACATCTTGAAGCAAACCTTTCCGTCATCTGCTTTTTTCCTCTGTATCATTTAGTCACCCAAGACCAATTCGACGAGGCTTCAAATGTCCTCGGTGTGATGCCATCGTATGCGATTTACCTACAGATTGCCCCATCTGCTCCCTACCATTAGTATCGTCACCGCTATTGGCACGATCCTATCATCACTTGTTTCCAGTACCAGAGTTCAGAGAATTGGATCATGATCAGATCGACTGGAAGAGGTGTGTAGCGTTTGTGTATCGTCGGTCACTGAAACGAACGAGATTTCTCACGAGGGGGCATCCATTTTTTTCAGCAATCAAGAACGATGCTTTTCTTGTGTGCAGGCATTTGAGGAACCACTAGGACTGGCAACACCTAAAGCGATGCTGCTACCCACCAGTTCTTCAAACGGACCAGCACTTCCATTACCTTCTGGTGTATACGAATGTCCAAAGTGTACAGAGAAATTCTGCTCAGACTGCGAGTCATTTGTACACGAGACCCTGCATCTCTGTCCAGGTTGTAGCAATAGTAGAAAACCAAGGCAAAAGCCATCATAAAACAGCCATATACTTTTGAATATAACAATTGCATTTAAATTAGAAACTGTTGTGCCATACAATGCCTCATTGCTAAAGATATTTCGGACTACCAATTATGAGGGGCTGCGATAAAAAAAAACTTAATTTCACTAGCGATTTCTCAGAGGATGTTACACGACTTTTTTCGATTTAGAGTATTGCGAGAGTTTCTGGGCGCTGATTGCCTGTTATTTGGTACTGTACCAAAGCGTTGTACTCGTACCATTCGAATGAGCTGGAAGAAGGCTCTAAAAGGGCGTGTTGGGAATCAGTTCACAAAAAATTGAGTTTCGCAGTAACTTAACGACCTACTTTTCCACGTTGACTCCAGTTTTCGCAGAAGTTTCAATAAATTCACACTTCAATCTCTTTGCAAGTGCCAGCCCTTCCTCTCTCGTGACCTGCCTTTCTGATGGCAAATCATTCTTGTTTCCCACCAGTATTACTGGCGTTTTTTCATTGTCTTTGACTCTTACAACTTGATCTCGAAACTTTTCGACCGCTTCAAAGGATGATTTGAGGGTTGTCGAGTACACGAGAAGGAAGCCTTCACCGTCTCGAATCCATTGGTCTCGGAGGGATACGTACTCGTCTTGTCCGGCAGTGTCGAGGACCTCGACTATACAGGACACGTCATCGACAACGACCTGGTATGAGGAGCCGTGAATTTTTAGTAATCGTGATGGAAGCTGCATTCAAATCATCAACATGCCTGTTTTCGATAACTATCTTCAATGGTTGGGTCGTATTGGTCGACGAAGTGCGCCAGAGTAAACTGTGTAAAAGGGGATGATCATCAGTGATGCTTGAAGCTAACAGATTGTGGATTTCCATGGCTCTTGATAGCTTGTTTCTTGCGATTTCCATTGCTCGTCAAGGGTTCATAGTTCAATGATCAGTTGTCTTGACTGTCACGAACTGATGGATATTCATTGCTTGATCATCCATTGAGTGTATAAATGGCGGATCTTACCTGTAGAGTCAATGCTATGCATTACACAAAAGTGTAAGTGACCTTGTGTTGCGAAGATGTGATGAGTTTACTTGCCAGTCTTTCCTACGGCACCATCACCGAGTACTACCAACTAGATACCATGTTAGCTAAATATACATCATCCTTGCTACATGCCGCTTTTGAAAACCCAAGCTCTGCGCAAAAAGTCGACAAAGTAATCTAATTCCGAAGATCAGCTTACCTTGAATAAGGCCCCACCTCGACTCATCAATGTACAAAGTGTTATCAGAGGCCTACAAACAATCTATGCGTGCTGCTTGATCAGTTTGGGGTTTGGAACGGTGGCGGTATGCAGCTTGGGTTTTTGAAGAATGTGCGAGCTCAAACTCACCGCAATGTAACCATGTGAAGCTCAAAGCTTTGCAAAAGAAATTGAACCTTTAATCCTATATTCCATGAAAGCATCGAACGTGGAACGTGCCGATTGCAGAGGCAACATAGAGCATTCGCACTAGCCAAGAATTCCCAACCGCGATTAGTTCGTGACAAGGATGATATATTACGTGATATGCGACTGATTTACATAAGTTTTATATTGGGAGCCTTCTCAGTAGCCCTGAACAAAGAGTCGATATCGACCTCCATATTGTTTGTTGCTGGACTCCAAGTATACTTGGAGCTTGACTACGATACGATGCAGCGGCGAATCTACATAGACGTGTGAAGATGTAAATCAAGGTGATTGATCAGAGGGGAACTTGAGTTGCTCGTTGGAAACACTATTAATAGTTAATAGTGTTTCCACAAACGCTTTTGCCAGCTTTGCAGCTATTGGTACCCATTCACAAGGCACAAGCAACTTACGTGGAGTAGTCTCTCTTTAGGTACTTTCCGTTTAGCCTCTTTGCCGTTTTAGCATTGGTTCTTGTTCTTTGGCCATTGACAGGTAGGTTGTTTTGGTGCCTGTAACCTCTGTAGCAGCCAATGTCGACCAAGTGCTGTATTCTTGCTCTAGTTTCTCTTCGTAGCTCCTGCTCGATTTTGAGTTCGGATAGCTTTGAGGTGAGGGCATTGACTTGTATTTCTCTTAGGTCCTTGAGGAGACAAGATGGATGTATTGCGAGCTCGGCGCAGATTTTTTTGGCGGAGAAGAGGCCTATTCCGTGGATTTTAGATAGGGATATATGGACGGCCTTGTTGTCAGGGAGATTGATTCCGAGCAAATACACTAGGATGGAAGCAATTTGTTGGTTTTTCTTTGTTGCAAGTACGAAGCTGATTGAGTGCAAGAAGAGCGTTGCGACAGCAGATAGGTAGCTATACGAGCGACGATTGACATACTTGTAGTTCTATGGCACTCAAACGGTTGATGAATTGTAAGCTTTGTGGTGGTTTGTGAGTTGTAAGACCAAGTTCGACGTGATGGAGAATAATGCTTTGCGAACGCTAAGGGATCGAGTAGGACGCGTCAAATCAAGTAGCTTGGACAGTATAAAACGAATTTCCTTGTTTGTGCCCAGCTCGCTCTCATCGGTTCCTCGTCGATCGTCCGAATAAATGAGAAATACAACGGAGCAGCCACATCTATTAGCCATACGAAGTGGAGAATGGATGCTGACGCTGATGATGTGACTTGTGCCATCTGCTCGGGGGCTGACTCTTCAAGGGTATGAGCGATCACATCAAGTAGGCAAGCTCATACCAACCTCAAGCTAACATCACATTTCGACAGAAAAATCCAATAGTCCTTTGCGACGGAGATCGCTGCTGGCTTGCCGTACACAAGGTACCCTTGCTTCTTACATGACTGCTCTCTAAACCAACAACCATTCGACTGGACTTTGTTGAATTATCAGCACCTCATCGCTGATTCAAAGCACCGACATTGAGAGTGCTTTTACAATCTAGACTCTGATCAATTCATTCTCTTATTACTCAATAAAACCAACTCTGGTCTCCAACCGTGCACATGGCTGACACATGTCTTCGCTCTTCATTGTAGGAATGCTACAACATTCCCGCAAACATTCTCAATGAGAAAGAATGGTTTTGTGATCGCTGCAGTGCTGCTGTTGAAGTTGATGACACTGTGAGTAGTCTCTTCGTCACTCTTCTTGTATACATTCTAAATCACCTACTTAGACGGTGGTCTGTTGCTCGGAAACCCATGGAGCCCTCCGGTCAATGAGCACTCCGAAAGACACTTGGATACATATCATCTGTATTGCATGGAACACTTCCATTAACTATGTCAGATACAACAGAATTCATGAACAAGTTTCAATCAAAGAATCCTTGTTGGGAATGAAGAGAACATGTTCCTATTGTGGACAAGACAATGGAATTTGTGTTTCTTGCTGTTATGGGTCTTGCAAAATGTATATGTTTTCAAGATTCATATGCCATGACATATCCACCTTGTCGACATCCATGATGATATTTTCACAGTGTTAACTCCCTCTTTATTTAGGGTCTTCCATGTCACATGCGCTGTGAAACATGGCAGCTTGAAATTGATGCCGTTGAAAGATATCGATACTAGGCAACTTCGTTGTATCAGTCATCGTGGCGACGAGGACATGGAGGATGCAACCAGGCCAAACTCCACCTCTGTCGCCATAGATGCAGGCGACGATGATGACGATGATGCGGATGTCATATTCGTCAATGAAAAGGTCGCTCCTCCACGTCGCAGTCGCTCCTCCACGGCTACGAGCAGTCAGCCACCAGACGAAGACAGGAGAACATTAGACCAACCAAGGAAACGAAAGAAGGGTAAAGGCAGTCGGCGAATAACTTCGGATGATGACTCTGATGATGTTAACGATGGACCATCAAACCATGTAAAAGTAAAAGTTGACATTGAGGATACAAAGAAAAGACCGAAAATATCTCCTCCAACTCAACGTCCTCCTACACGTCCTACCCCGCAACCTCTGCCTCGTAGTATAAAACCAATCAACGAACGACCACTACTATATTTGAACAGCCATCCTTCGTCGAACTCCACGGACGTGAATGGCCAGAGAGCAGATAATGTAAATAATAATAAGGCTCTCGACACCAAGAAGACCAAACCTGTTGTAGATCAAATGACATCAAGAAATCCCAGCGTCTCCAACGACAAGATTTCAACACTGCCGCCTGTTGTGGAATCGAAACAAGCACCAATGCCCAATAGTATGCTCAAACCACTGGTGAGACCACTTCATTTTGCAAATATGCCTTTTTCAAACCGAGTCAGCTCACAAATTTCTTTTCTTTTCGCTCAATCATACTCTTAGACCGATACTAGTCCTCCCAGTAACACAAAATCCATAAAGTCCAACGACTCAAAACATCGATCAAGCAGCCTTGCAGGAGTACCAGCCAATCAGCCCGAGAAGGTGTTGAAACATGTACAAGACAGTCTCAGACGTCTGGCTTCCGATATCACACCCTTCATATCAGGAAAGGCCGCTCATGCTAATGGTATTGGACATGCTAGTAATGGTTATGCCAATACTATCAATGGTGGTGATAGCCCTATTGTAGCAAGCAACAGTCGTACCTCTTCCGCAACACCATCTTCTTTAGCAGCAAGCTTGGAGGACATGACTCGTGTGGTCAATGAACTCAAGGAAAAGAACACTAGATTGGAAGCCCAAGTCAAACAACAAAATGAAGACAAGGAGATCTCTATATTCCAAATACAACAGGTAACATTATAGCACTAATTTCCAAACCCGACTGGTAGTCAAAATTCACTTACCCTTTAAAATAGGTGGAAGCTGCTGCACATGACACTCTTCAACGGGAGAAAACCTATGAAGAAGAGATCAGACGGCTCAAGGAAGAGACCGAAAGTCTCAAGAAGCAGGTGGACGAACGAGATGAGACATTACGTCAGAAGGACGAGACCTTACTTCAACAGCACGAGACCCTACATCAACGAGATGAGACTTTACTACGGTTGAGGTCTGACCTGGTGGACGTATTCGATGTGCTGAAGCTGACACGTGGTGTGGCTGTTTGTGATGTGAATAATGTAGATGAATACGTCGGCCACCTGAAGTCCTCGATTTTAGACTGTTGGAATGACGGCTGTTGTAAGTCTTTCGTCGGGTTTGAGTTGACAGCTAACTAATCGTCTCTTCCCCTGACGTAGTGGAAGGAGTTTTAACACGCTCTTCTTCTCAACCAGAGGACGAATGAAGGTACGGATATAAAATGCAAGCAACATGCAAGGCAAATTATTGCATCAAGAGCTCTCATGTAGTTATGTAATATCGCACACTCTATATAAGAACGACCTCTCAAACTAGATTAGAAAGCAAATATTACGAATGGTTTTATAAAAAGTTTATATTGCTAGCGAGAATACAACAACGGGTCTATAAAGAGTTTTACGATGTGTTTGCGTGTCACGTTACAAGGGAGGAGTCAAATTATTGAGCTTTTGCGTCTGTGGATGCAGAAGAGGAGCGAGAGTTTACTAAAGGTTTTAACAGCATTTTCCACCGGTGGCCTGTTTTCAGATGGTTGAGTTGAGCGACAGGTTTTTCGCAAATGGACCAAACAAAAAAGCAAAAATAAAAGTTATTCTACCTGAGCGGGTGCAGATGAAGGTTGTACCAAAATGGTTTCACCGGCACCTGGCTTGTTGAATCCTCCACTCTCCGATTCCAGGGCCTTGTTGGATACAATCCGATAAATTTCTAAGTTTTTTAGTCATGTTAGATATGTATGGTGGTTTCACACACGCTTGCGAGTTAAGAGCTGTGATGTATCACTGACGTATTCCGACCACAGGCGATGTTCTCGAATTTAAAAATACGGTCACGTCATCAAATACAAGACACTAACCTGTTAGAATCTTTTGGAAGGCCAATTCGACGTTACTAGAATCCAGGGCAGAAGTTTCGATAAAGGCCAATCCGTTTTCAGTCGCAAATTGTTTGGCTTCTTCGGTCGGCACTGCCCGCAGATGCCTCAGATCGGACTTGTTGCCCACCAACATGATGACAATGTTTGCGTCGGCATGATCTCTTAGTTCTTTGAGCCATCTGTTTACATTTTCGTATGTGACGTGTTTGGCAATATCATACACCAATAGAGCGCCTACAGCACCTCGGTAGTAACTAATGAAAGACTGTGCATGAGCATACAGTACGTTTGGTTGTAATTGTTAAGTAGGGTGAACGGACAACCACATACGCGCTTGTAATGGCACGGTAACGTTCTTGTCCAGCAGTATCCCAAATCTGAGCCTTTATAGTTTTACCATCGACCTGTATACTTCTAGTTGCGAATTCCACACCAATGGTCGATTTTGACTCGAGGTTGAATTCGTTGCGAGTGAATCTGGATAAAAGATTTGATTTTCCGACGCCAGAGTCTCCAATCAACACCACTATAGTAAGAAAGGGAAAGGTTTAGTATAGTTTCCGCTGATCAGATCGTCGAAAGTGAGAAAGCGCTGTCACAAGTAGTCTCAATCTTTAAGGCAGATCTTGAGTGGAGTTTCCAGAGCAATTTATGAACACTTTGAAACAATGAGATGCGTGATTTCACGCCACCAGCACAGGAGTAGAGTGGAGGTGTGTGATGTATAATGTGTGGGGCACTTGGAGCATTAATATTGCAAACCAGAGAAGCTGGCGAAGATTAGAGTGCAACGAGTGCCGATATGCAGCGCAATATTTTCTGCAATTCCTTGTTTACTTGCCACCCAACAAGTGTATATCTTCGTCAAAGACCGCCACATCCAGCCATATTTGGGGAGCGCCCACATAGTAGCAATTCTTAATATCGGTTGAGTGTCAGACTTACCCTTGAACAAAAAGTCGTATTCGTCTCCAGCCGCCATCTTTTCTTGTTGACTATTCTGTTGCTTGCCTTTCCTTAATTGACTAATTTTTTCAGAGCGAGGACGACTGCTTTTAATTAGTCGTTGTTTGAACACAACTGACTCTTCGCCGTCGACGTGTAAATTCTACAATATATCATATCTGAATTTCTACGAGTCGTGCATCTGGAATCTGGGATTCTTACATATTTCCCTTTAAATTCGCTAGATCTTGATTGTTTGATTGTATTTCGAAACACCACAAGCAATGAAGGCTATTGCCGATTTCATGCTCGTGCCGATCGGCACTGCTGTGTCGGTATGTACCTTTTGTTCCAAAGATATCATGATTGTAAGCTCAAGGTGCACGTCAGCTCAACATTGCTCTCTTTTGACAGCTGTCGCCTTACGTTGTCACCTGTCATCGTGTTCTTGAGCAATCCGGATTGAAATATGAACTTCATGCTAATGGAACGGTAAGCTGCAATTATGGGTACAGGTCAAATCGGAATCCTAACATACCAAACAGAATGTTGGCAAGTGTTTCATGGTTTTGGTCTAGAGACCACCTCTACAGATGGTAGATGACGATGCTAAGTCGAGCATGAGATCCTTGATTTAGAAGGAGAATGGGATGACGTGATGAAGTGCATCAAGTAAGGCGAGTCTCCCACTACAAGCAAATGATCGCTGCTAATGTGTTTCGCCGTAGGAAATGCCACGAAGCAGTTCATTCCATGGGATGTGTGCGAATAGCTACCAATATCAGAATAGGCAAGTGAAGTCTCAACGGTTTCCAATGTATCGCAAATTCGAACACGTAAATATGTGATCATAGGCACTCGAACCGACAGAGAGCAGACTATGGAGGAAAAAGTCAGTAGTGTCGTGGAGAAGCTTCATTAAAGGATGTCTTTGTTTACAATGACTTTGACATCCAAGCTTAAATTGTGACACGAGTGCAAAAGAATAAAGCATCGTTCGACGTGAATTTGCACCTTGTTTATCTACGCGATCGCTCAGTATTAACACCTGGAGTCCATGCTAGAACAGCATCATGCCCCTGTATTGTTCGCCTCTCTCTATGAAAAACCCTGATCTTGTCTGAATCGAATCTGAGCAATCCATCCTTTTTTGCATTGGGTGACAAAAACCAAACACCCAAAAACAAGACTTGAACTGTGCAATCAGAGAGAGCTCTCAACGATGCACATCACGAGCAGGCTCTGCGCGTTAGGAACAATAGTTCACCTCTTTCTTTTGCAGGGCACATTCGCCACTGCTACGATTTCCAGCAGAGCATATGGAGTCTCTATAGCCACCACCAACTCTATCTTGTTTCACGGTGGACAGTCGCGTAAGAAAACAGCCAATTGCCTTGTGCATCAGGATCCTAACTAATCCTTCCTCTCACCTCCCTTGCTTCTTTATAAAGCATCTGGAGCTGCCAATACAATCACTGATGGAATAGGATTCCTAACTGGTGGTGCCTTCCAATTGACATACAACAATGCTGGAAACATTTATTACGACACTGTCCGTGAACATACTTGTAACTTTGATCCTTCTGCAAACGCTGCCTACTGTTTTGGTAGGTCATGACTGCGATGTATCCCCACTACAATGAAAACCAACCGTTCAACTTCATTTAAATTCTAAATAGGCGGAGCATTACCAGGATCTTCTAAATTTACCAGTCTTCGAACTCCTTATCTGTGGACACTGTCTTTTGCCACCACCAGCTGGACTGTATGTTGGTTATTTGAATGACTTCTAGTTCCAGCCCAATGTAATTGATATAGAATCCCCCTTTTCTAATCTTTCAATGTTTCTCCTAGTTCCAATCCATCTCATCCGTCAACTCGGCAAACATTGGGCGAGCTGGACATTCGTCATCCGCAATTGGTGATGGACGATTCTACATATTTGGTGGAAGAACTGGAGCTGGAACTCCTCTGGACACCAACCAATTAGCCATACTGAATCCTTACGACTCCACCATGACTGGTATTGTCCCTTCCGGTACTCAGCCCACCAATCGTTATGCACATTGTGGTGTCACTCGTAGCGATGGCAGTCTGGTTGTATTTGGAGGTACCACCGATGCTTCCAACTCGAACGCTGACATGAACGATGTTTGGTAAGATACCTGTTCTTGTCCATGGCTTGTGTTTGTATGTAGTTTCGGACTTTCGGCTCTAAAGTAAAGCAAACTTTATACTTTTGCAGGGTATATAATCCAGTTTCGAATACTTGGTCAAAAGCTCCCATTTACTCCCAATATCTCCCGCAAGCTCGCCACGGGTCTGCTTGTAACATTTCAAACAACTACATGTATGTTTGGGGTGGATATATTGGCTCCAACCCGACAAACGAGTTTTGGTACTTGGACATGACTGCAACAAATTGGGCATGGCATTCGCTACCATTGAGTGGTAACGTACCTCTTTCCACTGCTTATGCCACTGTCTCTTTGGTTGGACCTTATGTATGAATCGATTTCAGCATTGCTGATCCATTTTGGTACCGTAATCACATACTAATATGCTGCCTTGACTTAACTAGGCTCTTGTCTCTGGCGGCACCGCAAGCTTTAGCCCCAACTATGTCTACTATGACTTGGGAAATACTATCTTCATGGTCACTGCACCAACCACTTTATTGGCAGCTGACGGATCACCCTTGCCAGCCAACCCTGGAGCTCCTGGAACTGGTGATGCTAGCGGTGGTGGTACGTCCCAAAACATTCTTGTTTGTGTGAGGTTGAATTTTAACTGAAATTTGTTATGTGGAAGCAGGCAGTGGTAGTACTGGTGGTGGTAGTGGAAGTACCGGTAGTGGTAGTGGCACTGGTGGTGGTGGTGCTGGCGTCGGTGGTGCGCCATTGCCCTCCCCAACTACATCAGGAAGTGTTACTCCAGGAACCGGCACTCTTCCAACGAATGGGGTCGCGACTGTCGACGCTTCTGGAATCCCTGATAACAGGGTAGCAATTGTAGTAGGTAGTATCGTAGGAGCTCTGGTTGGTCTGTTACTCATTGGTCTTGTATGCTACGCCTGGGGCTACCAATCCGAAAGGGATGAAATCGAAGATGACGAAGAAACCTTCTTCCCTGCCGACACGTATAAAAACCCTGAAAAATTCAACAGCAACACTACTAGTTACTCAGCCATGGCTCCATCAGACCAACCTGGTTTATACAACGCTACACCTGCTAATCGAGCTGGTCAGCCAGGATCTATCATCACACCTACTGCTGGTGTCATCCAACTGCCAGTCGGTGATAAAGAAGCTGTCAGTATCGTAACACATTCATACGCTCCCATGATGGCCGATGAAATTGAATTGCAGGAAGGTGATGAAATCGTATTGACAACCATCTTTGACGATGGTTGGTCGATTGGTCTGAACAGAAGGACTGGTCAATCAGGAGCAGTAAGTTGATTTGATGTGGGATAGCGCGCGATACACTTGTGCATCCCATTTAGTCGAAAACACTATGCAACTACTTACTAATATATCATGCTGTACAAACTAGGTACCTCTTAAATACCTCGAGACAAACTACCAACAACAATCTTAATCTAAACCAATCGGACACACATTATGTATAACACCGGGACTTTATTACTTAAAAACTTGCGGGGGGTTGAAGAATATTATTTTTGGCATCATCATTCTACTGTTTTTTTTTCTGTTTCTAGCATTATTTGCGTCAAAATCAATAAAACCCTTTCAAATTCATATCAAACTTGGCGAGACAAGATCATGTCCAAAACGATCATTCCAGCCAATACGAGGGCTTTTTGCTGCCACATCATGCCTGCGGGGTTGAATAGCGTGCCACTCCAGTCAACGCGGTTGATGCACATTCTTGGTATTCTTTCGATTGTTCCAATCTGTTGCGTTGAAATCAACAATTTGAGAACAGGTTTGACAATACAAACTTTCCAAGCAAAGCTCACCTCATTTGAGGAAAAGTCTTTAATCCTCATGGCTCTAACGCCACCAAGGAAGGGCATGCTAAACATATACAGCACTCCATTTCGATCTTGAATGTAAAGTTCAAAAGAACAGAGAGGAATTGGAAAGACAATCCGCCCGATACGTTCATTTCCAGCAAGCGGTGAAAACACGTCAAGACTTTTTTCCAGAAAATTGAAGCATGGGCTGCCGAAGGATGTGGTGATTTTCAAAAATATCGTGTTTTCGTCTGGCTCCGTGACGTAGAGTTCCGATGGCAAAGGAAGACAGAAACTATTTGTAGCATTCTTGACTTTGAATATAGGCTGATCTCTCTGGCTGCTATCTGGTCACAGGAAGGAGAGCTTCAACTTTGCGTCGAATTTATCAAGAATGATGAGCCCTACCGAAAACCTCATAGAGATCACCATTATGGCACAGGCAATGGAAAAAAGGTATTAAATCGATTGAGGGAGTCTTGAGAAACTTCTAAATATTGATGAGTGTCAGTGCGGTGTTTCCGACGTCAGTTTCAAGCTGAAATCGAAAACCCCTTGCATTCAACGATGCACTATTGTTGCTTGCGACACCAGGAGCCAGTTGATTAGTTGGGTTGAAGACCAATGGTTGTGGTGGGGTCAAAATGACGTCTGGAGATACTTTCGAATCCATAGCTAAAAAGTTGGAATCTTGCTGATCGGGAGGTTTCTAATGCATCACTGACAGGATTTACGAGCAGCGATTTTCTCGATGAGCAGCTGTCTAGATGAAAACTCAAGCCCAATGTCCCGTGGACTCTACATCAAAGACAACGCCGTTGGATTAACATCACGATGACACAATTTTTCCTAATATCGATGGAGACGCCAATAGTTGACAAGATGGAGGGAGACCTAGTTGACAAAAGAACGAGTGACGGTGGTACGTACCGTGAATTTTTTTCGACTTGTGCAGTTTATTGAGATTATGGTCCCGCAAATATACTATTATTTAAACACTTAGACACTACTAAAGTTGCTAATTGCCCCTCATATGTTACTGGAATTACGTTTGCGGTCAGCCCCTCAACTTAGTTGTGACCAACCACCTCCCATCCAGTGAACCCCACAACCAGTGTGCCGCGAAATATTTTTGCCGCTTTTTTCGCGTCAGAGTGTGAGTGAGGCTCTAATTCTTTTATGGTGACAGTTTTAAGTAGAAAACGATGTGCGGTAGTTGCGGACATGGTTTAGTGGTGAGTGAAGTGGAGACGCCTTATTCAAGCACGAAGAGATTTCATGCTAACTCGCAGCGTAATTCCAGGTATAATTCTCGCTTAGGGTGCGAGAGGTCCCGAGTTCAATTCTCGGTGTCCGCCTTTTTTCTGACCAAGTGTGTTGCTGTTGGGACATCTGAACAGTGATGTTGGAGGAAGTTCTACGTCGGCAATTCCTACGCAACCTAAAATAGTGCAATTGGCCTCATTCATGTTTATATTACATCATATGAACGTGGACGAACTGTGCTCTTCAACAAGGTGGTGTGGAGTATCAAACAAGCAGACAACAAAGTCACCCTTAGAACACGAGACGGATGTGTTTACCAGTCCAACCATGTTATTATGGCCTCCCCTGTTTCTCAACACAACAAGATGAATTCACACCCGCTCTACCACCACTGTAAACGAGTTCGTTTTCAAAGACTTGCCAAAGTCGGCTTCATAATCAAACGGATTTGCATATACGACAAACCTTTTTGGAGAGAACTAGGCTTCAATGGCGAGATCTGCAGTATTGCTGGACCAGGTACGAAGTCAAATCCAAAAGTTGGATTCGAGTTGAAGTTTTCGATTTTAAATATATTATTTTTAGGTCACTGGGTGGCCGACACCAGTCCAAAGGATTTGTCTCGTGTCGTTTTGACTGTCTTCATTACGGAGTAAGTTGAAGGCCTTCACTTTACCTACAACTCTACTGTCTTGCACAGAGTGGAGGCGATCAACTGGTCAGAACTCATTCAAACACGCAGACATCTGAAAGAGCTGAAACAGCTTGCTCATCACTGTCCTGATGATCGTGCTCTAAAGTTAGTGAATGTCATCGAAAACGACTGGGCCGTAGAGGAATTTAATGGCGGTTATCCAGGTATGTATGTACGTGTCCTCTCCGTTTTCTCCTTTTTTTGGTAACGCATGGAATCTGGTTGGTTACAGTCTCGATATACACGCCTGGAGGGATGACTGAATCTCCCGATGAGCTTCGAAAGCCATGGCTTAATGAGCCAATAGTGTAGAAATGCAAATTATGAATACTTCTTCATCATCTGTGAATCATGAACAGTCTCCGTTACTACCTTCAGTCCCTTCTTCTGCTCAAGTCGCATCGACATCAAATGTCAATGTTGATGATGATGCACAGTCAAAGTCAGTAGCAACAACGCAAGGAGGAATAGTAGGAGCAGATAATGTACAAAGTTTTGCTGGTACGGAGTCAGCTGTAAAATGGACTGGGTACGTGGAGGGTGCTTTTGAAGGCGGTGAGCGTAGTGCCGAAGAGGCTCAGAATACAGTAGCACTCCTGAAAGCCGTTTTGTAAATTGACATAGTCTAAAGTTATACTTGGAATAAAGATGGTTCAATGCGACAACTCAAAAAGGTCTAGATAAATTTATATCTCTATTGAAAATAAGTTTTACTTTTTACTCTTACTGTTTTGACTTTCGACCACCTCTTGAGGAATACCACACTCGAATAGAAAAGTCAGCCGAACACGAAGCTAATATGGCCTCGAAAGGATGGAAGCTGACAGCATATACACGATCTGTATGGCCCTCCAACCTCTGTATTTGCTCGGCCGATGATTCTGTCGTTTGGCAATGTTAGCTCAATGGGACAAACAAAACACCTTCATGAGGGTATTGAAAACAACGAGCGTCTCTTACCTGTTATACTATAGACAAATATATAGGGATCAGCACTTCCTGTAGCTAGGAGTGTCTCTTTTTCCCTAAGTTTTGAGACGTGGCATTTAGCACTCGAACGCCCACCAAAAAAAATCAACTTACGGAACTTCTAGATCCGCAGATTCCGTAGCGTTATACACCATCTCGTCATGGCTTCCAACTCTCCAATCGTAAGGATGGTGTCTATGTGAGTTCCCAACGAAGAAGGATGACTTTATGGGCCAATTCTTATTCTTGTATCCTTTCAGACTATGAGCCACTTGCGGTTGTGAGTTTGGAGCATCATAACCACGGTCGTATACTCGAAGCACATTGTCGTAACTATTGGTAGCAATGTAACGTGGTTCTTGCCGGCTGTCATCTTCTTCTCCTGCAGTAGATGATACAGGACACCAAGAAACATGAGATATGGGTTTTTTTGACGGTTCATTTACGATGGTGTCTATACATTTTCCTAGCAAAACAAAAGTTGAGTTTGGCAAAAAATAAAATCAAACCTCGATTCTAAAAGTCGAGATACCTGTCCTAATGTCCCAAGTCTTTAGGCATCCTAAAGAGTCTGCTGATATGACGTAAAGGCCATTGCGATATACGTATAATGAATTGATCATCGCATCGTTTCGTATGACGAAGGCTTGTTCAGCTTTCCGCCTATCAACCATATTCAAGACATTTCTCGATGTGCCATTAAAGAAAATGTTCTTATCTATGTAAGAAACATGCAGTGTTAAATAAATCATTATCTAATGTTTTTCACAAGATGACACTTTACCTTGAGGGTTAAACATGACACACTGAACAAAACCTTCACTATCAAACGATTCGACGAATTTCCCATTTTCCACATCCCATGTTTTACACGTCTGATCATAACCTCCCGAAACTAGGTCTGTAGAGTCTGGAGACCATGACACATCAGACACGTTCAGAGTATGTCGTTTTAGGGAGTGCAATTCCTTTTGCTGACCGTCCCATATTCGAACGGTCTTGTCAAATGATCCAGAAGCGATAAATCTTCCACATGGAGAATACTGTACAGCATAAACAGCACCAGTGTGGCCCTACAGAGATTTGGCAGAGCTGGTTGGTTTTCACAGAGCTGGCAGAGTTGCATTTCTGCAACAAGAATGAATCAAGAAACACACTTTGAGTTCATTCTTGATATGGAAGTGCCTTCCGTCCTTGTTCTTGTCACGAACAGAGCCTTTGGTTGCAGGAAATTGTTGGTGTCGGTGAGTTCTGAGGTAAATCTCACAAACTATACTAGGAATAAAGCGATAGATCACGTACTGCTGTTGTAGACTTCAGTTGTAGCTTCTTCGCCTTCCAGGAGTGAATCAATCCCAGGCTCGTTCGCGTCCAAAATGTCGAGAGTGAATGGTTGAGCTTTGTGAGCCAGTGAGTTGTATCGTGTCGATAGTTCGTAGAGTGATTTCTTCAGGGCAGCATTTTCCTTTTCCAATACTCCAACTTTGGTCTTCAATGCCTTGGCCTCCTTGTACAGCTAGGTTTTGGACGAGAAAATCAGCAAAGGTTTAAAGTCAAAAAAGCTTCCATATTACCTTGTCTATTTGAGTAGCATCGCTCCCACTGGAAACGGCACTTGTGAGATTGCTCGCATTCGAGGTGATGACATGCTTCTTGTTATTGCTCTCCATTCCTTAAAGTCGGAGACAGACTTACAATTTTAGGAATTGTTGATTCACAGCTCATATAGCACCATTAAACACGCGATCTAGAAAATAATGTGCAATCTCTCTTTTGCTTTCCGGGTAACTTTTCATACAACAAGGAATTCTTATATAGTTTTTATCGTACAGTTTCAACATCTTAAGCCTCCTCTTCCGACTCCCTTCACAGTCTTAATCCCAATCCTTCTTGATATCAAACGACTAGTAAATGTAGCTTGTGAGCAAACGTGTGCACTGTTCAAAGGGGGAATCGAAGTTACAAACTCACCCAATCCCATTCCATGTGAGTAAAGTTATCATCGTCAACGAATTTACTCTAATATCAAAACGCCGGATTAGATGCGTTTGGCAAAATTTGTTAGAGTAGAATGTATTTTACCTTAACCGAGTAGTGAGCGCGTGCCATCATTCCCGCTGGAGCTTCTTCCCACAAGAACTTGATTCAAACAAAGGGATTAGCAACTCGACGAAACGTCTACTCATTAATGTATATCGCGATTACCTTCTTCTCATATGGTTCTAAAATGGTTAACGGGAAAAGTTAGTTAAACAGTCTCATGTTTGTCAACTCTATATAGGAACCAAATCTACCAGGAGCAGGTCCGTATGATCCCAACATTTCTTCCGCCTTGTCTACTCTAACACCCATGCGCTTGACTGAGTGAAGATACTTTAGTCCAGAAATCACCTCATGTTGGACTCTGACGAGGATGAGGTTGTAAACAGATTGAATTATTTTTAATCAAGGGAACTTCATTGGCTCACTTGAATTTGATTTTCAATCGATATTCACAACCCTCTTTGATGGTAAGCGGCTTTTCCTTTAGTGCAGCCAACTTCTCTATATTGCGAGGTTAAGAGGAGGGTGCATGAGGACGACGAGTGAAGAACGAGAGAACGAAAGGGAGGGAGGAAGAGGGAATGACTAGGGTTAACACGACTAACCAGGAGTGGAGATATCCACGACGACATCAGTCCGATCCTTGACTTCCTATACTCGCGAGTTCAACAGGATAAGCACTCGAGTAATCAACGACCATTGTGACTAATAAGACTGACCAAAGTGAGTGAGAAGACAATGACTTTGCGAGGGTCCTTGGCCGTGTCTGCGTCTAAGGAATGGGTAGGAGCAGGGTGTTATTTGTTGGGATGAGACACCAAAGCATACGAAGAGGATATGGCACGAGGAGGCGAGCGCTTGGGTACCTTCAGATGCGCCGGCTTTGATGCCCAACGATTCTTTCCACTTCTTCAAAGATTCTAAGAAACGGAATGGAATTAGAATTAATGTTGTATTTCAACGGCGAGATCAGAGGGAAGTGAAGAAGAAATAGACATACCATCTTGCTCGTCCAACTTTTGCAACTCTTCTAACGTCTTTTTCTCGCCCACCTTATAACCAGCTGTGGTAGACACAGTTAAATCATCGTCGTCCGCGGTTGAAGACACTGTTGAGGTGAGTGTTAGTAGAGTAAAAAGAGAGCGGAAGACTCGACGGAATGACTTACTGGCAATGACAATTATTCGTTGTTGGTAGTTGAGGGGTGAATGTGTGAGAAGCCACAAAGAAGGAATCTGGAAACACGATAACAATGGACGTGATGTGTGGCCTAGAGTTGGGCCAACTCGATAAGACGAACTAGCCCAATAAATGCAGTGACGCTGTTCTAGATTTTATTCCGGATGTTCCGGTGCCTTTGACGCGTCCAAAGCAAAAATGGAGCAAACTCAGCTGATGTCTTTGTTGATAGTAGAATACTGTATATATTCAATAATTGCATCTTAAATATCTACACATATGCATACGAGAACAAGCATCTCTTGTTTTTCGCCACACAATTCGCACGTTGGCCCAAGAGTCGAGTCATCCAAAACCTCACAATCTTTCAAGTTTTCGAAAAAACACGATTCCTTCATAGAAACCATGGCTGACGAACTGGCTCACGACGTAGAGGACGTGACATTAGAGGATGACGATGAAGCCACTCCTGGCGGTGGAAACAAGGAGTGTATGTAATGTCCTGTCCTGTTTTCTTCTTCGCGTTTAAAACAAGCATCCACCAATACACTCTAATCCATGTATCTTTACTAGTGCCAACATTATACGTTGATGAAACTCAAGGCTCTGATTCCGATGGAAGAGGCACTGCCAAACTCCCTTACAAATCCGTCCTCACTGCTCTCGAATCCATCCAAGGTGGAAAATGTTATGTCTTTGTCAGGAAACGTGTCGATGCAGACTATGCTGAGATCAGCGGCGCTGCACTGAAAAAGGCCAGAAAGACTTATGAAGGCAACCTGAAGAAGGCTGAAAAGGCTGCTGAAAAGGTACTCTACTCCGCAAAAAAAGGCAACAGACCAAGCACCGCACTCATTCATCATCTTATTGCTAACCTGCAAATTTGTTCACCTCTGCTAGGCACGTATGGAAGAAGCTGAAGGAGCTCAGCGTGCTGCTGAAGAAGCTGCACGTATTGAAGCTGCAAAATCTATCGTCCTATCACAAGATACCTCGCTGCCAACTGCCACAAAGGTAACCATTTACATGATACATCATAATATCATCAGCTGCAAGTGCCATTGCCGGCACTCGCGCCCCATCTTATTCACTACACCCTTTTGACAATGGAGGAGTGTAGGGGAAAGGGTGGGGAAATTCAAATTCGTATTTCTATCTGTTGGTTGGCTGTACTTTTCCGGTGCTCAATCGACGAAAAATCATGCGAAACATGTCCTGTTTAAATATTCCCTGTTGTCGTGTAGCTGCCAATCCTCAAACTCTCATAGGATTCTTACTGACAATCTATCTTCAATTTAATCTTCACCACAAAGATCAAGATCAAAGAAACAGTAAACCATCGTGGTGGTCGTGTCTGTGTTTCTGGATGGGTTCATCGCCATCGTGTTCAATCCAAGGACTTGGCATTTGTCGTCATTCGAGATGGTACTGGATATCTTCAATGTGTCTTGTCTGGCCGCTTGGTAAGACTGTGGTCTCAACCAATGAGTTGATGCGCCGTATTTGGTCCCTGGTTGCAAACTCGAGGCAAAACAGATTAGCTCACCTTACCTCGTTATGACAGAACCATACTTTTGATGCTTTGACACTGACAATGGAATCTACCATAACGGTGTATGGTACTATCAAAGAGCTACCTGAAGGAAAGAAGGTACAGCGGTTTACACAGCCCGTGTAGCTTCAAACTCCAAGGTCGCTTATACTCCATTACGTTAGGCCCCAGGAAATCACGAGCTAGTGACTGACTATTGGGTCATGGTTGGAAAGGCTCCTGGTGGAGATGATGCCATTGCAAACAAAGTTGGACCAGTAAGTTGGAAACACGTTATGCTATACTTGCTCCAATATAATTGCTAATTTTCACTCCAAAAAATTCAAAATAGAAAGCATCCCCTGATCTGCTTTATGACCAAAGGCATCTAGTGATTCGAGGTGAAGACACCTCCACCATCTTGAAAATGAGGGCAGCCGTCCTGAGGGCTTTTCGAGATTTCTTTGACTCTCGAGAAATGACTGAAGTCACACCACCTCTAATGGTACAGACTCAAGTCGAAGGTGGTTCTACTCTTTTTGAATTCAAGTACTATGGTGAATCTGTATGTCCTGAGTTTGCCTTGTTCTTTGACTTCTTGGTCGCCCTCCACTACAGCCAGTTATTCAATCAACATTTATTCATTATAGGCATACTTGACGCAATCATCCCAGTTATATTTAGAGACATGTCTTGCATCGCTGGGTGATGTATACTGTCTAGCAGAATCCTTCCGGGCCGAAAAGTCACACACTCGTCGTCATCTCTCTGAATACACTCATTGTGAAGCTGAATTGGCATTTATAACATTTGATGATTTGTTGAACGCCATTGAGGATATGGTGGTTGGTGTAATTGATCGAATCATGGCTTCTCCAACTCATAAGAAGTTGTTGGAATCACTCAACCCCGGCTTCCAACCACCCAAGAAGCCCTTCCGAAGGATGCAATATTCTGAAGCTATTCAGTGGCTGCGAGATCATAATGTGACTAAAGATAATGGTGACTTTTACGAATTTGGGGAAGATATACCCGAAGCTCCTGAACGACGTATGACGGATACTATCGGAGAGCCTATAATGCTCTGCAGGTTCCCCGCTGAAATCAAAAGCTTTTATATGAAGCGAGATCCTTTAGATCGTCGTTTGACTGAGAGTGTTGATTTGCTAATGCCTGGTGTTGGTGAAATTATCGGAGGCTCCATGAGGATTTCCGATTTGGTAAATGCCTTGCTGTTCTTCGCTTTGTTAGAGCTTCTATAATTTCGCACACTTCTCCCAGTTTTTGCCATTGTCTACGTGTTTTGCAAATCCGATTGAACTAGTAACATTTGTTTACGCACTCACAGGACGAATTACAAGCCGCATTCAAGCGAGAAGGTATTGATCCTGCTCCATACTACTGGTTTTCGGATCAGCGCAAATATGGCACTTGTGAACACGGTGGATTTGGACTGGGTCTGGAGCGTTACCTAGCTTGGTTGTTGAACCGTTATACAGTGAGAGAGGTATGATACACGTTTCGTAAAGTTGTGTGGTGACAAACTATCTAGGTCCGGAATCTGTACAATGGAACGTTGCTAATACTCGAATGCTTGTAGGTTTGCTTGTACCCACGGTTTGTCGGCAGATGTAAGCCATAAGTAGCTCACGAAAGTATGATAAAATGTATATCTATAGAATAAAACTTTTATATTACTCGTATGTGTTGCGGGTGCTGTTGAAAGTGTACGACGTCTCGAATTTTACTCAAATCTGCGAGAACTTCACAAGTTGGCTAGGAAGGCCGCAATCGGTTTGGTAGCAAAGATGGAGGATGCATCGAAGAGGGTATGCTTCTTTCTCTTGAATCCTCTTTGTAAACAACTGGTTCTTCAAGGCAACATTTTGCGACATCGATTCAAGAACACGAAATGTGTGCTGATTCTGATACAGCAACGGCACGAAGAGTTTGGAATAAGCTTCCAAGTTTATGAATTGGAAGGGAGAGCTCTACATCAGCTCAGAAACAGCTGTAGGGAACTGGTGCTCACCAACATCAAAATTTCAATAGAAGTACGCAAAGCCGAACAGAATTAGTATTGCTTGTGATGGTTGTCGACGAAGAAAATGTAAATGAATTCACAGCATCTTTGCGCGGTCTCCCGTATCTTTGTCCGTGTACGACACATGTTGTGTAAAACCTGGTTCTCACATCCCTTTGCCCTTTTGTCACGTATCTAGATCGATGTGATGGAAAAGATCCTTGCTCTGGATGCTCAAAGGGCGGCCTGGAATGTGTATACACTCCACGTCCCGGTCAACGTCGAGGCAATGCTGCCGAAGTAGAAAAGGATCAACTTCAACAACAGCCAAGCTCGTCTCAAGCGCCAGCTGAAACGCAACATGCTCCAAAAGCCGCAAATCAAAGGACAAGATGTAGGTGCCCTTGAAAACTTGAATGTCATTAACTGTGTCTTGACATATGTATCCTCCAAAACAGATATTGGAGAGCTCAAGGCAAAGCTAGCACAATTACAATCTGTGGTGCGTGTATTTGCCTTATGGTAGCTTGGTCGCTAGTAACATCAACAACTATATTTAGGCTGACACGATGAATGTCGTACTCCCTACAAAACGAACTATTATAGACATGTTTCCTCCATCAGCACCAACTCCCGCATATCCTAGTCCAACCACTAAAGACGAGGATCACGTCATGTCATATAATCTTCCACCATCTGCTATACAGACCGACACTCCCATCAATAATATATCACCTCGTCTTGAGAAGCTTCGAGCTGCCGAATATGCTGCAGGGCTTCAACTAGTAGGGCCACGTCGTGTTTCTCCAGATGCTCCTGAAGGTTTGTTCGCGGCTTGCAAAATGCAAACTAGTGGTATTCGTCGATACAAGGCTGACTTGGCATTTTGTCACCCAGGTCAACCAAGTCCCGATAATGTGTATGAAGGCATTCCACAGGAGGCTCTTGATGAGCTCATCGAATTCTTTTTCGCATGTGTGTATCATATCGAACCCATGAATTTTCTACACCCGGCCATCTTTCTGCGAAACCTGAAATATCGTCAGGACTGCCCGTTGCTACTCAATAGTATGTATTGTGTATCTGCACGGTACGTATGTCAATAGCTGTTCAAAACATGTTGCTAAGGTAGATTCGACCAACTCATTACAAAACTCTCAACACGCTTTTTTTAGATTTAGTCAACATCCAGCGATTCTACAGAGGTCAAACGAGCTACTGAGTCAATGTGAGCAATCTGACGAACTGCTTCAAAAGAACCCTGCTGTAAGATTGAAACAGGACGCTCGATATGTTGCCGGGGAAGAATTTTATATGCGGGCAAGACGTACTGTTATGTTGGCGGTTGAGGATGCAAGAAGTGTTACAGCCTGTCAGGCACTGATAATTCTAGGCTTCTACTCTTTCTCTACTGGTAGAGAATCCACTGCTAGACAAGTAAGTAAGGCGTGACTGTATCTGAAGTGTTGGATCAACACTTGGCGCCTGCCGTGCCTCATAAATTATACTCTAGTATCTTTCCATGGCATGCTTGATGGCAATCACACTTCGATTGGACGAATCTCCCCCAGAATATGTAGACATCATCAAAGGCGGACAATGGTCTAGAGAAATACTCACATGGGTTGAAAAGGAGGCCCGATTAAGAACATATTGGGCTGCTTATCTGATGGACAAGCTATCGAGTATCGCTCTCAACCAACCTGCAACACTCCGTGAAGCTCCGGAGCTGCAGTTACCTGCTCCAGAGCGTGCATGGCAAGCCGTCAGAGCACATAGTGGAGAACCAACAGGAACTGTTGCCAGTATTGAAGTCAATATAAATCCTACTACAATGAGACGAATACATGATGATCCAGCTAGAGCCATCATAACATTATTAAACATATTTGCAAGAATCTGGGATGTATCAGGAGTCTACAAATGTGAACGGATGCTTACCACCTTGATTACCAAGCCCACATCAGAGATGCCTGTCTTCAGTAGTGGTGGCGCAGTAATGAATAACGGAAATAATGATATTGGAAACGCTGCATTCAGTCGTAGCATAGAAATCCTCGAACAGAATGGCTGGAGTCAACTAGAAACAGAGAACTACATGAGTGCTCGGCCTGGTCTCATGCAGGAGCTAGCACTCTGGTGGGAAGACTTGCCAGATCATTATCGAAATGTGCCTGTATCAGTAGTACCTCACTTGGGGTTTGTGCCAGATTTGTGGTCCACAAATCCTGCCTGCTGGTGAGTGTTGCTCATCATGAGTAGTTTTCAATTGATGCTTGATCGTTGACACGTATTTGCACGCTTTCAGGTATCTATGGAATCTCCATATCCTCTATAACCTGTCGAATCTGGTACTACACCGTCCGCTTGCCATCGCTGCAGTTATGCGGGGCACAAGTGATGAGTGTGTCGATGCTTGCATAGGTAGTGTCAGGAACACCTCAGCAGTCATGCAACGCATAAATGGTCTCAACGCATATCCAAACCTATTACCGTTTGTTGCTATTGGTATATATAACAGTGGAAGCTTCCTAGCCACGATGAAAAAATTACAGGCGTGGCCTACGCTTCTGAAAGAAGAGGTATGCTCGCTGGAAAATCTCCATGCCGATGCTTTGGAGGCAATCGCGGACTGGTGGTATCCTGTGAACGAGGTTTCCGAAAAGATGAAGGCACTCCTCAGTGCAGGATTGGCATCCTGATAGTCAATATATAAACGGAATCGTGTTTGTTCATAGCTGTCACCTTCTACAGTTTTAAATAGAATCTAATTGAGCCTACTTGCAAATAGAATATTTGGTTTTACTTTTAATGAAATATCAAACTTGAACAAAACTATGTAGTGGATTTGCCTTCCAAAGTGTAGATCTGGCACTTAGCTCTATGATCAATGGCATCCACCAATGCTGCTTCAAGCTTTCCATCTCGAGGTCTCCCATTTCTCAAGGCCACCAGATGTGCTGCAATACGCAGATTGCTTTTACATACATCCAGGCATGAAGACCTCCAAATGAAAGCATGTATATTGTTTTGATATTCAGGCCGGCCGACCATCTAATCAACAAATAACCTGTGGAGGGATATATCGACTATACCTGTACTCAATCCATCCGAGTTGCTTATAATGGTAACCTCACCTCCATCTGGAAACTTGTCGTCCAAGTATAGCTCTAATAATTTACTGCCATGATCGTCATCTAGTTGCAGATCTTCTTCAGTACCATATCTAGTGAGGATTCGAGTTCTGGTGGTGGTAACACCGTTACTGTTCCGTGGAATTTGTAGATATAAACAGTCAAAAGCTGACGCCATGTGCCCATGCCTAGCATTTCATCATAACCTAGATAGAGATCGGACTTCTGATCCTTGGATTTAAGAGGAATGAGTGTAATCGATGATTCTGGATAATATCTTTCTGCTCCTACACCGAATACTATACCCTGCCCTTCAGGCACCAGGGTCTCGAATTTACGAGTGGTGAGCTTAATATCCATTCTCACACTCTGACAATCTACCTGGACGTAGATGCATATGGGCAGCTTGTCCCAAATCATTAAATCAAAGATGCGACCATCATTGACATCTGGGGAATAGTCGAGTGAACTAGGGGTAATATAAGATTTGCAGCAGTTTCAGATCCATCACCGTCCACGTCCATTATATAAGCATCATCAATAAGATGAGGTGATGAGACGATCAGTGCTACTAATCTATCTGTAGTCGTCTTCGTGGCTTCAGACACTGCGTGTATCAGTTCTCTTGGTCTAGTATCCCCATCACCCAACACTTTGAGTTCTTCCACTTTCGATTCAGCATCAAACCCTTGTTCTAATCTGTAAGCGTTGCATTACAAGTTGCAGAGACCTGATGCATCGTTGGTACCATTGTTCCAACATTATTGATGGTTGTGGTAATTCTCCTTTAGCTAGTTTCGGCGAGACAGTTGCTAGAGATTGTTTTATTAGCTTGTAGATATTACCAACTTTCAATGATTCGAGATTCAAGGAGGGACAAAGGAGATAGAGTTTAGTGGCGACGCAATTTGGCAAGAGTCTAGCAAGAGTCTAGCAATTTGAACGTTGTATCTAGACGAGCTTTTCGTCTAGATACAACGTGGATCCCACAGGGCGAATTATAGCCAGCTACTAGGTTTGTTACGCCCTCTGTCGAGCAGACTTTGACCTATTCAACAAAAAAAAGGTGAACTTCAACTCGATATTTTTGCCGTCGAGTTCTACAACCTAACATACCAGAGGAAGTCTCAGAAATTCTGTTCCGAATCCACTCTGATTTAAGTTTCCACTCACTTCAAACTGGACGACCCTATCCACTATTGGGGCTAGGATCGTAATACCTTTCATATGAAAATTAGAATGTTTTGACGGTTCTTCTATAGCTATTGAAAAGCACGAACCAGTACCATATCTTTCATTCAGATCTCTAGAGATGACACTTGCTGCTCGTAAACACGATGAATCGCCTCCCTCGCCGGAGGTAAATTCCATCACGACAGAAACAGGCTACCAGTTTATTGAATTTACCTTATTCCCAAAGCCACAGCGGTTACAACTGCTGGCACCTTCCACAAATGATTGGCAATTCTGACAGAAGCCCTGATTAGCAGTATGAATTTGTTCCTTGTATGCCTCCGTCACTGATGCTTTTGAACAGTAAGTACAAGGAAATCTGTGTAGTATTCCTTGTTCTAAATGAATTCAGACAAGATTTGCACAGTTCTGACCAAAATCTGAATACATATCTTTGACTGTGAATGATGGGTCTCCCTCCAGATTGCTTGTTTTGCTTGTAGAGTGACCATGGAAGTACATTCTTACTTAAATCCTGTACAAAAGAGTGACTGCGACCGAAGGCCAGCTATGAGACCATGTGTTCCTTGGGGTTCTTACCTTTCTTTTCCAATACTCCTGCCAATAGTTTGATTTTGACGTTTGCGTCCTTTGCAACAGGACACAAAACGAGACTGAAACATCAAACTTGAGATACTCAATTGCCTATTGAATGATCATTCTAAATGTTACATCAAGTACCTCTCCTCGTTAAAGGTCATGCCATGTTTGATAGACTTTTGCAGACTTTGATTGAAATATTTACGTCAAGACAAATAAGGTAAATCTAGGTTGTCGCTCATCACTGCTGATAATCCGGTTCTCCAGCGTGTTTACCAATGAATGCAACCATCCATAACAATCGCACCATGTGCAAGATCAACATGTTCCACAATCACCGCGTTAAACACCACATCCTTGTATCAAGTCACCACAAAATGTGTCTCGAAGGTTCCCACTCGTCCATGACCAGAGACCTGAGACCTGGAAACTGATTCATGAAAAATGGGTTCAAAAGGTCAATTCATGAGCGCCATGCCAATTGCAGCATTGATTGCACACGTAAACGGTTAGACTTGTTCACCCTTCACCTCACAAGATATGCACCCTTACATGAGAATGTAGTAGGCGAAGCTAAGAGAGATCCTCGAAGCTAAGAGAGATCCTGAAACTTCGAATTTGGTTCAAGTGCTGTAAATCGCTTTAATAAACAATGTAATGTGGAAAAAAAGAGGGGCCGCAACGAGAATTGAACTCGTGACCTCTCGCACCCGAAGCGAGAATCATACGACCTAACAAGGAAACTATAGTTTAATATGTGCGTGGGGCGCTGAGTAGACTCTGATTTAACTCACTAGACCATGCGGCGCAGCAAATCTGCCATAAAAAAAGTATTTCTACATTCCATAGTTAGAGGAGTCGTGAGGTCACTGGGTCGCGAGAAAAGTCGGGCTCACCTGGATGGGAGGTGATGGGTCACAACTAGGTTGAGGCGCTGACGCAAACGTAATTCCAGTAACATACGGGGAGTAATTAGCAACTTGAGTGGGTTTTAAGTGTTGTAATAATCGTAAATTTGCGGGACTATAATCCCAATAGAATACATGAGCCAAAAAATCGAGGACGGGAGTAAATTTGTGGGACTATAATCCCAATAGAATACATGACCAAAAAAAAAAGGTCGGGGACGGGAGTAATGCATATATATGATGACTGTTTTTTGTGACTAAGCTCCTTACTTAACGCGATCTGCGGCGTCCTAATCACACACCGCGACAAAGGAATGCATCAGGTGTGCAAAGGATACCTCAGTATTGCTCTGCATCCGTAAAGTAGTAGCCGAACGGCAAAATTTCTTGCGTTGCTGCATGAGTTGACAGATGAACTAGTCACGAAAACAGTACAATTTCGGACAAATATGTGCAGTGCAATCATTCTATGTAATGCGTTAACTTTTCTCCATGCAACAACGATAATTTACAACGGTTTTTCTGTATATGTCTGACAATATGTGGCAACCACCTCCACACCTTAGCACCTTAATTTCAATCCTTCTTGATGTCACACGGCTAGTAAATTGACTTGTCAGCTTCTGCGGTACAAGTAGAATTGCAAACAAGTCAGTTTTCAGATTGCTACAACAAAGCTTTTCTAGCAGGGACTCTACAAAAGGGCTTCATAACAAAGGCTATTGCTTCATCGTAAGTCTCGAGACCCTTTCAAAGCAGAAACGTGTCCAATGATTCTTTGTTCTTGAATATAAGTGAAGTTTTTTTTGCCACATTGAGAGGTGACCATAGGAAACAAGTGGTGTCGGTGTTATAGTGCATGTCATTCGAATAACTAGCACGGTAGAAAGTTGAGCGAACGTTCGTCGAGGGGCCAGATAACACAAACAGGTATCATACAGATCAAAAGACAACTTGTAATGGGGTGGTAGCGACTTCACGTCCTTGAAGCGTAAAACAGTTATGAGACAACATCCATTCAATGTTCTGACATGGTTTCAAAGAAATACGATTCTTTTCTGATCAATCAAAGTAATGTCGGCATCAGGAAAGCCCCATACTCGGAGATCTGGATCTTCAACGTCCTTTCCACTAGATCGGCCAAATGCAATCCATTGCAAATTTGCCCGATTACTTGGTGATTGTTTTTCATACTTTTTGTAGGCTTGTACATGTATGTTATATCACAGAACAATGTGAAGTCAACGTAACTAAGCTGTATACTCTTGAGCAAAGTCTAGCCTGAAGAACGAAGCGAGTGTTGGCATGGCGACAAAAAAGTCAGACTTCATGCTAAATAGCTTCAGAGCAACATTCCATCTCTCACCATCGAGAGCTTACCCTGTAGCACACATGAGTTGAGTTCTCACGCTTGAAAAAGCACCAGCCGAACTCCTTCCAAGCCCACAGCATATAGTGTCTTCTCGATCACACTTTGCACGAAGTTCAGACAATAACTGTCGAGTTTCAAGTGGAATGCAATTGTGGACGAGATAAAAGACAGGTGGTTTTGGTAGTACGAGTTGCCAAGATTCGCTAGATTTGATTGCAGTTAGCATGAATGCCTCGATTGAGATACAGCAAATTGAAAACCATGATACTCCAACATTGTTTGTTTGATCCTCTGTCCAGCCAACATCTTGAAACTTGGCGGTTTGCAAGTCAACAAGTCAGAGACACATAGAATCGTCGCTTTGGACAGACGTCAAAGTTGTCCTATGTAGTTAATATGTATAAAAACTGTTTTCATTGCTGATTCCTTCAATGATTGCTCTCCATTGAGCAAGATCATGCTCAACAAGAAATGAGTGTCAAATGTCGGTGACAAGAGAGCATCAGAAGAAGACATGCCTAAGAAGAGCACTGGCAAGGTAAAGCAACATCCACATCCATCCCTGGCTCAAATGTTCCGGAGCTGTCCCTACCCCTACCAATGTTTACCTTTCAGAGTTACAGAAGTCGTGAGGTCACTAGCTTTTGAGAGTCTCGTCATATGCATCCAACAAGGTTACTTGCCTGCTCGAAACCGAGTCGAATTGACGTTAGTAACAGCGACGGTGCAGGAAACTCCGAAGGTCAGAAAGAATCAAAAGGCCAGTTTAAGAGGCTCTTGTATCGACTATTCTCAGGCAATCGCGTTCCGGTTGCAACCCTTCGTCGCCCGATACTCTCCTCGGCAGTCAACCCACCACCCGCCTCACTTGCTTGGTCCAACGAGCGCGCCAGTCAATAACGTAAATCTCGTAACTTGTGAATACTTTGTTGTAATCCATCAGAAATGGGGTGTAAAACAAGATAGTTGGACTAAAGCAATCACATCACAGACGAGGCTTTCCAGAGCCTTCAATAGCATCAACACAATCCACCAGCGCGGTGAACAAACGCTGACTCCTCCTATCACCGCTCGTTCCTGTGTGTGCACCATTCATAACGTAACCTATAGAATTGTAGAGAGTTAATAAATCCGACGAGGAATCTCTAGGGAATGCGATTCAAGACAACGGGCTTGCCTAGAGCGACATTACGCTTTCGAGACCAGCAAACTAGTAAAAGAAGTGCGTGAGCGGGAGGAGAAAAGGAAGAGAAGGGAGAGATGGGCGAGAGAAAAAACCTTGAGAACCACCATATCCTCCCCATCCGCTGCCGTTTGGAGTGAGGAAATTGTGAGCAAACGAGCAAATATTGAAAACAAAACATAAACCATAAACGATAATAGCTACGCCTACCACCATTCCCAGTTGGGGTCATAATTAGCACCCTCCCCCCATTGGTGTGGTAGCCGTGCATGAGGCCAATTGCCCCATCCCGCAAAAGTATAGTAGTTCTTCTTTTCCAAACACAAGTCGGTTTGGAGTTCTTGCAACTGTGAAGCTTCATCCAAAGCCTGTTTTGTGAGATACGAATATCCATCTAGCTCGCCACCGTTGGCCATTAACGCGGCGATTTTAGCCAATCCGTTACTGTTTGTGATTCCAGAGAAGCTAGTTCCTTCCCCTCGTCGACCTTCGTAAGTGTTGATTACTTGCTGATACGGGCCTCGAACGCTCGAATTGACTGAGGGAAGGCAAACGTGATACTGTTGAGCTAAAGACATGAATGGAATTAATCGTTTTGCTTAAAAGTACCTTTCAAGGCAACGGTTGGATTGGTATGGGGTTGGGTAACTGGAGGCAAGGGAGCCAAATCCTTCCTTCCATAAGGATAATGGATTAACGGGGAAACACGAGCATTAATTTCGGCTGGGATTCCATAGAAAAATTCAATTCCCAAGGGTTTGACTAGCAACAACTCAGCGAATTTGCCCAAAGTTCTGTGCTATTGCAGAAGATGAAAAGTTGAAGGCCTAATGAAAACCAAGACGTTTACTTTGCACCAATTCGAGCTCTCAAATACCTGTGGATCAGCACGTCGGACAATTTCATTCAAAAACCACCCTCGCGTAAAAGAGTGATATGACTGAACGGATTTGCCATCAAAGTTATGAGGTTGATCGGCAATCATTTTAGCGAGTACGTCCAAGTTCGACCTTTATAGAAATGACAAGCGGATAAACCACCAAGGTCACAACAATTCAGAGAAATCACTCACCATTGTTCGGCATTTGGACGTCTCTCTTTTCCATCCAAGTAAGAAACTCCAGCACGATGACCCATTCTGTAAAAGAGTGAATTCGAGCGGAAATTGCGAATGAGCTTGTACGGAGATTACATACAGGTCTTTGATAGTCACATTCTGTTTGCCGTTTGCTCCAAATTCCGGCCAATACTTTGTGATTTTATCATCGTAGGAGAATAAACCATCTTGTACTAGACGAGCGACGAGAACCGCCTCGATGCACTTAGAACGAGAAAGACGAGGAAAGGTTGAGCAAATGAGGAACAGTTTAGAGTCCGACGCAAAGGTTCATCATTGGTGCTATCCAAACCTTTCCAGAAGAGAAGACGACTTGCAACGTTTTGTTGTCGTAAGGCTTATTGTAGGAAGTATCAAAATCTGGCACGGGATAATTGTGTGTGGTCAATGTGCGATTCCACAATCCACGATTTCAATTTGGTAGTTGATTTCACTTACAGCCGCCAGTCAGATCGACGACTTTCTTTCCCTTGTAATAAGCAGTTACAGATGCGCCTACTTCATCGCCGTTCTACAAGGGCAATAAGAACGCATGAGGTTCAAAACGTGTGTTTGGAGGAAATGGACCAGGATGAAGAGACATACTTGAAGGTTGGTTTTGAAGGCTCGCTCCACGGATTCGAACCCAGGAGCAACGAAGCCTTTGACGTTCCAGTCATTGGGTGTTGGGTTTACGACGAGAGCCATTTTGCAAGTGGACTTGTGAGCGACGTCGCCTTACCCAACTTGTGTGGACATCCCAGGGGAGTATCACAACCCTACACAGTTATAGACATCTTCTGCTACATATCGTGCTTGACTGAACGCGTGAGTGCCGGCGTCAATGCTACTTTTCTGTTCTCATATCGAGCTTTCACCTTTCACCCCTCTCGCGCTCCCACATACCTATGAACATTGCTTACATCCAGTAATAATGTCTTTACAATCTCTATATTCAGGAAATAGTGGCAACGCGACCGCAAATGGCCATCATATAAATGTAAATGGAACAGCTGCTCCTCCACCACGTCCACCTCAACGAAATCAAAGAAGGAGGAGGAGATTCGGAGAAGAGCCTCAAAACAATGAGGATGCAAGTCAGCTACAATTCGGTCCAGGTGAGCATTCTCCCCTTCACTAGGTCAAACTCTGGTTTCTGCCGAGACATTTAACATCAATGTTGAAACACTGCAACTTCACTCAGCCAGCTCAATCGTCTCTAGATTTTGCAGCTGCAGAGCATCTCACAATCACCGAAGCTGCATTGATCCTATCACCACGAAAGATGGCCGTCAATCAGGCTGATACAAGCGGAAACGAGTGAGTTTGTATGTGTGCTTGATGAATGCAGCGGTTGCACATGGAAGCAAATGAAAGCAAATGAGTGTCTCCATGGCAATCGGCTTCATCATCTCATCCCTTCATCACTTTCGATTGGTTAACAAACGCGACTCTTTACATAGTGTATTAAGGAAAACAATCGAATTTTGTGATCAGTTTGGACTATCCTCTGCTCACGAACAAGTCGTCACAACTCGAGAAATTATAAATAACACTGTACAGAAGCTGGACAAGTTTGAAGTCGCAAAATTCTTAGATTTGCAACCTGATGATGTTGACCAAGTCAAAACTCTCATACCGAGCATGGGTCGACTGACGGAAGAAGACTTGGTCAATCTAGTCACCCTCAGTGTGGGATTACGGCAGGAATTATTGGTTGATGAAACAGATGAAATGGACCTGCAGTAAAAATCAAAAAGCACAAAACAGAAATATCTTGTTAAATAGCGAAGGGATCAGAACAAAGCTAGGACATGAATTTCCCGTCATTAAACCACAAAACTTTGACACCTGCAAGTATGTCTTTATAGTAGTGTAGATATAAAAAGAGTCATGCTGAATAGAAAAATATTATATATATATAAGAATGGTGTATTTGCACATTAGGAGGTATACTGAGCAGCCTGGATTATTGCATCCTTTTCCACTTGTACAACAGAGTTGGTCACGCCCATCTCTCGCATGGCATTTGCCACTAGGACTCGTATCCGTTGTTCGGAGCCGGCTTCAGATGCTTGTACTTTTATGGTTCCAATATATTTTCCCTCACATAACTCCCAAAAATGGGCTTGAGAAAAGCCAACTACCCCTTCGATAGACGAGATCTATATTGCAATTTGCATTAACATTCGGCAGACATACACGAATGGCAAAACGTACCTTTCTGTATAGATCGGCCACTTTAAATTCAAATCCCATGGGAACTCGTTGTAACAACAACAGCCCAGAGGATTGAAGCAATGGCCATACACTGACCAATATCATTACGGCAATAAAGAGCGAACAGGCTGCATCGGCCCATTTCCAATCATAGAGCATTATTAATATAGATGATGTAATGACTCCCACTGATCCTAGAGTGTCGGCTAATACATGCAGAAACATTCCTAGACCGAGAGATAGTTTTTGGTTTCCAGTGATCTCATAATTATAGCGAAGCGGAGCTGGATTTACCTTGCATGAGTGGATTTCTACCATGAGTCTCAGAGTGACCATGATGCGAGTGATCATGATGGTCGTGATGATCGTGATGATCGTGATGTGAATGATTGTGATGTGAATAGTCATGGTGATCGTGATCGTGATGGGCATGACCATTAGAATGGCTGTGATCGTGGCCATGTCCATGACCAGCATGACCATGTTCGAATGCAAATATACCAACTATAGGAGCAACAAGTCAATCCCGTGGCGTATTTTGTGTGTTGGGTTGCGTATTTTGTATGCTGTGCTGTCAAGCGAGTCAATGCATGGTAATTTAGAGAAACCAACCTAGATTGACGAGCAGCCCCAGGACAGAGACAAGTAGCAAAGAATCCGTCTTGATTTCCGGTGGATCCATCAAGCGTTCAAATGCTTCCCATATGATGCCGAGACCAGCAAAACACAATGCAACCCCATTTACAAAACCTGTTAATGTTTCGACTCTTCCATATCTAGTATTTTTATAGAGCAAGGTCAGAATTTGCTGATCTATTGTTCAATGGAGCAACACCTTTCGAGAGTGATTCAAGTAAATGCGTACTCACCCGTAAGTGAATCTGTCGTTTGGGTCCCATTTTACAATGACACTTGCGGCCAAGGAGAGGAGTAGAGCGGTGGAATCAAACAACATGTGTACGGCATCCGAAGTGAGGCCCAGAGAGTTTGTCCAAATACCATAAATTGCCTCGACAAAGGTAAAAGAGAGATTGAGACACAGAAAGAAGAAGACATTACGAGTCTTTGGATCTGCTATGACGGCTTTTGTGTACTTGACTATGGTCGATATGGTCCCTGTCACGATACCACCACCACCTCGCACTTTTAGGGAGAAAGGTCTGTCGCCCTTGTCGCCCCTATATAGAGGGAGCGATGATCCATTCATAATATACGTCGATGCTTCAATTGCGCCCCTACGACCGATACGTTCCTTGTTCGTTCGTTCAGGAGTGAATACATTCAATTGAAATCAGAAGAACGTGTTGGGCTCACTCCAGACCTTCAATTTTTGCACGTGTTTTGATGTGTCGAATGCGTCAGTTGTCTCGACGTTTGATCATACGAACACTCAGATCACGAGCGTCTCCTTTATTCACGAAACAATCATCTCCTTGAACTTCAGCCAGTTTTTTTTTCAAAACATCGATTCCTTGCAAACAAGCAATTGACGCCGATACGGAAAACAAGACAGCACAGCACTCACTACCTAGTCATGGGCAAGAGGAAACGAGCAGCTCGTCCTCAAGCAAAGAACGACGAGGACGATGAAATCAAAACCAGGAAAGCATCGTCAATAAACAAGATCCAGACTTGGGACGACGTGGAACTGGATGATGAAGATCAATGCAAGTGTGAAGTCCAAAGTTCGCCGTTCGATTGTCAGAAAGAGCTCAAGCTAACATCGCACTTCGCCCAAAAACAGTCGCCGCTCAGAGAGACATTATTCGGTTCGACACCCAACCTGAACAAGGTTCACATTCATTCTTGTCCGTTCTTTCAGCAAAATTCTTACATTCATGCATCTTTGATCCAGATGACGACATCCAATCCGACGAAGAAGTATTGCCTTTAGACTTGGAACAAGACGATGCCGACACTGATCTGGATGAAGATAATCTGGCTGAAGACGACGAGCACTTGCTCAAATTGACTCGGGCCATGCGTCCTAACGCTGTTGATAGTGACGAAGATGACGAGGACCGCATCTCCAAAGACGCAAAGGGTTTGTCAAAATCCCCACCTTTTTTTTTGTATTATATACACTATCTGACAACGTCCAACAGATGATGCTAGTGTGTGGGGCAAATCTCGGTCAGTCTATTACGACGCTGATGATGTGTCGGACGATGAAGAAAAAGGTGTGACTTTCTACTACGCACATTACTACTCGGTGTTCTTACTTCATCTCGCATCTAGCCAAGGAGGAAGAAGATGAAGCTCTGCGCATTCAACGTCAGAGAGTGTCGAGAATGCGCGAAGAAGACTACATGGATGATTTTACCGATAGTTTCAAGTCTATACTGCATCAAATACCCGTGACGACATCAGTCAATATTGCCGACAGCAAACACACTGCAATAAAGTCTGATCACGCTGATCTGACACCTTCAATGAAGAAGGTGTCAAAATGGCTGTCCAACAACACTGAAAATCATCCCAACACTGGTACGTCACCCTCTACACGTCAGGACGCTATTTTCTCACCGAATTAACTTGTAGGTGTAGCCAAAACCCTGTTAATGAACATCATGTTTTATACCATGTTGAAGGGAGACCCACAAGTGGAGTCGAAACTCTTGGACAAGGTGTATCATGTCGTCCAAGATCTCCAGAATGTATGGGAACATCAGAAGGTTGATGTGCCTGTAGCCGAGGAAGCCCCCGTAGCTGTGACTAAAGAGGTACATGTGAATAAAGAGGTCAAGCCAGCCAAAAGCCAGAAGAGGAAGGAAAAGCCGAGACCAACAGTCCTAGATATAGTGAATCAACCCGAACAACCAGACGAAGAATTCACCATACCAGTCATTGCCAAAATACGTAAATCTTCTAAACGTACTGTAAAGAACGGCGATGATGTGCTTAATCCATTTGAGGTGGATGAAGTCGAATTCAAGGAACGAGAGGCTAGTAGACGTATCTCTCAATTCTTGGCTCCAGGAATGGACGTTGCTGATATCAAAAAATCCAAGAAGCGACTAGTCATGACTGGAGATCAGGATATACCATACAGAGATCCAAAAACAGGTCGTGTCATTCTTCCAGAAGATCCAATCGCAACCGCCAATGCAAACAAGTCAGATCCAAGGCTCAAACAGAGTCGTAAACATGATTTAGAAATAGTTGACTCGTCGCCTTCCGTGTCGAAAGTCGCCAAACCAACGAGCATCGTGCAGTCAAAGAAGAGCGAGTACGAGGAAGATGGAGAGGAGTATTACGAGGCCCTCAAGGCTTCCAAGATTGAGAAAAAGGCCAAACGATCCTTCAATCCTGATGACTGGTAAGTCTTTGAAATGTCTTGCTGATTCGTTGTAGTTAGGTTGTTTGACTGTTACACTTCTGATAGGTTGTACGATGATGCGACTGAAGAAGTTATAGCAGCAGATGGAAAACGTGGCATCAGTTGGAATATTCTAACCAACAAAGGTCTCACTCCCAAACGGAAGAAGGAGCAACGTAATCCACGTGTAAAGAAACGAAAACGATTCGAAACGGCAATGAAACGGTTGTCTTCTTTCCGTCGTGTGGCAGTGGATAAGTCTAAAGTAGGTGCTTATGGTGGTGAAGCTACTGGAATCAAGTCCGGCCTCGTCCGCAGTATTAAATTTTCGTAGGCCATTCATTGTATTTTTCGCGTTCATTTATAAGATCAGAATCGGACCATCTCTCTATCCCATCTATTGTTATATTTTAAATTGTAGCCTCGATCTTGGCCTGGATTGTAGCGTTACTGCGTTTGTTAGCGAAATGTTGACTTACCCTTACTGATGACAACAATAAAACAATTTGATGGAGGTTGGCAAGATCTTTCAAGAAGCCCAGTCAACAGCGGGCCACAGTCAGCGTAAACATGTCAAGGCATTATTCAAGCAGTATACCTCGAATGTCATGAACAATCAGAACCACGGACGCGCAGCTACCGAATTTGCTAAAACCGTGTGGGCGTTCTTGACTATGATTCTTCTAGTAAAGAAGGGCGAATCAGCTGCAGAACGCATAGTACATTTATTTGCTGCTTTCTTGGACCAATTAAGTATATCAGATCCTGCTTATTGTGGAACATTGAAACACCAGATTCTTTGTTGATTTGTTGTTGGTGGCTTACAGAGGGACTAGTTTGATCGATTATTCAAGGCATTCGACAATAATTCATGCTGTTCTGCACTAGATCCAGCCAATAAGGTACCAGAAGACGAGGATGCAAGTGATGATGAAGAAGACTTGAAACAACAAGAAGCCAAGTCACAATTCGTCGAATATTTGGTAGCTCAACTATCAAAAGGAATTGCCTCAAAGGATAAAACTGTCCGCTATCGTGTATGCCAATTACTGGCTGTGTGTATTTCTCATTTAGACGAACTTGAGTAAGTCGTATTGAAGTATTTTGCTGCATGTTGCTGCTTGTTTGGAAGGAACTTTGTCCATTTTCGTATGCACGGACTAAATACATATTCAACATTAGTGACGACATATTTGCTGATCTGCAAAGAAAACTTGTATTGGCTGCTCACGACAAGGAAGCAAGTGTTCGAGCACAAGCAGCCTTGGCCCTATGTAAATTTCAGGTGAGATGCACAGGAGTCAGAATTTGTCAAGCCTGTTGTCGCTCGTCTCAGACTTCTCCTGAACTTTTTGCCTCAAGTCTGGTGACGATGATGCAGACTGGAATATCCAAACGTCTCTGTTAGAACTCATGAGAGTAGACACCAGCGCGTATGTAGCCTCCCGTCTCCCTTCTTCCGTCATTTCCATTCATTTTGTCTTATCTATTGCAACTGTAGGGAAGTACGAAAGACAATTTTGTGGAATATTCATACTACTGCCAGGACTCTGCCCTACATTTTGGAGCGAGCAAGAGACACCGATACTCAAGTTAGAAAACTGGTCTTTTCAAAAATTGTAGCCGATATTGAGGATATGAGCATCCTGACAATTGCAAGTCGTGATCGTTTGTTGGATTGTGGATTGAGAGATCGGTAAGCAACATCGCTGCTCTTTCGTGGATGAAGTATTGATGAAACTTGCCCTTGCTATCCATCAGTGATTCTGGAGTTCGAAGTTCGTGCTTGAAGATGCTTGGGCAAAGTTGGATCAAGCAAGCAGAAGACAACTTGCTTGTGGTATGTTACGGAAAGCAGTGTGGCACCTAGTTTGGCGTCTCACTCTGAACATTTGATTTCTTACTTCTTAACAGTTTCTTTCACGCCTGGATGTGGTATCGAGCTCGGGTGCCGAAGAAGCATTGAAGGCATTCTTCTTGGCTAATCCTGATGTTACGGCTGCCTACGATGGTACGCCAAATTCACGATTTGAGCAGTTTTGGAATTTGAAGGCTTGTTTTGCTAACCGCCCAGTCTACAAATTTACAGACTATTTGTGGGACAACCTAACTGTCGACAGCGCCTTTTTGATTCGGGTTCACGCCCAATTTCATGCAGAATCACAGGTACCGTCAATTCAAGTCTACTTGTTTCGCAACACGACACTCATGGAGCTACTAATTTAGGAGTACGATGCCGCAAACGATATATTGCCAGACTTGTCGAAACACGTCACTCATATAAACAAGTACATTGGTCTCATGAATGATGCAAATGATGACGAAGATCGTGTCTATTACGAATTCATTGTCGGCCAGTTATTGCTGATTGCATTATCTCAAGACTTTTCGGATGAAGCTGGACGACGGAAAATGTTCGAATGTCTGAGTATGACCATGATCTACCCTTGCCTTTAGAGCTCTTAAGTCCATCGAACATCTATCGGACATCACTCAATCTACGTCTCATTAGGATCAACCTTGGCCAATGTCGACTTGCCCCTATCCAGTATCCAAACATCAGTGAAGGTACTGAGCAGGATTGCATTGAATGACCAGGACTTTCTAAGGTAGGCTTTGTGAACGCTGGTTTCAAATCGTCTGCTTATATTTATTATCGATGGCTCGAAACAGGGTGATTCTCGAACTATTGTATGGGATTGCTGATCCAGATGAGCCGGCTGATACAGACGAAGGAATCTACAAGATGCGCAAATGTCTCGATATTCTCAGGTGTATGTTCGAAGTTTTAGACACTGTAGGTTCAACGTTGGTTTGTGGGCAGACTGCTCTTGTCGACAAATTTTCACTATAGGACCGACACGATTTGGCCTCATTTCAACCATTCTTGCAATATTATATAATGCCAGCCGTACAGAGTCGAGATGAAGAATTGCGTCAATCTGGTCTAAGGTGCCTCGCTTTGTATTGCATGCTGGACAAGGTCTGTTTGAAATATTCATGGGCGGCTTTACCGTGATGTTTGTCTAACTCTCAAGACCGGTTACAGCAAGTTGCTGTAGAACGTATGCCGCTCTTTTTATATGCATATCAACATGGTGATGGTACCATGCGCCAAGATGGGTTGGAGGCAGCGTTTGATCTAGTAACTCTGCATGGCTTGGCTGTTTTTGCCGAAGTGGAGGTGTGTGGTCTTCTCATTTCGATCGTAATTTTCGTGATAATAAGTGCTCTGGACAAGAACCTCAACTCAATTGGCCTTTAGAGCCCCGATGGAGATGATTTAGTAAAACTCTTGGAAAAATCTCTTCAAGCTCAAGAGCCAGAGCTGGCTACCATTGCAGCTGAAGGGATATGTAAATTAGTAATGCTGAAGACCGTCTACAATGCTACAGTAAGTGGGTGAGATTTTAGTTGTTTGACTACGAAGATTCTTATCTTGCTTGCATTGTTTTATTTTATAGATTCTCGAAGTTCTGGTGTTGCTGTACTTCCATCCGGAAACTGCTGAAAATCCAAGATTACGACAGTGCTTAAGCTATTTTTTTCCTGTGTTTTTTCATGCCTCGAGTGACCATCGTCGTTTATTAGCAGAGGTTCGTGTGTAAGCAGTAGCAAATTTCTCTGGATCTCAAACTCAAGCCCATTCAATGCTAGATTTTCATTTCCTCGATGAGAACGATGCTCGAACTCCATCAGACCTACAAGGACGATATGGTAGGGCCTCTACCATCAGCTCAACAAATGATTGAGTGGCTCGAAGATACGTAAGTCAGCGATTATCATTGCCAAGAAATTGTTAGAGATTTTGCAATAACACAGTTGATACTTTTAGGCATGGGGACAGCGAAGAGACCAGCTGTTCCATCCAGCCACAAATAGCAATGGATCTCTTGGACGCCATCTCGAAAGAAGAAGCTCCAGGTATGACCTCATCCGTTTGGACACCATAAAGCGGACACTGACTCTTGTACAATTAGGAACGGCCCGTCTCTTTGCCAACGTCCTCAACAAGCTGGTCATTCGGCCTTGCGCTGGTACAGAGCTGATCAATGACTTGATTCAAGTCTCGAATCAAGTCCAGCCAATGATGACTGACACTTTGGTGAAGAATGCCTTGAAACGCTTCCAGTCTCTTTTGGGCAGCATAGGATTTGAGGGTCATAATGATTTATAGTGTTTGTACCTGTGGGGGTTAAGAATCATGATCAAGCTTGAGTCAAGAATAAAACACGATCACCATACCAATCTTACTCCACTTGTATATCACGGAGAGTGGAACAATAGTGGCTGACTCACAAATACCCTTAAGACACGTTTTCAAATTGGAGTTGAGTGCCTACAAAATACTGACGGACTTGAGGGAGGTACATCATCTTCCAGTCCCAAAAAACCCGACACGAACGCGACTGATGCCACAATGCTTGAGGATGAGTGAATTGCTGTACAGTGTATTAAGATTACTGTAGTTTTGAGAAAATACAGCGCCATACGATATACACCTGGTGTTTTTTTACAAGTGTGTTTAGTGTGAACGATTAGCGTTGCGCCAAGTACTAGTTCGGTTCGAAATGTACTTGACCCCTCTTTGACCTCCGAATAGGCCCATCGCAAAGATGTACAACCAATAACCAATGGAACTGATAATTCCAATACCATAGTTCATGACCAAGTTCAGCCATGACAATGCGATGAGCGCCACTAGGAAAAATGGAATTGAAACACTTTCATTGGACTAATTCCGAACAAATTATTACCTGTATAGCGGCCTCCGGAGCCAAGGCCAGAAGCACCAGGAATCACGAGAGGTGTTGCAAGAAGGTTGAAACTAATGTTTGATGAGTTTGATGTCAGGTTGAATGGAGAACGCTGTTTAAGCCAAAACTTACCCTGCCACCGTCTTCAGCACTTGGACCAGTGCAATCAGACAATAGACTGAGTAGGTTCCAAAGAGCGAGACGATTAAGGGGTGGAAAGCACGGCGGCAAGCCGACTATGAGAACCGCAAGGTTAGGTTTCTTGTTCTAACAAAATGAACATCCTTTTATGAAACAAATACCCTGAAAATCCTCCATGTAGAGGGTGGCTGCCCAGTCCCTCGATCCACTTTGTCTTGCAGTTGCATCTTTAAGAATGCAAAGTGGAGCGGAATATTGACAAGAGTGTTGGTCGCCAGTGTGATTATAGGAGAAACGGCAATAACGGAAAGGAGCAAGCCAATGGTCCTTCAAAGGGAGTCAAGTTTAGAATTGTGGCAAACTTTGTGGCGACATTTATGGAACTTACGAACTGTATTGGAAGATGTTTGCTCCCAAAGACAAAAGGCTCACGTAAAGCAATAATGTGCTTGTGACAAGGTCAAATATGAGCAACAAGGCCTTCACCACGACCATGAGTCCCAGCATGAGCGACTTTCGTTGAAAGACAATCAATCGAAAGATTCGTAAGGTGTGTGAAAGAATGGTATAAAGCAAGACACCACCAAACTAGATGAAAAAAGATTCAGTTTGGGATACTCGGAATTATTTGTTATTTTCAGTTTGTTTAGCTACGTACGATGCCCAGCATCAACAAATTCCGATTTGCTGGACTGGCTAGGTCTCCAAGATTGATCGCGTTCCCTAATGTTGTTTGTCCACTTTGTAGGATGATCTCCCCCAACCGAAATCCATACACTTTTAGGATCAAATTGAGCTGAAAAAAGTACCGTTGAGGTTAGAGTGTATTGAGATTCTTTCGCACAAAGTACACACGTACTAACAGAGGTGCGACATCCAACAACAATTGATGGTCTGCGACAATGGACCAAACACTGAAAGACCTTCGAAAAGGATCATGTTTCTTGGTATCCCAACAGATCCATAGACAAGGAAAGGAAGAAATAAAAGTGACAAACACATCAATACAAAGGGCCAATATTGAGAAAATCTCAAATGTTCGGGAACCATACGCCATATAAGCCTGGTTGTTCAGCTGCTCCACGGAATAAGCGATTCCCCAAGCTGAGGTCACAATCGAACGAATGAAGTTTAAAAAGCCGCTATAAAGAGATTTGAGACTGATTAAAACAAGACGCCGAAACAATTAAAGTTACCACCAAGCCCAATCTTGAGATATAAACACTTACAACACTCGCCAAAACCTGGAATCTGCTTGACCTTCCTTTACAACTCTATCTGACGATTGCTGTCTCTGTAGAGAGACAAAATCATTCACATTCAACGAGTCACGATTGGCGAACGGGTTGTAAGGCTTTTCATGCAATATATCGTCCGCATAGAGCTTCTCAGACTCTCGTTGAGGCCCCACCAGGGTTTTATCAGACCCATCCTTTCTGTTCAATCGAGCCATATCGTTGATTTTGTTGCTGGCAGATTCGGTAGCTATATGAGAGGATGCGACAGGCGCAGGCAACAATAGTGGTGCACTTGGTGGGATAATTCCACGTGGATCTATATGGTCACCCCCTCTACCAACGTTACGAGTCGTCGCCGAATAAATTGGTGGTGTAGCATGCTGCGACGTCTGTTTACTATTTATAGGCTGGCTTCCTTCTGTAGGAGCAGGTCTCGAGCGAGCGTTCCTGTCCTCTGGATGTCGACGATTTTGGTCTCCTCGTTCCAAGTCCTCACGTTGCTTGATACTCAGTAGCCCTTCGCTGCGCGCTGCGCCATCTCTACTGCTAGAATGACTTCTAGGTCCATTCGGTCGTGTGCTCCTGTCAGAAGGTGTCCGTCGCATATCCATATCACTCGGTGGTTCACTATGGCTCGGTCCCATATGGCGTCGAGAATCTTCCCTGCTCCTATGTCTTCGGGAGCCACGTTCGCGACTTTGGCCTCCATGCCGTTGACCTCTGCTACGTCTTTCACCATCAGATTGACCACCGCTACCATTAGCACTGCTATCATTTGATTGTTCATTTACGTCAACTGAAGATTCTTTGTTTCGACGCGCTTGCGATGGGCGTCTTTTTTCATGTCGAAGTTCAGAATTTCCACGACTATGATCGTCTCTGTCGAATGTAACATCGAGATCCAAGTTTGGCTGAGACAACCTTGGCAGCGAGTTCTTATCCTCGTTTGCCGTCACTACAAGTGATATGACCTTCACGGCATGGTCATATGACACTTCGTGGTGCATTTGTACCTCTAGCAAATTATTCTGATCTACTTTCGCGGGTGCGTTGTAAAGTAGAACTTCATGCTCAGCACCCACAAAATCTTCCAAATCTATAGAGTTCACACTATCTACATCATTCTGCAGCGATTTCTTGGGCTGCAGAGCGAAGGAAGGCAAACTCGCTTCCGTGTGCTGATAGATAATATTAGTATTCGGTATCGCAGCCTGCGGTATAACGATCGGCAAGCCAGCTTGCATGTGTTGGGTTTCGTTACGGGGTGACAATAGTGACGCTGTATCAATATCAGTGACACTTGCTACTGATTCGGCATCCGAGTCTTTAGGTATTGTTGGCGAAGATAGGATTTTCGGAGTACTCTCAACATCATTTCCGTCCTTGGCTACCAATGTTGCGATTTGCTCTAGGACTTCGAGCCTTTGCGTCAGAGCTGCAACTTCTTCTTCCGGCTGAGAAATTATAGATTCAGCGGCGATAGAATCTGTATCAGACATGTGGGAGAAGCGAGCCAAGTCTTTCGAAACTGACGGCATTCGAGGTTTCCAGTATGCTGTACGAAAGAAAGCTCAACAACACAACGAAGGTGAAAAATCTATGAGCGTCTCTTACGCACCTGCTTCCCTGTACTCGGCTATGGTCTTCAATGTGTCACTGCGTCTTATCAGTGCTGGTGCATTGCTCACATACGTGTTCTGTGGTTTTCGATTTAGAGAATCTACCATACCCCTTTCAAGCTCTTCCACACGTTCAGATAGAGACTAGGTAAACACGAGAATTTAGGGAAATGCACCATTTAGGAGTGAAAATTAAAAACGTGTTATTCGTACGTGAACGGTGGGAGTCAAGGGAAGGAGAGCATGGGGAGCAGAGACCTTAAGCGATACCAATAGGTTCTCTACTTGCTGAAGTCTTGATGCCAGTTGATTCACTTCAGGCTTTGCGGAGAGAGGCAGTGGAGGAACGACAGAAGATGTCATCGTGAGAATGCTGGAAGCCAGTGAGTCACGATTTTTTCTATCCAGCTCCTTGAGCAGCAATGCTGAGATTCAAACCGCGGTGTAGGTGTTAGCCTCTATCTCATCGTCTTCAAGCACCAAGTTGCCGGTTCACAGCATACTAGAGAAAGAAACTGAAGTCTCACCGAGAGTTTGGGCGTTCTGGCCTGCCATGGCACTACTACCATGACCATTCTCGTCCATCTTCTTCTTATGGCGGGCAATTGATGAATCGTGTGTTGTGGTTGGGGGAAATATTGGAGCTGTGCCGTTTTCATTATTTTCGTGCGACCAAATCACCTACATAAGAAATTCACGAGAAAACCATTAGCGGTCGCTCACTAGATTGACTAGGATGTCATTAACTGAAAAATCTGCTGTTGAGCTTGCTGCTCTCATTCGCGAAGGAAAGTTGTCTCCTGTTGGTGAGTACTCCTTGTGAATTGCCATGCAACGAAGGGATGTCTGCCGAGAAGGTCATCTTCATCTTTCAACATTGAATATATATTGATCTTCGTCTCTCTTCCCAAAACAGACTTGCTCGAGGCTTGCCTTGAACGCATCAACCAATTTAATCCTGCTGTAAATTGTTTCTGGACCTTGGACGTAGAAGGCGCAAGAGCTGCTGCCAAGCAAGCTGAATTGGATGTTAATTCTGGGCGACGTGTGCTTGGAATACTTCATGGAATTCCAATAGTATGCGTCGGCTTCACGAATTCTCACAGTGTCGCCCAAAGTGCGTCGCCATTATCTCACTATTCTTGCTGCTAGGGCATCAAAGACCTGTCTAATACGAAGGGATTGCTGACTACAAAGGGCTCCCGCACTCTGGCAAACAACATACCAACGTCGGACGACAGGCACATCGCCAGAGTAAAGAAACCGTGTTCATGTGTTTGATATACAAATCTTGTCAACTCAGCGGTCTACTGAAAAATTAGCTTCGTGAAGCTGGCGCAATCATTTTGGGCAAAACCGCAACGCCTGAATTTGGAGCTGGTGCCAATACAAGAACACTTCTTCATGGTAAGATCCATGTCCAGATACAATAGAAAGGTCAATGATTTGAGAATCCACTTCAACTCCACGCAAAGACATGTCTAACTATTGGCTTACATCTTCCATACCCAGGAGCTACAGGAAATGCATTCAATCCAATCCTCACGCCAGCTGGATCTTCTGGCGGCTCAGCAGTCGCTTTAGCTCTGGATCTTGTTCCTCTTTGTACTGGTAGTGACATGGGCGGGTCTTTGAGGACGCCAGCCGCATATAATTCGATAGTAGGATTTAGACCATCACCGGGACTGATTCCGGCGTCGCCATATCTTCATTTTTCTCCACTTGGTAGTTTATCCAAGAGTAGATACAGCGGCATTGCAAAGAACTTCAATTCTCACGAAAATAATTTCCTCTGTAGCCCTAGAAGGATCCATGGCTCGAAGCGTTGGAGACGTCGCACTTTTGACTGCAGCCATGGCAATATATGACCCTAGAGATCCATTCTCCTGGCCAGGAATCAATCCAAATGATTTTTTGAATTTAAAGACCATCGATCTCAAGCTTCTCAACGTAGCCATGAGTGAGGATCTCGGGTTTGCTCCTGTGTCAAGTATGGTTAGAAAAGTCTTTCAGACCAAAATGAAGGGCTTGTCGAGTACATTCGCAAGTCTCGCAGAAGCTACGCCAAATCTCGGAGATGCATTTAATACTTTTGCATGCTTGCGAGGTGATGGGTTCATAGCACAACATGCCTTCTATAAAGCAAACTTTGATCTGTTTGGGTATCCTACTCAGTCGAATGTGAGGGAGGCTCTGACTATCACCCCAGCTATGAGAGCCAAGGCATTCTATGAGCATGGTCAAATTGTGCAACGAGTCGAAGCCTTTTTCGAAAAATATGACCTCTTGATTTGTCCAGTAAGTCTGAAGTGGTTTCATCTTGGAGTGAGTCATTGACTATACTAAGCTATTTGAACCTTCTTTAGGCTGGTGCAGTCACCCCATTCCCTCATGCTCAATGGGCGCCCACCGAGATCGATGGACGCGTGATGCGAAACTATTTCGAATGGTAAACATTTCTAGTTCTTGAGTTTCCTTTTGTGGGACCCACTAACACCATATGTACATTAGGATCTCTATCACGTTTGGCCTCACCTTGACGATGCATCCCGTATTGTGCATACCATTCGGTGCGTGATGAGAACATTAGCTACACAGGCGATTGTCTGTTGAGTTGATCTATATACAACACGTAGGTGTGGACTCAGAAGGAATGCCTTTCGGCATTCAGATATGTGGCAAAAGGCATGGAGATGTCGACCTGCTAGGTATTGGACAGCAAATAGAGCAGCTAATACAAGGCAGAGTCAAACCAAATCTGGAGAAGCTGACATCTTCGCCTCGAATTGGCGCTAAATTCTAAGATTCACTGATTGGATATTAATTTCCTGTCATTTGTTTCCATATTTACAGAGGTACTAAAATAATAAAGATGATTCAAAGCGGGGTTTCATCTCTTTGCTCTCAACTGGATGTCAGAGTACTAGTGGTCAAAACAAGAAAAGTCAACTATCAGTTGCAAAAATGCTGCAGTGTGAACGAGCAGAAACAGCAACACACCCAGAAGACCCCAGCTAACGTAACGACAATCCCTAACAAGTTCATCAGATTGACGGGGTAGCTAAATATGATGAATCCGAGCAGGAGAATGAGACACAGCTTAAAGTGTCCTAGCACATTATAAGTGACGGCAGATGTTTTTCCAATCACTAAAAATATGGATATCTAAACAGATTAAGAATGGGGGTTGATTGAAGATTTGCTTCTTTTCAAATAAGGTGAGCATCTAGCGTGACAATCATACATACATTCACGAAAAAGGCAAAGATGGCCGAGATCATGATGCTCACGATGGCCCCTACTGACCATTCGTATGCAAAGAGTGCTCCTACGTCATCGAGTATGGGGACGACAGGGACTAGCAATATAGCGGACAATGGAGCTTGATAATACAAAAGCTGCATGGAGTTGACGCCCAAGTCCTTTTGTTTAGTGCCCACCCATATTTGATACAAGCTGGTTACGAGGACGCCAGTCAAAGCAAAGAAGGTGCCGGTTACATTGAGCTGGACGTCAGTGGCACTAGATATAATGACACCGATACAAGTTACAGTCAAGGCCAGCTTGACGGGAGTGCTGAAGGTCATATTATAGTAAAACGTCTGAATGACGACGATACATGGAGTTGTAAGCACCTTTGCCATCTAAAAGGAGAGGCTGTGTGTAAGATTACACATATTTGAGATCCCAGTTGCTCGTCAAACCTGATAGAAGCCGACAGAACTAGAGGTGGAGGATATGTAAATACACGATAACAGAAAAAGAGGTCAACTAATGCGATTGTAAACGCACGATAAAGCGAAGAACTAGATATATACACAACAATCACACCGCAATGTACAACACAATCAAGACCTTTCACTTACTTGTAAACAAGGCTCAGGTTGGTGAGGACAACAAACCCACAAAAGGACCAACAAAGAGGCAATACAGCAGATAGGGGGATTTTCTTTTTCTCGAATACACCATTTCTAGCACATCCTTCCAGACCCAAGAACGTTATGACAAAGTGGATTATCGTCAAGAATGTGCCAAATCTGAAGTTGTAAACTTCAAAGACCCACTTATTGGTCATGACGATGCCAATGGAGGAAGCGACATTCAGGGCCATATAAGCAAAAGTGCGTATTACGGAGATTGGATAGCCAAACAATTCAATTTCCTTTGAGGGAGTCTCTGCTTCTAGTAATGGTTCCAATATAGCATTCCCGTTGCTTGATGGACTTGCGCTGCGAGTATTGATTTGAATCCCAGTAGCAGCTGCGGCTGGTGCTGCTTCTTCTTCGTCATTACTACGAGCTCCCATCGCCCCTCTATAGTGGTTGTGACAACAAATTTCGACGTCGCCAAGTGGACGCCTGGGTCGAAGTGAATTCTGACCAGTCGACTTGCATACAGTTTACTGATAATCCTGGTACTCGGTTACGAAGTTGTGGCAGAAGAAATTACAATTTTTTGACGCGCTTGGCACACCCAGTAACGATTAACTAGAATCATAGATCAGTTGTCAGTGCATTGATGCTCGAATCATATTACATGTATATTCCTACATTGGGACACGTTACTGTACGATTCTCCACTCCGGCACCGCTTGCTCGTACGTGACACGTCATCGTCGTTAATATAAATCAAAACATAAACCATATATACATACCAGCATAGGCAATAGTCGCAAACATGGTCAAATTCATTGCTATTCTGGCACTCCTGGCAAGTGTCGCAATCGCCGCGCCTACTACTAAACTCGCTAGGTAACGCGTCAGTTTAATGTCTGACAATACAATGTATTCACATTCTTCCTCTCTCTAGAATGCAACTGAAGCGAGTCTCTCACGAGGACAGGTCCAAATACATGACTGAAGCCTTGTTTGCTGCCTCGTCCGCTGCTTTGAAGCAAAAATACATGGGTGCACCCCAAGACATCACATCTGAACACGGTCTTCCACTAACCAACTTTATGAATGCTCAAGCAAGTTTCTCCTCATTCACACATCATTCGGAGGAATTCATTACTCATTCCAATGCTGTTTGAAGTCTAACATATAAATCTTTACAGTACTTCGGAGAGATCGGCATCGGCTCTCCTCCACAACCATTTACAGTTGTCTTTGATACTGGTTCCTCGAATCTTTGGGTCCCTTCCACCCATTGTAGCAGCATTGCTTGTTGGTTGCACCGCAGATTCGATTCCACCCAGTCTTCAACCTTCAAAGCAAACGGTACCGAGGTAGTTCTCCTCTCTATTTCAACACTTCTACGTTTTACTCGATAACATATATCAATTAGTTTGCCATTCAATACGGAACAGGTAGCTTGGAAGGAATCATCTCAAATGTAGGCTCAACATTGCACTAGTCGAAATGCTGTGGGTCGGACAACCCGCCTTTCTGCCAATGCTGCAGCAGACGATGCACTTGAAAAGCAAATTTAATCACGCAGCCTCCACAATTTTACTGAATGTATCTATTGCTTTTTTACAACAACAGGATGTGTTGACTATTGGCGACTTGGAAATTGAAGATCAAGACTTTGGTGAATCCGTCAAAGAGCCTGGTATTACCTTCGCACAATTCTTCATTTACTTTCAAACAGAACGGCCAACCTTATTGAGCTATACCTTAGGTATTACCTTCGCTGTTGGGAGATTTGATGGAATTCTCGGACTCGGCTTTGACAACATTGCTGTCCAACGTGTTGTTCCTCCCTTCTACCAAATGGTCAACGTGAGTATCAAAGGCATGTCTTTCTAATCAGAAATTGTTCCCATGTTGACACTCGCACCTATTCAGCAAAAGTTGGTCGATTCTCCACTCTTTTCTGTCTGGCTCAATACTAACGGTGATGACAATGGGTATGTTTGCCGCGCAAAATATCACATCGAATTTTCTAATGTTTTTGCACGTTTATCTTCACAGTGGAGAGATCGTGTTTGGTGGTATGGACAAGGCCCACTACACGGGAGAAATTAGTGAGTCATTTACTTCAATGCATCTTCGTTAGATGGTCTATCAAACAACTTGTGTCTTGTCACTTCGTCATTGACCAAAAAATCATCCATTTTTTATAGCCTATGCTCCAGTTACCCGAAAAGGCTATTGGGAAGTCGAGATCGAGGACGTTTTGATGGGTGGCAAGAGTCTTGGATTTACTACAAAGAAAGCAGCCATAGATACAGGCTCTTCTCTTTTCGCATTACCAACATCAGAAGCTGACGCCATCAATCAGCGAATTGGTGGCAAGAAGAACCCTCAGGGCCAATATATCGTCGACTGTGCTGCTATCCCTAGTCTACCATCATTGGACATTCAGTTCGGCGGGACCAAATTTACTCTTTCTGGCAAGTCTCTATTTTGAAAGGTTTTCTTACCTTGTCCTTGTTCGTTTCATGTCGGCCAATGTTTGGAACTCATTCAATCTAAGTGATTCCTCTCTCACATAGGCGCCGACTACATTCTCAAGGTCAGTGCGGGCCCAATTGGAGGTGGTGACCAATGCATTTCTGGTTTCTTTGGTCTCGATGTAAGAGTAGTGTAGAATTTTTGAAACGAAAGGACCGGTTGTGAGAATTTGAGCGCTTATTCTGCCCGGTGTCAATTAGATTCCCGCTCCCGCAGGACCACTTTGGATCGTCGGAGATGTGTTTTTGCGTAAATACTATACCGTGTATGATCTCGGAAAGGCTAGAGTTGGTTTCGCCAAGAGTAAATAAAATCGCTCCGAATTTTGTACTTGAAGAGAGCCAAGAAAAGAAAAAGAAATGTGCTCTCGTTTCTATATAGTACAGTTGCTACTAAATTACAATCTACTTTTGCAAAGTTACGCCTCATCCATCCTGACATCAGGGCTCAGAGTATTTTGTAATCCATCCGTATGATGTTTGTCATCATCAGAGTTTACAATAACGGGTGCGTATTCTCCTTCCTCCTCTTCATCACCTTCAGCAGCGAGTCGAGCCTCTGTTCTCAACTCCCACTGAAAGTAATTCTCGACAAAATCGAGAAGAGTGTCCATACTACGTACTAGATCGGTATTACGTGGCATTGCACGCATTGGAGTATGATAGGATGTTGTTGATGCTACTGATGATGTATACATTCGTAAAGCATGCCGGAGAAACGAGTCACCAGACAAGGCATCGATGAAGAAGTCCTCGGGGAGTTCCTGTAGCTGCACAAGCAATACACCTAAATACCCAAAACCGTATATATTGAGAGGGCTTATGAGAGGCTCGATCTGATGGATTCTCTTTGGAAACACGTACCTGTAAAGCCAATAAACATGTCGACTTGAAGCTCAAGGAGCTCATGGCACGAGCACAGTAAGGTTACTAGGATCTTCCACTGTTCCAAACCATCGTATACTTGGCCCACCAAAAAAATGATAAATGACAGTTCCAGCTCTCCCAGCAAGTCCTTATAGTCTGAATATTGACCTTCCAGCAGTTTTCGTAATAAATAGCTCTTGTCAATACTATATCGGGTCAGTTCAGCACCCGATGCTCCTTGTGGAAAAGAACGCTTCAAGTCTATCCAGGTAAAATGGAGCCACTCTGTATTGGCCAGTGTACTCGATGTTTCCATATTTGTAGAAGGCGATACGACGTCAGAAAACCGAGATACAGACGTCATGGATCCGATATAGCCTGTTGGTATAACTCGACTCAACAGATTAGGTGTTATGTGTTGTGTGAGGCGGAGCCATCGTTGATATGTCGTAAATTGATGAGATGGCGTAGTGGTATTCAAAGGGTATGGTCCTAGAGACGAATCCAGAGTCCGCAAATCTATGATATCATTTAACAAAGGTTGCTTCAGGCTTCAATGCTCCAAACCGACTACCGTCCTACAAAACTGTCTTTCTACGAAACTTGAACACACTTACTAGCTCTGAGACGTTCTACTTGGTCTGAGTCATGTGGCGCAGCTTCAATCTGCTCTGTTGCGGTATCCCAATTGGCAACAACGATCTACCAAAGGTGTATAAAATACTAAAATGTTGATGTACACGAGCGTAAGCACAGCTTACCTCTCGTTCAGTAAAGAAATGAAAGAATCCTACGCGGCCTATTCCAGATACGCCACCAGAGTGTATAAAGTGAAGTCCAGGCGGTATCAGTTTCAATCCAGAAAAGCGTCTTCCCAGTTCCCAGCTGTTCATGTCGATTCCAAAGTCGATTCCTGCTGGAGGAGGAGCCAGAAATACCACGAATGCTCCAACTTCGAACAGTCGGTTGGCTGTGTCTTGATCCATCTTATTACCAACAAGGGGGAACTCCTGTTTCTAATGTTTTGTTTTAGGAAAATTCAAGGAGTATAGATCCAGGAGTATAGTGTAATAACATCAGAACTCATACGAACGCACTCATGGTTAACATCGCGGTGGGATGAAACAAATTGATACGTGAATATGAGGAATAATAGGTTGTACCCCTATTTGGGTGGTATGTACATGCGTCTACGCTTCTTTAACTTTACATTTTTGCACCAACGACAGCCCCATTGCCATACTGTCTAAAGAATTTTGAAAGTCCTTCGTATACAGCAAAGGTGATCATGGTTCCAGGCAGGACTCGGACCACATTGGGGCCTAATCCCTTGTAAAATCCAGTGAATCCTTCGTTCTTGTATACGGTGGTTATGGTACCCCACGCTGTGGTGTATTTGCGGCCTTCGTACTGATTCTGCAGCCGTGACCGTATGACTTGATATGGGTATGTACATATTGTAGCAAACAGCTTTGATGCAGCGGCCATCGTAATGTATTCGAGAGTACCCTAAATGGACTTGGTTAGCAATCACGTTTAGTACGGAATACGTCAGGCGTAGCATCTAAAATACCATGTGGTTGACATTCTTGGTGGGATTGAAGTCTGCCCAGATGCTCTTCATCTCTTCATAAGCCATGAATTGTAGTGCACCATGAGATACTCCAAACAATGCTGGAGTAAGACCTTTGTACATTCCATTTATTCCCTCATATCGTGCGAGCTTATATAGGCCCTCTGTATATGTATTGTTTCAATGACATGATGCTCGAAAACAAAAAGTAAAGATAATTAACGTACCTGACAGGGACCTGTAGGCTCCAGGATCATTCCATTTGGTAGCACACATCCTAGTCTTGATCTGAGCGAAATTTGTTGAATAAACAATACAGTTTGTTGAACAATCGGACGATTTGTTGGTTCCTTACCACCCAGAACGGATTGGTTACTATAGCGCAAGCTGCTCCAGCTTCAGCAGATGCAGTCAGATGTTGCACAGCAGTCAACTTGCCGTTTGCACCGTCTCTCATGTACTCCTTTATGAGCCCGTACCTAGACGTGTTAAGAACGCATGAAGATGAATAAAATTGAACCAACAAGATAGAAAATCAATCAATCGTCATACCACCAAAAGTAGAGCCCCCAGCTGAAGCATGCACCAGCGAGATTTGCCATGACACCTCGATAAAGGCCGCGGCCTATCCCTTCCGTCCTCTGGATCTGCTTCCATAGATTGATAGTCGTATTGCCGTGATTTCTAGCACGTTCATCGACTATACAACTATGTGGGTCAACAATCTTGATTGAATTGAGAAAAAACTTTCGAAAATCTCTCCTACCTTGTAACCGAATCTTGATCACGTCCAAAGGATGCAGTAGTAAGGTGGATGTCGCACCTGCTACGAAGCCGGCTATTGCTTGGTCCGCCGACACGCTGCCTGTGAATGTCATCGGTCTGCTGTGTTGAAATGTTGAACAAGAATGGACCTCCATGATCAGCACCCCAGAATCGAGCAGACCTGAATCGCCTTGAGGTATTTCACTTGGAATCGACGCGATTTGAATCCCCTTTCAACTTTTATACACCACGACACACCACCATCCTGTGACTATTTTTCGAGCTACCATGAACATGTTTCTCACGTTATATCTTTAAGCTCACAGCTGAGCCCTTCTCCTACTTCCTTTTTCTGATACCTCTCAGCTTCCACCAGAAACATCAACGAACATACGTCGCAGTAAGCGTGTTTTCATATGGTTTTGACATATTTTGCTGTAAGTGGTCATTTGGCATATGGCATACTTGGCATAGTGGTATTTACGCCCGTTCGTTGATCACGATGAAGTTATTTGTACATGCCTGTGTCGTCGTCGCTGACTTTGCAAAGGTGAACAGGTTACAAAGTTGAACAGGGGACTGAGACTGGGTACATATTGTGGGGGAGTTGCTCTACCATTTAACAAAGGGTGAGAGGGAGAGTGGAGATTGTACATCCAATAAGTAAAACAATTATTTGGATTAGTATGATCTAGCTTTCGTTCGTAGGCGTGCTGGTTTGACCTCTGCGTGATGTGCTGGTAGGTGACTTACTTATGAAGCGAAGACTCACGAGACAGAAGAGCCAAAATCACCCACATTGGCGCAAATTTGAAAAGCAGGTGTGCTGTATTCAGCAACTTGTTGTAATGGGCAGTTGTTCGTTCAACACGTTCAACGTCGGGACACGCTCAACACAAAAAGGAAACCCCGAGAGAGGAAGTTTGATTAATAAAGTGCATGTTGCGCATACATTTGGCTTCGTCTCACATCCCCAAGCGAGATTATGTGCCTACTTTATAATACATTGGTTTTCAAATCGATATAAAGGACGATCAAAAACACCACGAGGTAAAAATTCTTGCCAATAGGGACTAGGGATAGGGAGATGGGAGAAAGAAGGGGGTAGGGATAGGGGTAATAATTGGGGCAGGGACAGGGGTAGGGGTAGGGACGCAAAACGAATAAAGAATAGGCGTGGATACCACGATATAGATGAGCCAAAATCATCCACATTGGCGCAAATTTGAAAAGCAGGCGTGCTGAATTCAGCAACTTGTTGTAATGGGCAGTTGTTCGTTGTGTGCGTGTGTAGAACTCAACCCAACAGTCCTGAACTATGTGCCGCTGGCATACCCAACTACTACGACTAGTAGTTGCTTTGCTGATCTGTCGTGTATGACGCGTCTAGGATTCCTTAATATGGTGCGATCACTATAACATGCTGGTTTTAATGATTCTGTTCCATTGACCTTTATTGTCAATAGCCGCCCACACTTTCATTCCTCTCTCCAAACACTTGGGCTCTGCGAGTTGTGCTTTTGGCTGTTGAAAACGCACTCCTGCAGGGGGGCTTTTTTCGGGAACCGCCTTGCTGAACATTTCGGCAATGCTCGAGACAATAACCGTCCTTAGCAAACGCATAGCCAACTACACTAAGCTAGCGAACATGTTGTTGGGAGCTCAACACTCTTAAGGAGAGAACGCGAGAGTCGTTCGATCTGATGACGGGAAGTGCCTAGAGGGATTTGGTAGGAAATGGTAAAGGTTCGAAGCCTGGGAAATGATATTTTTTTGGTATCAGCCAACTATCGCTCTACCGAAAAGTCTGGTCAGAAATGACTAGTTTATTCAGCTGTACTAGTTTGGTTTGGCTTGTTAAAGCCAAAAATAGCAAACTTGGGAGCTTGAATAGTTGAAGTCCAGAACAGTTATATGTTTTTGGCAAAGTGGGGAAAGTGCGTATTGGGATACCTGTTGGGAAGGCATACTCTTACGCGATTCGCGGGAATGTTTTGAATTAGATTTATTTTTAATTCAGGCAACCTGCTCCAAGGGGTGGTCTTGAAAAACTTTATTGTTTTACATGATTTACCCTAGGAAACATGGCAAAGACTAGGCAAATCTAGTACTGGGTTGCACGTAGTTGATGTGTTAAATTACAATCAGCTATGCTTGCGACCAGAAATTGTGTGATTTAATGAGGTCGTCAAAACACCAACACAAATTCACAAGAACTTTTTTGTTGCTGCATCGTCAAATGTAGCAAGAAGAGAGAACACTAGT